GATGGACGGACTCTTTCGTTTGTCTGCCGCAGCGCTACTCCAACCAAGGAAAATAAGAAAGTCTTTGTAACAGTTATTATACAGCGCTGGATTACTCTGGTGAGCTCCTGTATCTCTGCCTTTTCTTATTCCAATATCTTTACACTTGGGTTCGTCAGCGCAACAGACGGATGTGTGTATGGCTACGGTATGTCTAGTTTCTTCGCCGCTTATTTTCCTTTTGGTCCTTTGCTGACCCCAGAACATTTTCCCGAATTAGAAAAAGGGAACCAAGGAATGGAAATAGTGGTAATCACCCCTCAACCTTGTGCTGATGGCCAGGTCATTTGTCAACTGCGCGTTGGAGGTTACACAGGTAGGACAAGTAATGGGAGGATGTATTATCCGTGAGATCATCGATCTCAAACGGCAGCATAGACAGCGAACAAAATCGTCATCGTATATGTAGAGTTCAGTTTGTACACTAGCTCGTCCTTTCTGGATATCCGTTTGACTGATCAGTGGTCACGCAGCAGCGTGTGTACAGTGCAGTTTATTTACTATCTATCGCGTGTATATTGAAGTAACCTATCCTAATGATGCTTAGTATATGCTGTGTTCTACAAAAATCCGAAACATACGCTTGTTTCTATCGCTTTATTGCGTTTATGTAACTTTCTCGAGCTCTTTGCAACTAGTTGCAATAATTGCCGATATACGTGCTTAAGCTTCAATTGCAACTGTGGTTTGACGGGAACGCCCGCACTATTGGCGGGATAACCCTTAATGTGACTGCTCAGTCGCATGAACAAAGGGCTTTCAAAAATTCAATTTCAATATAAAAAAGGAAAACTTTTCTCAGATCCACTCTTCTCTCCATTGATCATTAACACATATACACAGTAACATGCCTATTAACAAGAAGAAGGTCGCTGCTCGAAAGGCTGTTGCAACCCGTAAAAACGCTGCTGCCGCCAAGGTTGAGTCAAAGAAGGAACAAGAAGTGAACGCCAAGGAAGAACAGCAAGAATCTGGAAGTGAATCGGAATCCGACGCCGATAACAATGACGAGGAATTGAAGGACGCTTCCGACGAAGAGAAAGACAGCGAGTCTGGATCTTCTTCATCGTCAGAGGAAGAGGAAGAGGAAGAGGAAGAGGAAGAAAAGGCTACTGAAAAAGAACAAGAAATGTCAGAAAATGACGACGACGAGGAGAGCAGCAGCAGCTCGGATTCAGAGAACAGCAAGAAGCGCAAGGCCGAAGATGATTTGGAAGAGGAGCAGCAGCCAGTTAAGGCACTGAAGGTTGAACACGTTCCAAAGGGACCCAAGACGAGCTTTACCGTCTTTGTTGGCCAGCTTAACTATGACGCAACATACGACCAGGTCAAGGAACACTTTTCCAAGTGTGGCGACATCAAGGAGATCCGATTGTCGAGCTACGGTGCGGGTGGCAAGAACAAGGGCACATGCTTCATTGACTTTGAGGACAAGGAAGGCCACGACGCTGCCCTGAAGTTGAATGGCGTCGAGTTCATGGGCCGTAAGATTAAGGTGGACCACGACGAGCCTCGCAAGAAGGAAGCCGTCTCTGAAGAAAGCAACATTTTGTTCTACGCCAATCTCGATTGGGCCGTCACCGAAAAGCAACTTGAAAACTTGTTTTCCCAACATGGTGAAGTCGTTTCCGTCACACTGCTTACCAAGCCTGGACCAGAAAGATCGTCAAAGGGCTGTGGTTTTGTTGAATTTGAAGAAAAGGATTCCGCCGTTAAAGCATTCAGTGCTCTGCGGGACTCCACCGTTGATGGCCGTCCATTGCGTCTGGACTATGCTGGTCCTCGTGGATCTTCAAAGATCAACCGCAGACCTAATCAGGAAAAGGGCGGCTTCAAGAAGGGCGGCTTCAATAAGGGTGGCTTCAAGAAAGGTGGCTTTAACAAGGGCGGTTTTAACAAGGGCGGCTTTAACAAAGGCGGCTTCAAGAATGGTAACAACCGCGGTCAAGGCCAAGCAGGCAAATAACCGACAAGTTATCAATGGGCATATAAAACCGATCACCACAAAAAGCACAGAAGCATAAATAGATTTTAAACATGTATTCCTCCTAACATTGTATTTACTTATTCTCGATCCTCTTTTTCTTTCATCATTAAAGCATGCATCTTTTTAAATAACTATAACTAACGCTACAGTGCTCATATCTTGTGTGACGGTTACTAAGTCAATGTATGTGATGCCTGTCATGATTGATAATGACCACTTACCACTTCTGTGGTTGCTTAGAAAAGTATATGAACAGTTTACTACGACGTTAGCAAATTCACCATAGTTAATTGCGATATCATAAAAATCAATGACGGTATGTATTTTTCTTAAGTTTTATGATGTTGAGAGGGGGAGTATAGAGTATTTACAATTTTAAACAGTTTTTTCTTTGGGTCTATATATACATGTGAAAACTAGTTCATTATTGGGACACAGCTGCCACTTTATGTGGTGGCGTCAAATTGGTAGTGGCAGTAGCTGCTGCAGTTCTTGTATCCAAATCGACCTTCTCCAACTTTTGTTCCAATTCCAGCAGTCTTTGTTGCATGGCCAATTTCTCTTGCTGCATAAGAGACATTTCCCGCTGTTTCTCGAGCTCGAGACGTTCCATCTTAGCACACAATACTGCCATTTCTTGGGTTTTTTTGTCCAAAGCAAGTGATTTGGCTTGTAACTCGGATTGCAATGTCGCAAAAGTACTGTCGTTAGGATCGTTGTTGTTGAACAGCTCAAATTCGAGTAGTTGTGCAGCAGTGGGTCGACAATTAGGGTTAGGATCCATCATCCATAGAATAAGTGCAGACTATAGAAACATCAGTTGGTTTTACTTGATAAGTGCGGAAACACTCTAGTGATAGCCGTGATAGCCTTTAACAAAGCACGATTCTTACCTCCTTAGGGTACTTTTCTACGAAACCGTCGGGAAACACACCGTTCTTCAAGCATTCGATTTCTGACGCACGTTCCATTGCTGTCGAAAATGGCTTGTACAGCTCAAAGAAAATAATTCCCAGAGAGTAGATATCGACCTTTTCGCCATAGGCGTTTGGTGTACGTGCGAGCTGCTCTGGCGATGCATACTTAAAATAAATAGGGTTAGCCTTTCACACCTTCTTTGACTGGTAAAGTCTGCATTTAATAATGTGAAACAGACTTACTGTTCGCGTGCCGACACCAACGGTATGCTTCCGCTGCATCGATGGTCGAAGTCTCGACGACTGTGTGCTTTGCTGGCTCTGTTGGCTGACTTGGCTAGCACTATGGCCGCTGCTGCTACTCTTTGGACTGTCGGATAACGGCGGTGCAGGCAACATAGACATAGATGCAGGCGAGTTCGAATCATCCTCGGTATCCATTGCAGCAGCCAGGCCAAAGTCACCAATCTTTGGCATCCATGGTTCGTCCCACATGCATTCGCGCAAACCGCTGGGAGTCAGGACAGAATCGAACGAGAAGCTATGGTCGTGGCCGGCGCTTCCGCTCCCATGGCTGGGTGAGCTTGATGATAGGCTGGCAAAACTGTTGGCTCGACTGCGACGACGCAGCGAAGACTGGCTGGATTTCCGGTGTGGGTAATCAACCGTAGACGATGGCATATTTAGAAAGATGTTTGTCGGCTTCAAATCGCGATGGATGACACCTTGACTGTGGATATAAGCGGCACCTTCTAGAATCTCGGTGAAAATTTCAATGTTTCGTTCAGGATCGACTTCACCGGACTGATTGCGAAACTTGATATAATCATGCAGCGTTGCTAAAGAAGAAAAAGTAAGTACAAGCAGTATGTTACGAGATTCATGCAAAGATTGTCGCTGCGAATAGTTACCTGGACACAATTGCATTTGGATATACAGCACCCATTCGCCATCAAATGATGGATTGACTGTATCTTTAGATGATCGGGAATTGTTTTTTTGCTTGCATACAGTAACGCTATTCGATTTAGAGTCCGTGACGCTGTAGTCGGCAAAGTCGATGTGAGTTCGAGAGTTGGGTTGAGAATAATCGTCAAACTGAATGCTGAGTTCATTATCGTCGAACATTGGGTCTCGGCCATTGAAAATGCTGCCTTCGTCGTCTTCATCTTGCTCGTAGTCTCCGTATTCTTCTTCGTCTTCTTCGTCTACACGGTCGTCCACAGCCAGTTCGAGCCACGACGAATAATAACGCACCACATTTTTATGTTCTAGCCGCGCCAAGTGTTTAATTTCTCGGAAGATCTTTTCGTAAGGCGCATGACGTGCCGTATCCAAGTTGCTTCCCAGCCGGATCTTCTTGACAGCATAATCAATGCCATCCAATTTGTTGCGCGCGCGCCAAACACTTGCGAACCCGCCTTTTCCTAGCATGTTGATTTCGACAAAGTCGTTGCGATAACGCGAGTTTTGAACAGACAGGTTGAACAGCAACTGCTCGGAGGATAAAGACGTGTTGGTTTCCGATATGGAGGGCGGTTGACCATTGTTCTCGCTATCAGCCCATGGCGACTGCATGATCATCCGCTGATGCTGCTGGAATAGCTCCCTGTCGCGGACCGTCTGTACGGCCGTGTAAAACAAACGCTGGAAGGCGCTTTGATACGTGGATCGGACATTGGCCATCTCGTCGACAAATTCTGAGTCAATCAAACCAAGCGAGCGTAACGTTTGACAGATGAGGAAAAAGACTTTGTGGTTGGCCTCAGGTCGTTCACCGTACACGCTGCAGAACGATTCGATAAGCACCACAAGAAGCATCTTTGTCTGTCGTCGCTTTTGAGAGGTACTCGTTGTCGCCTGGTCCTGTTGACCCAACCAGAGGTTGTTTTCCCCGTAGTAGTCGTCGCCAATTGGGAACGTTTCTATAAATATCAAAAGACATAGATAGTGAGCATACTTTGCCCTTATTTCAGGAGTAAAAGAAAAAAGAAGCAGTACAGTGGGATCGTACCCTGGTGTTCTAAACCACCATTTGACGACGAGTCCTCGAACTGTTCAGAAGGGCGGTGCCAGAACTTGCTAGATCCGCCTAACGAGTCAGTACGAGCGGAAGAATCAACATCGTCGGTCAACATGGGCGACATGATTCAATTACGAGCGAAAGAAAGAGTGTGTGTGTTAAAGCAAAGTGAGGGTATAAGAGAAGAATGAGCGAATTGTACTAGTTTGAAAAGAGCGAGAGACGTCCAACCAGCACAGAAACGTCGTTTCAGTTGCGGGAACTCAAACCTGTCCAATTGCCTTTTGCGTTCAGTGCTCTCCCATCAGGAGTGAAAAAGGCTTCTTCTTGCGCAAACCGTAGAAAAATTCACTGCGACAAATTGGGTGCTTGGGGCGATGACGACACCACAAGCAATACGTTTCCACGGAAACTTCAAACACTCGTGTGCTCTGCTGCTATCCGTTGGCTAAGCTATCACCGGACTCAGTGGATATATACGAAAACAGCACTGCAATAACACGCAGATCTTCTGCACATCTTGTAACCGAAAAAGGCAAAGTTGCCCATCGCTATATGAAAAAACAGCATGATGGACCTTCAATCTGTCAGTCTTGAGCGAGTGGACACGTTCATCGACGGATATATATTCTCATCAAAAAAGACACACAAACGCAGTGTGTGAGTCTGGTTTCCCTGCCTACGCTAAATGCATAGTGGCAAGTTGCATCATCGCATTATTCAAGAGATAGCTCAAGGTCGAACATTTGTAACTCAAGCGCAACGGAAAACATTACGATAGAAAGAAATCACTTTCAATTTTTAAGGTCGGCACAAGCTTCCATTCACTATAAGCACCATCTGCTCCACGTTGATGTTATGCTCAAGTATTTGTTTGTGGTTCGTCGTTCGTTGAAAATTCGTCGTTTCACCTGAGGAGAGAACCCATGCTTCTGAGTGGGGTTGTTCCTGAGTTTTGCTTTTAATAGAAATGTACCATCTTGCTTTTAGTTACAGTGTCCAAATGGTGACGGTGAAACCAAAGGTATTGACAAGAGTCCTAGTTAAAAGTCATATGACCAGCGTGACTGAAAGTATAAAGAGAAGAATTGGTCATCAATGGTCAAATGAGATCAGCAATCTTCGTGGAAGGAGAATTAAATACAAGCGGGGGTGCGAGGGCTATTGTAAGTCGTCGTCGTAACTCAAAAAGATCAGCACCTGACCCCATTCTTTTTGACCGATATGGAACAGAACAAAACAAAACAAAAAGCAAAGTAGAAACATGTAAACATGCATGCGTGGTAGATAGCAGACCACATTGTTTACTATTCTCAAAGAGGGCATTTGCTACTTCAGCTACGCCCAATTGGACGACTACTGCTTCATGAGCTGCTTCTTTCAGACGTACTTCTCTCCTATTCTTTCCTGCGCGACGTCTAAAGAGCGAAGCGAGAGAGATCATCGTTCCATTAACATACATAGAAGTGAGCGGCAAGGCACACGCACACTCACACACTCAGAGAGAGGAAGAGTGAGCACATGCGGCAAAAAAGAAAGTCCCAGGAATGCAAAATAGCTAGACGACATGAAAATACATTTAGTTTCTTGTTTACTACACGTCCATTTTCGGTATAATACACTATAACCCCAATATCAGTCCTACACGCATTGCCCGCCAACCCTTTTCGCCTTCTTTCTCTTCTTCTACTTTCTCTTCCGTCTCTTCCACCCCTTCCTTTTATGCGTCCCTAGGAAGACAATAACAACAATGGCAAACAATACACCGCTCAAGGAATTAACGAATATAGCTGGCAGTGACGGTCTCTCCGGCCTCCACATCCCCACTATCACTGAAGGCGCCGAGGATGTTGCTGGTATGTCATCGGAATATTGTACAGTAATCATGGTTTGTATTCTTCTTATACTAATGTGCAAACCGTCATTGTCAATATAGGAATGCAAGGTATAGCAGCAACGTGCAATATGAAAATGTCGAGCAATAGACCCGAATCGGTATGTCTTTAACTAAATGCCTGTGTGTGTATTCACAGGCCGCATTCGTCTTCAAAAGGACGACGGTATAGCAAACTATCGATGGATGGACAAAATGCGCGGTAAAATCCAAGCATACGAATACCTGTGCCACATTGGTGAAGCCAAAGAGTGCGTTTCTTTCCATAATGTCATCCATCTACTGCGCAAAATGAATCATCATATTAACAATCCATCTCGTTGCGTGTATAATAAAGATGGATCGAAGATTGTCTTCAGGTGGAAATCGAACCTATTACTGAGTTGGAAGAATCCATGCGTAACGGTATCATTCTCGCCAAGCTTGCTGCCTGGTTCACCGAAGGCGTTGTTCGTAAAATTTTTTATGTATGCTCATCGTTATGTGTTTTGGTGGTGGTGAAAAAGGTACACAGATTGGAACTGTTGAGATATTGACTGTCGCATGAAATTTGTTTGTAGGGCAAAAAACTGCAGTTCCGCCATTCCGACAATATCAACTTCTTCTTCGATGCATTGCACGTTGTGCGGCTTCCTCAAATCTTTTGGTTTGAACTCACCGATCTGTACGAAAAGAAGAATATTCCTAAAGTTATATACTGTATCCATGCTCTCAGGTAAAATAGTAATACTAATAGCAGGTTGGAGCGAGCATGTCACGACTTCATGTCTAACACCGGGAGTACATATAGTCATTTGTTGGCCAGACGCAACATTGCTCCAAATATCAAGGATTTAATCGGCACCTTGCAGTTTACATGTAAGTAAATAAAAAACACATCCTGCTTTTTTTCACAGATGATCCCTGCAAGGAAAGAAAGAATGTTAACTGGTTCATCGGATACATTATTCTAGATGAAGAATTAAGCGCAACCCAACGTGTGCTCGACTCGTCTAGTGTGAAAATGCCCGACTTCAAAGGCGTTGGTTCGTCTTTGCGCAAGGAATTGAACGAAGATGGTATCGACTACAACACAAATTATCATACTCCTACAACGCCCGACTTGATTATTGAAGAGGATGAAGAGAGTGATTTGGAATATGAACACAGAGCTAGCCCTGAAATGACATCCGAGCAAAGTAAGTATTTCAGCTCTCCAAAGGAAAAGATGATGGGACCATCAATCGCGTTTTAACTCAATGACTATAGGACTTGAAGCTCATTTTGCCGATTCTGAAAACATGGCGAAACTTAAAATATGCCAGTCTGTGGCACGTACCTGGCTGGCACGCCACAATTTTAAAAAGATGCATCAAGTTCACCAATCCACCTTGTTTGTGTCGAATTTATCACGGGTCCAAGCCCAGGCACGTGGCATGCTGCTGCGACGAGACTTTGAAGAGAAGAAGATCACTTTTGAAAGCTCAGAAGATTGGGTTATTAAGGTGCATCATCGTACAACTGATGAGATAGGGGAAGTTTTCAGAAAATGTCTAATTTTTTTTAAAATTTTAATATTAGCTACAAACTGGTGCCCGTGGATACCTCGCAAGAATGAAATATCAAAACACGCTGGCCCATTACAAGTCAAATTTGGATAAGATCGTTCGAATCCAAAACTTTGTCAAGAACAAGCTTGTTGGTGATGCCTACAGAAAATTGAGTAAATTATTAAAAGAGATTGTTCGCATCAGTGCTATTATCAGCCTCTCACTTACAAACCCATTTTTTCTCTCTTTGCATTGATAGCTACTGATAGCAATCCATCCGTTGGCACCGTCAAGAACTTTGTTCATTTGCTTGATGATAGCGACCTTGATTTTGACCGTGAACTTGGTAAAAATTCGTGTCATTTTGCTACAAATTATCAGAAATTTCCAAGCTAACTAGCATGTTTCTTGTTAACTACAACTACATTTAATAGCTCTGGAGGATATGCGTCAACAAGTGATTCAACACATTCGCGAAAACACTCAAATGGACGCCCACGTCAATGCGTTTGATATTCAAATCGGCTTATTCTTACGCAACGCCATCACCATTGACGAAGTTGTCAAGAGCAGTGGTGCATTCAAAAAGAAGCAACAACTCCGACGCATGTCCGAACTCGCTGCAAACAGCCTCAACACTAACCCTTATTCTCTTCGCGGCATTGATAAGGAAAGTCGCAAACGCTTGGATTTGTATCAAAGGTTGGCTTATCTGTTGCAGACTGAGCCCTGCTACCTTGCTCGATTATTGTCAATGACTGGACGCGGGGATCTTGGTGCCGGAGTTAGCGCCAGATTAATCGAGTCAACCGTATTGACCTTATTCGGTTATGCAACCAATGCCCGTGAAGAATACCTGTTGATCAACCTTTGCAAGGTAACTATTACCGGCTCGCCTGCTTTTTCGCTTTCGACTCGTATGAAGGTGCTGGTATTTTTTCTAATTATCTTTCTTGTTATATCTAGTGTTGCATCGACGAAGAATTGGGTTTTGTTGGGAGTACTCAAGAATTTATGCGTAGCAATTATGCTTTCATGAAACTTGTTGTACAAACCAATCGGTAAGCCAATCATTGGATACACAGCATTAATTTGACGTAGCCATCGAAAGTTACTAATCATAAAGAAATTTTCACAGAGGTGCCAAAGAACGCATGTTTTTCCGGAAGCTTCTGAGCCCCTTGGTCAGCAGCATTGTTCAGAATGAGTACCTCGATCTGGAAACCGACCCAATTGCCATCTATCATAAGGCAATAAACGAAGAAGAATCTCGAACAGGTCGGCCATCCAAGCGTAAGCACTCCGCCACAGTTCAGGATGCCTTGCAGGATGAGGAAGTATGCGCTACATTCGTCATGCACTTGCGTCACTTGCGAGAGATTACTACCCATTTCCTTCAAGCCATTACAGCCACCGTAGACGATGTGCCTTATGGTATCCGCATTATTGCGCGTAAACTGCGCCTTGCCATGGAAGAAGCCTTTCCAAACGAGCCTCAGGAAAGCATCATCCGTATAATTGGCAACTTCATCTACTACCGATACCTCAATCCAGCTATTGTGTAAGTTCTTTTTCAACATTGGGATTGAAAGAGTTTTGATAATCTTGTATTCAATAAGGATAACACAACAATTTCTCTTAGCGCACCGGAACAGTATGAAGTCATCGAAGCCATTGTTCTCCCTGTCCAGCGAAAGAACTTAGCAGAGGTATGTAAAAAGCTGATGCTCTTACATCTGTAAGATATAGAGCTAGCAACTAATTGAAAAGACATTATCACAGGTTGCCAAGATGCTGCAGCAAATATCTAGCGGTCAAGAGTTTGATAACAACGACATTTTCCTCGCGCCATTAAACGAATTCGTCAAAAAATCTTCAAAGGAGTTCGCAAACTGGTTTATGGAATGTGCGTACTATGACCCTAGCGTGAGCTTTCTTTAACAAGATACTGATTGTAATGCTTTCGAATCCGATTAGTGACGAACGTCGAGGAACCCGAAACGTACTTTGATATCCATGAGATGAACGACCAAATCAGCACACACAAACCAACAGTATACATCTCACCCTACGAACTATTCCATCTCCACTATGCCATTGAACATAACCTTGAAGATCTTGAAGTACAAAAAGCTGGCGGCCCTCTCCGTTCCATTATTGAACAGCTCGGTCCTTCGCCGTTCACTCCATCACTCGAGCTTCCTGACTCTATGCTTTGCTTGACATTGAGCCACCCATCTGATAATATCTCCATGGATCCTGCAGCCCGACAACAGCAATTATTGGTCGACTCTAAGCGTCTCGTTATTTACACAATCAAGATCCAGAGTGGCGATTCCTTGAAAACGATTCTTGAAGCACCTGTCACTTCAGAGCATGAGGAGGCGTGGCAGACACTCAAGGCAGTTGAATTCGCAGATCAAGGGGATGCGGTAGCGGTAAAACGGCGATACGTTAAATTAAGTCAATCGGATCCACCTTTGGATCTACAAAGGTAATTAAAAACAGAAACCTTAAAAAAACGTGGGAGAATGAGAACTACACAAACAAAACAAAACGCTAAATCTGGCCTCTCTTATGAACAATTGTAGTCTCGGATTCTATCAGCTTAAAGTGGTTACTAGTCGTCTCTTATTTTATCTCGCAAAGAGTGGCGTTCTTTCTGCCGAGAACGACTATCAACAAGTGATCAAATTAATTGCACGCGATATTACCGGGAAAAATCAACGGCGGATTCAGCGAGACGGAGAATTAAGTCGGGTCCGGCAGACTTTAATACATGTCAAAAAGAAGAAGCACTACTTGATCGAGCAACGCAACGATTACGAAAACTATCTGAGCATTTGCATGCAAAACATGGTCAAGAAGCGAGGCGAGCGACCGCGGTATGGTCTGCCATTCACCCGACAATATTTCCACGTCCGTCGATTACGGAAAGAAGGACGCGAGCCCAAGTTTGGGTCATTCAAGTACAGCGGAAAACAGCTTTATGAGCGGGGTATCCTGGTGGATGTCGCCAAAATTGAGCCCAAAGACTATGACAAAATCTCAATTATCTTGTCGATGGACCAGGTGGGTATCGTCTCGATCGAAGGAACATACTCTCGCTGGGGCATCCCTTCCATGCAGGTAGATATGCCGTACGAAAACCTGCTGCAAACACAATTCGAAGGCGCGCAGACGATGGAGGTCCTCGACGGCATGGTCAAGGTCAACGTTAATCTGCTGATATATCTGATAAACAAAAAGTAAGTGTTCCAGAGCATCATGCAGGTACCAGAAAAGAAGTGCAATAACTGACCCATGCATGTCATCTCTTGTAGATTCTACGCATAAAGAATAATATACACACGGCATACCTCTTCTTCTCATATATTAATTATACACTTCCTTGTCTTTTTCCGCTACACATAATTGAATAGTACATATTGCAGCTTCCACCCCTTTCTGAGGCTAGCTCGTTTACAATAAAGTATATATAAAGAGATCTGGTCTATATTACTTATCCAGCAACTTCATTCCGCCTGTCCACAGCATGAGCTGTTTCACAAAACAGGTTTTTGCTCCACTCCGCTTATAACGCTCCTTGGCTCTTCTCTTCGCGCTGATTCCCTTTTGCCAATGACCATTGCCGACACTCATTATGCTGTAGAGCTCGAAGGGGGTCGCGAGGTTTTCACTATTGAACGGAACTACAAAATCATTCGCAAAGTTGGATCGGGATCCTACGGTACTGTTTGTAGCGCTATTGCAATTGACTCGAATGACGGTAAGAAAGAAAACACAGCCAGGACAGAAAGAAAGGAAGAGAAGGAGAGAGAGGGAGAAGCTAAACCGGGTGTGTGGGGAAACAAAGAGTCAAGTGCAAAGGCTACAGAGCAGAAAAGAAAAGGGACATATCTCTATCAAAACAGTTGGACTTTTGCTCTGTCTAACAACTTCTTCTACTCTTGCTCATTTGCTTCGGTTCGAACAGTTGTCGCGATCAAAAAATGCTTTCGTATTTTCGACAAGAAACTTATCACAAAGCGGTGCCTGCGCGAAATCAAGCTGCTGCAGCATTTTAACGGGCATCCACGCATCATCAACTTGAGAGCCATGGACATTGTCGACTACAACCGCTTTAACGAAGTGTACCTTATTCAGGACTGTTGCGACACCACCATGGCCGATATCATTCATTCGCGCCTTCAGCTCGAACCCGTGCACTATCAATGGTTCATGTATCAACTTTTTTCGGGATTGAAGTACATCCACAGTGCTAACGTAAGCGATACACACGAACTGACGCAAAAGAGTTATGATACTCTTTTTTTTCTGGCGTTCCATTGATCCAATACTGTCTCTTTCTTATAATAGGTCTTGCATCGTGATTTAAAACCAGGTAATAATTGTGGGCTGCTTGCTATCAGGAGTTGCTAAGTGTGGGAAATGGAGGTTGTATCCAAATAGACGATACTAAAAAGCAATCCATAGCGAATATTCTCGTGAATCAAAACTGCGATTTACGGATATGCGACTTTGGCATGGCCCGGGGATATTCCAAGATGTCTGCACAGTTGGAAGGCATGCACATGACCCACTATGTCGTGACACGCTGGTATCGAGCTCCTGAGATCATGATGAGCACTAACACTTATGACAAATCGAGTAAGTGATTTTTCTTACGTGAACAATGTAATTCAATATGGTTATACCGATTACCAATTGTAAAACTAAAATGATAAAAAACTCCACTTAGTCGACATGTGGTCTGTGGGTTGCATTTTCGCTGAACTCTTGGGGCGCAAAGTGCTTTTCAAGGGCACGGACTATGTGGATCAGTTGCACAAAATTGTTGGCATCCTCGGTCTTCCAGAAGATACATCGTTCTGGGATGAAACGACATCGCAATCTGTCATTGAATACATCAAAAACTTACGAGACGGTGATGGCCAACCACCACCTAAAGAGCCGATTGATTTTGCAGCACAGTTCCCCACTTGTTCGCCTGACGGTATCGACTTATTAAAGCAGTTACTGCATCTCGACCCGACACAACGGATAACTGCGGATCAAGGGTTGGAGCATCCGTTTGTAGAACAAATGCGGGATCCAACAGAGGAGATCGACTGTGCCGAGTCTTTTGATTTTGAAAGCTTTGAATATATCCAAGACGAGCATGAACTGCGACGCCATATCATACGAGAAGTGATGCGGTCCAAAGGATGTCGCGAGACGTTCCGACAAAACAGTCTGCGAGTGGCAACCACGTCGAGTACGATGCGCAGTACGAGCACAGACAACAGCAGCCTGTCCGAGTACGATCCGTGCTGCCATCCCCGACGGCGTTACACTGGCAGCTCTATCTCGACACCCATATCACAGTCTGCAGCAGAAGCTCACATGAATGCAGTCGCAGCTGTCCAAAAGGGGCGCGATATTGCTGTGCAGGACACAGCAGGAGGCCAAAGCATGATTATCGCAGAGTCCGATCGTTTTGTCGGTGAGCCAGAGGATATGGATGAAGATGACTTTAAGCTGATGGATAGTGATGACAGTATACGGGTGGAGTACAGACGCCGGTTAGTCGGCCCATCAAACGCGGATGTGCAGGCACTAGAACGACATCTCAGTCGTGACTGGTGATATGCATAATATATAGTGTCGTATACCTTGACTCATTTTCCCCACACCCCCTGACGATACGCTAAGAGCATTCTTGTCGCTTCCTTGCGGTGCAGTGATTGAGAAGAAAATAATATGTAGTAGGAGGTGGTGCTTTAACTGAAAACCCCCTTCTAGAGAGGGAAAAAGTCAAGCCTGATTAAGATGTTTGGTGAGGAGAGGTGACGAAGTGATAATAAATAAGAGAAAAGAAGGTGTAAGAGGGAGAGAGAAGGACTGCATTGCTGTGTCATCTGGACCTGGCGAGTTACCACGTTTGGTTGTTTTGGCTGTCGTAAGTTCGTTGCCTTTTTTGCGCACGGGGTGGCTGTGGGTTGACGTTTTGCTACACATGTTGTGCTTGCTTATGCCGTAGTAACGTGAATGCTATCTTGAGAACGCGCGTTTCTCAAATCGTTTCTGGTTGAGGATGACGATGCGACAATGGTACGTACTTGGAAATAATATGATAGGAAAAGTATATAAGAAAGTGTGGATTTGCACCCCCTTACCTGTCCCTTTTCTTTAAGATTCATTGTTCTTCAACCCCGTAACTCGCGCATATATTTCTCTCGCCTACTTACTCTTCACTACTCTCTCTTTTACTCAAGTTATTTTTCTTCTTTATCTTTTTCTACATACCATACATATGCAAAGTAATAAAATGCAATACGTTCGCTTTGGTAATACCGGGATGAAGGTCAGTTCGCTATTGTTCGTCTGTTGGGAAAATCAGCGCAATGAAAACAGCTCAACTGACAGCGTGCATTACGAAAAACAACAACAACATGATATAAGGTCTCGCGTATCTGCCTCGGTTGTATGTCTTATGGGTCATCTGCTTGGGCGGACTGGGTCAAGGATGAGGAAAAAAGCATCGACTTGATAGGCAAAGCTTACCAGGCCGGAATCAACTTCTTCGATACTGCCAACATGTACTCGAACGGTGAAAGTGAACGTGTCTTGGGCAAAGCTATCAAGCACCATGGCATGTCTCGCGGAAGAATCGTTGTTGCTACCAAAATCTTTTTCCCTGTCATGGCACAAGTCGGGGACCACGCTCCACCAAAGGATGTGCTTCTCCAAAGCGATGACTTGATGGTGAATGAATGGGGATTGTCGCGAAAGCATATAATGGATGCCATTCAAGGGTCGCTGGAGAGACTTCAGTTGGATTATATAGACGTCTTACAGATTCATCGACTTGATACTGTAAGTTAATTTTGATATATCATATGATAGACTTTTCAGCGAGGCGTAAAAGAGACAAGCTCTTTGAGGGTAGCTAATTGCGCCTTTTTTACCAAGACAGAATACGACCATTGAAGAAACCATGGAAGCATTGCATGATCTTATCAAGTCTGGCAAAGTGCGATACATTGGTGCGAGCTCGATGCCGACGTGGCAGTTCCAAAAGGCAAACAATATAGCAGACAAACATGGTTGGACGCCATTTACCAGCATGCAGAACTTGTACAACCTCCTTTATCGAGAGGAAGAACGTGAAATGATCCCCTACTGCGTGGATCAGAACATTGCTCAAATTCCTTGGTCACCTATGGCCATGGGTCTACTCACTGGTGGTAAAAAGCGCGACACAGTTCGAAGCAAGCAGACAAATGCTATGTTTGGTCAACTATACGACGAAGCCATCATTGGACGCGTCGAGGAGCTTGCTTCCAAGAAAAGTGTAAAGCCGGGTCAGGTATGTTATGCTATACATCATTATTTATCCTGTTGTGATACAATAGCGAACATACACGTCCTTTTCTTTTACACCGAATGTATATGTAGATCGCATTAGCGTGGTTATTTAGCAAGCCATATGTTACAGCACCTATCGTGGGTACTGGCAAGGAAGAATATCTCTACGATGCCATCGATGCCTTGCAAATCACACTTTCGGAGGAAGATACTAAGTTTTTGGAAGAAGCGTATACTCCCAATCCTGCTCATTACTTAACGTAAAGAAAGAAGCGGAGAAAATAAAAGCCTCTGTTTAAGTTTAAATGTGATTGTATTAAATGCCCTCGACAGGGTTATTTGTAATTTGGATAAGGTTATGTAATGCAACTATACATCACGCAAGGAATAGGTATAAGTTAATCCTGAATCGCCACAATTTCATCACCTTGCTCAACACTGTAAAACCGCAGGTCGCGTAATTCGTCGTCGAGGTCCATTATCATCAGATCACCAGAAGGCGAGTGCTGTAAGAGATAAAGACGCTGACGTGATGCAGGAATACGGAATAGCTTTTGGACAATGTTGCGCAAGTTACGAATCAGCATGGTAGCAAGAACTCTTTTATCAACTGTTTTGATAGGATTCCCGAGCTCAGCTTTGCTTTTTGCATTCGACGGCAGCTCAGAGCGATGGGACAGCGTGATCCCTAAATATATAAGGGCTCTTCTGTCAGTGCAACTTGTAACGAATGATAGCGATGTAATTAATCATCAATCTTACCGATAAGTCGATCACTCATTGTTGTTGCTTTCTCTGACTTTACCGACAATCCCGGTTCGCCATGAGCTAGATCGTATTTCATTGATTTTAGCTATACGCCACATATTAACATCTTTTTCATAGCTAAAAATCACACAGGACTAACCATCACATAGCTCTTTGTAACGCGGATGTATCCGTGCAATTTCTTCATGTGTAGGCGCAGTGCGTGAACATAATGTTAGGTAAAATCGCTCAAGATCTGTGCGTTCTCTACCAGTTAACTTTCAAAACAAAGTAAATTAGCCACAGTTATAAACATCTCTTTCTCTTGCTATTTCCTCCATAGTCATACCGTGTTGCCATCGACTACAGCCAGTCCCTTTATACGGCCTACAATGTGAGCAGTTACATGTTCTGGATCCATTTCTAAATGTGGGAGATCAGCCTCGATTGTTTCTCTCGATAAACACGATATTCCCTTTTACCTTTAAATACAGGATTTCCTTTGGATCGTAATTTTTTTAAAGATGGCAAAGTATTAAGCATATCCCAACTGCTCCAATTATCCAACAGATTGTTCTCGATTCTCAGATATATTAAGCTTGAGAGCATTCGTTCTGGAATAGGTTCGATCGAAGGAATCTTATTGCCGTTCAAATATAGAATTTCAAGGCTATAGAAACCATATACTCACTGCTTAGTGGGAGTGGGAGGGAGATTTCACTTTGACGAAAGCTTTTACCTTTTTAAATTTCCAAGACTCTCTATATCTTTCCACTGCTGGATATCGTTGTTCTCCAAATTAAGACATTTTAGCTGTTGGAACTGGTCGGATCGAACGCCCGATATTGTTTGGATATCGTTTTGTCCGAGTTGTAAATCCTCTAGTTTTTGTAAAAGCGGTTCAAGTTTTATGACTTGAGCCCATGTTGTGGATGTGTTGCTAAGTGCCAGCGTTGTCAATGAGGCGAAAGGCGATGTGTTGTTTCGATATAACTTTGATGAATCATCCGGGGGAGATTCGATACGGCAGTAACTGTTCCGATTGTTATTGAGTAATGGATACATACTGTACGGTAGGGATATGATGAAAGACTTACTTTAGTCGCAGAAGGTTTAAAGCAGGAAGCTGGGATACAATGTCGGCCAAGGTATCCCAGGAACGAATTAAACTTTTTGATAGGTCTAAATCACGTATATCTAACCCACATCACACGAACGATATGGTCCGTATTAGCAGAGAAGAGCGAACCAGCAACACTATCTAATTAGCACAAATCACTCACTAAAGTTCTGTGCTGCTATTTCACCAGGCGGTCCAGCTAGCCCAACATGAAGATTGGCTAAACCAACAACGGTCAAGCTTGTCAACTGGCTCTGTTTTCGTTGAACTTTTTCGAATCCGACAGTTTGCACGACGAGACCCTTATTGCCACCAAAGTATACTTCTCCGAGATCCTTTCCAGCGTCATAGTCGTCGCATCCAGAGGGTAAATCGAGATATTTCTCCATCAGAACTTGAAGGAACGGACGCGCTGTGCGTACTTTGGTGGGATGGAAACGAATAAACGAGCATGCTGTTTCGTGTCCACTGGTGGGGTTTATTTGGTTTTATAAAAGCCACATGAAAAAAGCAACGTGTGAGCGTTTTCCCCTTTTAATACGGAGATAGCTTCTTTTACCTTGACGATGTAAAGTAGCGTTTTCCATTATGCGTGCCATTGTGCTTGCCTCGAGCTGGATCGTCCCATTCGACACCCAGCCATTCGCCATTGCTTCCATCCACCGCACCGACAAAGCGCACTGTGGCGAAATCGAGGTTTACTTGAACACGATCGCCTACTGTTACTGTCATTGATCACTCTCAGCGAGAACGGAAGAAAATAGGTCTGAGCGGTGTCAAAAATCAAAGACGTGCGTGCGAGTGCACCAGAAAATGTGAGAATGTATGAATGCGTCATCAGCGGTTTTACACTTGCAGCAAGGTTGCATGTCTGTGCGCTTCTTTAGGCACATGATACTTTTTTTTAAATGGAAAACAAAGCAAATTAAATGAAGATATACAAGATGAAATGTAGAAACAGAGGATAGAGAGAGAGAGAGAGAGAGAGTGTGTGTGTGTGTGTGAGTATAGGATAAGATGAAAAGTATGAGAGGGGCTTTCTGTATTTATGTTATGTAGCAAGTATATAAGACAGTCTAGCTCTTGAAAAAGACGACATCGCCTTCATCTTCAACGAATCGGCATTGCTTCCACGACTGCCACAAAGCATCAGCAATGGGGGTCATATCCGACTGGTAGTGCTTGCCCAGAGCCTTCTTGATGTAATGCGTGGCCTCCACAGCGTGGTAGTGGGGCATGGTCGAGAAGAAATGGTGGGCAACGTGGCTGTCGGAAATGTGGTGGTGGAAGTAATCCAGGATGCCAAAGGAACGATCGACGGTGAGAGCAGCACCGCGCTGGAAATTCCAGACGTTCTCGCGATAGTGCGGCAAATCGGGGTGGGTGTGCTGCAAGTAGGTGATGAGCACGAGCCAAAAGTTGACGCCAAAGTATGGGATCACGTAGAACTTGATGACGGCAAGGGGGCCAAAGGTCTGGCCGAGGTAGGTGAGGATGGCGATCGTCACTGAGACACCGGCTGTCGATTGCATGACGTCCCAGAACTGGTTCTCTTCAAAGATGGCACAGTACGGGTTGAAGTGCGAGGCCCAGCCAGGATACTTTTGGCCAGCAATGTTGGTGAGCAGGTACAAGGGCCAGCCGAAGCCAAACATCAGGAACATGCCCCAGAGTGCGGCAATCGGGGACTCATCAAAGGCGCTGTGCGGGCCATCGCCCTCAGGATCAAGATCGCGTGCTGGCAAGCCGACTGCGGAGCGTGTTGAGGGAAGGAAGACCTGGTTTGGAGATTATTGCGATCAGTACTAAAACACATAGATTTCAGCCAGACAGAAAGCTCAAGGAAGCATACCTGATCTTTGGACATGTGGCCGGTGGCCTTGTGGTGACGGGAATGTGAGATTCTCCAGGAGTGATAAGGGACAAGCAGTGCAGAGTGCAGCACCATGCCAACGCCATTGTTGATAGCCTAGAGTATTGCAAATGATGGGTGTTGGTTACTACTACTACTACTACTACTACTACTACTACTACTACTGCCGCCCACTGTTTGTTTGTTTTTCTGTAATGGCCAGCCATGGATGTATGTATGGATATCCATACACCCACCGACAACCCCAATGTAAACAAGCCCCGCCCCCCCAAAAAACAGAGCTTAAATGATGTGATGTACCTTGGACGGGCTGAAGGCTTGATGGCCGCATTCATGGCCAATGACCCACACACCGGTGCCGACGACGCCCTGGGCAATCCAGTACAAGGGCCACAGCACGACACGGGCAGCTGCTGATGGGATAGTATCAATGTACGTCGCAGCATAAGCCAGGACGGCGATAATGAAGACGTCGTGGAATACGTAGGTGAATGAACGGAATGTGTCTCGACGGAAGCAGTGGGCCGGAATAGCATCTCTGATCTCCTTGATAGTAAAATTGGGGATTTCCCAGCCCCGCTCGATAGCCTCATCAACCACCGGCTGTGCCGTCGTCTTCGTCGTCTTATCGTCTGCCGTCATCGGAATCTTCTGAGTGGAGAGAAAAGAAAGGGAAAAGAGAGAGAAAGAGGGAGACAGAGAGAACAGGTAAAGAAGATGCCTTTATTCTGAAAAAAAGGGGGAAGAACACACACTCTCTCTCTGAAGGAATAAAAAAAACAAAAAAATTGAAACTACGATGGTCCCAGCGAACCGCGCAGATTGGTCCCCAAAAGTTGTTGGCTGTTTGAATCCAACGAAGATCGTTGGCTTGGTCTTTCACATGTGTGTTATCTCAGCGTTTCCTGCGTCGATGGGTCGAGGATGTGCTGGCCGTAGCCTTGGACGAGGACGTGCTCTGTTTCTTGCGTCCGCTCTCCTTCTTTGTAGACCCTCTAGCGGATCGCCGTGAACTTGGTCTGCCTGTTCAGATAACAACCGTGCAGTGGCGGAGAAAACAAGGAGTAATCAGGTCAAAGTGGACGCGTGGGAGGGGTGCGTGTGTGTGTGTGTGTGTGTAATCAATCAACCGACAGAGACAGCAAGGGCTGGCTATCTTACCTTCTTCCGGCTCCGGAGTCGGGGTTGGGCTCATGGACGACACAGGAGACGATTCCCTTTTAATCATCGTCCGGGCCTTCTTTGCGGGTGAGGGGGATGATGAGGGGGATGACTCTTCGTCCTGTCGATGCTCGGATATCAATTGCTCATATTCATCCAGCGGCAGACTGAATTCGTGTAGTGATGCATCGTCTTCTTCTTCGTCCTCGTCCTCTTCGTCCTCTTTGTCCTTGTATATACGTATAACAGTGTTAGCTTATGCTACTTTTTTGTTTTCACGTTACGCAAGTCTCTCACAATAATATTTACCAACTCTTCTAGCGCGTCCACGCTGTAGTAGTCACTCAGGCGATCACGGATCTCTTGTAGTGAAAACTGTGTGGGGCTTCTTTCATTGAACTGTCGCTGAATGCTGATTATTCGGAAATGTTTATGGATACCTGTATACATGAATCAATCAGAGATTGTTAGCATCAAGTGAAAAGGAAACGCGAGAAGGATACTGCGTGGACATCATACCAACAGGTTTGCATCGTGCAACGGCATTCAAAAGCGTCAATTCTAGATTCACGTCCCAATCTCTAGAACCAGTAATGCTGTCATCGTATTCCATAATGTCGCGCGCGCGTTTTACTTATTTTGGTGCACGACAAAAAAATGTACTAGAAGAAAAGAGAGCTCAGCTGCAGCCAAAGAGATAGAAATTTCGAAACAGGCCTTTTGCATTACTTTCTGATATGATTATGACGATGTAGCAACAAAAAATGCCTTGTTGATGATGAGAGGAAGATTCTATTGGTTATGTAGACTATTAACAGGATACTAGTTATTGCGGGCAAAGAGGGTGCGGTTTTTGTTTGTACATGTGAGCGAGAAGAAAGAGAAAAGAGAAAGGAAAGGTATATGGTGGTATCATCAATTTTAGTTCTGGTTTGTCCAATATCGATGGATCTTGGACGCTGATTCGGCATCGTTGGCGTTGTGAAATGCTTTCATGAAGAGTTTAAAAGTTACTTCGTCCGGCTTGGCATGCTGGAATAGCGTATAGAATGCATCATTAGTAGAGACTTGCAGTGGCACCCTTTGCTGGCGATGGTTCTGTTCTTGCTGTAGTTGCGAAAGACGTCTAAACGCCACTTGTTGATCCACATCCATTCGCCTCCGCGTTCGATTTTCTTCTAGTTGTTGCAGCTGCTGCTCCACTGAGCCATTTATTTCCTCCAGATCTGCACGTTTGACACCAACAGCCGATTCAAAGATCTCCCATACAGTCTTGCTGGAAGGGGCGTTCTTGGGATGCTTCTCATGCTGTTTCAGCTTCGACCAGCGATTCTGACGCTTCCACAGCTTGGTCATCCGAATCTCGTAATTGTTGAGTCGTAATAAACCTTCCAGCATCACATTAAATGTGACTGTATCGAGAACATACCCATCGATCTTGATCTCCTTGATGAACTGCTCCAAATTGTGCCAGTCCATTTGCGCTATCCAGCCTTGGATGATGGTGTTGAGCGTCCAGCTGTCGGCTCGGTGTCCAGCAGCATTCATCTCTTGAAAAATACTGCGAGCGGCCTTTTGGTTTTCCATCTGAACAAACGCCTTAATAAGTGTATTGTACGTAACGACGTCAGGCTTGTGTCCATCCTCTAACATTTTTCGAAATGTCCGCGTCATACGTGCAAGATGGGGTTCTGGTTGCCGTGAAGCATAGGCGTTAAGCAGCATATTGTAGGATGAAAGCGAAGGACGCGTTTGATGTCGATGTTCACTTCCAGTTTGGTTTATATGGTAAGTAACTTTTTCTGCCATGGCTGTATCGTTGTTCTTAATCGCAGCCTCCATCATTGAGCGGAAAACACCCAGTGATAACGGACGTCCGTCGTTCCGTGCGCGTTGGTACAAATCATAAGCGGCCTGAATATCGCCCCGCTCGCCTAGCTTATCAATAAGTCGACTGAGGCCTGCTGCACTGACCCGAAGATCCAACAACGTCTCCATCAACTCCAATCCTTTCACGACCGATCGACCCGGAACGCTATACGTGTTGTTCTCCTTCATATCCAGTGTCGTGTGTGTGATCCGCTGAATCGTCATTGGCGTAAAATCGATCTGTTTCTCGCGCAGTATGCGCTCACAGGCTCCAAAATCGCCCCTTGCAATTCGTGCCGCAAGCGTCGCCTTGACAATACGCCGATTCTGCTGAGCCATGGGAGCCTCATATTTGATTGAGTCCAATAACTGCATGCATCTGCCCCATTTGCCAGTGTGTAGATAGCCCTCGAGGACAATAGCATACGGATCGAGCGTTGCCTGACACTGGTTCTTGACCAGTTTGGCGTAATTGCATTTGGCGAGCCAAGCCGCTGCCTTTTCCACCTGACCTTGCCGGACCCATCCCTGCACAATCGCCATGTGAGAGCTCGTGCTGACCGTAAATGGACGTTTTTTCATATGTTTTGCCACGCGCTGTGCCGATTCCAGGTCCCCTGCATTGACAAATGCTTGAATAAATGATGCATAACCCTCCTTATCCAGCTTGTTAGACCGATTCGACGCCTTGTAAAGCGCCTTGGCGTACGACGGGCTGGTGACAGATGTTCGGAGGAGCGCGTTCAACATGTATTGGGTTGGTTGAATGTTGTGTTGTTGCATATCCGCCAATGCACTGTTGAGTCGTGTCATGTCACCCTCTGCAGCATAAATAGCCAGTAAAGCATCATATGTTTTCTGTGATGGTATATGATCCGGATGGGCCTTTGTCCAAATATCCATAAGGGTTCCCAGGTGTTTGGCTGTGAAAATCGCCTGAACACTCGGTGACAGTGCAATTCTGTCTGACACGCGCCTCCCAAACTCGCCCATAAATGCCTCCATATCAAGCAGTCCATCTTTTGCATCCCTGACATGAGTATTACCGCCTGCGCTCACAGTTGCAGCCAGAAGCCCACCATGCCGTTTCATCAGTTGCACATAGCCAGTCCACATGGTTTTAGCCAATCGTTCGGTAGGGTGTGCTGGCATCCATTCCTGAACCACTGCCATTGCTCGTGCAACGTTCCGTTTCTTGATGCTGACTTCAACATAACGTTCCAAACAACGCGACATCATCTCGTCGCTCATGATGGATTTACCTTCTTGAAGAATTTCATGCGCTTCTTTGTCTCGACTTGCATACAATGAAGCTTCCAACATGTGCCAATACGCCAACTCGTCTGCCCATCCCAGTTGCTTCAATCCAGAAAACGTCCGTCGTGCCACGTCAAGCTGTGCCGTTCGTCCATATGCTGAAATAGCTATTAACATCATCGTCTTGGTGGGAACAACACCGTCGTCCGACGCATCCTGATACACTCGCACAATTCGTTGCCACTGAACAGACCGCCGAGTCTCTTGCGCACGAAAATGCAAATGACGCATAAACTGTTCGTATTCCTCGGAGGTGATATTGCTCGTTGTTGTTTTGTCGTCAATAGTAGCAGAAGGAGTCGTGTTGGTGGTAGTATTATTAGCGGCACGAACAGCCAAATACGCGGTCCATAGTTCGGCTACTGATTTGGGTTGTCGCAGGTTGGCGTCGAATCGCCCCTTGGTATCCACAAGCACGTCGTCAGGGGAAAGAGGCGATGACCGAAGCGCGAGCGTGGTATAATGAACTGGGTGGCGATCGATGGGACGGGATAATACAGATTTTCGTGGTGGTGGTGACATGGATTGAAAGTCAGGGCGACGGTTGGCTACATGGAGCAATCGTTGTGGTGGTGGTGTTGTTGCTCTTGCTGTTGCTGTACATGGCCCTTTTAGACGAAAGGGTTTGGCTGCTGCATGGCGATAACTGCGTATTCTTCCCGTATAGTGTATTGAGCGAACGCATGACTCGCTCAGCTGAATGAACATCGCACAGCAGTTCTCATAAGTTGGGGGTGGGGGACCACGGTTATAGGGAATAAATTTGGTTATACAGCCAAGTCAGAACCAGGCAAGACACGCCTCTGTGATGTCAAATAGGACGAGAGTGGCTTGTACTTTTAGGGGAAGAATTAACCGCTTTCAGGTTCTCCCAAATGGCCGCGGCAAATGCAACAGCTCCGCAAAGCTCACTCTCTCTCTCTTCACACAGTGCTGTCAACTCCGTTTTTTCCTATACTGTTCAGCCCATGGCCGTTGATGATGCAACAACGACGACGACATCAACTGGAGAACTAGCTTGGCATGCGCGAAGAAAGGCATGGACAACTGCAACCGACGATAAATTAGCCTTACAAAACGCTCGCGCTGTCGAAGCGAATGCATGGTTTGACGAACGCTTGGACGATCAGAAGCATTTGTTAGGCTGCTATGATCACCTTATTGTCCGTCGTAAAGAGAGCGTTAAGCCCATTCCGCTCAAGTTTGCTGTAAGTGGCTTTACAGTTTTATTTCTCGTGTGGATTTCCGATGGACATGAAGTATATGGTTTAGTAACAATATTTTGTGTCACCATGCCATTGCTTCTACCAGGTCAAAGTGATTGTCCAAGGATGGAAACGGGATGGCACTTGGCCTGAGGGGATGGAAGCACCTGTATCTACTGATCCTAATGATTTTTAATTTCATAATTTTTATTTTTTTGTGTAATTACATATTGATGTTCATGTTTTTAAGACAGAAATACAAAAGGAGGGAAGGGAAAGAGAGGGGAGTGCGGAGGCAAGAGACACCATTGGAATATTTGCATGTAAATAAGTGTGTGCATCACTCAGCTTTGGTCGAAGAGTGAAGAAGTATTAGTATTGATAGCATCAGAGGGAGCAGTGCATACATTGTTGCTAGCAGAGCAATGCTCTTCAACATTGAGAATGACCGCTTTGCCGGATTTGGCATACGCTAGCTCCTTATTGACCACCATCGCTTGACGAAAAATCCGTTCCAACGGAGATATATCAGGCTTACTCTGGTTATCTGTTGTAGAATCCAAAGGGTGCATTAATTAGATACACTTTGCAAGATATCGCAAGAACATCCCATGCACTTACGAAGAATAGCCGCATTGAGTTGAGTCGCCAATTCGTCTCGTCCTGACTTGTGCATCAAATGAGCAACAGGGCTTGTGCCAACGTCTGGATACGCCAGCAATGAAAATATATCCTATATGACCGTCGTGTCATTGTTATTGTTTGTCATGTGGTAGGAAGAAAGCTGTGTAACAAGATGAGATGTGCTTACCACCAATCTCTCACGAATTTTTGTTCTTTCATCATGACGGTATTCGTCTTGCAAATGTTGACCGTATTTCATAATGCGCTTCATACTGATAGGCGAATGTTCGTCGTCGTCATCTTCCATCTCCAGATCTTGTTCGAGCAGAACATTGTTGCTACTATTGACACTCAGGATACTGCTTCCAGTGCTGCTTCGACGTGTAGAAAGTCGCCGGTGCCGCCGTATACCCGCTAGACCATGGCTATCTTCGTCGTATTCATGATCTGTCGGTGAAGATATCAAAGGCACATAAGCTCCGCCTCCACCGTTCATCGCCGTGTTGTTGTGATTGTTGGTTGGTGACGCTGAAGCTGCAATGGCAGCATAGCTCATGCGACGTCGTCCAGGAACGCGCATGGAAGGTGTTGTGGCATGGCTGGTAGAGCTACCTCCACTCATTGAACGACGTCGATCGCGACCGTTGTTGTTACTGTTGTAAGATTCTTCGATAATATTAACGTCGTTTGTTGGGGCAACATCGTCTTCAGGAATACCGTTTGTCGAAAAGCAGTTACCGTGGTTGCCACTGCTGTTGTTACTGATAACACTTGTTCGGTCGTCCTCGTCGTCTTTTCGCTCACTGTACTCGCGCATCATCTCGACAAATTTACGGCATTTCAATTCAAACATGATATCCTGGCTTTTGCTGTCTCCTTGTTTCAATACTGTAGGGTAGTACTTTTGTGTAAGCTCAATTGCATCGTCGATATTGCCTGAGAAAATCGCTGCACGAATACCTAACGTATTTCATCGTATCAAGTCAATTTTAACTGTTTGCTGAATAGTAGCACTCAAAAAAGTGGCGTCAGAATGTTAGAAAATGTCAAGGCTTACTGTGCCGCTGCTCAAGATCCCTTTCGTTAGTGTAGTGATCGTTCTTCACATCGAGTGTCTTGCCGGAAACGTGTTTGGAATCACGAACAACAGCCTTTGCAGCACCGGTATAGCCATGATGAAGCAGGTAAAAAAGAACAAGTTGGTCGAGTCGTTCCGAAGTTTCGTGGAGCTTTTTGCCTGGGCGGGGAATTGAGAATTTCTCACGCGACGAAGGCTTTTTTCCGGTAATGTCTTTCCAACATCTCGTTTTGCAGTCCTGTATATACATACAAATAGCATGGAGATAACGATTTCAAAGTGGAAAGGTATCGTCAGAGTACGAGTTAGTGAGAATGAAAGGGTCATGAAATCAAATCATTGTATATTTGATGCCCAGGAAGCAGAACACTACGAACAGGTAAGTTACCTTGATATATTGTATGATATCGAACATGAACGGCTCACTGCCAAAGTTCACAGTGACATGCTCCCCAGGGGTGCGCAGACCAACACAAGGGTAGTAGTCAATGTCGGGTGTCAAAATGCCTTCTTCAAAGGCGTTTCCAAGAAAGGATCCGTTCTTGGTATAGAAGGCTGTGCCTTCTGCAAAATTCACACCGCATCCAACAACGTCCCCCGTGGTAAAACAGGGACCGTACGTTTTGCCTATTCCGGAGCCAGCGAACGAGTGACCGTCGTCGCCATGGTAACCGTATGAGTTGGCATCCCAACCTAGTGTGCATGTAAGCAAGTTAATGCATTTGAAGCTTATTTAGCGCTTGGAAGTGATTAGGCTTTTTTTTGGGGGTGGGGTTGGAAATAAATGGTGCATTGGGGGGTTGTTATTAGCAAGCCCGAGAGGAAAAAAAGGAGAATAGAGTTATTCTCTACCTGGCAAGCGATCCAACTCATTGTCTTCCCCGCAAAACCCAAACCCGATATATCCGTCATCCCCCTTGGAAATGACGTGCATTTCGTAGTAATAGATTCCGCACTGACGACGCATCGGAAAGTTGGCTCTGACGGAAGCAGCATGCGTCTCAGATTTTCCTGGACCTATCACAGTCATAAAAGCCATCCAAATTAGAAATAATAATAAAAAAAAACATCTGACCAGCACAGCACACGCTTAATCTTACACTCTGCTCATACTATATATCCCCACACCCCCACCCCCAAAACAATCAATGTACCAATGTACGACAAGTCGAGCCCGTTCCGTCCAATTTCAATATGGCGAGACTTGGCCTTTTGATTCCAGCAGGTGGGTAGCCGTAAATCTATTTCTTCCGCCCACGCGTATTGCGACGTTGACGAGGAAGAAGACGACGACGACAACGGGGACGCAGAGGGAAGTCCATGGTGAGTTTTAGCCGACGGTGAATCTGAAGAAGAAGACTCGGCAGCAGTCGGCATAGGGTCATGATCAGTAGTAGAAGAAGAAGCAGCAGCAGTAATACCCCAGTGATTTTTATTGCTATGATGGTGGTTATGGTCGGAAGGAAAAAATGAACGCTTGTTCTGGTAATAGTTGTATTGTTCAAGTGCCAAGTCAGCATAGAGCGTGTGCTTTAAATAAGCCGGGTATTTTGGTGGAGCCAAGCACTGATAGAGTGACGACTGGTGATTTGCGTGCGTTGAATGCTTTTTATAATGCTGATTCGAGTGGTATTGGTGATGGTGATGTTGAAAGTTCCACGGGATCGACTGGAGCGGAGGAAACGCGGTAGAGTAGGACGACGACGGGCCGGCATAAGAATGGGCGGACGGGCCCAAGGAAGTTGTAGACGAGGACATTCAAAGCAGAGTAATACGATTGCGCCAAGTGAAGCAGTGTTGCTTGTGTTGTGGTTGTGGTTGTGGTGTGAAAGTGGGGTGGTGCGGGGGAGTGAGGGAGAATGATGGGTGAGAGTAGCCAAGCGGGTGATGATGTGGTGTGTTGTTGTGTGTGTGTGTGTTTGTTAGTGCGTATATATAATAAATCTGTGTGTGTGATGTGTCTGTTGTGTATTGTTGTGTGTGTGAGAACTGCTAGCAGCCAGCCTTTATTCGGAAAATGTGCACTTGTTCTGAGGTGAGAAGAAAATCATGCACGGCTCAAAAGAAAAGAGGAAAAAAGAGGCGACACCACGTGGCCCCAAGCTTTCAAAGCTGATGCAAACCCCTCTTCTCGAGAGTACCGGGCAATTGGCAGCAGCAGTAGCAGCATGACAATAGTATCGTGTAGCACCAGAGTAATGATGAGACAAAACACATGGGTGGCAACAGCAGCAAAATCATACTATTTCTAATTCATACAATACCCCCGACTTTATTCGCACTGCGGGTCTCTCTTTTTCTCATTTATTACATTTTTCATTTTTTGAATTCTAATAAGTGTGTTGCTCGGCGTGTGGTGTTGCGACTGATGTGATGTGGTGTAGGTTGCATAAGGAGAGTGTAGCGAGAATTGTTGTTGTTGTGGTTGTGGTTGAAACGTCGTTTACTTCGACTCGAGCTGTTCGAACTCCCAGGTGGTGGCACGCAAACCGATACCAGCGGGAGCGTTCATTGTCAAATAGCGGAGCCACCGCTGGACAACGTCTGGATGCGCATCCTTGATTTGCAACAGTCGCTTGTGTGTCTTGCGCTCAAAGTTTTCCTGCGACTTCTTGTGGACGAAAGGTGATCGAATCACCGTCCAGCGTGAAGTCTGTGTTGGTAGTCGGATGGTTCCCGTGCACGGCATGCCCAGATGGTATGCTGCACGCTGTGCAAAATCGGCGTAAAAGTCGAGTTGCTGGGGCAGGTATCCGCGCATTTGCAAGTTGCAAACTGGAATGTCGTGTGTTGCTTTTAACCGTTTGGGTTCTGAGTAACATTTATTAACGGTTAGCACAAAAGAAGAGTGCACCACCTCCCAATGAGCCTTTGCTCCTTGTACCTTCAAACACTTCAATTGAGTTTTCATGCTTCGAAGAGGGTGGCACCAAATCGATCGTTTTGTGTTCATTTACTTCGGCATGATTCGGTTGAGCTTTTGAGCTGTCAAAAACAAGAACGATTTTCGTGTTATTATTGGGTATAGGAAAGGCCCTGTGTAGTATTTTTTTTCTTTGTCAAATGGCTTACACGAGCGATCGTGCCGATGTATATGAATGGCCGGCGACACGAAGGGGCAGTTTCCGTAACTACGATGCAACAAATATAAATTTAGCTTCGGACAGACTGATTGTCATTCGTTGACGTTGTTATTCGTTTTTCAGCCACGTACTGCAGTCAAAGACATTGTTCAAAGTACAAAACGGAACTTTTGCAAGCAGAAAAATATTTGTTTTGATACCAGCTGGAGGAGCGGAGCAAATCGAGTAGCCAGGTTGGCTGGAATTTTCGCCAGCATATGACAGGTTAGTACGGCAGCTTTTTAACTCGGTTCGCTCCAGTAAGGTGACTTTGGCAACTGATATTCGCCACGCTGACTGAGATAATTAATAAGGCAAGAGGCGTATGGATAGTGTCATTGAGCCATGTATGTTTTGTCTATGAGTAAATGATAGAAAGCAGGAAATGTATTCTAAGCACTTTTGCTCATCCAATACTTTTGAGTGTTCATTTCCCCCAATATCAAGTAACTATGCACTCAGATATCAAAGATGAGCTTCTGCTTTTATTTATCAGTCTTTCCTTACCAGCGTTATCAATATAGTACTCTTTTTTCAGACTTTACTAGCATCCAAAAAGATATATAATTGTTGCAAATAATTTCAAATTTCTTCTGAAAAGGTGCTAGTGGGTACATATTGCAATATACGAAGAATTGATGAAGGTTACAAGTATCACGATTATCATGTCATAGGAGGGACATCTTAGCCATAATCGACCTGTTAATCATCAATTTACTATTAAAGAAAACTAAGATCGAAGTTTCAGGTGCAAGAGCATGTAATTGTATATGTGCACTATATGAAAAATACTCATACGGTTATACAATTGTACCTTATCACACAAAACCATGGCAGATCTATATATTATACTGTAAGATGAATATAAAGAAGCAGCGCTTTCCTTCCTTTTAAAGAGGAAAAAACGTATACATGTACTGGTTCTACTTTTACTTACGAAAAGTTTTGTTTGTAATCCAGGAAAGACTAAGGAAACAAGAGATCTTATATGCATTTAGTTATAAATTTTTGTTTAAATCGGGATGGTTACGCCTTAAAGCTCTCTCCGCAGGGGGGTGGTTGGAACCGAGACAACCTTTCATTTCACACATAATGTTGAAATTCAAAAAGCACGAAAATAATAAAGGTAAATTTGCACAAAAGATGTTTACAATGACTATTCATGAAATGGTTATCTAACTGAGTAAGTATGGAATATTAGATCAAGATTTAAGCTCATCTTCAAAGCGTCGTGACGACAATAAGGAAGACGACAGCAGCCGTCGATCCTGCCGTCATCGTTCACGATCCCGCTCGCCCGATCGACGAGAACGCCGCCGTAACCGGTCACCGTCCGACAGATCGCCACGCCGAGACAGATCTCCACGACGCCGAGATAGATCCCCTCGTCGAAACCGATCTCCACGTCGAAGACGCTCACAATCGCCTGAACGACGGCAACGACGACGCAGCCGGTCACCTAAGGCTTCCAAACCGTCGAAAGTAGAACAGGTACCAGATAAATAATATCTGTGACGACTAGATCAATTTTTCTAACAAATTCCCACATGTTTTAGCCAAAGAAAGTGGCACCACAATACAACTTGATTGAAATCGAGGTCAATGACCGTTTGGGCAAGAAAGTGCGCGTCAAATGTAGTCCTCAAGATACGGTCGGCGACTTTAAGAAGCTGGTTGCTGCCCAGATTGGCACAGATCCGAAGAAGATTATGCTGAAAAAGTGGTACACGGTGTTCAAGGATCATATCACCTTGGATGACTGTAAGTCGTCTGTTTTTTTTTCTATTCGTATGGAAAAGGTTACAGGGACTCATGTAATGTCTTGGTTTCTTTTTTCCCCTAAGATGAGCTACATAATGGAATGAACGTGGAATTATATTACCGTTAAATCTGGGAGTGCATAATAAATGGGCTATTAGGCGGGCGCATATATTATCCATCTCTTATCACACAAGACTTATCGCATTCTTACCTATTTGCTTTTTCACAAGAGTTATGTTACCCCACAGTTTGGATTCACTTTTTAGTCATCCGCGACCAAGTGTCCACTCATAAAGGGTTCCGTGCGAGGCGCTTGGGAATATTTATTATGACATCTCTATTCAACGTTTTGCGGGGTGATAAGTACAACTGATTCTGTAGTGAGCCGAGCCCCAACCCCGCCCTTGTGTTGAAGCATCGACGATGTTGTTTCTCGTGGCGTTGCAAGGCATACTCATTGATGTAAAAAGTGGCTTTATCTGTCGCGTGATGATATGATGCTTGCTTCGAAGTCAGTTTTAGCATAGAAATCTTTTTCTTGTGCGCCTCTTTATATAAGGAAGAACGATTAGCGCGTGATGGAGCAAGACGACGGAAGATAAAGACAGTGGAAACTTTCTCTTGCCTACAAGAAAACGAGCCTCATGGAGGTTGGACTAAGAGCAAAAATAGTGTTACAACGTGTCTATTTCTGAAGCTCACACATGCTATGTGTTGTTGCTATTGGCTACATAGAGTCTCCTTGGAGACGAGTTAAAATCACCAGGTGGTGCACTATCGCTCACTGGCATACGACTCTGGCTGGAAGCTCCGGATCTTTCCTTGACTACCTAAGATACTTTTTCTTGCATATTCTCTTACTTCCGTAGAGCAATGTAAAACGTAGATCCGCAAAATGTACCATAAAGTAGGAGTGAATGATGCTATTACGGGAACTGCTCTTCCTCCTTTTCGGGAAAGATCGATAACCTTCTTCGCCTATACGATAAAACCGACATTTTGATAATACGTTCCAATCCTGTTTTGGAAATGATTTCAAATATGAGAGATCTTGATAGCACAATATGATGGGACCAATCATGCTTGCACTGTGATCATGTCAAATTGCAAGTCAGCATTAACTTAAACAAACAGGTTCAAGGCTCAAGTCTGTGTGTCATGCACGGTATACAGCGTTGCCGAGAGAAACCGACTGAGCGATATGATGACCTACTCTACTTGTGTTGATGTTCGATATCTGATCGTCAGACATGACTACAAGTCAATTGTGCGTCGTGGTTGTCGATTCAACAGGGATCAATCACGCCCGTTTCCACTGCCCCCCGAGAACCTTTCCGTCGCGGATAAAATGCGTTTGCCACACCGTGAAAAAAAAAACAATCTCCTGTTTGCCCATAGGAGCTCGGGTACACTTTTAGCATTGGGAATGACACCATCGAAAAAAAAAGAAAGAAAAAAGCTTGAACGTGCTCAAATAACTATGCGACCACCACATTAAATAAAGTTAAGCTTCAGAGTTAGAGGGCACCTGTACTCTTCGATGACGCGTCTTTTTCTACGAAATGTCAATAATAGTTTATTTTGTACATTGTTGATCAGTCGAGAGTACTTGCTACAGAAGAAACGGAGACCAGAATGGCAAAAGAAAAGTGGTGGCTATCGGCCCGGGCCCGTGAACTTACAGATATACCCCAAAACACCAGGCAACGTCTATGTTCGAACAATGGTAGTGGGTCCTATTTTTGACAGGTGGCCGTTATGCGTTTGACGTTAAATATTTTATCCCATAACAAACTCAACGTCTCCATACGCCAACATAGACGGAGGCGGGTGGAATGTAAATTATAGCATGCACGGTAAAAAAAAAAAAGACCAAGGTTTTTCGGGAAATCAAGTATGATATACCATTTTGCCCCGATATACCAGCCGGCGCGCAACTAGATCGCCCGAAGAGAGCGTGTAATACACAAAGAGACGTTGGGAGCTGAGAGTAAATGCTAGAAGGATTGAAGATTTGTTTGCTATTTTACCGTTGTCCGCTTTGGCGCCATTACAAAGGCAACCACAAAAAAAGTTTTCTCAGCAGCCGCGTGGAGAATAGCCCAATGTTTCCCCAAATTGGTGGGTTGAATATGCTATTTCAGAAGCAGCTGCTATTTTAGAGTTTGTCATTGCTGCCGCCACGCAGACGCCATTTTAGAACGGAACCGGGTTACTCATAGAGGTGGATATCCAGCCCCTGTCCTTAGCATGTGGGTTATCATCGGCGTATACAATATCGTAACGATGAGCCCTGAGCTGACATGAAAGAGGGGGAGGAGGAGACGGCCGGGCAAAAAAACGCGAGAGCAGCAGAGGTCGCATGACATGATTAAGATCCGCATGCCCTGGTCCCAAAATAGAAGGTAGTGCACCGATCGTGTCTGTGCTTTGTGAAGCTCGTCATGCTTGTCACACAGCGCAGGTCGCTGTATCATAGAGGAGAGTTGGCGATGATAGACGTGCGCGCGCCTCTCCCTCTACGAGCGAAAAAAAGAAGGTTTACGGTGGAGCATATTTGTGCCCGCTGCTGCTTTCCTGCCCTCCTCGTCCTTTACTTCTTTTAGACGAAACTAATAGAAAGACAATATTGAAGGAGCGTCACAATACATGCCATCCACCGGAGTTGCTGGTGGCCGGTATATGTGTGGGCCTGAAATTAGGTGCTTTATTAAGAAAGGGCGGGTAAACTGGTTGCTATGAAACGCCCCACGTTACAGCCAGTGGACAATTTACTTTGCACGGCAACAAACATGACAGCGCCGGGGACCGATCTGATTGGCTGAAAAAATCATCTGATGTGCGTCTCAAACACGCCACCCAAAGCGCACGCTCTTTTTCCTTTTGCGCTGGTCCCCCCAGAAACACCCACCCACCATTTCTTTTTAAGGGTCTCTCTTCCTTTATACTCTCTCCGATCAAGAGATCCTTTATATGGGCTCATTATCTTTGTAACGAAAATAAACCTCTTTTCAACTTCGCCATGGTTTCAACCTCCAGCCTACTCCAAGATGTCCTCTCGGACCCCAGGCTATTACGCTCCTTTGAATCATACTTGCGCCGCTGCGGCGCCCACGAAAACCTACTCTTCATTGAAGCAATGTCCCAGCTTCGATACGAAAGCGACTCCTCCAACCGCGAAATCGCGCTCAACAGGTACGAAAATGAGGCAACAGCTTAACGTACTTGACATGCCCATGGAAGAGAAAATTTTCATGTATTGACTATACACAATAACAACTGCAGAATATACAAGTCCTTCTTAACCGAGGGCGCTGGCCTTGAATTAAAAAATGTTACAACCAAAGAACAAGTTCGACGAGACATGGAAGCCTTACAATGGGCTATCCTTCGACGCGAAGATGTCATAGAAGTTCTTCAAGATACTGAAAGTCAGATTCTTGCTGTCTTGGTACGGCACACGATAATAAACAATCATAAAACATTCGACTTAGCGCTCGTTTTCCTAATACACATCTATTTTAAAGACGACAAAACTGGAAGATTTTATCCGTGCAAAAAACATCCACATCGAGTAAGTGTATTACACATCATGAATGACGCACAACACAACACACCTATCTCCTCCCTTTCTCTTCCGAAATGCGCATGTGCTTACGAGTGGATTTTGTTACCGTAGCGCATTCGACCATCGTCCAGTGAAAAATCAAATACGGGTTGTCATCATCGGAGGTGGATTTGCCGTAAGTTTGCCAAAGCCCACTTTTTTTTATATTTTCTGTACTTGACAGCGCTGTTGTACAACGTTAACCATGTTTACCTCAAACAGGGATTTACAGTAGCATCCATATTAGACCCTATGCCATTATTTCACGTTACAGTAATCGACACGAAAGGTACTTCGACTTATTAGCACCGTCTATAATGCTGCTGGTTGCTTACTGATTTGCTTGGCAACCCCAGATTCCTTCGAATATACCCCTGGCATTGTTAGGCGCATTGTAAATCCCGAAGCGACAAGCTCAATGCGTGTACGACACGACGCCTATGTTCGGAATGGCAAAGTAATAATTGGTTACGCCAGAGACATTGGCCACGATGCAACCTCGATCCAAGTCAACGGTGAAACGGTACGGGTGCCTCTGCACAAAGATACTATCATTTTCTATCAAAACAACAAAGCAGAGTGTAAAAACCTCGAATCACTTATTTGCTGCTATTGTAAATTCTTCTGTATAGATTAACTTTGATTACCTGGTGATTGCAACCGGAAGTTCCTATGCTTCGCAGCTCAAATCCTATGACGTTTCGGTTCTTTACCGTCTCACCGGTTTGGAAGAAAGCAACGCAGAATTATTAAACGCAAAGCGCGTGCTTATTGTCGGTATGTCAAGTACATTTCTTCTCTAGTAATATATTTGAACGTGCGCGGAGGTGACTAAGTATATTAATCGATTTATGTTGATTTTTGTAATAGGCGGAGGCCTTGTAGGATGTGAACTAGCATCCGAAATTGCTTTGCGTACCTTCCCTGGACCTTACCCTCATAAACATGTGACGCTAGTCGAGTCTCATTCCATGGTCATTAGTCGGAGCGAAGCACAGCAGCGAGAAAAGGCCATGGAATACTTGCTCGATCTAGGCATCGAAGTTGTGTGTAACGAACGCATTATCGGTCTAGACGGCAGTGAAAGCGGTGGCATTTACCTTGGCGCCAGTGGCCGCGTGTATAGCGGCTATGACAAGATTTTTATGGCTACCGGAACGCGTCCCAACAACTCGTTGCTTCTCAACAGCTCAGATCTTGACGTTTGTCTCGACAGCTGGGGCAGAATTCGGGTTAAGCCGACGCTTCAGCTCGACCACTGGAAATACACCCACATCTTTGCCGGCGGCGATGTAACCAACGTTATCGAGGAAAAGACCGGCTACGCTGCCACTTTGGCAGGCGTCTGCATTGCACGCAACATTTGTCGATTGGTCAAGGGAAAAGAACCTCTACGCCAAGGCACAAAAGGTACTTTACCAGCCCCTGACAAACCGCTCCATGGTATCAGCGCTCAAGGCGGTATCGGCAAACGTAAGTTTTTCTTCGAAAAACGCAATTGACATTTGGATGACAAAGAGTCAAAAAATTCTGCCTATGTTTAACCTTTAATTTGATATTGTCTCTGCAGAGAAACTCGGTATGCTGAAGAAACGGTTCGCATTTCTGAATCCTTCATGGGCAGCTCTCAAATATTTTGATGAACAACAGTTCCTCAAAATGGTCCAAGGCGAAGCCGCAAGCTCTTCCCAAGCACTTGGACGTATGCCTCGTCGACTCACACTTCCATCCAACTATGCCTCTTCTCTGATTTCTCAGACGTCCTCACTCTCCTTAAACAGCCAACCTCCGGTCAGGCCCGAACGACGCCGTCTACCACCTACACCGAAACAAAGCCGCTCATTTGCTACATACCATCCCCCGTCTAGAAGCAGTAAGACACAACGCGACTATCACACCTGGGGATCCTCTTCAGCAAGAGGCTCTTCCTCCGTTATCAGCGCTGTCAGCGCTAGCAGTGGCAGCAGTAGCGAATCATCCACATCATCACTCAACGACTTTATACACAACCATTTTACTTATGGCGCTCCTGATCTGCCGTCACATACAGAAGACGTCGAAACCATCAGTACTAAAAGCGCACCTACTAGCACCAAATACAAATACCGTCGCTCCAGTTTACCATCCGTCACATCCTTGGCCTGGGATCCTCCAGCTACCCCCACATCCAAAAGCTCAGCAAGAACATGATGATTTTATGTAGAATGATGAGTTTTTCTGTACATCTTTCTTATTCCCTCAGCACTTGTTTCTATTCTTTTTTTGCATATTTTTCTCGATAGAACTATATACCTGCCTTCTAATAGGTTAGATTTTATTATAGAGTCTATGTTAAACATGACACGACCACACGTACACACACCCATAATATGATAGAATGTCCTCCTCACCTTCATTGCACATTTTTCTTTCTTCTCTCTTTCTACATACATTCATTTCATTCATTTCCTTTTCAGTTTATTAAAAAGTTAAGCGCACGACTAGATGACTACAACCATACATCCTGTTTCCGTCATTATGTGCTACTATGCATGATCGTATCCTTTTTAGGTGGTAATTTCGCATTCTGTCATTACGTCAAGAGATTTCTAAAGTGTCACTCAATCTGCTGTCGTTGCGGAACCTTCGCTTCCCATATGTCCGCGCTTCACCATCACAAAAAGATAAAATATGTGTTACGTTGTACCCGATACTGTACCTGGGTATAGTTAATCGCCGAAAACAACGCCTTCGGCTCCTGTCATTGACGCTGTTCGTCAGGTTGTATTGGGAGAGAAAGGTACGGATCAAACCAGGCGACTCGATCGGTACTTGATGGACTCTAGGCCTTTAACATAAATTGGACTCAAGGTGCGACAATGACTGTATACGAAACCCCACAAAGGAACACATAGTTCGCCTTCATAACTTTCTGTTATTGGAAGCAGCAAAGCGATTTTGTGTTAATTCGTCAGTAGTGTGCAACTTCAAGGATAAGTATTTGCAAGCACTTTCACTAACAAGGATATGTGCCCAATTCTTTCATGATAGCTTTCTTGAAAGCTGTTACCGTTCAATACTATTTGATACACGCATACCAGTGGGACTCCGGTTTTCGACAAACGTTGCACGCTGTATCTCAGCTCGATCCCTTTTCAAAGAGCGTTGCTTTCGAATAACGCTCAGGAGCAACGATGTACAAAGCATAACAAGTGCTTGGCGAACATTCTTGTAACGTAAATGAAGCCAGCTATGTTTCGCTTTACATATGAAAAAAAAGTATATGTGTTCCAGTACATAAAATGTGCCAACAAGCTACATATAATAATCATAACACATTGCGTCTACTGTTTTCTTTATTAGTTGTAGAGACACTAATTTTGTAGCAGATATTGTATATGTATGGGTTGCAAGAAGTGATACTGTATCTCTCACCTGGCGAATATGAGCACTATCATATAAAGCTACTAGACTGCTACTACTACCTTTACTAGTAAGATCAGTCATCCTTTCTCAATTGGGGTTTGAATTCCGTGACAACCCATTGAGTTACATAATAGTGTCGGAGACATTGTCGTACAACAAGCTGCTGCATTGGATAAGAGAAGAATGCCTCTGGGTTACCTTTTATGATCGACTGAGACGGAAGAAAACGTTTTCGCTTTTGTCCAGTCCGCGAATACCGCCCTTTAGAAGTTGCAGTTGGAATGTTACAACTGGTTATCCTTTAACGTTGATAATTGAGAATCTAAGAAAGCATACAGATTGCATACGAAAAAGCACCTAAAGGTACCAACTACTTCTGTTCTATTTACATTTCATGACACTAGACACAAACGTATTACAGTATCATCAGTCAGCACAGGAGTTCCATAAAACGTAATGGTCATTGCATTTTTGAAGTTCCCTATCGTCCTTGTAACCACAAAACAAGGTTATCGGTAAGACACAAAAAGAGACATATGCGCAAAGTTAGGGGGGAAATTTAGTAATCATCCGAGAAACTTTTGGCCAATGTACAACGTTATTAATGGTAAGCTGACTAAAGTAGCATATCTCGTACTACGCATCATGATTGAGTTTTCCAGTGTTGGATTATTCACCGTGAATATTCGGAGAGCTAATAATCACGCCGTGAAAAAGTGAAAAATGTACGTGGATATTCCAGCGTGAATAAACCTTCATCAATTGGAAATGCTTAAGGGAGAGCAAGAGAGAGAGAAAGCAAAGGCTCCAGAGTCCATTTATAAGTATAGGAAGGTTTATTCACGCGTAAAAATTGATTTGGCATGTATTATTCACGCGTGAATATGTTACATTCTTACTGTCCGTGAAAAATGGTCAACGTGAGTATTGCCAACACTGGAGTTTTCACACTGCGTTTTTGTGCTGTGCAGAGAACCGTAAAGTATAGTTTCACGTAAGCTCAGAATTCTACGGCGGTATTCATTACAAACTATCGAGCCTCCTCCTCCATGTAGTTAGATGAGACGATAATCATTCTACCCTGTTCTATATTGTGGCTATTGACGCAGAAAGGCAAAACAAAAACAACCTTTCTCATTAGTAAGAAGTTGTCATCGTTTCTCTTACTCGCCTTGTGTTGTGACTAATGACAAACGTCATTCTCCAGCCTGTGCTACTGCGAAGGCTTTATGTATAATTTGTCCTCACTATGGGTACCGGTCTATTACATGTGCTTTTTCTTGATTTATACAGATAAGTGTAAAATACACTCAAAGTAGCAGATACTTTTTTATTAATAATAGGATATACTGTATGAGTAATCTAGTAGTACATAGTAGTAGTAGTAGTGATAACAATTTTCTTTGGCTCTGAGGGGAAGATGTGTAGTGGACGAGGAAAATAAAGATGAGGTATACGCAGGAAGATAAGAATAGAGCCAACAAATGATAGTGATATAGTATTGAATTTTGGCTTTGTATTAAGGAGTTCAGTTCAGGTCCTTTTGGAACTTCTTGCGTCTCTAAGCTGCTTTGATCGCGCCTTTTTGTTTTCGTCGTAGACGTATTTCCGGTCAACTTTGGACATGCGATTTAAGTCGTCGTCGTTGTCTGAATCATCGTCCCCTGCTCTAAAATACCAAGCCGGAAAACGGAAGATTTGTCGTAGAAGATCATTTGACTATCGTATGCGTGATTTAGTATACATGAGAAAGAAGGAACACATATTTGTAATAGATAAAGGATTGTTTTTAAAGTGGCACAAACTTACCCGCAAATGAAGATGAAGTCCTTGACCCATTATATTTCTAAAAGCGTTTAAGATCAAAATTTTGGCTGCATAAAAAATAGATATGTTTAAAGTAACGTCAATAAGAAGAACACTTTACTACCACTGTTATCAAGAAAAAAAAAACGTCTGCTTGTTTGACTACTTACACCATCCACGAAATGTGATAGCTCTGTCACTGATTTTGAGTACTTCAATGGGAGGTTCGCCGTCTTCCACACTCTTGACAATATCACGGAATATCGATTTTTGTTCTGCACGGCTGCTTTTGCTCTGCCGTCGGCTGCTCTCCACTGACAACTCTCGTAAGGTGCGCAATAACTCATCCATATTGTCGTACTGATAATCATCGTTGTGCTCTATGTCTTCATCCTCGTCTTCATTCTTAATACAACAGCAAGCATATATTCGTCAGCTTTTGTATATATATGGTGGGGTTAAGCATAATGCTAATATGGACACTCACATCTCTGCATGTAGCTATCCGCAAGATTTCAAACATCGCTGCGACATTCTCGCCTGCTGCGGTGCGGACGTCTTTATCTCCTGATTCAAGTAGAACTTCGTGCATTGGCATTACTCTGAGATAACAAATCAAAACCGCTTATTAGATACACATGCACACATACACCGATGATTGACTCGAATCCCCACACTTACTTTTCAATCTCTTCCCAAAGTGCCTCTGGGTCCACAACGCCTTCGTAAAAGGTACTGATAAAAAGAATGCCGTATACACGCAGCCCCGTGCACATCAGTTGATCTATATGCTGCGGCGACAGTTCTTCAACATTGAAATCCTGTCCATCCGTTTCTATGAGGTCGAATACAAAGTCGCGCACGAGCTGCGTATCGATATCTGATCCGGCAATGAGCGTCACCAAGCCAAGGGTATGTAAGCACTGAAAATGTTAAAGCCAGTATACACATTCGTAAGTTTTCGTATTTCTATTATCTCTTTGATATCTCTCGTTCCCATTACTACGACTTTACGTTGGACTTTACGATAACGCTGTCTGCATTCTTGGTTGTTTTTTTCAATGCAGGCAAAATCTGTTGATATAGTTCGTCTTGATCATCCACGGCGTCCCCATGACTGATAAAGTTCAACGCTATCGCCTGTGCAGCCAGTGCTGATTCCTTGGCACTGCTCGATTTGCTCAACGATCGTCTCAAAAGAGTCAACAGTTCCTCGTTTCGTGGTTGCAGTGGCCCAGCAGCATAGTGGCGAGTGAGCAAAGTAACGATCGACGCAAGTGATTCTTCTCGCACACTTGGGAATTATAAAAAACGTGTTATTGAAATAAAGAAAGCAAAGGGGGTTGTCTGATTTAAGGAGGAAGTGGCGCGCGCAAGTTTACCTTGTTCGATTCACTTGGAGATCGTCAATTGCTTGATTTAGATTATCGATCCAGCCAACTCCAGGAGAACCATTTACTTCTTCAAACGTGCTTTCACTGTCTTGATCTTTGCGTGCAGAACGTTTAGAGTATCGGGTGGGCATGGTAAACAAATGAAAGATAATGACTCAAAAAAGTTTTCATACGAGACAGAAAAGGGAAAAGTAACACCACAATAAAAATTTCTGCTGTGCAGCAAAATTTATAAGGAGAGGTCATGCATGATTGCACTTCCTATATGTAGGCAGGTGCTCCCATCTTTGGATCACCAAGATTAAACTGCTTTTATGTAGGGTGAGTCCAGTCATCTGCATTTTTGATTCACTTATAATTATCGCCCTTGACAGTGGTATTGCAAGGGGCGAAAGATGGTGCACAGCGACGCGCTTTACAGAAAGCAAGACAACAATACGCCTTTTCTATTTTAAAAGTCAAGGGCAAACATTTCCCCGCCAGCGCATGAATTCATCCGTGCGCTTCGGTCAAACCCCCCGCCTACTCTTCTTTCACTTTTATTTTTCTTCTTCCTTCCTTCAGCAATGTTCACGGTGTTACGGCGAAAGGAAAGAGTGCTGCGATTAATTGCTAGTCGTTGCTCGCGATTGACTTTTCAACGACGCGAAAACAGCAATGGTGTCGCCATTATCGAACAACTACGAAAAGAGTTCGCCGATAAGAAACAGCAACACATTGCCGCTGCTGAACGCGATCACGCCAAGATCTTCTCGGTCAGTGGCATAACAGATCAGTATGAAAGTCATAACCAACACGGAATACAGACGCATGAGCATTTACCTCAGGCAATCTACGGTTTTGGCGTTACTAGTCCAAACCAAGTGTACGTTTTTACCTACTTTTTTCTTGTCCTACTTACTTTTGATGCCGCTTTTTCTAAGGAGGAGATAACTAACAGGGCTTATATATAGGTTTATTAACAACGAGCTCAACCTTAAATATACTGAAGTCTATGGCTTTGATTACGATGTACGATATTTGCTTACTTCTCCCTCTTATTAAATATGTGAGTAACAAGCGGTTTATCATCCTTTTGCGGTATCCAGTATACACTAGCAAATTATACCGACAACCTTTCCCGAACAATCTATGATATACTTCGTGATATTTTGGTCGACATGCTACGGTATCCAAAACATATCAAAGGTATATTATCTGGCTCGATCCAAACTATTCATTCGATTTTTTAACTTACCCCGATTACTATAGATCTTGAGTTCGATCCATCCTTTGCAATTAGAGGACTTCACTATGGTATTGAATCTACACGACCAAATGATATTGTCATATGTAACTAACCGATGATTTACCTGCACAGATATCAATACGGGCTGGCTGATGAAAATAGATAGCTATGCCAACATACAGTTAAACACAGTTCATGGTAAGTAGGATGGGTGTGTGTGCCACGCGCTATTCCAATTAATGGGATCCGATTAATATAGCTGGGCGAGATCGTGTGTCTGATCCGGAAGAAGTCATCCGTTATTACAATGGAACGCATATTGCACCGCGTTATCTCCAGACCAACATGTTTCAGCTTAATGACTTATTTTCCATACCTCAGGTGCTGACATATACCGCGATCGAAAAAAAAGACTTCTTCATTGAGCATATATTAAATGTGTTCTAAATACCCATCTTTATGACAGGCTTGTTTGCTTAGCGATGTGCAACAATATTTCAAGAGACATAACATCAGGTAATACTTTTTCTACAGAAATAAATTATATTAAACTTGATTTTTCACAGAGATATATAAATTCTGTAGTTTCCACCCGCGATATCTATCCGATGACTTGAATCAAGCGGCACGGATCTTGCACACTGGATCAAACATGAATAGCGCATTCGGAATTGGAGGGCGCTTACATCACGCGGTACTTAGCGACATACCAAACTATCTTGAAAAGTCGCCTCAGCTCGTCCATTTTCTTAAAAAGCTTAAAAAGAATGGTAAAAAGACATTCTTGCTGACAAATAGCAGCTTACCATTCATGTATGTTATATTCTTTCAAAAAAAAAGGGACAGAACACTAAAGAAGCCAAAAAACATACACATATTACTGACTAATTTGATCTTTAATACTAGTGATAAGGGTATGCAATACCTAACATCCAGTCCAGATTGGCGAGACTTGTTTGATTGTGTCATCGTATCAGCAAGAAAGCCTGATTTCTACCGGTCAAGGAGACCATTCCGAAGAGTGCGAGAACCAATGTGGGATCCAGTGCATAAGTTTGAGAAAGGAGAAGTTTATCAGGGCGGAAACTTGACAGATTTCAGCCGCATTACCGGTTGGTCAGGGTAAATCTATACTCTATCGGTGGTATCTGTGTATATGAACAATATGCATTGTATATAGAAATGCTGATAATTTTTTGGAATTTACTGTGGGGGTTTGTAAAACAGACAAAAGGTACTCTATTTTGGCGATCACATTTTTTCGGATCTGATAGATCCTACAGTGGAACAAGGATGGCGTACGGGTGCTATCATTCACGAGCTAGCTGCGGAGATCGAGACCCGTAATACCTCAAGCTATCGTCATAGCTTGGCTTGGTTACTTCGTATCGAGCGTCTTATCGTAGAAGCACAAAGTTATTATGGACAACCTGATGTTGATGGTAGACTCGAAAACCTGATTAATGAATGGTCATCAGAGAGACGAAATGCCCGACACGAGTTACGAAACGTGTTCAACCGGTCTTTTGGCAGTGTGTTCCGAACTTACCAAAATCCTACTTATTTTGCAAACAAGATCCGTACAGTAAGTTTGGTAAAAGCTTTAGTGCGGTAAAGGATGAGGATTAACAGCAGTAATACTAAGCATCAATGGAAAACGCCATTAGTTTGCAGATATTTACATGTCTAACGTTGCAAACCTGAACCATGTATCGCTTGACTATGTCTTCTATCCAGACCGTACATACTTGCCTCAGTAAGTCGTTATAACCCGGGATTGTATGAATACCGTGGACATTCTTTGCTAATCTTATTGCTATTAGTGAACGTCTCGTGGAAACACTTATCGACACAGGCAAAATCAAAGAGCTACTTAGAAGCTCATAAGCATGAGTCTCCCTCACGACAAAATTTTATAGACATTGATGCTGATGCTATTTAAACGTAACTTAAACAATAGACACTTTTTTTTATTTAGTTGTGTATTTTTTTGTTTCTGTCGATCTCAATTGGAGGACCAGCCAACCCATCTACAGACTTGGGAAATCTTTATTGTTTCGTTCGTTCTGATAGTACTTTGCGATCAGAAAAGCGACGTCCAGCGATTGTTCGTAGTTAAGGCGTGGATCGCAGTATGTCTGATAGTTGGTCGACAAATCTTCATCTGTCAAATCCATTGAGCCACCCACACATTCTACATTGTAACAAAACATTGAGATACATACATTGTTATTCAGTCAATTCACCCCACAATGTTCACGCTCGCACTTTCTTTCACAAATTGTATCGTACCCGTTACGGAGTCGCCTGTGAGTTCGAAATGAACGCCGTTGAGCTTGCTTTCACATGACTTGTGCACTCTGAACGTTTGAGAAAGCTCCTGGATAATGTCGACGAAATGACGCGTTTTGATGCCACCGCTGGCATTCTTGGTATTGCCGTGCATTGGGTCACATACCCAAACAGGGATATGGCCAGCGTTGCGGACTGCTTCAATGTGTTGCGGCAAATACTGTTCGACGTTGTCCGCTCCAAAGCGAGTGATCAGAGTTACTTTGCCGATCTCTTTGTTGGGATTCACTCGATTGAGGATTTCAACAAGGTTCTCTGGATTGGTAGTAGGACCAACTTTGAGACCCACTGGATTCTCAATGCCTCGGATATATTCAATATGCGCACCGTCAGGCTGGCGCGTGCGGTCACCGATCCACAAGAAATGTGCACCAGTGTTGTAGTACTTTTTGGTGTTAGTAGAAGGCGATGTCAACAAACGTGTCAGGCTGGATTCGTATTCCAAAAGCAGTGCCTCGTGCGAAACGAAGAAGTCGACAGATCGTAAAGCGTTGTTTTTGCCGCCGTTATCAGCACCCACAGTTTTCATGAAATCGAGTGCGTCGGTGAGTTGTGTTACGATGGACTGGTATTCGCCTCTCACCGCGTCTGATCGCACATGGCTGAGGTTCCACTGTGATGGCGCGTGCAGATCTATTTAGGCGAGCAAGGATTATAAAAGGAAACAATGAGTTGGACACAAGTAACAAGGCCCATATTGTTCCATTCAACTATACCTGCAAATCCAGAGTCTAGCAGTGTTCGCACGTAATTGAGAGTAGCAGCAGAGTGGAAGTACGCACTAATTCAATTGGATCTGTACTCAGTATCATCCTGCATCGTAGCATCATATGGCTCTTCCGCATATACAAAGTATTATTACCCCAACAATCTTTCCGGATCGGCCTTGCGGTCTTTAGGATCGAAACCGTTGACGTTGTCACCTCTGAACGAAAGAATCTCCTGTCCTTCGTGCATTTCCGTAGGCTTGCTTCTAGGCTTTGCATACTGGCCAGCCATACGAGCAATACGTACGACCGATGTTCGAGCACCCCACGTCAGTACCAGGGACATTTGGAGCAGCACTTTAAGTTTAGCTTCGATAGGGTCCTGTAGATCATGTGTTAGTTACACCAACAAAAAACTTTTGACAGAATTGTTCCCTTTGATAGTATACGTACCTGAGAGCAATAGTCAAACAGCTCTGCACAATCGCCACCCTGAAGTAGGAACGAATTACCCAGGGCAACTTGTTTCAATTGTTCCCGAAGTTTTTCGATCTAGCACAGCAAAAGAAAAACAGCGCACGGATCAGTAAGGGATGAAAAGTTGATTTAATTCCGCGATTTTGATTCAATACCTCTGTTGTTGACACCATGGGAGGCAAGCGACCCAATTTGTCAACGACTCGCTTAGCATGAGCTTCGTCTTCGTAAGTGACGTCTTGGACAATTGGCTTGGACTTCCAGCTGTCTGGAGACCAGTTGTTAGTAGTTGCCATAGTAACGGTAGATTTGTGGAGAATGAAAAGAAAAAAAGGGTGTTGAAATCCGCTCACCTTATTAAGGTTGTCATTTCATAAAATTGCAGTTGGTGACTGTTGCGTTGTGAGTCAACATGTGTACTAAGCCTAAACGCATAAACAATGGGCGAAGTGTGCATACGTCTGTTATGCACTCCAAAATAATCGTATCTGGTGCATATTGAGCTACTTGCACTAAACTAGGCATGTAGCTTCAGCCTTAACTTTGTCAGCAGAAAGCAACATAATTTGATATAATTTTGCGCTCCTCGGTCTTAATTCCGCTGAGCCGAACAACGTACATGAATTAATGCACTTAGCGAGAAACGGAGCTTCCATAATCACTTGGATATTCTGGAGCAAAAAAAAAAGCTCTTTATTATCATTAGTAGCCTTCTGGATAATAGCTGGAGCTTATATCCGCAAAGCAATACATCCTTCAAACAGTGATGATTGATCGACGTTCTCTCTATGCAGTAAATGGCTGAGTCAAAGACAAACTTCGTAGCTCGAGATTACAATAAATAGCTATGCTAACTGAACTTACAATACTGTCTCGCCAGCCCCGTCGAGATTATCTTAATGCAATATATAAAGGAAAATGTGTATAACAGGATGTGCTGATCACGAAGGGCATGCAGTATGTTCCCAGCAAGTTAATACAGCGGAAAGTGCAGCAGGAGTGTAATGTAATTGTCTAGAAGGATTCTACTATAAATTCGACTTACGCAGCTCGACATAAGGATTGATTCGCTGTATGCAATCTGCTGAGATGGAGCTCAATAGGATGTGGCTCTCGAACATTGAAAAGGTCCAGCAACAACAGAGATGCGTGAACGACGAAGACTCGTGATCTTTACTAAATCTCAAGCGAGCATAGCTACGCGACCAATGTAGCAGGACTACTTCAAGATCTGTAGCTCGTTGATATAAGTTTCAACTGCTGTTGTTTAAGCATAATCCTATCTTTCTTTTGAATCATCCTTCTGCATGTGAAGTCGACGACAAAACATTTTATAAAGCGAAAGCGTACTTTCTGCTACTCTCAAATACATCAATGAGTTATTCCTGCATATTATGTACAGAGACTCCATCCCAATTTTTTTTATGTCACAATTTTTTTTCTTCAAATCAACCACCGAGCAACGATGACGGATTCTGGCGCAGCTTCCCAACCACGTATCCACGCGATTAGGTTGGTGCCATACCAAACAGCACTTTGTAATCTCAATAAGGCCATCATTGTCGGCAAGAGGTTCTCACAAATTATCGACATGGCATCCGCTGCACTTGACGAAATGCGCAAATGCTCGAGTTGTTGGAGATTCGCGCCTATGCCTACTCAATACAAGGCAAGCTTTACTCAGCCATTGCAGATACACAACGAATGATCGGGTACGCCCCAATATCATCCATTGGATATCTTTGTAAAGCAAATATCTATGCTACGTACGGATATCAAATACGTGCAATCGAGGCATACGACGAGGGACTGAAACATTCTACAGCAAGTTCACATCCCTGCACAGCAATATATCATCAATGGTGCCATGAAGAGCTCGAAGACGCAAGAGCAAAAGCAGTGGCGCGCAATGATAACCGTATCGATATTATCGCGAAATTAACCAGTGGAAGTTGCACATTCCATTCTAGCACGACTCTCTCAAGCAAGCGATGGCACATGCTTGTATGTTTCAAACGTCTGGTGGAAATTGATAATGAGCTGCGCTGATGCTTGGGAAGATGTTGTCGTCAGCGATTCTACCACAAATAACCTATGGGCAGAGATGATGGTTATACTGAAAATCGTCCCACTCATCATATGTCTGACGAAAGCATTGAGCGATTGCATAACTTTCAACTTGAAGTAACAATAGCAGCGGTAGCATGATCTTTCATATATAGCAATGAAGAGCTTTTCAGACTTCCTTGGATTTCAGCTTAAAGTACAGTATTATCAAGTTATCTTAAATTTGAAAACGTTGTTGTTGTACGCAATTCACGATTGATGGCAAATATTTGCGCGCCGTATCCAAAAAGCGTTAAGAAGATATAACGCTTTCATTACCAGACCATTTTGAAGCAATCGCAACACAACAACGGGGTTTCTTATCGTAAGAAAGAGAATGGGACTATTACCTTCGTACAAAAAACAATGAATGTTAAGAGCTGTTGCCGGCAAATGGCCCAAGTCTCCAGATAAACACTGAGTATAAGGAGGATCATCATACAGTAGTTGTGTTTCTCAAAGCACCTTAATTACCGAGCAGTAAAAATGCTTCAACCATCATTTACATGTTCCAAATCCAATTATATGAATCGGATTGAGCGACTCACAGAAAGCTCTCTTGGAAAAAGATCAGGTCAATTTGAGAAAAGCACAGCCAGTTGCTTATTGTGGCGAAGAGAGCACAGTGTAAAACAATGATTTCAAGTTCGCGCGATATTACGTAAGTCCCGCTCGTTTTCTAAAGCCAGAGCTGGCATACACTTTATTGTTGCCTTGATATATATGAGCTCCTCGGGTAATATAGCGATTAGATGTACGACTGTTATGGTAACCGACAGACCTATTGACGTAATGGTGACTAGTATAAAACGCAAACTTGATTGACGCAAACTGAGATAGATATTGCAATTGAAATATAAACTTAAGCATAGTAGTGCCAGCTAAACATGCTCAGAGAAGCCACTTGCAATCACATTTACTTGATGATATTGTATGATATGCAACCAACCCACCGACGAAAATGGTCGAGCAAGAAAGCTGCAGCGCAGCCAAAGAAACCCTGCATACAATGGAATGGGAGCGCGCCAATTCAAATCCTCTGATGGGTAACAATGAGAAAAACTCCGCTCTTTTCCGTGCTTAAATGAAAAGCTCGCAATTCACCCAGTATTACTTTGCGGGCACATCCCACAATGATCCTGGGGGGGAGTATCACCACAACCTTACTCTCCTTTCTTTAAAAATCAAAGCACTCAATTAGCCACGAAAGCAAGATACAGCACACGCTTGTGCATATTACAGAGGAAGAGTTTTGAGGCGCAAGACGATCATGCACTCTAGAAGATCGTTAGCTTAACTTGACTCTCGTCGCATTCGAACCTTTTCTTAAAAAATAGGAAACAAAAGAACAATAAAACGCGTGCGCGGGACAGGGTGAACCGTGCTCTGTTGAAAACCAAAGTTGTACATTGACTCCGATCTTTTAAAAAGAGGATTGCTGAGAAGACGGCACTTCCTAAGGGGAAACGCATCACAACTAGAAAGCATGCAAGCGACTGAATAGCTTCTGCGGCATGTCTCTAATGTGACATCGCAGAATCAAGAGGATTAGAATAGAAGGTTTCTGCGTGTAACTTACAACATCACCTTTGTATAACAACGAGACGCGACGTGCTGTGTTACTCAAAGAAAAGAACCTTTATCGGAGAGATTAAGATCACGGAACAGTTCATCCCTTTGTTCAATAGGCGACATAAATGCACGCCAAGTCTATTTTTGACCATTTCCATCCATATTTGGCCCAAATGCGAGAAAACGGCAGTAGAAGCCATGCGGCTTTCACGCAAGTCTCCCCCTCCACGTTCTTCATTAAACAACCGCGGTGCGTGCAGTGTGCAGGTTCAAACCAATGCTCTTATATAGCACAAGGAACATACAAAAAAGAAGAGAAAGGCGGTTAACTTAGCAATGCTGAGTTAAAGAAAAAGCTCGAAAAAAGAACAAGCCTGACCACTGTTGTGCGACTTGCGGGCTAAAGAAATTACTCAAAATGGATGCTGCTGCTGCAAGCCCTCTTTTAGTTTTTTTTGTATCCGTTCGATGTCAAATCCTATCTAAACCTTCTCCCTTTCCCTTGCTCTTTTCCTTTTCCTCTGCCTCTTCTTCCACTTTTTCACCCTCTCCTGCTCTGTCATGAGTGACTACTCGCCCGCCCCAGACCCTACAACAAGCGAAGCCCCTCCACCAACTTCTACCACGGAACCGGAACCAGAACCAACCACCACTGAGGAGCCGACAACCAGCGAACCTCAGCCAACCTCAAGCCCTGAGCCCACGACTACCGATACGCCTCCTCCAACCTCTAGTGTATGGCAAAGATATATTTGAATTCATTTGTAAACAGTGTATATAACTATAGAAACATACTCCAGGATCCAGAACCTACTACGAGCTCACCGGAGCCGACTACTACGCCCCCTCCAGACACTTCTTCAGACAATCCGCCTACATCATCTGACAGTGGTGGAGAACCCATCACTACTACGGTAACTACTACTGATGAAGCCCCACCTACTACAACAGATAATAATACTCCTTCTCCTGCCCCAACCACTACTGCTGATAATACTACTACCACCACTACACCGCCATCACCGTCACCGTCACTTTCATCATCATCGGAACAGTCTCCTAGCCAAAGCGAGCAGCCGCAGCCCTCTTCTTCTGAAGTCCATGTGACTACCGTTACTAGCTCTGGAACCAATGTATACACCATCACATCCACATCTTACACGCCTATTAGCCCAACTGAAACTAGCCAAGGGAGTGATTCTGGAGAGAACCAAACCAATGCTGGTGCTATAGCCGGCGGTGTCGTTGGTGGAGTAGTCGGTCTGGGCATTTTAGGTAAGGCATACTGAAAGCGCTAATTTTTTCTTTGGCAAAAGACTTTTGGAACTAATGGCTTGGTATCTTTACACCACGCACTGGGTATCCCTTTACCAATTCTCAAAAAAAATAGCGGCACTCGTGTTCTTCCTTCTCCGAAGACGACGAAAGCAACAAAAGAAGAACGGATTCGGCGAAGATCTCGATGACCCCTATGCCAATTACCCAGATATGGCAGCGGCCCGATCCATGTCTCCCGGCAGCAGCAGCGGTGCTGCATCGAGCAACGCACGTCCACTGGTTGCACCATTACGGCCGGTCAGCAAGATCGGTGAGGAAGATCCGAACGTAAACTACGCGCCTTATCGGGAACCTTCGCCTGGCGGTGCTTACTACGAGGACACATCGCCACAAACATCGGCTCGGTACTCATCACCATCTACCGGCGTGCCATATTATCCCAGCGCGTTACAAGAGGAATACAGTGGCTATCCGCAGCACCAGCAAGGAGGATACTGGCCAGAAGGCTCAAGCGATGGAGGCGATCGCCATGTGCCTCATCTCGTAGAAGGCCAGCAGAATGATGTACCGCATTCTCGAGCCTGATCCATCCCCTATTTCCTTACTGTTTACCTACTCTGTACATCCTGTAAATTATTACTATTATTATCATCATGTTACTATTTCACTTTTCTCCCTCATCTTGGTCACCTTTTCTGAAACATACACAACATCTCTCCCCAAAATATAACCCAAAAAGAAAAAGAAAAATCAAGCTTGGCAGCAACAGGCAATTACAGTGTAACTTCCCTCTTTAACTCGAGAGAATAGCGACAAAAAAGGATTGCAGGCGATGTGGATACCACAGAGCCCACCTGATCAACGTTTATTTTGAAGACAAACTTTTACAGTCATGTAACTATTAACAACGAACCAGCTTCTATTTCTGTCTCATTGAGCAAGATCGAGACATGTCCCGTGTCTATCACCAGTCTAGTGGACTGTCCTCAGTCTTGATCAGCTTTGGCTCGTGTTCACCAGTAAATGTAGTCGTCTTGGCATCATGTTGATCTTCCTCGAGTTTGACCTTGACATGATGATCACCCGGATCGACAGTCACCTCTTTCTTTACCTTTTTGACCTTCTTTACAGCTGTAACTGCAGACGGGCAGTATTCGCTAACCGGGCACTCACCGCATTTTGGGCCCCGGGGAAGACATGTTACTTGTCCAAAGCCAACCAACAAAGGATTGACGGGTCGCCAATATTCTTTCGGTAACCAAGACTCCAGTTGCTAAGGATAACATTGGTTACTAACACATAAAGCACATACAATAAAGAGCAAGAGAAATAAAAGATCTAGTGAATTGCTATGTACCTTTCGGGTATCTTCCGGTAGCCCATTGGCAGTGTCACACCATCCAAGACGGTTGCTGATCCGATGCACATGTACATCAACGCCAATGCCAGCATTTCTATAAATGTATACCCGTTGTAGGTTATTACAACTTATGTATCAAACATCGTGCTATATTACATTTTCCATGCACATTGCAGAGCGAGATATCCCTAATTAAATTACAGAAATAAGCTTCAGTTCATGCGTTTATCCTTAAAGTACAGTTCTTACCATCTTAGGTCCCACGCCGGGTAAACTTGTCAGCCCTTCAATAGTGTTCGGGATATCGCCATTATACGTGTCTCGTAAAATGACAGCCGCGTCCTTGATATACCTTGAAAAGAAGCTCTATCAGAACTTTTGACCAGAGCCACCTCTACCCACATTTCCTTTTTTCGCTGCCCGCGTACTTTGCTTTTCGATTATGGAATCCAACACTCTTGATGTAACTATCTAGAACCTTTTCATCCACTTGTAGAATGCTGTTTAACGTCAAACCACCTGGCAATGACGATTGCAAAGTTTTGACAGCTGCACTCGTCACCGTATCCTTTGTTTGCGAGGATAGCATCAGCGATACCAACGTCTGGAACCGCGATACCTACAAGTATGCCGGTCGATAGTTAAATAAAATGCTCTCGTTTTATGTCAGATAGCATGAAAATCAAAAAGAGCCGAACCTTTTCCGGCACTTTGTCCTCCGCAAGCCGTTCGCAGCCCATAGTGTCAACGGGTGCAGTTACAGTTGTTCGATACTCCCGTATCCGCTCATACACAGTGCGCCAATTCTGAGGCTCGTCAAATGTCTGTTGTTCGTTTTTTATTTTGGCGCGCTTGATCGGCGTCGTCGGCTTTTTCGTCTTTGTCTTGACTGTCGTTGTTGCGGTTGGCACAGAAGGTGGCGATCGTCCACGGCGTCGTTCTTGTTTTTGTTCTTCTGCTATGATCGGCCTTGATTCATTCACCTGATCGGTTTTTACTGCTGTTTTGATAAGACGACCACTGCGGCGAAGCGACATTATGGCTTTCAAACAGGAATCAAGAATGTAGTACACGTGCGGTTGTTTCTTGGTTCAAAACACGCACACACAGCGCCGAGCGAATCCGGATTGACACGGCCCTCGTGCCGCCGCCGATGCTTGAGGTATTTTAAAAACGGATCGGAAAGCCAAAATCTGCATGTTCTTCTCACTTTGTTCTCTTTCCCACCTTACACAATGACGGTTCAAGATCTTGCAGTTTTTGATTTCGACTGGTAACTTCACGCAAGTAGCTCTTCGACTTGGGAGTACTCAGCAAACTGATAGACATGAATATAATAGGTCCCTAATTGAGGCTGATAGCGATGCTACTGTTTGCAAACACTTTTGTCCTAACAAGTGGGCTTCGTTGCCACCTTCCGCACAAAGAATGCAGTGGACGGATTTAATGTAAGAAAAACCTCAAGATAAAACAAACTATATATCATGAGCACTGAGCACCTAATGACTATATGAACATACTGTAACAATACAGAGATCAAACGCTGTGTGAAATACAGGATGGTGGTAGCTCAATCGATGATATCGAAAAAGTGCTGCAGAGGGTACCAATGGTATGTACTTGATGCATGCAATTGGAATGTTGAATACTCGTACTAATCCATATCCAAGGTTCCATCTGCCCTGGAGCTACTCGAGTCCCTTCGAGCAAGCAATACACGTGTCCTTATCCTGTCAGATGCCAATACGTTTTTCATAGACGTTATCTTGCGTGTACGACATTATATATTGCAACTCATCAAATTGCGTAATGTGTACCGTCATTAGTTGTCGATCATAGGCTGACTTGCTGCTATTTTGCATACAGGCCCACGGTGTCCGTGATCTTGTTTCTGACATCATTACGAATCCCGCATATACGGATGATCAAGGCAGGCTGCGTATCAACAGACGGATTCTGTCAACTGAAGCGCCACATAATTGTCCCAACACATGCACGGTTAATATTTGTAAAGGTATGATAATCGCACAAGTCCAGTAGATTGAAGGCATTCTTCTTCCAGAATCCTGTACCATTGCTAACAGCATGATGAATACAAATAGGCCAAGAACTGGATCGGTACATTGCTACCCATGGTCCTTTCCGAAGGATCATGTATGTTGGTGATGGAATGGTATGTATGTGCATGGTCATGGGAATGGATCACTCGACTTGCCAAATGGTTCACTAATGCATCTGTGACCATAATTTTCATATCGAAAAAAGAATGACTATTGCCCTGGATTGCGTCTGAAGCACACCGATTTATACTTTGTTCGTAACGGGAAGCAGTTGGCCAGGGCGCTGACAACAAAACCAGAGGTTGCGGGCAGACTCTTGGTCCAAGTGACATATTGGAAGGATCATGCAGTTATTGTTGAAACTGTCGCTAAACCTGCTGCAGTGCCCTCATTGTGATGAGTCAGTCCAGTAGTACCTTTAGAAACGCCCCAACGCACCTCACACCCGCTGTCCGCTTATAAATAGATACTTTAGATATACACAATCACATATTTTATAAACTTTAGCGGATTTGGAGATGTTGCAGTGTAGGATCTAGTTTAATAACAAGAAATTATCCAATCGCTTTTACTCGACATATTCAATATCTTTAACTCTGTCCGGTGCATATTCATCCTTATATTTGTCGTACAGAGTCTTCAAGTTCTGCATGTATTTGTCATGCAGTTCTCGTACCACTTGATCCTTTTCTTCGTCAGATACTCCTAAAGGAGGGTGGATTGGTTCGCCAACTATTTTTGTTCGGATTCATTATACTTAGCAGTGTTATCACTCAGACTTTTGGACCCTTCTATCAATTACTTACAGACAACGTGCATAGGTCGTCTATGCGGCAAGAGTCCAATATCATCTACATTGAGCAAAGTTGTCCGTTGTTAGCCTTTTGATTTATTCCGTTATCAAAGTGATTCAAATAGAATTACTTACAATTGAAAATGCCACGGCCGTGGAATAATGGCAGTGTAAACCCGGCTAAACGCTGGGTTTTTGTCTGTAGCTTGCGAAGCCATGATCCGTCGTCATTCGATACCTGCTCATACAACTCATTTTCGCCAAAGTTGAGGACGGGAACCATACTAGCACCTGTTTCCAATGCAATTCTTACAAAGCCAAGACGCTTTTTTAGGGTCAGATCCATCACACCAGGCCTTGCGTTCAACGATTCAGACGCCCCACCAATTACAATAGCAATGGACCGACCAGGGCCTCCTGACTTTAAAACATTCTTGCATGATTGACGGGAGACATCACACATGCCGAGAGCCAGAATGTACTCGCGATGGAAAGGGATTTTGAAATTGCTGGATAACGTCATCAATGACGGCGTTATACCGGGAAAGTGCTTGCTAAATCCGTTGCCTTCACTGGCAAACGTGACGATAGCACCGACGGAAATGATTCCGTGGGGATGGTAGCTATAGACGCATTTTGATCGCAAAATGTCAAGCAAAATGAGTGACGAGAAAGGAGGCATGACGCACGGGCTCCTGTGCAACAGTGTAGCACCTTAAAAAAGCAAATTACCCAAACTTTGATACATCATCAGATAAGCGAGGTCAAATTTTGGGGTTACGAAATAACTAACTAGGACATTGCTTTGCCTACCAAATAGTTTCTGCTAGGATCCAAGTCGGCCTCCTGTTGGTAATTCGTTTATGCAAGGATAACTACTTAAATGATTTGAACTGCATTTTGGGTACTTGAAAATACCTTGGTGATAATTGCAGGGAAATAGTCAGCAAAATAACGCCAATATGACCAGGTTCGAGCCAACTCTCTTCTCCGGCCACCTCGTATAGGAGCTTGGTCCATCCACAGCCAGATAACATAGGCAATAGCTAAAGGCCAGAACACTGGAATTGCTGCGAGGAATAGGAATATGCAAAAGAAAAGGGCTGGCTCGATTCCCCAAAAGAGTACTATACATAGTTTTTTGGATTGTCCGAAATGAGTTTGGAATGAGTTGGCCATAATAAGAAGGCTGTCAAACGACGACGATGACGACGACATAGTTATTCAGAGATGCATTGCTGTCATGACACCAACCTGCTGCAGTTTGAAGCCGACGTTTCCACGGCACACTGAGTGGTGCCATGCGAGGCAGAAAGTCGTCCTCAGTGGTTTGTGAAGTTTTTTCGCTGGGCATGATAACGTTTGTTGGATTCCACCAAGATCGTATGCGATGCTTTTAAATGCTGCCGAGAAACGAAAGTGTAGGAATTAAATCGAGCCGTGTCTTTAAATGGATAGCTGGGGTTCTTTGCATGCGTCGCCTCTTTTTTCCCATAAAAACAGATAGCGATTGGTAGTTAGGAAACTGCGCTGATTGTATGATGTACAACGTAGCATAAAATGGCCCATCCAACAATCCCTTTGGGTTCACCCCCATTTATATTATCACCCGTCATACTTAAAAAGGGAAAATGTTGGGGAACAACGTATATCTCGAGTTTATGCACGTCTAAGTCAAATAAGAAAGATAGTGAAGCGATCATTTTAAAGGGAGACTGCAAGAAGCAGGAGGCATACGCGAAAGTGACGATTTACTGCACTTTAATTCCTCGATATTGAATGCATATCTGATTCTCCTCCTGATATCTATTGTCATCTCTAGTCAATAGTGTCGATCATAGAGAGCTGTTTGTGTCTCCTTTGTAGGTCATTGATGTGGCGTTTCTGTTGTTCCGTTCTTTATCTTTTTGCTGGTATGGGAGCCCACCACGAAACTTATCGTGTAGATGTCCACTTTATGAAAGAAAGGCTAAATCTAAATCAGTTTATTTGGATGGAAAAATATAAAGTAACAGATAGACTACATCCATGTTTTAACTTTTATTTTAGCGTTTGAGGCTCAAAAAATGGGCTGTATTATGCGCATATTTATGTGACATACATACTAAGCTCAATTTTATAGCCACACATGTGGTAGGCGAGTTCCTTCCTTCCCTAATAATAGCACCCTCGAATCACGGAAACACCAGCATTGCTATCTTTCCCTGTTAATCGAGCTATACAAGCACAATCTACTTATCAACAGGCATGTCATCTTGATCAAATCACTCTGCCTTATCCAGCAGGTCCGGTGAAAGTAGCTGTTGAATATGAAAATACAATTATGCAGCGGACGCTTGCCCTTTCGCGAATCCTGTCAAATCTTCCACCCGTGTCTGCTCCTGTTTTACCCATTTATAACACTTCAGTGATGTGCATTAAAAAGGAAATAATTATATAGGCTTTGATAGCATTACATTTATGTCAATGTATAATGCCGGAAGATATCGCTTGGGAAATTGGCCACGCTTAATAAAAATGTGAAGTTCCCTCTTTAAACATGCCCACAACTCATTTTACGAACGGCTAATATGAAGGAAAACAATTCGTTCCCGTCAATTTATTCCATGCAAGTTGCTTTTTCTTTGACTATGCTTGCTCATATTCTTCAAAGAGTGTAGTAAGAGCTTTATGGCTATCAAATGATGCCGATATCAATGCATTTAGAAGTCATTATGTCAAATGGAATGTGGTCATTCATAAAAAAAATAACTTCTTTTTCTGCAGTATCATATTGGATGGAGCCATGCATCGTTGTTCTTGTGGGGTTATGGCATTGTCCCATAGACCTGCTCGCTACCGGACAGCAAATGAGTCACGCTATATTAAGGAATATGATTCATTGCTTCATTTATTAATGAATATGCACAACGAAACTTGTAGTTCAAAAGGTGTGTACTCCCGAGCATCCACGCATGTCGCCTCCCCATCTTTCTATTTATGTTGAATTTTCTTTATGAAGAAGAACAGGGGCGGCTCGCTGCGTAATCAAAAACCAAAAGAAAAGGGGAGAGAGATTCTGTGTATTTCAAGTAAATCTCTTATGTGATTGTCTACTTTTAAAACAATCTCTTTTGCTTTTTGCGTAATAGCCGGCGGTCATTCTTCCTAGAAATCATCAAGGGGATTCCCGGTAACTAGGTTGCGAAAAATAAAAATTTGCAGTTAACGGGAGATTTTTGAGCAGTAAGACTATGATGAAACATCTCGAGAAGGTGCTACAGAAGACAAGGGATTGCCTCTGCCGAGAGTTGCAAAAGTGTGGATTCACCACGTACCCCACAAGTGGCTCTCAAGGGTCAAGGTTCCGAAGAATGTCACCAAAGCACTTGAAGCACCGGGACTTACAGATGTCAGCACTTATATACATATAAGCAGAATAAATATAATTTTTACTTCAATACAAAAAATTGTGCTTGCTTAGTATTCTGATATCATAGCAGGACAACGCATACAACACATTTTTTAAAGATACCAGCACCGAACACTCTTGTTTGATATATCTCAAGCCCCATTCGTACCAGCCCATGACGAAAATGGAAAACCTATCAATCACAAACAACAAACATGAAGCAACACAAAGGAAGGCCGTTACTATTGTCGAGCAACAAGCCGAAAGATGAGAGTGACATGTGAGGTGGATGACAACATTGTCCAAAAATACTCACTTTTTGATTCAAATTACATTCAGGCTGCTTGAAGCAGCATTAGCTGCTGTTTATCTAAGAAGCACAAAAGTCATAGACCCAGAAGTCAAAACTCCAAAATTCAAAAGACTCAATCAATACGCGTTCCTGTAATAAGTCGATCTTTATATATACCACCTTTTTTTTTTAGCTCTAATGAAATCAGCTACCGTATCCAATTACTGCGGTTTTTCTTCTTATTATCTTCTCCTCATTGTTGATCTTTGTTTTTTGCATGGAAAGGAGGAAAATTGTGTTAATCCTCCGAAAACTACAATCATGCCCATAAATTCATATTAATGGTTTAAGAATTAAGTGGATATTTAGATTCTCGCAATTCATACGTTAGTGTCTGGCAGCCGCGGAACTGTTTTTCTACTTGGCCGGTTCGTATGTACTTGCTCACCAGACATGTCTAAGCCTTTTAATGTCAGCATATTCTTCTGTGCTCCTGATGCGTGATGTACGTACTGTATATCAAAGCTGTATATGCAACGATTCCTTTGGGCGCATCTTGATTTATCTGTTCACGCGCCATGTTCATAATTGTAGATGTTAAAGAGGCACGTATTCTCGGTATACGCACGTCCAATTGTAAAATTGTAAAGAAAGATGAAATAAGGAGGAGGCTTGCTCATATAGAGAACTAATAGTTTACTCTGTTTCCTGAAAGTTAATTTCAACAATCACAAAACACTGTGTATTTCTCCTTTGTGTCGTTGTGGCGTTTCTGTCGTTATTCTACTATATCTCTACCGAAAAGGGTGCATATGTATCATGTATATTATATGTAGATAATATGGGATTTGATCATGTAGTCAACAATGTGCATTTATGCTGTCTATATGTGTCAGTTGTTATCATATTAGAAGAGAGATGAAAAGTGAAAAATCTTATAGTGAAACACAAAGCAAAACGCAGATATCCGAAGCGCATGTACTCTTATGCTAATTCTTTTAGGCGTAAAAATATTGAAGCATAAATATGGGCTGTGTTCTGCATATCCTAATCTAAAATACAATGACATGGCTCTATTTGTCCTAGTTTAGTGTTCTTGTCAGGATATACCCAAAACATACGTATACAGCATTACAATGTTGCTTTTTACGTACTATTGATCTATTTTTGGACAAAACATTTCTATAAATATTAACATTGAATTATGCTTTGTCTTTTAATACTATAAGAAGTACCAATAGTGCATACATGTATCCAGAACCTTTTCCGCTTTAACTGTAAAGAGCATATTGGATCACCACTGTGTGTTGGATATGAGCATCTTGAAGGATTTGAGTACTAATGATCGTACTGTTTTGGTGAACTAAAGGTGTACACTAAATTAGGACATCAGATGTAAACATCAACGCATGGTCGGATTTCTGATGCTTCCATATCTTAAAATCATCTCATCAAAGCACTAGTGCTTTATCAAAGATATTACCTGTTATCAACATTGAGTTATATCATAACATTGCACTACTGCCGTCACGTGCATGATATATTTTAAGCAGTAGTATTGGCAGCAGGTAGAGCTCATTTATAACATTGAGTTGATAGGGATACATATACTAACAAGGCAGGATCTTCTTGCGCGTTTTCTCTGGATGCATCTTGTGCATATTGTGCGAGATACATGCATGTCTGTTCTTTTAAAAATATGCGATATGCAACAAACATTCTGAGCATCCTTTCTATGATGCTCATCTGAGCGTCAAAACGAGCAAGCGTATATGTATGAAGATGTCCGCGGAAGTCTTCTTGTAACCTGTCATCTCCCTTAGAAGCCATGCTGAACTTAATGCGAGAAGGGATGAATTATAGCTTTAGGTGTGGCCTTTCGCCATCCCCTTTTCCTCTTAGCCGATTCCAGGGGCTCCTAATTTTTTCTTGGCAACCAAATGTGAAGGAAAACTCTTTTTTTTATTATTGTACGGAGAGACTCGATCCCACCGATGATGCAATTTCACAAAGGCATACAAAAAATAAGTATGAAGTCTTAGGCTATGGTGATGTTTAAAAGAAAGGAGATGGGGGATGAATAGAGAGTGTACAGCCCGGTGAAGTTGAGCAAATAGAAAGAAGGAGAGAGTAGCGTAAGAGAAAGCGGATGATTATCGTATATGAATGATGTAACGAAAAGGAATACTAAGTGTAATATATGTGCGTAATTTACTTTTGAGCGATCATCTTCGTGACCTCTCCCTCCTGCAGCTTTTCAGAGAACATGTCGATCCAGCTGCGGACCTTCTCGTACACCATAAAAGTAACGGCTTGGCCAGGAGCAACTCGTAGCAATCGAGGTGTCAAACCCTTGTAGAATGCACGAGGGCCTTCCTTCTGTAAAATGTCAGTGGTGACGGTCTTGAAGCGTTCCCAACCAGTTCCTGGTGCGCTTGACTTTTGAATACGGGTCTTGATGGTATCAATCGGAGCGTTTGACAATGGACCTAAATTATAGTAGAAAGGAGTATCTCAGAAAATTACCCGTTTCCCATTATCCGCCTTGCCTTTTGCACTAGAGTTGTGCAACTTTCTCTATCCCGAAACTCTGCACGTTTGTACCCTTAACTTACCCATAGCACCAGAAACACCACCGAGAATCAAGTGTTGATAAGAGGGAAGTTCATCAAGGTTTTGCACGCGACGTGCGTACTTTTTCATTTCTTGATACGCTGTAAAGTTTGCCGCTTGATTGGTGGCTAAACATGAAAGTAGCAAACAACAATGCGAGCATGTGCATCAGCCTTATCATCCCATCTCCTGTTTATATTCCATGTCTGCAGCAAACAAAAACACTCTACCTTGTCGCAATGCAGTCAAGGTAACACCTTTGTACAATGCGCGAACACCCTCTTCCTTGACAATAGTGTATGCGGCATGTGGGGCGTTACGGTATTTTGGAATGTCCAAAGGATCTGCCATTGAGTGACGTTGTGCCTAAGAATTATACCCGCAAACGTTTTAGTCTAACTAGACTAGCAAAATGATGCCATCATAAATACATTTTCTTCCTAATACCTGCAGACGAATCTTAATCAAATCCATAGGGGACACAACGAGCACAGCTTCAGTTGTACCGGCAGCCAAACCAGCTAATATAATAGATCAGTACAAGTCAGTATACTAGCTTTGGAAGAAAGCAAATATAGAAACTAATGTTGGTGCTTGCAATAACATTTACTTACCTAAGAAGACAGCAGTGGTGCTAACTTTGCCATTGGCATCCGCCATCCAGGACTTGTAGAGCTCGAACGAGCTGAAACGAATGGCCATTTTAGGGACAATACCAGATACAACGGCTCCCAAACCCTTATAAAGAGCCCAGAACGATTCGTTCTTGATAATCTTGAGACCTACACCTGCGAATCCAAGACGCTTGCCCTATGGATACGGATAAGGCAGCATAGATCAGTATAGTGCTACATATGTACTATAGCCACAGAAGAGCAGCAAAGGAGAATCTTACCCCCATGTTTCGGTTAATGTTCTTGGAAAGCTGCATTCTGACTTTGATCGTATCAAGCGGATGACAGGTACACGCTTCCATAAGACCGGCAGTGCCACCGGCAACCAAATGCGTGACTAATGAAGTTGGTTTCTTGTCGCGGCTCATGATAGTCTGATAGAATTGAAAAGTAAAAAAAGGGTAGAAGAAAGAGAAGAAGGCACGGGCTGCATCAGAACACCGAGGAGTGCTTTTATAGGCAAAACGTCGACAAGACTTGGCATGCATTTTCATTTAATGGGGGGGGGAGTGGGCGACCACATATTAGGGAGAGTGAGTGATATTACAAGATCCTCCTGGAGAACCAGAAAAAAAGGGGGATTGGACCCGGTAATTCTTTCTACGCCCATGCCGAAGATGACGGTGGTGTCGATAATTATCTGTTTGCTGGCCTATTGACCAATTTGCCACACATCTCTCAGCATTTGGATCGTTTATATTCGCGAGTGATGCTATAGTGGACCTTTGTCTCTTTCAAGCTGTAATTGGTCGTTTTTGCCCAAATGTCCATATTTAAAAATAATCCAACAATAAGCGCTTCTGGTAAACAAACGAGCAATAACTCACCTTTCCATTGCAGATTTCATGTATGTATTGAGAAGCGGCAGCTCTTGGGTCCGCACGCCACAAGAACAACGGCGGCACGCTGATCATCATCGCCATCATTCGTTATTTCACTCTTTCTTCACCCGCATGATCGGACAACAAGGTTCACTCTAAGTCTGCACAGAAACTTCCCCTAGCTTGCATTGGGGGTGCGGCTTTTAAAGCCAAAAGATGCGATCTATTGAAGTTCCCTACCGCCTCTTTCTCTCTCTTTCTTTCTTACTTTACTCTCCTCTCAGCGCTGTATGTCGTCTATGGAACCCACAACATTTCTATGAGAATCCTGCAGCACGTTAAGACTCCGCGCGGCCTGATTGAGGTTTATCTTTTTGCGTTTTGTTGACTTGAAGATCATCTCGAAATGTATTCACGACTCGGCACGTTTAGTTGTCAGCAGACGCGCCTTCCTGGGATTTATACTCGTCCAGGCTTGCAAAATACTTTTGCAGCTCGGCGCGGATTCGCATGCACCAACAGGCGCCTCGCTACTCAGGGACCATTCGATCCTGTCACCGGCATTCCGGTAAAACAGTAAAGACAGTTACTTGGCAAACAAAATGAGGAAAGTTTGCTGATAGATTTTTCTTTCTAAAAGCTCAAAGGTGCTGCGAAAGAGGCAAGCGGAGAAGCTTCACAGCAAGAGCAAACGGCCATGTTTTACCTTGACAACGTGTTCCCGCTGCGCTTTAACGTCCTCGATATCCGACAGGTTTTCTTCCGCAATGCGAAAAAGTGCTTGGATACACGTACAGCCAAGGCACTACCTTCTGCAGAAAAAATCGGTCACGGATTCAAAGTGACGCATATGGAAGCACGGTAAGTATTCTATTTGGGAGAATGGAACAATGGCGATGGACATGGGGGTCTTAACACAATACGAAATTTTGTCACGTAACTTTTCAAAGCACGAAGGATGGGGGAGCCGTTGTCGAGTTTGGATTCAAGAGCACTTTGGAAAACAAAAAGGCAGTGGCACAGGAAATCGTGCATAAAATTGAAGAGCATATGAAGGCAAACAATGTAGTCGCATCATTCAATCTACAGCAAATTCGGGCATTCTTGGTCAAAGGTGAACCCTTCCTTGAAGACCTTGTCGCTCGATATCCATCTCCTCGATTGCGAATCGAGTTTCAAGGCGAGCCTGTCACTGTGGAGCGGTTATACAAGCATCTTCGAGAATATGGAAAAATCTACGATATTGCCCTCCATCCTAACCCGTTTACCTCTAAAGAACCAGCCCGTTATGCTATTGTCCAGTTCACTCGTGTCCGATCCGCCACAAGTGCTCGCAACTGTCTCCACGGGCATCTAATCCAAGGTAACAGACTTAACATTTTGTATGAGAGACAACTGGTACGTCAATTTCTCTATTTGATACTTGCTTAACATGGCATGAGTAACAAAAGAAACTGCACTCTATGCTAGCGTACAAATGTGGTCAAAGAATGGATTATGGAGCATCCAAGAATCACAGTACCCATCCTCGCTGCTATCATTGCCGGTATAACATATTCGATCTTTGATCCAATGCGTGAGTTCTTCATTGCTTCGCGCGTGATGCAACGCTTCAACCTAGAAGAATATGACTTCTATCGATGGCTGCGAAGAGAAACATGGGCTCGACTTGTTGCTGTAGACCGACACAATGACCAGGCAACCGTGTTCGAAGAAGACACCGAAGATATCAAGAAGATTCAATCTTGGCTCAATGAAACTCCTGGTAAAGAAAGACAGCACAGCACATGTACATCATAGCTGTGTAGATAGCAAAACACTAAACATCCTTGTACACTATAGAGTCGTTTGTTGTTGTTACTGGTCCAAGAGGCTCAGGAAAGACTGGTGTAGTAAGGGCTGCATTGTCCGATCGAAAGTAAGTATACATGGATTTAATGCTCAAGAGGGATGTTGGATTAGAGGGCCCTCATTTCTGACTGACACTTTAATCCAAATCACGATGTAGTAACAAAATTCTCATCGACTGCGAAGCACTTGCCAATACCCGCAACCAATCTGAGATGATCGTCGATTTGGCCAAGCAGCTGGGCTACTTCCCGGTATTCACCTGGGTCTCCTCCATGGGAAAGCTCCTAGATACGGTTATTGCAGCATCGACAGGCCAAAGCGCGGGTATTGCTTCGTCACCAGAAGCTCAAATCCAAAAAATTTTGGAATCAGCAGCTATCGCACTTCGCGACGTCTCCCCTCAAAGTGACGAATTCAAGGAGGACGGCAGAAGAAAGAAACGCGGTATCTACGATGGCATCAAATATTGGATTAGCAGAAAGCTCGAAATGAAAAACGACGAAAAGAGGGATCCACATGATGTGCGTAAAGATATTCCAGTCATTGTCTTTGACAATTTCATGCACAGAGAGACCTCTATGACAGAGCACCTTTGGACCGAGATTTCCCACTTTGCTAGTCTGCTCATTGAAAATGAAGTGGCACACGTTGTGTTTGTCAGCTCGAACGTTTCTGTTAATAAGATTCTGAACAAAGGTACTTGTTAAAGCGGGGATATAAAAGAGCAGCAGTATGGGATGTATACATGCGTAGGTATTGACATTTTTATTACTATTACTTATCTTTTTTGAATGAAAAGCACTGCCTGGACGAAGTTTTGAGACCATTCAGACTACGGATGCTTCGCCAGAGATGTCTCTGTCGTTTATTGCTCGTCAGCTAGGTACAAAGGAGCTTAACGAAAAACTACACTCGGTTGTCGTTGCGCTGGGTGGCCGACTTACTGAACTGGAGTTACTGGTGCAGAAGTTGAAGATGAAGATGGATCCACTAGGTAAAATACTATTTGTTAGTGCATAGTGCTTGTGTTTGTATACTTTCTTTTGTTCGGGGTTTTTTACAACAGTAGCAGCTCACGGACAATCAGTCAACATCAAAAGATTGCTTACTAACTGATGATTGTTTGTTGTTCTTAGATGCCCTTGAAGATATTGTTCAACGCACAGTCGTGGAGATCCGTAAATATGGTTTCAATGAAACAGCAGATCTTGAAGAGCACCAAATGGAGTGGTCTGCAATTCAGTTTTGGGAGATCGTTAAAGGGCTATCCCTAACCAAGAGTGTAAGCTTCCTGTTGATGGTTTCACGTGTATTCGAGCTCTGATGATCAAACGATCTACATTTTTGATTTTAATCGATCGTGGTTTTAGGTCAATTTTGACGAGCTGAAATTCGGTACCTTCTTCAAAGGCGATGAGAAGCCTCTCTGGGCAATGGAGCGCGCAGAACTCATCACAGTTCTTTACAAAGATGGTACGTACATGTATTTCAATATTACTAGATCACTGACAACTACCAGCATATACATTGACGAGTGACACAAATACTGCAATTGTAGGACGCGCCAACTCGGTTCGTCCAGGAAAACCAGTGATGTACACGGCGTTCGACCGACTTGTTTCGGATAAAGTGTTTGCTGCTACCATGGAGATTGAAACAAACCAGTATCTCAAAAAATTGGCCGAGGATAGTATATCCAAATTTGAGGAAACAGTGACATCGCTATCCAACATTTACAACGGAAAGCCACCGAAGGAGATCAATAACCGCATCAACTACCTCCTTAGCAAGATCGACAAAACGCAGAAGGATATTGAAACTTACGAGAGAAGGATTACAGAAGCGCGCAATATGGTCACGGTGGCATGGGAAGATTGTACCTCGTCCTGAAAAAGTCGGAATAAACAATAATTTATTTGCGTTTCTAATAGACGCAGAAACAAAACGGATGTTGGATCCACAATTCTCCCTTGCTCAAGCCCAAGGAAACAGAAAATAGAAAAAAAAACAGATGAATGATTTCTCGAACACACCGCCGTTTGTTTTCTTTTTTTTTCTTTTGCTTTGTTGAGCTGCCTGTTTAACAAACAATTACGAAGATCATGGCTGCTGCACATCCTCCTGTTTTGTGCAACAATGATCTGTCATTCGACTTTGAAAGCATCGCATGGACTGCTGCTGCTACTGCTACTCCATGTACAGCCGCAAAAGCTCCACGGCATTTAAACGCTACCAACGAGTCACTGTCTATCAATAACAACGTCTACAGCCGACCCTCTAATCCTTCGTCGTCATCGACTATACTCACCTCATCGTCGGGAAGCACTCAGTCGCTAGGCCAGCAGCTCCAGAAACCTCAACCACATAGGCGCAGACTTTATGGCCAGCACCAACCACCCGCTCCAGCAGCAGCCTCTTCACGTTCTGGAAGTACCTTTGCGACGACAGCGCCGTCGCGCACTAGTCTTAGTACCAGCACACGACGCTGGCCGATGCCCACTACAGCAAAAGAGGTTCAGACCCTTTGTAAGCAAGTACGCGACAGACAACAGCAGCTCGAATTATGCCTTGACATGATGCAATGGATCCAGAAAACCAAGAATGATCTGGGTAGTACCAGTTCGCTTCATCTCGATAAAACCATGCTACGCGACGCCTTGGAAACACACACGCGAAAGCTTTTGCGTAAGCTGAGCAAGACTGGGCATAACATGGGTGAGCCAGGTATCAGTGATGCTCAATTTTTGCTGGCATCCTGCCATGGATCTGGCGCACTTGGGCTTGTATACGACCCAGCCAAGGCATGTGCATGGTATATTCAAGCGTCCAAACAGAATCATCGAGAAGCGATATACCGAGCGGGAGTGTGCCATGAGTTGGGCCTTGGTACTCGCCAAGATTTCGGACGCGCGATAGCATACTATCAAAGGGGTGCTAGATTATCGCATTCAACATGCATGTATAAGCTTGGAGTGATTCTACTTCATGGTTATTACAAGCATGCGCCACAGGCAAGACTCGGTGTGTCTTGGATCCAGCGTGCAGCCGACAGTATAGTCGCCAAATCTGCGGCGCCTTTCTCTTCTTCGTCCTTGTTATCATCGTCGTCATCTTCTCTATTGCTTACAGCAACCGAGGCTCAAGCTCTTCCTTATGCCATGCACGCGCTCGCCATGGTCCAACTGACTGGAGAATGTGACAAAACAAGCTTGATCCCAGACACAACTTATGCTCTTCAGCTCCTGCATCGTGCTGCCAAGATGGGTTATGAAGCCAGTCAGTGTAAATTGGCCGAGTTCTACGAGACGGGTACGTGGGTCGAGGTTGACGATGTTAAATCGATATCCTGGTACACGAATGCAGCAAAGCAAGGAAATCCACAGGCAGCGCTGGGGTTATCCGGATGGTATTTGACGGGATCCAACACGCCTGGTGTTTTACCACAGTCTGATCGAGAATCGTACTTGTGGGCAAAGCGAGCGGCCAATGCTCCCATAGAAGCCAGAGACTATTATGCTGGCGAGAAACCGATAGAACTTGCCGTTGCCAATGGCTGTTATCTTGTTGGGTATTATTCAGAGAACGGAATTGGTGTTGCTCGAGATACTTCCACGGAAGAGGCCGTTCTATGGTACCGCAAAGCAGCTTGTTTGGGCCATCGGCTTGCTATGAGACGACTGAAAGCCCTGGCACCTACACAGGAAGACACGGAGAGCAGCCATACCAGTAGAAGAAGGAGACGTAAAACAGAATGTCTTATTATGTGATCGTGTTTTGATCCTTTATTTCTACATAATTATTCATCTGTGTGTGTATATTATAAAATGGTTTTTAAACCAAAAAAATACAATGCTATGTACAAATTGACAGTTTATATATATATAAACAACAATGCGATCGTCAAAACTCGAATCGCTCACATCGTACTGCCCATACTGATTGGTCGGTGCTAAAAGCTCGCGCAAGATTCCCACAACGCTGGATGGTCTCATCGTGTGCACATACACCGAGTGCAGTATCAGTTGTAGGGTATTTACGGTGAATATCTCGGAGAAGAGTCCCGTGGTCAGGACGACCCTTGGTGAGCTCCAGTCCAGAAAAAGAAGGCAAGGGATTTTCTGGGTCTGACACACTATCGCGAGTAACGTAAACGTTGATGGTGTAATCAATATCTGTTAGATGCGACTGCAATTCTGGCAAAAAGGCTTCGCATGTATCTATGCATAATTCTTTCGGGTTAGAGCTTGCTTTCCCTTACTAGTTCTCCGACACGTTACCTGCCGATTTCACACTCCATATTAATGTTATATATTTAGTTATAACATGGAGCTCCCTTTGGCCCAGTTGCTGCATAACAGATATCCACGGTGTTATACCGATTCCTTCTGCTACCAAGACCACCACTTCAAAGTCTCCATAGCTGCGACCTGCCATGTCGACAAAGGGCCTTCCGAGGGGTTTACTCATTCGCATATGTTTTATACAGGCATGGTCTCCCGACTTTGCAAGATGATATAGAGCAGCTGTGTCTCGTCCATTTGCCTTGATGTAGAAAGTGAAAACAGCTTTGCCTCCTTTGTCGCTTAACAATGTGCTACCATTGCTGCTTGACAAACTACTTGCAGGTTCTATATACGGAATTGCGTGTTAGCAGAGTAGCAGATCACATAGAGTCAATCCTAATCTACTGGTTTTTCTCTGTTTTATGCGCACCCACCTTGATCGAACCGACTGATAGAGAATGGATGAGAGTATAGCTTTTGTGTCAGCCATCTGCCCGTAGTCGAAACAAATGCAAACTGCCCAGGTGAGAAATCCGTAGCTTCGATTGGAAAGGATGGTTCCACTTGCAGCCTTACAATGTTGCTCGGTAAAGACTTCACGGACACGAGCCGAGCTGGCCAGGACAACTTGAACTGATCAACAAACCAAACGCATGCGACAGCAGCATAAAATACCACAAAGGTCCAGTGGTGAAATACGCCAAGCATGACAATGGTCAGAAACGCAAGGAGGTGAGTCACCCGGAACAAGCGATAGGATACAGCGCGCACAAGAGGGTGGGAGCCGATGTAAAGAACAGAAATGGCCGCTATCATAACAGTACCCGTTATATAACGTGCGTTGGACATTAAGACGTCAAACATGCCGTGGTAGTTGCTGAGATGGTATTTGCGTGCGAATTGAAAACAGGCGTGGTATAATGTGCACAGGCCACCAAGTCGTGCAAACCAAGCATGCCATGCAAGTGTTTGGTCTATACCCAATCGATAGGTGCTATGCATATGCCGTGCCGATAAACAAACTGCAGCCGATATGTTGACCAACGCTAGCTGAGCAGCCCGATTAGCATACTCTTGATGGAACAGGTCTCGCCCGCCTTCTTCTTGTACAAGAACTCGTTGCCGCAGAATAAATAAACTATTCAACAAAACGAGTGTCGAAACTTGAGCAGCTTCGCCCAGGGTCCATATTGAGTCTAATATTCGAAATTCACGGTCGGTGATGCGTCGGAATCGACAGTATATGCCACGATCGCTAAGGATGTCCCGTCGCCAGCGAAGGCACCACCGTTGTAGTGCTGCATATACACTGTATATCATCAACAATGATGTTGCATATCCCCATATTGTTGTGTAATCGCGCTTGTAGCCTGTTACATGGGCAACTGAGCCTTGTGAGTTTGATGGAGGAGGAACAGGTTCCGATGTTGAATCGCTAGGTACGATTGAGTCATCTTGTATTGAGATGGCAAGTTTGAAATATGAGCTTGTCTGCAGACCGATTATTACAATGAATACTACAATGGTAGTCCACGTAAGTGATCGTCTGCTAAGCATGAGATTATGTATTGCGAGAGAACCTAAAAAAAAAGAAAGCTTTAACCCAGGAACGGCATTCGTTCGGAAAATCAACTGCAGGTTTCATATTATTATTTTTTTCAAGTTGTCATGGCCCTTTTACAGTTTAGGTTATGATAATAAATGACCACCAATAAATACCAAGGTCCAATTGGATAACATTATTGTATAACTCGCATACCAAATAACCGAGTATCCAGCTCAGACACAGCGACAATAGAAACACTCACAAGGTATCATACATGTATACATATTACATTAATCTTCTACAAGTTCTGGTAGTATCTTGGATGCGACAAGGTCTACGAGCAAGAACATGAGGTGTCTGTTGATATATTGGTTTTGTAATGGTTCAAGTGCGTTGTGGATATGAAATTGCAGCTGATCCAGATCATCCGCTTCAAACAGCATCTTCCCCAAGGTTTCTATCTCAAATCGATAAGTATCGACACATGTTACAATGTTTTCATGATAAAGAATCTCTTCTGTTACCTGGGAACGATACTGTCAGTAGTCTTTCCGCTCTTATCCGTAGCTGTTCCTTTTCTTCATCACTGACAGGTTCGCCTTTTCGAAGGAATGTGCCGTTAGGCCATAGCAAATACCGCCCGAGCTGTAGGTAGTATACAAGATTGTCTTCGCTGAGAATATATAGAATAGCCTGTTCCAGAAACCTTCACGAAAAAATATCAGTACTGCCATCAGAGCACGCTTACACATACGCACGCGCACAGACAAAGAAAAGTGATGCACTTACTTATCCACGAGCAAGCCCCCACCGAGTACTCGTACCAAGGGCCACAAAAACATACCCGCCATGTACCACATCCACTGTAGCACCGGCCTATCATCTACGAGGAAGGCGACACGTACAAAGTACATCCACGGCTCCAAAAGCCGGACATGACGAGTTCGTTTTGTATGTTTTGCCACTTGCTGATACCGCTCTTGTGAATGCGTTAATGCAGCCATAATATAAAGCCACAGGGCACGGATGGGTGACAGTATTACTTGCAGTGTAATATAGATAAATGAGAACCGCTGACGTTCATGCTTACGCGCTGCATCTAGCTCTTCACGCCCCGCATCCATCAATTCATCGCCTTCTTGCCTCCGTTTTTCTTGTAGGCGTTGCATGTGGCTAGGTAAGCTTTCTTTCTTCGGACTGGTAACGGATGCTACTGGAGAGGATTCTGTCAGCTCCGTAGCTTGTGCTTCTTCCAACTGCTTTTTTAATGGCTGCTTGTCCGGCTTAGCACTCGGTTCTGGCTGTGGCTGTGGCGGTTGTGGTGGTGTAGTGGTAAATTGGTTTGAAGCCTCTAGTTCTTCAACAAGTGGGGTATACGAATCGAGGAGCTTGGTTTTTTACGCATATCCAACATTTTTTTAGATAATAGACGACACATCACACATTTATACGCACATAAGAAATATCATGCTTACTTTACAAATAATTAGATGAATAATATACGGATCTGCCAGTCCTTCAATAATATTGGCAAGAACCAAGTTTGCTAACAACTCACGAACAACGTGCCGAACACAATCGCTGTTGTAATCCGCTGGATCGAGTAGCACCTTTAGGATCTCATCAGTCAGTGCTCGTAGGTACTCAGTCTGTTGCTGGGGAGAACGTTCCCTCTGAAGTGCAAAATGCGGTTGCGATCCATGAAATAAGGTTTCCAACGAGACTGTGCTTCCGGCGTGGCTCATATGCAGTCGTATCTTGGCTTGGCGATAGTCATGATAGTGTATCGTTACAAGGTTAGCTGCACTGATCAAAATCAGCTCTGTCCAGTCTACCTAAAATGATCCATATGTAATAGGGGTATATGTTTTGGTTGGCGAACAAAAGACAAAGCTATCGCTTTAAAACAAATCGAGATAACGATTTTTTTTAACTTGACATGAGGTTTATTTACTTGATTGCAAAAACGATCTTCCAGCTGGCGTATAATAAGAGTAAAAATGCGTACGATTTCCGCACAGAAATCCTGGTCGTTGGTAACTACACGATACCAAGGGTGGATGAAGTCCCGGACTAAAAGCGCAATGTAGGTATAGAGCTCTGAATCGATGGCAGCGGAACGAGTAATTCGTGGTGGTGCATTGATTCGTTTGGGGTCATTTTTCGGAAGAGATAATATTTGAGGAAAAAGTACTCGTAAATGGAAGGACCGTAAAGCGTCTGTGGTCGGTGGAGGCTGCTGCTGTTGTCGTTGTGCTGCTGTCGCCGTCTCCTTACTTGATTCTACCATCGAAAAGCGTGGAGGAAAGAGCGGAGGAAGGAAAACGGCCCAACACCCTGGGTGGGACATGATCAGCTTCGAAATTGGCACGGTAGTAGAATGTCTCGTTGTGACCAACCATGGAAATCGAGCTTTCTTCGATAAAACCATCGTATATCTATCGTATATGGCTTTAAAGAAGCTTTGCACCATGTATCGGAGAAGATTCTCACAGCAATGAAACGTTTGAAGAATGAAATGGAAAGCTTGATAATGTATTCTTCTCGCGTATACGCGAAAGGGAAAGTAGTGGTACCTGCATGAAATTCGCCAAAGCGGCCGCCGACAAATACACCAGTATGGAATCTCGATATGTCATTCTCGTTGACACGTTTTCATTCCATTTGCCTCCACAGGAGCATCGTGTTTGTCATTGGGGGGCTCCGTGTGTAATACACACGTCGCTCAGATGCCGTGCACCCCACAGTCCTGGATGTGCTACTACTCTACTTGTTGAAGTTGGGCCAAGTGATGAACAACTCAATTTTTGGCTTGATTCCGAAAGCCTTAAAGAGCGTGATCTGTTTTCAGGTTGTTAAGTTATTTTTTAAAAAACTTGCTCCGCTGCATAGGTTTGACCTTCTCTCTTTTTCCTACCTTTATTTTACGTTTCCTGCTTTTATGTCCAAGTATGACGATTACCAACTTGCCTTGTTCCAACAGTGTGCTACTGATCTGGAGGAATCGGGCATGATTCATCAACGATTGACTCGAAAGCAACGAGAAGAATTTGAATCGTGGAGGTTGAAAACCGAAATGGCTAATGACGCCAACAAACAGCAGGAATTAAAGGGAACAACAACAACCAGCAAAAAAGCGGCACCGGTTCCTAACAATGTTCAGGCACGCAAAATAGCAAGATCTACGATATCGAAGGCTATCAAATGGCAGGCTTTGGACGACGAACGCGGAGACGACGAATATCAAGACGAATATGAAGACGAATATAAGGACGACGAAGCCGACGACGAGGATGACTTGATACAACAGAACTCGCGCAACAGAGTAGGTAGGCCTCCACGACTCATACAAGACAAAAGATCGAATATGTCAGCAAAGCGCAAGAAGGAAAGCGATAGTAAGGAGCTCGAGGGATGCAAACAAACAACGTTAGCTCCATCATCACCCAAAAAGTCTAAAAGACGCACATCCGAGACCGACACAGTATATGACGAAGATGAAGATGTGGAGGATCAAGCAACAACTTCAAAGCCTAGAGATTCAAGGAAACCGAGGAAACCTACTACGAACACGGAAAAAAAGAAGGGTGTATGTAAAAAAGGACAACGAGCACCCGCCGAATCTCCCAAGAAGCAGGGAAGACCCACAAAAATTAGAAAAAAAGAAAACTATGATGACAACGAAAAAAGCGTGTCGAGTTCTCCATTCGCCTATCCATTGAAGATCCTTCCTAACCAGCTGGTGCTCCAAGACGACCTTATTGGTGAGGGACGGATAGGCAGAGTTGTCACTGCAAAATACGGTCAATTACTCGTTGCATGCAAGACGCGGCGGACAAACCAGCCGCGTATCCAATTCGAACAACGATTAGCGCGCGAATTAGAGTTTGCTGCCTTGCTTTCCGTTTGCAGGGCGGTGAATCAGTATGTCGGCGTGCTGTCCTGCAAGCGTTCAGACCTGGTATATAAGACGCCTCGAAAATGCCAGCATGGGAAAGACGAAATCGAGCACTTTGCAGTACAGCGATATTATAAACATGGCGATCTGTTAGAATATCTTGACAGCAAGAACAGTGCGTGTTGCTTTTTACTATTATATTCTTGTGTGGCCTAGACTAACTCACTCCCTATTCTTGTGGAACAGGTGGTCGACTACATCCTCTGGAGATATTACGCATAGCCATCAACTTGTTTTCAGCTATAACAGACGCACACGATATTGGGATAGGCCTTGTTGACATCAAGCGGGAAAACGTGCTGGTATAACAAACGACAAACATCGAAACAGTGGGGACTAGTTTGGAGTCATATGAATAACCTTGTTGATATGTTAGATCGACAACTCAGGATCGGCTGTGCTCACCGACTTTGGGTAAGCTTTAGCCTAAAACCGAACTTTGCTTGTGTATATGCATTATTTACTTTTCTCATATGCTATAGTTCTTGTGTACGGATGGATGGTGCGAAGTTTATCATGTTAGAAGATACTGAAGATGGTGTAAATTGGACAGATGAAGTCGCAGCACCCGGTAAGAAGTTACCTAAAACTAAAAGACAACCTGATAATGGCGACCATTGCGCCATAATGATTAATATTTTCGAAAAACTACAGAAATGATTGACGAACGCAAGTTCTACCTCGCTTCTGACGTGTTTATGGGAACCGTGATAGTGGGTGAACTCTTGATGAGCCCAATGAAAAGCGAATCTTTCCAAAGCCAAGTTTTAAGACGACGACGCAGACGTGGAGTAGTCGACTTTCAATCCGAGATGATACCCCTGCCACTCCGGGCGTTCTGTCCTTTATTGCAAATGGGATTTCACAATGATCCACGCAAACGATTGACGGCTGCAAAAGCACTGAACTTTGTGGAGCAGTTGCATAGTGCATCATTCGCGGTCAGCATGAAGCAACAATTACGCGTAATCTCAAATGAAAATACGTTCACCGATAACCAAACCTATACCAGCAACAACACCAGCATACAAGAAGAAGACGACGACGACACTGATGTCTGCATGGCAGACCAAAGTTCACTTTCAAGCAATGTATCGTTAAAAGAAGTGCCGGAGTATGGCTCTACCATAGATGACGGTACCAATAAATGGCCAGCGGATCCACAGTGCTATACTCTAGCACCAATGGATCGTGAAAAAAATATACATGATCTCCGTATAATGGCAGAAGCTGGCCTGAACCGCAGTGATGGCTACGATAGCAGGAACTCCCCCTGTGTCACTGCAGAAGACAGCGATGGCGAGCCCGAAGAAGATCAAGTGCAACTTATTCCAAATTCCCGACATGTAGACCGACTCTCTCCACCGTTTGATGACAACAGTATCAGCAGTACCATATTTACAAAAAGCGTAACCTACAGCCAACATACTAAGTCGCGTACACTGCGAAAATATAGCAACAACTCAAAAAAACGCCGAATCATAAAATAATGATAATACAATGTTTACTTGCGTGTCTCAAAAGTAGATATAAGTATTACTTCTTGACCTGTTATTTTACAAGATGCCATGTATACATGATTAAAACTTGCGCTTGCCAGTGACCACCTCAGACCACATCTTGAAGTCGCAGATTAACGAATATATTGGGTATCTGAACGTGGCGGGTTTGCTATGTTTGAAAATGTAATGTGCCTCGTTGTTAGTTCTCCACACTACCAACATTCGTCTCTTTTTCTAAGCTTACTTTTTCTCAAACACAAAATGGCCTAGCCAGGCTAAAGCGTAGCCTTGTACCAGCGACAGCAACAGAAGCTGGGGACGCTTTCTAACAATAGCCAAGATTGTAATAAGGACGGAATTTGTTGTTCCTGTATGTGATGTGTGGTTTTTGTGTGTCAACAAATATGCAAGCCATCTACAACTGGCTCTAAGACTTTTGGTTCATGCATGCTATACCTATAATGTGGAGTCGACGATTCGTCTTGTGGCAATGCTACAATTGATCATGCGAAGAATCTCAACGTGAGCTTATTTTTGTTTCCTTGGCGCTGGTGGATGGTCGTCAAGTGGTTTCCATGGCAACGGAACAACAACAGCAACATACCTCTCCCAAATAGTAAGGATAAAAGCTATCTAGCGTCTTAAAGCCGCCTTCGGGTTCTGTTCGAAGCGAATAGTTGTGATTCACGATTGCCATTCCGTAGGGTTGTGTGGAAAGTGAGAAAAAGGCAATTTCAATTACAAACCAATTGTTCTCGTAAGTAATAGCGACCACACGTGAAAGACCCCGCAAAAAAGAGAGAGCTTCCCACAAGTTACACACGCACCACACACAATTGTCTACTCGCTGCATTTCTAGTCGATTCGGAACCACGTAATCTGTGTATCCTCCTCACGCGGGGGAACCATTTCTTAGTCTACCGCTATATTTTTTTAATTCACGGTCTGTTTCTAAGATTGTACCGCAGAGATATTAATGCGCGTGCAAATGAAGGCTGCATAGCTTATGTAATAATGCAACTTGACGTCTTTGAATGCCATATTTACCAACCATTGAAGGTAACAGTTAGTTTGAAAAATGAGCAAGACTTTTTTTTTCGGGCTGCAAATCCAATTTTTTTAAACTGGAGATTCAGACTGGAAAAATTCAATTGACCAATAATCATGCGACTAGCAATAGTAGAACCCTAAAACCTGATATGTAAACCTGTCAATTCGTAAACAACGAGTTCATCCTGTCCTACCCTTGGCGATCGATCTATCGATGTCAACTGCTGTTTACGTGTACATAGGGTGCTTGTGTTTACATGAAATAATGTAGGGTCAATAAATGTCATTATGACTGGCACACAAAATGTTGTAGATATCAGCAACTGATAAATACAGATATATTTTGACCGCTCCGATAAGGAGGCAAAGCTTATGAAAATGAAAACAACTGTTAGTATGTGTACTTTGAAGTGTCTGCATTGAGCAGGTTATGGCAATGTGTAGCACGGTGTTTTACATGGCTTTGATGAACGGCCCGTACTTTTCTTAAAGACTGTCATGTACTAGCGACCCAAGTGATGTACGAGCAGAGTCAATATCCGCTATTGCTTGCGGTGTACATTCACGACTTCTGCTCTTTTACATTATTCTACCTGAAGGAGACCGTTTTAATGGCCCAACATGGTGTACGTTTGAGCAAGAAAGAATAAGTGACTCGCTAATGATCTTGACGTACAACCGCCACTTTGCTTCATCTTCTTCGTCTTATCTAGGACTAGTGTCCTAGTGAGAATGTCGGGTGAAAACAGCTTAATCATAGTTGTTTTCGGACGACTATGCTCCCTTTATCTTTGTATATTGCGATCATCATTATATCCTTTTAAAAGAAGCCGAGAGTGCAGAGAGGTACATGGATATTTCCACCATTAACAGGCCTTCAAATTTTCTTTGAAAGGTGTGTCTTCTATTCGTAGGAACTGTGGAGGTGTAACCTTCGCCAGGAGTTGAGGCTTGTGAAAAGCAAGGAGAATTACCTTCCTTGAGGAACGAAAGTAATTCACGAAAGCCGGTCATTCACAAGCAACCTTTAAAAAAACTTGACTTCTTTTATCTCTATATTTATAGACTTCGCTTTGGTCCACTTTCACTTTTGAATAATATATTTAAGTGTTCGTACACATTGTGAAAGTGTGCTGATCGAATAGAGATTTTAATGGACGCGTCTTCTTTAATTTCTACTGTCAATACCTGATTGTTGTTGACAATACTATTATTTGTGATGCTCCTTGTGAAACAGTCTGCTGCATGCGACTTATGCTTTTCATACAAAGGTATGAATCCCGCGTTTCCGTATGTGGTTCCCTGAGCAAATCATTCTTTTTGTATCTGTGGTTATGCCACTAAGCAATCGCGGGTAGCACGACCGCAGAAAATCTAATGTATACGGAAAACAACACGGCCCGTTTCGACGCAAATCAGCGGTCTAATGAATGGGATAAGCACTGATAGAAACACATTATTAAATAGTTGACTAATTATCGGTTTTATTTGAAAGAAACCACCATTGTCTACGCGAAATCGATATGGAGCACAGGTACCTTTGCACGACCATATAAGGAAGCCTAATCGAGCAACTTAAACGAATCGTGACTACTAAATGACATCAGACAGCAGAGCTCGTGCTGCTTGCTGGCCACAATTCACGACTTCCAAACCCGGTCCGCCCACCTGGAAAATAATAATTGCACAAATGGGTACGACGCAATCCAAGACGGCAGGCGAGCCCGTAATCATTTATAACCAGAACGTTCCTTTGCAGGTAATACCCTTTTTTTCTCCTTTTCAATTAGCACTTATTCTGTCAAATTTTGTTACAGCGAAGGGAATTTTGACTCAATATAATGTGCTATTTTATTTTGATAGTTCTCGCAAGGCCTTGTCGATTCGTTGGAATCCCGAAAAAAGGTGAAATATTCTCCTGCCTGACGACGATCACCACTCACAACGGACAGCTTATTGATTGACTTTTATATACCTGTGATAATGTAGTCAAGCGAAAGCAGTGCTCGATCGGAAGACGTAGAGGAACAGGTTCGCAAGCGCGTTGCTGAAGAATTGGGACGCGCAAAGTCTCAGCAGAACGACGTAAACGAGCAGTCGTACAGCGAACTTGCAAAGAGCAACATTGAAAAGGATCACAACTCGGTTGCCATGGGAACCGATATTGAAAACATGATTCAGCGTATCCAGAGGTAATGTATCAAGACGACAAGGAAAAGTTCCAGATGATGCATATATTAACTTTTTGCCTATTATTGCTCTTCAGATCATCACCCAAGGATGCCCCAGCCGAAATTGTTGAGCGCCAGGAAGCTGTAGTAGCATGTTACAAGTATTTGTCATCTCAATATTGTATCTTTATGTTCCTGGATGTGTTTCGATATCTGTACTAATATCACGCTTAGGAAAAACTCATCCCGACCGCTGGATTGCTGGGAAGAGGTGGAACAGTTCAAAGAAACAGTTTCAAAGGCTCAAAAGCGCTTTGTTGCTGCTCACCAATAAACAATAAAGATATATACACACTCTTTTTTTTACGCCTGTAGATACAAAAAAAAACCACTCCCAGTTCACAATATATTGTATAGACTTCTTTCTATAAACTTTGGATTTCCTTTCATATGGGTCATTTCCGCAAAAGAAAAGGCATTTGGGATTAAGCTGGGTTAAAGTTGTGGCTTGGTGACCAAAGTGGCATTCGAAAATTTCAAAAAATGCCAGCTTTTCCGAGTATCTTAGCTATCAACTTCACATGGCTGCCTCCACATTACAGCACTACTGGGATCTCGCCTCCTTCGATCCCGCTGTAAGGCTTAACGCTGCACAGTCCCTTGTACGATCGTTGGCCGATTTTCAAAAAGATCACGAAGCAGCTCTTCAAAATGGAACGCATAAGACCGCTACTACCGAAGACGAACTCGACACTCTTTGCGCCCCCGATGTATCTTATGCCTTGCGTCGTCTTTTGCGAGGTCTTCCTTCGTCTCGTCAAGGTGCTCGTCAAGGCTTCTCGTTGGCATTGACAGAGGTACTACCATAAAAACACTTGACAGCAGTAGCTTTTATTGCGTGGTATATGCCGAACACCGTGTAGGTTTTTTTCTGACACATAAATTTTCTTTGTTACTACAGCTTCTCGCCATTACCGACGTAGTAAATGTCAGCCTTGTCCTCGATCTTTTGTTCAAATATACCGAGCGTGCTAGTGGTATGTCAGGTGACGAGACGCGGGACATGTTGTTTGGTCGTATTTTTGGAATGATCGCCATTGTCGCTGCTGGCATGATCTCGAGACCCACGACAACATTTCAGGATATTGAACGTATGCTCGACAGCTTGAAAGAAATGGCCCAGGTCAAATCCTACGTTGGCGAAATCTGTCACCACGTTGTTATCAACCTGATTCCACATGTAAATGAATTTTCACTTTTGTTTTGGGTGTATATACAATTAGGGTTACGGGATAACTGACATTTTCTTCTTTGTTTGGGAAATTTCTTGAAGATCAAGAATCTGGAATATAAGGACCAAGCTGTGGCAAAAATTCTGGAACTCTTTTTGACCGAAGTTGCAGACGTAGACGAACTGAATCTTGCATTGGCAATCCAACAACAACTCCCTGAAGTTGATCTGTCCAGCCAATTCGCAGACTGGAAAGGCACCAACGTCCTCGCACCAGCCAACCTTCCCCACCTCGCTTCTGTTCTGAAGGTACACTTTTGCATCCTTCTAGTTTATTCTCGTTTTTTCGGTTTGATTTGATGACTCAAGTACTTGGACTACTCTATAGGAAGTGCCCTCAGATGATGGAGAGAAAAAGGGTCAAAAGGTTGCCGATTGGAAGCCACAGTTGCATTCCGTGTGGGATCATTTCTTAACAAAATACTTGGAGCCACAAACACAAGCTAATGGACACGCCGAGCTTGAAGAGTCGGATCGTCCGAAGAAGAAGGTCCGTGTGAACAAGAAGGGTGATAGCAAGGCAAAGCCCTCGGAAGGCGATAAGACGGCTTCTTTTGCTGAATTCTGGGATGTCTGTGTTGACAGTAAGTTGTATGAGGATAGTGATAATACTATTGAGTGATAATCTGGTTTGTGATATTGATTGATTGTCTGCATCACCGTATATTAGATACGTTGTTTGACAATAACTCCTCCCAGGGTCGCAAGTATTGGGGCTTCAAGCTCGTCCAAAAGGTCCTTCGTCGTCTTACTTCCGATCAAATGTCGCTCATCTTCACCCAGAACTTTATGCGATGCTTCATCAACAGCCTTTCTGTCAGTGACCGCTATCTGAACAAAGTTGCGGTTCATACGGTAATGTTTCCCTTCTTCTGATGTGGTTGATTTAATTTCTTTCTCTGTTCGGAAATAAGGCTCATTAAAGGCATGTAGGCCAATGTCATTCAAGACGTCGCCAAGGAGAACAAGGAGGCCGGCTTTGCTTTGGTAACCCAGTTACAAGGCAACCAAGGTCGTCCAGACTTTGATCGCTTGACCAGAACCCGCACTGTCGAAAACATCCTCAAAACGATGGACAGCGAAGGCATCAAGTCATATCTCGAGTACCTTGCCCAGATGTTCATTGAGCAATCCGAAGCAACACAGGCAGATGCGCCACGCGCTTGGGTTTTGAAGCAAATGACTTTCCTTGTCAAGAACAATGCCATTCCCAAAGAAGAGGATTGGCTCTTGTCCGTTGTCAAGTTCTTGATGGTGTATGCATTTTTCGAAGTCAAAAAGTCGTCCTCCAAGGGCTCGTTTATTGAGGTATGTTTTTTTTTGGACGAAACGCTATTTCTCAATAAAGAGGAGTACACTCACTTACAGTACGACTTTGTATTAATAGGGATATCATAAGCCAGCTACGCCCTTGTCAGAAGCAACTGTGGACCAATGCAAAGAAAGTTTCCAGACGGTATTGATGGCTTTGGAAAAGACGCCTCCTCTTTCAAAGGCAAAGGAACTTGGTGTTAAGTCGTTGCGATCCCGAAGACTTAACGGCACAATGGATGATGGTGAATTATGGGTCTACCGTGTCTACGAAGCACAACAGAAGCTTGTCAAGGACAAGTCGCTGCAATCCAGAACAGACCTTTCGAAAGAAAGTCAAACTTCCTGCAAGAAGGCAATCAATCTTATGGAAGGTTTGCGAAAGAAGGTAAACCATCCTATTTTTATGCTGGTGTAAAAAAGCTTGAAATTTCATACAGATCTAAATAATATATCTATTATGAAAAATGAAGGGTGACGACAAGCACGACAGCATCGAGCGTGGATTTGAACTCTTGTTCTTGCACATGATTTTGCACTACATGATTGACGAGGAAGAAACAGAAAGCGTGCTTTCCGAATTGTTCGAATGTTACGACAAGATCACATCCACTAAGAAAGCCAAGGGCAAGAAGAGCAAGAAAACCAAGGGCGATGGCGAAGAAACAGAGCCAGAAGCCATTGATGTTATTGTTGATATTTTGGTCAGCTTTGTGACCAACTCTTCGACTATGCTCAAGAACCTTGCCGAGCAAGTTTTCGAAATGTTCTCGCACAAAGTCACTCAGCAGACCTTGGGATTGCTGTTCGATGTAAGTTGATGAATGCCGTTGTTTTTACTTGAAACTTTGAAAAGGACTCTTGTGCTAATTAAGTTGGGATGTGTGGGTAATCAGCTTCTGTCATCGAGTGATAGCAAGGACGAAAGCAATGATCTTTTCGACGAAGATATGGATGAGGTTGACAGCGACGTGGAAGTGATCGAGGACGTTGAGATGGAGGAAGATGACGACGATGAGGATGAAAGCGGATCTGAAGAAGATGACGATGAAGAAGAGAACGGAGAGGTTGATGAAGAATTGAGACGCAAGGTTGAAGAAGCTATGCGAAACCAGGGCGTTCTTGCCGGTGAGGATGACACGGAAGATGAAAACTTGGATGATGATGCTATGTTTGGTTTCGACGATAAACTGGCCGAAATCTTCAAGCAAAAGAGACTTGTTAGTGGCAAAGACAACAGTAAGTGACGATGGTAAAAAAAAAAAAAAGAAGAAGAAAAGGCTTTATTGACCACGGTTCTTTGATAATTGCAGAGGGCGAACAGAATGTTTACCAATTCAAGAACAGCGTTGCTGATCTCGTGATCATTTTTGTTCGCAAGAACCCGGAAAATCCTCTTGTGTTGCAAACAATTGTGCCACTGTTGAACATCCTTCGTGTGACCCCTGCCCGACCTGCCACGAACCAGTTCCTGCAAAAGATCATTGCATTCTTAAAGAACAAGCTCGCCAAGGGAACCGAGTATCCCAAGGTGGACGATGTCGATGGCGCCCTGGAGATCCTGAACGCCGTCCATGACTTCACCAAGAACAAGGGTGCCAACAGCAAAGAGCTGGCGGACATGGGTGTGCAACTGTCGATCTATCTGAGAAAAAGCATCTTCGGCGGAGCAGATATCATGCTTTCAGACGATATGCAAAAGGACACAAAGCAGACGCTCGACAAGACCAACGCCATATACTGCGCCAACCTGTGCGATTACTACCGATCGAAAAAACACACCCGCATCGAATACGACCTTGCCGCTTTCCTCCCCAAGAACTTCCCGTACAGCTCATGGCCTCTCCTCGACTCATTACTGGAATTCATCAACCCCAGTGCCTGCCATAACAACTACAGACATACCCAAAATTTAGAATGGATCAGCACCGTGCTGAGCCGCACAGTTGATAAGGTTTGTACCACCTACAGCCTAAATACCTTTTGCTGGTAGTCGTCGTTGTGTCGGTATTCCTCCTGCTAATACAACCTCCCCCGCTCCCCTTGGTTTGTTTTTGACCCGCATTTAGTCATCGGAAACATACGACAAGCTGTTTTTGGCCTTAGTGCCAAAGATCGCAAAGATAGCCCAAGAAACCATTGACAACGCTGTCGATGCAACCGACAAAAAAGTGCTGGACACCAACAGCATGCGGTCCTTCTTGAAGTTCATACTTGTCACTGTACGAAAGCATAAAAAGCTAGCTAGCAGTGAGGTAAGGAAAATTCTCTTGGCTTGGCAGCAGAAATAAAAACAGATAACTAACGACCATTGAAACAGGATCTGCAAAGTACCTGGAAGGTAGATGAATCATTTTCACGCATCACAAGCATCAAAAACTACGGCGACAAGCCATCATTAGAAACACTACGAAAACAATTATTGGCATTATTCGAACATTAAAAGAAACTTGGTGTTCTCCTCTTTTTCTCTCAATCGCGCTCTCTCTCTCTCTCTCTCTCTTTGTTTTTTTTTATCAATCAATCAATCAAGCAACAAATTATTACTGTAATAAAATAAAATGCGGGGGGACCCGCTTCGAATCTCACATGAATTCCCGAAAAGAATGAAAAAACTATTCTCTTATGTTGTGACGGCCGCTAAATTTACCTGCCCTTTTATCCTCCTCCACCTTCTTCTTTTCCCGACGCTTCTCTCATATACTTGCCCAATGGTACCCCACGATGCGTCTCATTTGCACGACGATCTCGATGATGAGAGCGAAATGGGACTCATGAACGAATACGCCTATTCCTTTAAACCACAGCAACCAGATGGCGACGGGTCAGAAAATGCATCATTATTATCCGAAGAAAGTACCAGTGGACGACGAGCAAGGCGGAGAAGTGGTGGAGCAGCAGACTTGGAATTTAAACCCGAGATCGACACCGGTGGTGTTTCCGATTCATGTTTCTCTTTTAAAAAGTTATGGAAATACACAGGGCCAGGTATGTCGTCTTTATACTTTTCACAAGGAGCAGGCACTACCGAAAAGAGGGTACATGCTTCGTATAATTTTCTGGTTTATGTATCCAAGAATGCTGACGGGTATATTTGCTTTCTATATAGGATGGTTAATGTAAGAAACGACTTGCTATATGGAACTCCTCTCATTTAGCTGTGACGACTGACGACTTGTTCTTCAACATAGGTCGATTGCCTATTTAGATCCTGGCAACCTAGAATCGGATCTGCAAGCAGGCGCGATCGCAGGATACAGTTTACTATGGCTGTTGTTTTGGGCACATGTCACTGGCCTAGCGTTTCAGCTTTTGTCAGCACGACTCGGAACAGTTACTGGACAACATTTGGCACAACTGATTCGACAATCGTATACAACGAGAATGTCCGTTGTCCTGTGGGCATTTGCTCAAATAGCGATTATTGGCGCAGATATAATGGAAATTATTGGCACCGCGATCGCATTACATATATTGCTCCGATTACCCCTCTGGGTGGGCGTGCTCATCACGACAGTCGACACGTTTACGTTCATGATGATTCAGCGCTACGGCATGCGCAAAATGGAGGCATTCTTCATGATGCTGATCCTGGTGATGACCACGTGTTTTTGGGTCGAAATGGTTGTTTCAAAACCGGACGTGGCGCAGATCTTCCGTGGATTGGCCGTACCTGTCGTACCAAAGAACGCGGTAGTTCAAGCTGTTGGCATGTTGGGTGCTGTGGTGATGCCTCACAATATGTTTTTGCACAGGTAAAAAAGAAAAATGAAAAAGCCCCCCGGAGGGTGGGATGGGTGGATTGGAATGCAGTGTTTGTTTTCTCTGCGTAAAGGCTTAAACTGCCAGAATCTATTGTTTTTAGTGCATTGGTAGGATCGCGGGACTTAGGAGCTGAGCCGACCGTGCGCAAGCGAAAAGAAGCCAACTTCTATTTCGGAATCGAGTCTGGTTTGGCATTATTTCTTTCGTTCTTGGTCAACTTGGCGATCGTTGTTGTATTTGCCCAAGGTAATTGAAGAACATGTGTCTGGTTTATATACATAGAGAGTGTACCATGCCCGCCACCCCCCTGATAATAACTGCTTCATTTTCCCGATATACTACATAGTGTTCTACAAACCTGATGCACCGGACAATATTGATCTGCCTGGTTTGGCGGATGCAGATGCAGTGCTGAAACGGACATTAGGTTCTGCTGCACAATATCTTTGGGGTGCTGGTTTGCTTGCAGGTAAATATATAAACAATTTGTACTTGCTGTAATAAATATACACATTTTCGATTTGGACTTACGCATCTCATGATGGCTGCTGCTGCTACTACTATCATTGTTATATAGCTGGACAGAGCTCAACGATGACGGGCACATTTGCAGGCCAGTATGTGACCGAGGGTTTCTTTGGCAACATGTTCCGCAAAGACTGGCATCGAGTTGCCATTACGCGTGGTATCTCACTTATACCCTCCATGCTTGTCGCAGTTTTCGCCGTCGATCATTTTGATACCATGGGCGAACTGCTGAATGTACTACAAAGCGTGTGCCTTCCACCAGTCCTGATCCCGATTCTGAAACTATGTTCTTCCACAGCTGTTATGTCTGCGGAATTTACTACGTCAACTGTGCTGCATGTCATCTGCTGGCTGCTAACTGGCGTAGTCGTCGGCTTCAACGTATTCTTATTCGTTACGCATATCACATCGGTCTGGTCCTTTGTTATGATTGGTGCCTTTGGTCTTGTTTACCTGGTAAGTTTATTGTTTTTTAATTTCATGCAGTAACAAAAAAGGGAGGTGGTCTGTGCGAAAACTCTGCTGCAAGGAACAATAGAAAACTTTATATCAGAAAAGCTGAAACGCCACATACTTGCTCTTTGTCCCCTGTGTTTTGCCTAGGCCTTCCTTGCCTATATGGTATGGTTACCCCTGGATTATGTGCCAAAGGGCGCTAATAGCGACGACGATGGCTGGATGGCTATTCCAGAAAACAGTGACGATGAAGAAATCTCTCTGCGACAAGAACCTTAAAAATGCACCCTATCCGCACTCTTTCATAAAGCAATTTCTCAATCCCCCACTCTTTTTCTCCGTTTCCATTATTTCTACTTCTTCAACGCAACAGAACTATACATTTACCATCACATCACTTCATCAATTCTACTATATTACCGACTCACGCACACCCACATGAATCGCCTTTGTTGTTATTTTCTCCTCGTATCTCCCACTTCTATGTACCATATACGCAATCTTGCACAAAAAATACAGTCTTGTTCTTTGGTTTACAGTCATTTCAAAAAGTAAAGTCGCTGATTTTGAGTTTGATGTCGTGCAAAAAATCTTCGTGTGCAACAACAAAGTCGCTTGATCCAGCAAGGAAGTCGTAATGAGCTTCTTTTATTTTTGCCTGTCGCTTAGCAATTGGCATTTTTATTTGGGTATAAAAACGAGTGACATCCCCTTATTCTTTTAGTTCTCTCTTTTTTTTTCTTTCAAGTGACTTCAAAGGCTTTGTCTCCCATTCTGCCAAATGTTTTGTGACCTCCTTGTTCCTCATTCTAACATCGGCAGAATCCTCAAACCAACATGTTGACTCAATTTGGGAAGGAAAAAGAAAGTGGGAAACTCCTTCCGTTTATGGCAGGAGTTTCCCGTTGTCGTTGGCTTGAGGATCAAAATCTTCGATCAGCGTGAAACTCCGTCCGTTTATGGCAGGAGTTTCCCGCTGCCGTTGGCTTGAGGATCAAAATCTTCGATCAGCGTGAAACTCCTTCCGTTTATGGCAGGAGTTTCCCGTTGTCGTTGGCTTGAGGATCAAAATCTTCGATCAGCGTGAAACTCCGTCCGTTTATGGCAGGAGTTTCCCGCTGCCATAACAAAAAAAAAAGGCCAGGCACCTTTTTCTTTCCTGACTCACAGGATGGAATTCATTGCGCTTGGGGAAACAGATGCACGAGTATGCAATCATTCCGTTTGCTCTACGAGTCTTGGACCAGCCAACAAGTCTGGTTTCTGTTCGAAGCATAGAAACATCAGCGACCAGCAATGCTCCCATGATGTAAGGTGCGGACAGGAACAAGACAAGAAGGGACAGAAAGACCGGACGAGAATGTGCTAGGTGCTTTCAGCAAGAACAGGACAAGACAAGAAGGAAACCTGGAGGTAGGAGACCAGATGGTGAGGGAAGAAACAAGAACAAGGTATAGGATGGAAACAAGATATCTGACTGATGTTTTATTATTCAAAGACTATGGTGTTTATATATCTTTTACTATGGAATTTAATAATGCGAATAAACGGAAAGATTGGTATTAGGGTTGTTAATTCGGACGATGATGATGGATGATATTGTTACTTGGGGATTTAATAAGTGATCATCGAGGTTGAGGGTGATCACTTAGTAGAGGTCGAGGAATGTTCATAACATTACCTCCCCTCTTAGGCTCGAGTAACACGAGAGCGGGTCGAACGCCGAGGTGATGGTGGTGGTCGGATGCTGCATATGAAAGTCACGAACTACGTCAGCGGCGTTCCAAAGATTTGAAGCTGGTTCCCAGGTGTTTTCTGAGGGATCTATGTATCCCTTCCACGCAACTAGATATTGCAATTGACCCCGACGACGGCGACTGTCAAGTATACTGTCGACTTCGAAATGCTCTTCGCCCTGAACTTCTACAGGAGGCAATGGCGCAGGTACACGGTCTTGAATGTCCGGAGTCGCCGGGTTATCGCGAGGCGTTAACAGGGCAACGTGGAACACTGGGTGAACCCGTAGTGCAACAGGCAAGTTCAACTTGTAGGCATGGGAGCCAACACGCGCAATGATTTTGAATGGGCCCAAGCGAGTATGGTCAAGCTTCGAAGATGGCCTAACAGTCTTGATATTTTTGCTAGAGACATAAACGAAGTCGCCTATATTGAAGACTGGTGTGGCTCGATGGTGCGCGTTGTAGAACACGGCTTGCTGTTGCTGGGCGAGGCGAATTTCACTTTTCAACGATTCATGAAGTTCTTTCAACTCCTTACAAAAATCTTCGGTAGCACCAGAGAGACCTGAACCCTGGGGCGCTGGCAACAAAGAAAAACGTGGGTGGTAACCGTAGGTGGCCTCAAAAGGAGTATGGCGCGTGCTTGACTGGACAGAATTGTTGTAGCTGAATTCGGCAACAGGTAACAAGGAAGACCAGTCGTCCTGCTGGTAATTGATATACGCGCGAAGATACTGCTCCAATATTGAATTTACTACCTCAGTTTGTCCGTCGGTTTCGGGCCTGAAAGCTGTTGACATATTTGACTTGATCTGGAGCAACTCGAGTAATGAACGCCAGAAACGCGACGTGAACAGTGCGCCACGATCCGAGACAATATCATTGGGTAGACCATGCAAACGGAAAACTTCCGTGACGAAAAGGTGGGCTAATTCGCTGGCCGTAATGGTGTCCTTGCATGGGACGAAGTGCGCCATTTTTGTCAATCGATCAACAACAACCCAAATTGCATTGTGACCTGACGAGGATGGCAAACCAACAATGAAGTCCATGCTGATGGAAGACCAGGGACGAGGAGGTACTTGTAAGGGCTTGAGCTCACCGAGAGGGGCTTGACGGGAGTGCTTCGAGCGTTTGCAGGTGCGACAATTGGAGACGTAACGTTTGACGAATTGACGTAGTCCCGGCCAGAAGAAACGCCGAGCCAACAGTTCGCAAGTCTTAGCGATACCGAAGTGGCCTGAGACTGGGTGATCGTGGTGTAGCCGCAACAATTCTAACTTCAACGCATCAACATCAGGTACATAGATGCGGTCATCGAGGAACAACAATCCTGAATCATCGTCGAAGCGATACCGGCTCATCTTGACGTGAAGCTGCCTGGGTATGCTGGAAGGGTGTTGTACGAGGTTCAAGATTCTTGCGGTCTTAGCATCGTCATCGTATTTATCGCGTATTGCTGATATCAGGTCGTCATCAACAGGGCAACTAGAGACAGCCCCAAGAACGACTTGATCCTCACGAAATATGGATTTTATTGGCTGTTTATCGCTATCGTCCCCCTTCCGGAAGGCCATGTCCGAGCGACTGTATTGCAAAAATTAGGAAAGACAACAAATCAGGCTTCTGCAAAAATCATAACAACCTCAGCTCCTCCAAAGAATTATCGACCTCAAGTTCACAACCAGGTTCCTCTAAGTCCATTCCAACAAAGCAATTGATTTGGCCAATGGTTCTGTGCTCTTATTGCAACGTATTGCCAGTGAACGCACTTATGAATGAGAAACGCAAATGCCAATCATGCAGCAAAGCCAACAGCAGCAATAAAAACAATTGCAGCAAAAAGCGCCAACGAGATAAATACATGGCATTTTCATTTGCAGATGGATCCAAGCGCGCTTTCAAAGGCGCGTCATTCATGGACGATCGAGGTAAAAAGAAAAAAAAACACAACACTTTTGAATTATTGAGATTACTGACACCTTCTCTGGGCAATCACCAATCTTATCAGTGGACAAAGCAGAAAATGGCGCAAAATTGATGGATTTGATACCCGTTAGAATGCACATACAAAAAGACTTGGCAGCTGCCACCACGGATCCGTTTGGTTTCTTCACACATTCTTGTATCAATGATATGCACAATGCAGATGTTGTATTTGATACCAAGCAACACCAAGGCACAACTTTGCAGGTCACCTTGCAGCTCCCGGAGGAGGAAGAAAGACCGCAGGCCGAATCTCATCAAGATGCGACGTACAGCATCGAGGCAGCATTGAAGCAGGCTGGGTTTAGCAAATTGTGCAAGGCAACCGGCCTGCTCGAACAACCGGACGATGAATTATTGGACATGTTGAGCATCGAGTTCCATGAGAAACCACAGTTGCTGGCAGGCATTGCGGATCTCCTTGTTAATGGGATCATACGCTACAAAAATCTGTTGATCAAGATTTTGACCGTGGAATCTTACTCGCGTCACGCATCTCTAGACATTCATAATGAATCGCAAGTATTGGAATCAACGTATCCCATTCAAGGGCGCCTTTTTTGTGGAACAGTGCCCGCTGCAGATGGCAGAGGTTTGAAACAAAAATTGATCGTTGCTTCCAAGACAATGAATGCTCTCTGCACTTGCTCCGTAACGCTAGGCAGCACACCCCAAGTCCAGAGAGCATTCATTGTCTTGGAAGCAACGATCAATTTTTGTTTCAAACCTCTGCCATCTGCAGCGGGCACTGTTCCACAAAAAAGGCGCCCTTGAATGGGATACGTTGATTCCAATACTTGCGATTCATTATGAATGTCTAGAGATGCGTGACGCGAGTAAGATTCCACGGTCAAAATCTTGATCAACAGATTTTTGTAGCGTATGATCCCATTAACAAGGAGATCCGCAATGCCTGCCAGCAACTGTGGTTTCTCATGGAACTCGATGCTCAACATGTCCAATAATTCATCGTCCGGTTGTTCGAGCAGGCCGGTTGCCTTGCACAATTTGCTAAACCCAGCCTGCTTCAATGCTGCCTCGATGCTGTACGTCGCATCTTGATGAGATTCGGCCTGCGGTCTTTCTTCCTCCTCCGGGAGCTGCAAGGTGACCTGCAAAGTTGTGCCTTGGTGTTGCTTGGTATCAAATACAACATCTGCATTGTGCATATCATTGATACAAGAATGTGTGAAGAAACCAAACGGATCCGTGGTGGCAGCTGCCAAGTCTTTTTGTATGTGCATTCTAACGGGTATCAAATCCATCAATTTTGCGCCATTTTCTGCTTTGTGGATATATTCATAGCCATAAGTAATAATAATTTTATAAATAAGGAGACTATTTATAAATTTATAATTACTATTGTATTTCCAAAAAAAAATTGAATTTCTATTTATTAAAAAAGTAATAATGATGGATGTTAATAGCTTGATAACAAATGAGATTAATTCAATTCTTATAAATCATTGGATTTTTTTGAATAATAATTGGCCTGTTATTAATCATAAATATAAACATAGAACTGAGTTGAAACATATAAATTATATAGACATTATTAAAAAAAATTAGTAGAAAAATTAGGATATATTGCTGTATTTTTCTTTTTAATAGTATTATATGGCAATAAGGAGTACCCTGGACCTTACTATGAAATTGAAAAAGGTTTATTCTTATTATACCATTTAGTTTCAGGTATTGCTGGGAAAGAAGAAATAGATAAATATCTTCCACAAAGTACATTTCATCGCTTTTATAAAAAATTTTAGATGGATGAAGATAATTATAAAAGGTTAAACAAAATTGTTAATGAGTCATTAGATACTATGTTTTCTAATATAAGATTAAGAATATTATCAGTACATAAATACAATCCTGATTTGTTTAAACATATTACTTTAATTCTTGACGGTCACGATTCAAGAATCAATTATGTGGATACAGAAATTAAGCATAGCAGATTATATTCTTACAAATTTAAAAAAAATAGATTAAGAACACAAATCGTTAGTGATATTAATGATATGATACTTTTTATATCCAAAAGTAATTTTTGTTCAGATAGTTCAGATGGTTCAATGTTTCTTAATATGAAATTATATCACAAAATGGATGATAAAGATACTATTGCTATCGACGGCGGATATACTTTGTTTGTAAACCAATTTGTAGATTTAGCTGTTGAAAAAGGTTATACATATAGTGATTCTAATTTTGTTTATCCTATTAGAAAAAATGTTAATGAAAGTTTATCTATAACTGAAGACCATTTTAATAAGACCTTTGGAAGTTTTCATTCAAAAATAGAAAATCAGTTTTCAGAGTTAGGTAATAAATTTTATAGATTTAATAATAATAAATCAGTTGTTAGAATGGATAATATAAAGTTTTACAATTTACAATTTAAGGTTGCCTGTTTATTAAGAAATATTAGTATTTTTGTAGATAAATTTAATGTACCAATTTTACCCCATCATAAACTATGGGAATCAAATGAATTTGAATTTCCTGTTGAAAATAAATTATTAGATATTGTAGTAAGTAATGATAAGCAAAATAAAGATAAATTAGATAAAATGCTTGAATTACAAATGAATTTCTTAAATATGAATGTATCAGAAATTAATATGGTTATTGATGAGTTTTCAGATGAAGATTCTAATAATCATAAAGATATTTCAAGTGAAGGTGAAGATGTCCCTAAATTCAATGAAAGGTCTAAAAAAAGAAAATAAAAAGGAAAACAAAAGGAAAAAAATTATAAATCCTATCAAATTGAAGCTGTTATTGACCATAAACTTAAAGATGGTTTATATACATTTTTAGTTAAATGGAAAGATTATTCCGATAGTGATAATAGTTGGCTAACAATAGAAAAATTTAATGAAAAGGAAATGTTAAATGAATATATTAAAAATAATAATCTTGGTGCATTATAAATAATTCGATAATCTCCCCCTCCTATATATAAATGAATATCTATATAGGATATATTGTTGTATGTATAACGTCTGCAGTTAATGTAATAAGCTTTTTATAAAATATTCCAAGTTAAGGTTGCCGCTATTACATACATGTATTGTTTTTGATTTTCTTTTTTTTACTTTTTTTAAATCTTTTTTAGGATTACCATTATCAATAGATATGCAAGGTGGTAAAACAATTTTTTTATTTTTTTTCTTGGGCACATGAATTTTACTATGACTAGAACATAGATAATCAAGCTTGTTATCTCCAATATTAGTTCTAATCTTCCTGTGGCACATGTGACCTTCTTTCTTACCTCTTGTATGTATGAAAGTGCAAACATTTTCACTACTATTTAAGTACCAAAATTGTTTATCTTTAACTTTATTCATTTTTTCATTTATTTTATTTTCCATAATCTTCATCTTACTTTCTTTTTTTTCTACCAACACTTCATCATCAAAATATTCCTTCATAACCTCTTCCATAAGATTTCTTATACTTTTAGTTAAGGATTTAGTAGATACAAGAATTTCTGTGTTTAAAATTACCATTTTAAAAATTTATTGAAATGGTAAGAGAACTTAGATGTTTTTATTTTTTTAATTAAAAAAAATCCTTTTTTTTTTTACTTAAAAGATTTTTAATTACCCATGAGTAATTGATTACTAATATTTTTATTAAATACTTATAATTATAAGTATACCGCCTTTGTCCACTGATAAGATTGGTGATTGCCCAGAGAAGGTGTCAGTAATCTCAATAATTCAAAAGTGTTGTGTTTTTTTTTCTTTTTACCTCGATCGTCCATGAATGACGCGCCTTTGAAAGCGCGCTTGGATCCATCTACAAATGAAAATGCCATGTATTTATCTCGTTGGCGCTTTTTGCTGCAATTGTTTTTATTGCTGCTGTTGGCTTTGCTGCATGATTGGCATTTGCGTTTCTCATTCATAAGTGCGTTCACTGGCAATACGTTGCAATAAGAGCACAGAACCATTGGCCAAATCAATTGCTTTGTTGGAATGGACTTAGAGGAACCTGGTTGTGAACTTGAGGTCGATAATTCTTTGGAGGAGCTGAGGTTGTTATGATTTTTGCAGAAGCCTGATTTGTTGTCTTTCCTAATTTTTGCAATACAGTTGTCATGGGAGCATTGCTGGTCGCTGATGTTTCTATGCTTCGAACAGAGACCAGACTTGTTGGCTGGTCCAAGACTCGTAGAGCAAACGGAATGATTGCATACTCGTGCATCTGTTTCCCCAAGCGTAATGAATTCCATCCTGTGAGTCAGGAAAGAAAAAGGTGCCTGGCCTTTTTTTTTTGTTATGGCAGCGGGAAACTCCTGCCATAAACGGACGGAGTTTCACGCTGATCGAAGATTTTGATCCTCAAGCCAACGACAACGGGAAACTCCTGCCATAAACGGAAGGAGTTTCACGCTGATCGAAGATTTTGATCCTCAAGCCAACGACAATGGGAAACTCCTGCCATAAACGGAAGGAGTTTCCCACTTTCTTTTTCCTTCCCAAATTGAGTCAATGTTGGTTTGAGGATTCTGCCGATGTTAGAATGAGGAACAAGGAGGTCACAAAACATTTGGCAGAATGGGAGACAAAGCCTTTGAAGTCACTTGAAAGAAAAAAAAAGAGAGAACTAAAAGAATAAGGGGATGTCACTCGTTTTTATACCCAAATAAAAATGCCAATTGCTAAGCGACAGGCAAAAATAAAAGAAGCTCATTACGACTTCCTTGCTGGATCAAGCGACTTTGTTGTTGCACACGAAGATTTTTTGCACGATATCAAACTCAAAATCAGCGACTTTACTTTTTGAAATGACTGTACTTGTATTACCACTTGAGCATGGGTCTGGTAAGGCCACTAACGTCCTAACGTGTTTCCCATTGTATACCCGTCCGTATTTTACGTACAAACAATAGTGTGGCATTGCTGCAACGTTTACAGCATTATTTATAGATAAAGCAGCATAGCGAACTATTGATGATATGGTACTGTTACATATACTAATTTATAATACATTAAACGCCTCCAATCCCTTCTTATCACCGAGCGCAGCACCGAAAACGTTGTTGACAAATTGAGGATCATACTAAGATGAATTTTATACAAGCAAGATTAGTTTTACAGAGCACTATTTCCCAGTTTTCTTTTCTTTTATTTACCTTGCATGCACGCGTGCAATCTGGCGAAAAGTTGATTTCGACAATGATGGGGCGGTATTCGTTATTAAGCAGCACATCAACACCGTACATTCCAAACGATTCATAGGATGGCGAAGCACTGTTGTCGATCAATCCTAATGGTTGCTGTTCTGATGCAGCTGCCAAGAACACATCTATTAGATTTACCCAATATTGTTAGTCAACAGTAAATTGTCATTTTTGACGCTTAACTATAATGATTAAGCAATACGCCTCATTATCACGGAAAGTTGTTGTTACCTTTGATGGCTCCATTGATATCATTCTGCACCTTGCTCCAATCAATGGAATGCTGCTTTTCTATGTTGTGGATGAAGCTCTTGTAGTCGAGTTGTGTCATTTGGTAGTTCGAGTAGTTCATAACGGTGAACTGAGCCTCATAATCATCCAAATCATCTAGTGTTATTTACAGGTAGTCGTTCCAATGTAGGTGTTAGCAATTGATACTCTTTGTTGTCTCTACTTTAAGTTGGAATGGTCGATAAGCTAGTTTCTTTTTTTTATTACCAGTGTTGTATTTCTTGTTGGCCAACCGAATCCAGAACATCTTGTACACATTCACAGTACCGTCTGAGGTGACAAGGACAATGTATCGCAGATCGAACTTTTTGCTGTTGTACAGGCATGGTTTGACTAGATAGCGTTGAGCGATCTTTGGCGTAGGCGAGTCATGTTGTCGGATCAGTTTGGGTAAATCACGGCTCACTGAAATCTCAAGACCACGGGCAAAGTTCCATGGTTTCGAAATCCAAAGGTTTTCGTGATGCTTCTGGTCGTCATTTTCATCACCGTCGTCACTAAGGTAGTGACCCACAAATTCAGCAAGTTGGGTGTTGAGGTTATAAGTAGGCACTATCCATGCTGGGGATCCATACGTTTTCCTATAGTGATTAAAAACATAAGTATATACATGTATTTTGCTAGGGAGTAGCATTTAGCAAAAAAGGGGGAAATTAGACCTACTGGATCAAGTCTGCAAACTGCTGTTTGTACGTCAAGCAATTCTCGTAGCGGAACTGATTCACCATTTGTCCGGGTTTGAGCGACTCCCATTCGGCAAAATCCTGACTGCTCCAAATGATATTGGCCTTCTCAAGAGCATCGGTGAGCTTGAAGTGAGGTGCAGACAAGTTGCGACGAACGAACTCAGTCGTTGTGTAAACCAATATGGGATCACCTTCTCCAAGCTTTTTCTCACTTGATTTCTTAGCTGGTAATGCAACGGATGGTTGGTATGTTTGCTTTGCCAACTTATCTCGGAAATCCTAAAGAGAAACAGAGATATCATAGGGTTTATGTTATGTTTTGACAAAAGTATTGAAATAGATAAGCTTTATATAACAACAAACCTTAGCGAGTGACTTGATCTCATCGGGTGTTGCAACTTCTTGACCAGGCAAGACACGGTGTTCATATGCCAGCAGATAAGCAGCTTTATCTAGCGATCGTTCAAGGTTTTTGGGAACCAAATCGCATGTCATGACTTCGCCAGCAGCGATATCCTTGATAGGGAACATGACCGTGTAAGGGATCATGCCACTTGCTCCTCGAGAAAAGATGAATGGCAGACACAGTATGTTTGGATCTGACGAGTGGGATAGCGCAGAACCAACTTCATCGTTGATATACCAAGCCGTCTGTGTTTCAGGTTGACCATCCTGCTTGAGGACGGAATACGAGTATGTCTGCAAATACGACCACATCTTATCACACACACGGTCCACGCGCTCCTTCAGCCACTGAGCATGGCGTGTTTTACGACGCTCTTCCTTTTCCTTGTTGACCTTGTCCTCCTTTTCTTGCGCTTTTCCGCTCGCTATAATTCAAATGGACATATTAGAAAGGTAATTCTTGATGTGCAAATAAACATTGATATACACTTTACCAATGAGTTGGCCAAGAACTTGATCTTGAAGACGTTCGCTTTCCTTTTTGAAATCTTCATCCAATGTCAACCGCTGGTAAAATTATTTTGTTTGTCATAGATCCATTATCGTGTCAGTCAAGGTACTTTAATTTTTTTCTTTCTATGGACTCCGTTATTTTTACCATGATTGCATTAACCACTTCGTATTTTTCGGTCACGAGTGCTTCACGCGCCGTTTCACGGCTGACATTGGCTTGTTCTGCAACGGTTTTAATGGCATCTTCGTCATGTTCCAATTCCTCTTCGTCACTGTCTTCCTCTTCTTGGAACTCTTCAGATTCAATGTCCATCAGGTTTTCCAGGCGAGATAATAAGTTTGTGTTTTCGGCCAGTTCCTTGTGCGCATTATCCGGTTGGGTGGTCCATGCATGATCAACGAGAAAAATTTCACTATTAATAGCCACAGTAAAATTTTAGTTGACAGAACTTTATTCTTGAAAGCCTGTCTCACACACCTGTGCTTCTTGAGCGTCTGGTCAGCTTTGACGTGAAGCGAGTAACCTTCGAGAGGATCTCCGTAATGTAACTCAACATGGTTGCCTAGCAGTTTGTTGTGTTTCATTTATCTCTTGTTAATTTCTGACTTTATTGTGGGAATCGTCAAGTTTCCATAGAAAGAGGGGAATCTTTTACCTGCATCGAGGTAATCTTCACCGAGTTTCATGAACAATGGCTAATCATAAATAACGCGTTATTTTATTAATTCGAGTAATAAGCTTTTTTTGAAAACAAGAGTGACAGTGTTTACTAACCAGCCATAGATCCTTGGGAATCGCAGCAAGTTGATACTGATGGACAGTGACAAACGCATCAAAAGCAGACGACATTATGTTCGTTGAGACAAAAGAAACTGTGTCTTTTGTTATTTCATGCAAAAAAAATCTTGATAGGCTGTGACAGAAAACTCAGCCAGAGGACGATGAACTCCAAGTGATGCAGTAAAAGAAAGAGGCCGGAAACAATGGATCGTTTTTATTTATTTATTCTTCTTGTTAAATTCAATGGGTCCATCTTCTTCACGATCGCCAGCGTATCCTTCGTCCTCTACACGTTTTTTGCCATCCATTTGTTGTGCTACTGGCTCACTTGCCATTTCATCATAATCTTCAATTTTAAGTAAGGGACGCTGTTTCACACCACTACCATTTGCGGTGGTACCACTTTCCACCAAGGTCGTCATTGCCTCGACGCGGAATCCATCCACGCTAGCAGCAGCAGCAGCAAAACTGCCTGTTCGACTTCGAGGTCGTGACGATGAATCGGATTCGCTTGCTGATCCACGTCGACTCCGACTGCTCGTTGGTGTAATGCCTCCATTGAAACGATCCAAATAGAATGAATTGTCGTCCATGTCGGATGATTCTTCGATACGGCCCCAGTTGAATATGTTCTTGTCGTCCAATCCCATTCGGACTGCTTGCTGGAAGAAGCCGCTTGCGATTCTGGGCAATTTGCTACTTGTTGCTGATGACCAGTTGATGAAACTGCTGGAGCTTGAGCGCCGGATAGGTGCAGGTCGTGCAGTTGGTAGTTTTGCAGAGGTGGTAAATGATGAAGTAGTTGCCGTCGTTGTAGTTCGGCATATGTAATCAGCTGATAGAGAAAGATAAACAACAATTAGGATTGTTTTTATTATCGCTTTATGTGTGAAAACACATGTCAAGAAATTACCATCAAAGTCGGGGAATACTTTGGGTCCATATTCGTTGATCAACTCTGTAAGATCATGCGACAGCTTCTCACGGTTTTTTCGCATTATCTCGGTGCCGTCAGGGTCTAGGACTGACATGACAAGTGGTTGCAGGGACCTAGTCGTAAAAACAGTGAATAAAATTGAGGGAGCAATACATATTACAAAGTTTACTGCTGATGTAGGTAGAACAGGTTTACTACTGGAGTTATCAAGCAAAGAGAAAAGAAAACCTACATGAGAATATCGATACCAATCTCTCCGAAACGAAGACTGGCATACGATACAAATGGTAGCAAGGTCCATGTGGCCAAGGGAAGGATAAGCTTCCACTTGAGCTCCCAATGTGTTTGGAATACTGCAACCAACATGAGCAAACTGTAAAAAGCGTATAAAGCTGGCAATAAGACCAAGCCAACGAGAATCTTCCATGTGGCTAATATATCACGGCCTGCAATCTTGACAGTCGAGCCCTTGACAGCAGCTAACATCCAACATGGCATATTAGCTCTTCTGTTGAAATGTCACCATGTCAATTGTGTTTCTTTGTTTGTTACCTATGGCTTTCTTCTGACTGATAACCTTGGCTACTATGACAACAGGAAGATTGAGAATTGCTCTATAACGATGAATTAGCTAAACAAATGATAAAGGTTGTATTCTTTGATCGCACTTGACTTACCCTGGGAAAGCCCACAGCGTGAGAAGAGTTAGTATGCATATACGTTTCATCAAGAGTGCCACCGTTCGTCGACCACCCAAATCGGTTTTGGATACTTGGTGGTCCTTGATTCCGTGATACTTGATCATCTGATTATAGGCCAGTACCCGCTGCTGCAAGTCGATAACTTTAGGATCATCCTTGAACAAATTATACCCAATCAGGAACCGCCGGTTCAGATCCACCACTTGAGATATATGCAGTTTTCGGTATGCGGGTTTGTACAATCGCCGTGCTGCTTGAATAAGCTAACAACAGTAGGTCCCGTTTAAATATAGTCAGATTAGGCTTAATGAATCCTCTGCTGGCTACGACAAGGCCCTCTCTCTCTTTTTTTTGTCCTATTATTGCACTATGTACCATCAGTGTTTCATAACTGCCTGCGTTAACTGTCACAGCCTTGAGTGCTCCATAAATGGTATCCAGTAGCTTGCCACATGCCTCTCGTTTGGCATCGGCTCCGAGCTTGAACTTTTCGACAAGATCTTCAGGAATGGTGATAGGATTACCGAATTCGATAACTGCTCGAGAACGGAAACGATGGGCATGAAAGTAGTTGAGACCTAGATTGTATTTTTTTTGTTCATGATGTTTGTTGGTTTAGACCTTTTCATATTAAATCGTCAGGCTGTCTGTTTGTCGCTGTAATGACTTACCGACAGGAACGATCTTGACGTCCAGTCCAGGAAATTTTGCCATGGCACCCAGAGCCATCAAAGTTACGCCAGCTATACAACACGTTAGTAATACGTCATACAAAATTCATAAGTTATGTGAGATCATAGTTAGCTATTGACGGTGTATATTACCTTTCAACGGCAACAGCTCAGCACGATCATGACTGCCACCCTCGGGAAAAATAGTGATACATTGGCCATTGTTAAGCTCGTTGTGTACTGAGTGATATACAGAGTCCTGCTCCACATGAGGCATGCACTTGTACGCTGTACCGTCGTTGGATGTCAACAGATCTAACGCCTTGAGTTCCTTGAACTCCTTTTTGATGATGATTTCGGTATCGGACACGACCTGGACGACTTCGGCTCTGCCTACGTTTTTGGGCAGTGTGATGGAGTCGCGAGGACGCAGTTGGGTAGTAAATTGGGTATCGATGCCAGTGATCCGTAAAGGTTCCGATTTTCGGTTCAGTAGCTGTATCCGCCCTTTTCCGGGGAAAGCGAGATCCTGTGCGCGAGTGACGGGAACTATGCAAGAAATGTTTCAGATCGTTCGTTTCCCATCCCCGCTTCATATACCTCCCCCCCCCTCTCCACACATTCTCTCTCTTTTCACTATCTATCTGTCTCTCTATTTGTGTGTGTGTAGACGATACGCACGACAACTACAACGACATTAGAAGGAAAAAGACACTTACTCGCGTGAACCATTCTGGCGAAAAACCCAATCGTTTTTTCGTGCATTGACTTTTCTGCAATCAATATTGAAGCCCTTCGACCGCACTCTCGCATGAGAATAAGTGGATCGACAAACTAGATTCGTCAGGTTTTTTCTCCTGTTGTATTAGTTTGCTGTCGTTGTGACGCGCCGTTTTTTTTAATATTTGTGTACCTGGTTTGCGTGAGGTGCAACAACGAATATGACAGGGCCTTCTTTAGGCACTCTATGTGCTCCGCGTGGCCGAACTTCTCGAAAGAAGATATCCAGCATGAGGTTAAAGATCCACAAGGCGAGATCGTACGTAAAGCTGTGGGTCCATTTCTGTAACAGTGACATTACGAACGGTGTATAGGTATATAGAAGGGTAAATAGTGCAAAGTTGCTTCTCTGTGTGATAAGAGCTTTATTGCTTTGATCCTTAGATATCGAGAAAGTGTGTGTGTGCGTGTGTGTGTGCGATTGAGAGAGTGAAGGGAAAGAAAGGAGAAAGAAGTGGAAAAGCGTGCCTCAAAGTACTCAAAATAAATACTTGCTGCTTTTTATTCTGGCTGGCAGAGTGCGTATCAAACACTTTGCTTCTGCCTGCGTATTTACCCCGGAGAAAGGCGGGAGAGATGGACTTGCTTGCTGCAACTTATTTTAGGGATTGTTGGGTTCGCGTTTGAATATTGGGGTAACTTTTCCACGGACTGATTGCTACTATCTCACGCCGAATGTATGTGCTCCATGCTTGCTGCTGCTGCTCCATCTTGCAATGATGCACTTTTTGGTCTCTTCCTGAAGACGACGGATAAACGATAAATATATATCGAATCATACAACAATAAGATGGAGAGAGACAGAGTTGAACACAGATCAGCTTGGAGTATCCTTTTCGGGACATTGCTCGTGTTAGACAGCATCTAATATTAGAAAAGTGAACCCTTAATTCCCTATTACACATTCATATGAAAGTTGTTGGACACCATCCACCTCTTACATTTTGCTCGAATGCCATATATAGTCCATGTCGTCCGTGCATTTCACTCTCTCTGTTCTGTATGTAGGCTCCGATTCAATGTATTGCACTTTCATATGATTATGACAATGTAAAAGCTTAAACAAATTAGATAGCGCGATCGTTTTCTGCTGTGTAAAGAGAGCCTCTCTAAGTAAACGGGCTCAATAATCACTTACCCTCACCCCTCCCTTCCCCTTCTTCCTCGTTACAACAACAGGCACTGTAATTATTATCAATAGCATTTCATTCACAATGCTAGTCAAGGGGGGGGGGCATGTCCGCGTACTTTTCTTTTACCTTGATATGACGGCTGGATGTCAGGGTTTATGCATGGTGTACAACGGCTGCTTAAATTAGCTGTCGCTTAAAAATACTATGCATCTCCTATGGTGCGATGGTGCTGCCCCGTACGCGTTGCCGGATTGGTTGTGGTCAACAAGGACGTGTTCGAGAATTGAAAGCGATCGCGTGGTTAGTTATTGATAAGATGGGCTTACAAACTATAGCTGGGCCGCATGGCGCGTGTGAGAGGCCCGACGGGACCGACAACTTGGGTTACTTTATATGGGTTTGTCAAGTGCAACTGAACGCTTCGCCCTTTCCTCTTTTCTTTTTCTTATTTCCCGTTTCAAAACTCTTGCGATTCCTATATTCGCCCCAGAAAAAAAAGACAAGTACACAACACTCATTATTTAAAGCAACATGGATTCACCAGCGTCCAATGAAGAACCAGTACCTTCACTGAATGGGTCACCTACAAGTAGCATTGCCGATGAGGATCTACTCGAGTTTGAACATGACCTTGACATGATTGACGGATGGACAACAGCCGACTTTGTGTCAGAAAACGACTTTGACATGATTGACATGCTCTCTGCGGCACTGGAACAAGTGACACACCAACTGAACGAAAAGCAGCGCGAGTTTCGGGCACGGTCGAGCGAGTGGACCAATAAGACCAAGGATAAGCTACGGATGCAGACATCTCGTCTTGAACAACGACGGACAAAGATCCAAAGCAGGCTGATGAAACAGTACGACTCTATCAATGAACGCATGAATCGCGACGCCAAGACGGTGCGTTTGCGAGACAAGATTTCGTTTGTCGTCGGTGTGGGCAACGCGTGCGTGTCGCCTGCATTGGCGGCTCGGCTGCCGACGTGGATCCCGCTGTACTACACGATCCAGTCGGTTTATCTGTTGTCGCTACGTTACCTCATTTACAAGGTCCGAAAATGGCACTATTTCATCTTTGATCTGTGCTATTTCGTCAATGCCATGACGTTACTCTTCCTCTGGTGCTTTCCTTCGTCCACTCCGCTTTTCATCGCCACCTATTGCTTGACGAACGGACCGGTGGCCTGGGCCATTATCACATGGTAGGTGCATTCTTTATAAAAGGCTGCCGATGGATGGACGCATGGGGATGGCAAAGGAGTGTAAGAGTATCTCTCTCACACTTATTATTGCGTTGGGTATACTAGGCGCAACTCACTTGTGTTTCATTCGCTCGATAAGGTCACCTCCGTGTTTATCCACATCTTTCCTGCACTCGTCACATACACAATCCGATGGCTACCGGAGCTGGATTGCGGCAACGCGGCACCAGAAATCTATCGCGACATGCGATTCCCAGCACTCAAGGACGCCAGTGACATGAGCTTTCGGGACACCATGGTCTATTCCATGGTTGGTTACTCGATTTGGCAGGCGCTGTACTTTGTGTTTATCATGGTGCGCAGACGAGAAAAGGTTGAGTCGGGCCTGCGGGTGACCTCGTACTCGTGGCTCCTGGATGACTCGCACGGACAGCGTGGCTTGATCCAAAAGGCTTCGTTTATCTTTGGCGCCAGATACAAGATGTACATGTTCATGTTCCTCCAGTTTCTCTATAATACCGTGACAACCATACCCACGTACTTTTTGTACAAGAGCTTCTGGCTGCATACCCTGTTCCTCATGGCCATGTTCACTGCGAGCATCTTTAATGGTGCGAGCTTTTATATCGAAGTCTTTTCCAGACGCTATGTCGTCGAGGTCGAGAAGCTGGTTGAACGGACAAATGGATCGCCCGACAAGGCCAAAACTACGTAATTCTTGATTATTTATGCCGCGCAACGGGATCTGAATCGGTCGAAGCAAATTGGCGGATGGGCAACGGTGACGACGATTGTTAGACAGTTCTATATCACACACATATCCTATGTCATATGTCATATTGAGGTCAGAACGTTATTACGTTAGACGGGCTCTTTCAATCTTTTCTTAATCTGTACTTTTTTATTGTCAATGTATTCTTCTCTGCAATCAAACGAAGATCAAGTAATGTGTATATCTTGGATGCTCAGAGTCTCAGAGAAAGCCGGGGCTGTAAAGAGAGCGGTATTAAAAACCTAGGCAACCCATTTTAGCATTAAATTGATTGGCATAGTTACACAAATCCTCTCTTTTATATAACGCAAGCGTATCTTTTTGTAAATGAAGGGTTAGGGCAAATACCAGTTTTGCTACGCATGTATCAATGCACTGTGCTTTTAGTCAGCAAAAATTCTTCTCAAATGAGATGTCAGGAGACCAAATTAATGAATGTACATCATATTTGATGAAGAAAAAGGGTATGTCAATCAAAGCGCATGTGTACATAACCTCTAAAGCTGACATCCATTGATAATATGTATGCTACATACTACGTGGTCACATCCGGAAGAAAAACAACGCTGATGATGTGCCTGGCATTCTTACTGCGAAGGAGGATTGCTTATATGTAATACATGATCCTTTATGCTGTCGTGGTATGTGTACCTGAACTAACAGCACCATTTGCGAATCAGCAGTTAATTCATTAATAAGGGTTTCTAGAACATCTTTTTCTTTCACAGCCGTGTATCGCGCCACACTAGATTAAGCTTCATATAATTTTCAAGGTGGTAACCAATCGTTGAAAATGAAATTGTAAACTGTGTGTATGTGACACTAGGTATATACGTTGGAATATTGCTGTATACAAAGACCCTATATTGCTAGCTTCTACGGTGTGCAATATTCAGAAAGTTATTGGACCATGTTTTGATCGGCTGTCATGCAGGCTCCGTAGAAGGCACTAGTAGCAAGTCCCCGCGGCACAGTATCAGTTTATAGATCTCATAAAATTGATTTAAATGAATTTTTTGTGGGCAGATTTGCATTTCTGCCCGGGCTCATGACACTCTCTTCAGTGACCACAACCATGCTATCGAAGACTGACAGAGCAGCTATTGGGGAGAGATTCCAATGATGATAGTGGTGATTGTCATTAATAAATAATGAACGGAGGGAGAACCTGTATGATGTGGGAGTGAACAGAATCAAATCTGATAGAAAAAAGACAGGAGTAAAGAAAAAGGTGGATGACGATGATGATCGTCGCTCTATTTTGTGGGGAGAGACAGACAGTCGTGTCACAAAAGAAAAGAACCCTGGCCTATCATCATTCCACACACACGCACACACCCAAATTTTTTATGCAGTCAAACTGGTTTTGTAAGACAAGCAGAATATTTTTGGGTAGTAGGTAGTAATGCTTGGTTGTTGGGGGAGGGGGGATTTATCCGGAGCGTGGCAAGACGGAGAGAAAAGAGAGGCAGAGACCGAGAATGTATACATAAAATGCCAAAACACAAAAAAAAGACTCCTTAGATTCATCGCTGAGTTGCAGCAGGCCGAGAACCTCTCTCTCTCTCTCTCTCTTGTGCCTCCTGAACAGTGTCTACTGCTACTATGTAAATGTGTCTCCTGGAAGATCGCATATATGTCTGTATTATGTGCTATGCAGTCTACACACTCTATTATACGGTGTAAACAGAAAACGACCACGAGATATTACATTATATTTTGTGGCGACACTTTTTTTTTATCTCGTAAACCAAGAACAACCCTTAAAAAAAACCTTCTTGTACACACAGAATGAGGTATGTGAGCGTGTGTTCCCCATTGTTGTCAAACTGGGGATTCAAGAACTTTTGCTATTGAGCCATAATTTCTAATTATCTCTTCTTTCCTTCGATTGTCGAAATTTGGGGGAGAGGGGAGGTCTGAATAGGTAAGCAGGTAGGTAGGCAGATAGGTAGGTCGAGGGTGGGTAATTTGTCGAGGAGGGACTTTGTTATCCTTAGCAGTGGGGGACCCCATCAACTGTCATCCACTCATTTTTTTTTGTATTTAAATACGATAGGAGCCAAATAGAACGGGCTATTCTCTCTTTCTCTTTTCCCTGCTTCCTTGTTCATACATAGCAATTGTATACACCATTCTACATAATCACCAGCACCAGTATATCATATCTCCCCCACTATGGTTACCAACGTCCACCGTCGACTGAGTGCCTTATCACTCAAATATGCTTTTGACGAACAGCGCTCTTTTCTATCTCGCGGATTCCAGAAGATTTTCGTACAACAACCTCCCAAATGCATTAGCAATGACAACACCACAAGCACAAGCACAAGCAGCAGCAGTAGCAGCAGTAGCAACAACGATGATATATCCTCTTACTCATCTGAAGACGACCAGTTCTCCCCTTCCGCTTCGCTTACACCCTCCACTTCATCTTACTCTGTGCCATCATTTTCAGACGATTGCTGTGATATCAGCACCGTTGCTACTACAGCTAGTACTACGGATGCCATTCTTTGTATGGGCGTTGTCTTTGTTTGGTTACACATTCAATTACAGCTCGCCATTCTACTACAAAGACCCTCAGCAGTTACTACGCCGTTGCCATTGACAACAACAACCACTGTCACCAAGAGCCAGTTATTCAACCCAAAGCCATTGTTGCCATCGCGATCCCCGGGGCCAGATATGCCACCCGTCGCTGACCTTGTGAGAAGCCAAGTCAGTCTCGAGACGGCCGCCCTTTGGACACAGCACGAACACTTGCCTCAGTGCCCCTCCTCGTCGCGTCGTCGTCGCCAACTATGCAGTAACAATCACTATGCAAGTACTATCGACAACGACGACAACGACGATAATCATCAAGCAGCAGCAGTGCGAAGCCTCGCTCAAGATGTGCTGGCATACCTTGAAGAGTTCTCTGGAGACGTGGCACCCGAGTTGGAGGCACTAAAGCCCCAGCTCGAGACCTATGTTGCCCTGTAAATACCATAAACTGCTTCTTCTTCTTCGTCTTGTTCCTGTACTTGCTCTCCCTCCCTTAAACTCTCCCCATGCTTCCTTGCTTTTCATTTTCACTGCACACACACACACACACAATTTTGCTTCTCTACTTCACTGCACATATTTTTTGTTTATTTTTTTTTCATCTTGTTGGCATTGCTCATATGTATTCTGCACACACTCACACATGCATTCTTTTCCCTCTCACACCACTCGCACGCTAATGTAATAAATCAAACTTTGCACAGACTTGTCACTCTTTTTGTTTCCCAATTAAAGCACACAAAGTAATAATACTTCTCCTTAAATGCGCGCGCTCTCTCTGTCTGTCTGTCTCTTTCTCTTTCTCCCCTCGTTTCGGAGCCGCTCCCGTCCGTATCAGATAAGGGGGGGCGGGCGGGGAGGGGGCTACAGTTACAAAAAGTGGGTTGTCTTTCTAAAGTATATCATGTATGTACAAATGCGAATCTCTTTTTTTTTTTTTGCTTGCATATCTCTAATCATTTTTCTTTGCAACTTTACCAATGCTACTGCTGCTGCTACTCTTACGCACGGGCCTTGAGCGCAGGAATAATCTTGGACTCAATTCCGTCCATGTCCGAGACTGCTTCTGCGAGTCGTCCTTGAGCATACTCTGCTTGTCCACCACCGCCACCTTTGACGCTCTTGAGCACGTGTCGCAATATCTAGTTTTGTACATCTAACGTGTGGGTATCTCTACCGTAGCATCTCTCTCTCTCTCTATATATATATACTAGAAAAAAACTAAAAATAGCGCATTTACCGAGTTGGCCGTGTGGTCCTGGATCTTGGAAGTGTTGACAGCAACCACGATCGTGTTCTTGCTGAGCAAAACATGCGCATACCCCGCCTGCGTTTCCTTCAAGACATTGGCACGTTTCTGCATAAAGCCAGCATCCAGGTCGCTGTCGATCAAATGGACTCGCACAGGAACCTTCGTATTGTTCTCCAGCTGCGTTTCAATGGGGTGCACAATCACTTCACCTGCTGTTGCTAACTTTTCTGTAACCAAGTCCAGTCGTTTCTGAATGTCACGGGTCTGTTGCATGCTTTTCTCTAGTTTCGCTGCTGCATCTTTGGTGCTGCTAGCCTGTTACTTTTGTATAAGCATTGCATGATCTTTTCTTTTTCTTACTGCTCTATTTGGCAGAGGTTGCAACCACTCCTTACCCGTAGCATCTTTAGGATATCAGGCACGGGCTCGTAGGTCTTTTTGTACCATTCAATGCATGCTAGTCCCGCAACCGCCTCGATACGACGCGTGCCTAACATGTTTCCGGGAAGAGCTTGTAAGCTTTTCGGTATGTGAAAAAAAGGGGGCCAGCACCATGACAGTGTACATTTTAACACTCACCAGCTGCAACCGAGGTTTCGTTCAAGATTTTGAATGGATATAGTCGACGCACATCATCGACATGGGTGCCTCCACATAATTCCCGGCTTACGCCCGGCACTTCAATAACTCGAACCATCTCCCCATATTTTTCGGAAAAGGCTGCAATCGCACCAGATTCCACAGCATCTGTAAGTTTCATGTGCTACACGTAAACATTAGCTTTGTGTGACATCCACCGAATCTCTTTTTTTAAGAAGGTGGCCAATGCTTTACTTGAACGTTTGTAGCACCACCCGCCTTGCTAGCATCATTGATCCATCTTTCAATGGCATCCAACTGAGATGGCGTCAATGGCTTGCCGTAAGTGAAATCGAATCGCAGTTTATTGGGTTCCACCGTCGAGCCTAATGCATGCACGTACATTATTGATCAGCAAGGCCTTCCCTCTCTCTCTTCCGCGTAACCTTTCCATTACGCTCTATATGTTTCAGCGAGATATATATTTACCTGCTTGTACGATATCTGTTTTCAGAATAGCTCGAAGACCGGCATTTAATAAATGTGTAGCAGTGTGATGTACTTCAGCTCCTGTACGCTTCTCCAAATCCACTGAAGTCTGTACTAGTTGACCGGCCTAAATAATAATAAACCCGCACCTTTTTAAGCTAATTTTATCTCTTTTTCCAATGAATGTTGTTGTATGTTTTGAGTTTACCTCGAGGAATTCCTTGTCTTGCTCCAGTTTTCGGTCGATATTCTTAGCGCCATCTGCCGGCGCAACTCGAAGAGCAATACCACCCTCATAGGGCTGAAATACATCGAGCACGTGCCATTGGCTTCCATTGGCCAAAGTAAGTGAGCCACTGTCAGGGATCTGACCACCGCCCAAACCATAGAATGGACATGGATCGATCGACAAGGTCACATCCGTTTTTTTACCTTGAAAGAACAAGTCAGTCTTCTTTTATATATATATATATCACATCGAGTGGTTGGTGAAAATTTTACCCTTTTTCGTTGCCTCTATTGCCACAATTTGAGACTCTTGATGCAATAAGTCGTGGTTGTATCCAGTGAACTGTGGAAGAATATTCATGTTGCGCCATTCTACAAGTTTGTTTTGTATTGAGTATTGCTGTTTTTGCTGTTTGTCAGGCAGCTTTTGCCACTCGATTGGGTTGGTGGGCGGGTCACTTACCTGACAATCTAGCCTTGTCGAGCGCATTATCCGCTTTCCATGATTCTCGTCCTAGTGCCTTTTGCTTTTCCTTAAGAGCCTCGACAGCTAACATGAAAAAAAATGAGTGGTTCGTTCCAATGATCCATTATTTGGAGAGATAGAGCTATTACCCTTCATGTCCACAGTCCATCCCTTTTCTTGCGCAATAATTAAAGTTAGGTCGAATGGAAATCCAAACGTATCATAGAGCTGGAACGCGACATCTGGTGGAATTGTCTTGCTTTTCTGATGGTCGGGGTGTGTAAAGACATTGTTCAGAAGCGACAAGCCGCGATTCAGCGTTGTCAAGAAAGTAGCTTCTTCGTTGGCAACGACGTTGCAGATCGAGGAGGCACGGCTGGCGAGTTCCGGATAGGAGCCGTCCACAAAGCCTTCCAGTAGGTGAGGGTATAATTCCGTCAAGAATGGTTCTATAATTCATGATCCCGCAGTTAAGTACGTACAAACTTTCTTTTTGCACAAACACAGAACAAAAAAATTAGAAAGCTTACCATTCATACCCACTTGATGAGCCGACCGCAATGCTCTTCGGATGATGCGTCGTAATACATAGCCTCGTCCTATGTTGCTATATATATATATACAACATATCATTTCCCTTTGAGAAAAAAACTTTGACTTATCGTTACTTTATGTTTCCCCTCGCTCTCTATGTGTACCTTGGTACGACACCGTCGCTAATAAGGAAGCACATTGCACGGAAATGATCCGCGATGATTTTTTCGTGCGCGGTTGGATCGTCCGAAGAAGACACCTATGAAAGATGTTGCCCCAGTGAATATCAAACTTGCTGTCCAATACATCCACATCCCATCACTTTGACACCATGCACCCAGTCCACATACCGCAACGTTCTTGCTCTTCAAGACCTGACGAAGCCCACCAATCAAATGTCGAAACTGGTCGATCTGAAAGTTGTTGCGCTTATCTTGTAAAACGGATGCCATACGCTCCAAACCCATGCCAGTGTCGATACAGGGCGTAGGAAGCTTGGTAAGCTTGCCGTCAGCCGTCCGATAGTTTTCCATAAACACCAAGTTCCAAATCTCCAACCATCTGTCGATTGAGTTTCATGTTTTCAGCTTGTGTTTTTTTTTGGGTCCTTGAGCAGCAAGAAGTGTGTCTATGTAAATCCTCTTTACCTCTCATCCAAACTGTCGTCCATGGTATCCCAGAAAATTTCTGTGCAGGGTCCACAGGGTCCTTCGCCGTCACCCATTGACCAAAAGTTATCTTCCATGCCGCATCTGACAATCTTCTCGTCAGGCAAACCTTGCTTTTTCCAGAGTTGATATCCTTCCTCGTCATTTTCTAGTACACTAAAGATTTTGTTCTTGGTCAGTTCCCAAGTTTCCCTCCTTTTTTGTTCGGTTATAGTATGTACTTGCGTTACTCGAAGACGCGACAGTGGCAGTTCCAGCTCCTCCAACAAGAATCGCCACGATAACGCGATCGCCTCTTGTTTACCATAACCACCGAATGAAAAGTTGCCCAGCATTTCGAAAAACGTGTGATGCCGTGGAGTATAGCCGACATTGTCGAGATCGTTGTGTTTACCACCAGCGCGCATGCACTTTTGTACACTCGTTGCGGCACTATAGGGTGCAGTGTCAGGTTTCATAAAGTACTCCTTGAATGGCACCATGCCTAATAAAAGAGAGGTGACACACATTTGTTTCAAACGAGCTTCTTTCTTCTATCCATGAAGGCATACACATCAACGGAGGTAACGTTGATTGAATGGACGTACCTGCATTTGTAAACAATAAACTCTTGTCATTGTGAGGAATAAGACTGGCACTTTTAACGCGAGTGTGTCCTTGCTTTTCAAAGTAGTCGACAAAGCGTGAACGCAGCTCGGGCGAGGACAGTCGTTGGATAAAGCGAGCAGGTTGACATATGTGAAGTCCACGACGGGGACCAGCCCGCAGTATGCCGACTTTGTACATAGCTGAGAGAATAGTAAGTATCAAGGTCTACGAGAAATTTTTACGCCCTGATTATGAAGTTCCGTCTGGAAATAGCCACCACAGGTACGAAAAACGTCTGTGCAGACCAAAAGACTCAGGGTTGACCCTGTTTCTGTGCATACGCTTAATGCGACAAAGATGCCACTCGACTTTTCTAAGTTTGTCTATTGCGCTTGTTTATTCCGGCTTCCTCTTTCTTCCCCACCCATCCCCCAGGTTTCTGCAGATAACGGAAACCAGGAATTTGCTTGTCTTGCTTTTTCTTCGGCGGCCGGCTGAGCCGGTTAAACTTCTCGCGTGGAGTCCGTGCAGATAGGACTGGAAACGTTTAGCCTAACATACTCTTTCTTGTGTTCCCGTGTGCCATACTTTGTTGTGCTACATTACAAACTAAAAGAGTCATTGGGCCGGAGAAGAATTACCGGCGTTGCACTGAGTGACAAAAGCGGTGATCGCCCGTCGAAGCTCATAGATGGATGGCTTGTCCTTTGCATTGACCACATATGCAAAACAGCCCCACGTCTCATGAATAGCGTCAAGAAGCTAAATAGATGCGGCACGGCTATAGCGAGATGCAAAGCTTAAAAGAGATAAAAGAAAGAGCGATCTGCATGGCCTTGAAAACTATTAGAAAAGCGTGTAAGATAATTGTTTTTCCTGTCCGAAAATTGCCGGTAGGTAGGTCGTGGCCCGTCGTGGGTCCCCCTTTTCTGAGACTCCACACTTGGCCCCCGCCACCCAGCAGCCAGCCCTCTTTATCACAAAAGCGCGCGCGTGTGTGTGTGTGTGTGATGACATGTAACAGACAACGGAAGCGTTTTCGTTTCTGAGACGCTTGAATAGAGTCACTGCGGTCACGAGAAGAGTGATCTCCCGCCTAGTTAGAGTCATAACGGAAAGGTGGGGCATCGGAAGAGGAGAGGGGAGGGGGGCCAATGCTAAAGACAGGGCACCCAACATTTCTGACGACCCAAGAGTATTTAGTTCCATTCTTCAGAGCAGGACCTCGAGGACCAGAATGAGCCAAGGAATTTGGCCAAAGTAAACCCTCCAGCGCGCTACGCATCCACGAAGGTTTCTGATTTTCTCATTACAAACATATATTTTGCACTTGGCGGGTTTCCTCCTCCGCAACAACAACCGACCCAATTTTTTTCAAAATTCTACAAAGTCAGCAAAGCAAACAAAGTGGTCCACTCTCTTTCTCTCTCTCTCTCTCTCTTCTCCCTTCTTTCACCTCTTCCACATCCCCTCGCTTCTGGAAACGCGTCGTTTTCCACACGCCCACCTTTTACTAACACAACAAAAACACACCCTCCCCACTCTCCCGCCCTGTCTGGTGTCTATCCTTGTTGTTCTAATGGACGACAGCAACCGTGCAACCACCGCTACAGATAATTTGGTGTCACCATCTTCTACCACCACATCGTTGGCAGCTGCCATTGTTGCAGCCACCCTCGCCGCGACCTCTCCACAGTCCAGACAGACCCAGTTCTGCGTCAACGATCTTCTGCATCCAACAGATAAGGCTGAATCATTACTGGAATCCTTGACCGCCGAGCAGCTGAGCATAATTGAAAAGACGCTGAACAAGATTAGAGAGAAGAAGAAGACGACGACGACGACGACAGGTACCACAAGTTTCCGACAATCTCCTTTTGTAATCATCTATCTTTTATGCTAAAACGCAGTCTCTCTCTCTCTCTCTCCTTTGTTGATTCTGCAGTGAGTCCTCCACTATCACCATCATCATCATCATCATCATCATCACAACAGCCACAGGATGTATGGAGTAGTGCCGCCACTCAAGTAGCAATGGCATTGGCAGATGCGATATCGGCAGTGGACAAGACCGATAATGACAATGGCGATGCTGAAATATCAACACCACCATCACCCTCAACAGCATCATCATCGTCATCGAACACCAATGACAATACAAACAGCACTGATGGAACTGTCTCACACCATGAGCCCCTCACTGAAAACCGCGACGGGGTCGAATGGGTCAGCTTTGTGTATTCGCATCATCGGATCCTTCGACAATACTGCATTCGAACGGATCTGGACAAGGTGAACGTCAACCAACTCGACGAAACGTTCAAGCGCGATAACTGCGTGAGTAATGCTGCGTTGTACAATAAATCCTCGTTGTGCGAGCGGATAGATACAGGGAGTGCGTTTTGAAAACGTCTTTTTTTTTCTCTTGTTTTTTTGCCATCCCCATTGTGGTTTTGGTTTCCTCTGTTCTACTACAAATGCATCATATGGGGATAACGGGGAGCACAATTTGCAACAGAGGATTTTGAACGCATACACACATCGCAAAAAGGAAAACCAGTGTCACTGATCTTCAAATACTCTTCTTTCTTCTTTGGAAATTTCAGGTGTATCCACGTGCCAACCTCCCGCGTGAAACGTATCGCGGCAATCGATGGGCGTACGAGACCGAATGCAATGTCTTGGGATGGAAGCTTGCGAGCTTGAATGCTAACGAGATTGCTGGCAAACGAGGCCTTATCCAGCGCGCAGTCGATTCTTACCGGAACCGTTATCCGAGTATGCGGTCAAGACGCGTGGCACGACAGGAGAAACTGCTGAACGGGACACTTCGTAAACGCAAACTTCGCGAGTCCGAGAACGACCATCATCTCCTCTGCCATGCCGACGAACCAGCTGACAAGATGCTCAAGACCATGGCCTCGATGGAACAGCAACAGCAACAGCAGCAGCAGCAACGATATCTGCCAAAGACAATCTCTATCGACGACGGACCGCAGGGCACGAAATGTCGGATACGGATCAATGTCGAAACTGTGCCCCTGGATGTGATTGATGCGCCATTCCGGAAAAGCAACTGTGTGTTTCCACGCGCTATCAACATCACGGCCAACACGCCTGCAGTGACGCAACGCCAGCTCGATGAGGCACGATGCAACGAACTGGGATGGAAACTGGTAGCGTAAACAAACATGGCCTTTTGCGAACTTATGGTATACGATCCGTCGTGTTTGTTTGTTGTGTTTGTCTGACTGACATGTGTGTGTGTGTGTGTGTGCTGTGTTGCCTCCTTTTCTTTTCCCAGGCTTGGCTGAATCCACGGCAACTTGCCAATCGCAAAAGCCTGCTGCAGCGTGTGCTCGATATTTACCGGATCAAATTTGCGCCCCATCTCAATCCTCGCAAATATGCTTCTCGGATGCCTCCTGCGCCCTTTGCGCCACCGCCACGGTCTGAACAACCACTCAAGCTGACCGCCGAGACGCTTGCCGCCCAACAGCAACAGCTGGCTGCCCAAGAAAAGCGTCAACAGCAGCGTCGGCAAGAAGACGAGGAATCCATCTTTAGTGGAACCACCGTCTCACTTGACTTTCGCGACTGCTTCTCCCCTCCTCCAGAAGTCGCAGATGAGCCTGTCTTCCTTGAAGACGACGACATCGACGATATCCAACAACAACAACAGCAGCAGCAGCAAACAACACCTCAACCACCACCTCCACAACAACAACAACATCAGCATCAGCAACCATCCGCAGGTCTCCTTTCCAACGCCAATCTTGCGGATTACGCGATCGATCATCTCATGTTACCCGCATCCAGAGGCGATCTCATGTTATGTCAAGGAAATGATAGTCAAGATGTGGTGGCCGCCGCGGCTGCAGCTGCAGCTGCAGCTGCCGCATCAGCGCAGGATTTTTGTGCCGCAGACGACATGAGTTGCCACTTGAGCGTCGAGACCAGCAGTAGTGGAACCAGCAGCAGCAATCCATCGAACCATAGCTCCCCACGCCATCAACCTACCATGGTCGGTATCGTTGACAATGATTTCTACAATGCCACAGAGTTCTTGATGGACGGTAGTGGTCTGTCATTATTTGGCCAGCAAGAACGGGCGACGGACGAGCTACTCAAACGATACATAGACGAACATGATATGCTTACGCCAGGCGATCCACATATTGGCTCCCGGATGATGGATGATGACGATGTTGTGCTGGGCTACCTATCCACAGACTCTTTACTGAACCAACTATTCTGATCACATAATCCCATTCTCTCTCTCTCTCTCTTTCTCGCTATTTATGCTTTCATTCTTTTTTCTTCTAAGCGTTCCCTCCAATAATACCTTTCATACGACAACCATTTCCTAAAGAAAAACTTTACATTTGTTTAATCTACATTCATATCCCCCCACCCCCTCGACTACACACCCAATCCTTTTATTTTTTTTCTTCTTCTTCTTTCTGTATATGTATAATAATAGCAACCAACAAAACAAACAGAATACAACATATAAACCACCCAGGCGGTAGTTTCACTCCCAGGATCGACGAAGGAATGGATGTGCCTCGGTGTTGAGGACAAATTTGTCTAGCGAAATCAGTTCGGGTGGGCTGAAAAGTAAATAGAGGTATTTCATCGTTTCTGCAAACAAAAAACTAACCAAAAAACAAAAAAGAATGAACAATTATCAGATGGTGCCTTTATCGCATGTGTGGATGAGTTCTCTGGATCTACTACTACTACTACTACTACTATGCGGTAGTAGTAGTAGTCCTTTGCATTACCTTTCCATAGAGTCCATCTTGCTCGTCTCTTTGTCATCCACATTGTAAATGGCAGCATAGGCCGCATCCGTCTTGCAATATGTCTCTAACGACTGGAATATTTCCCATCCATACTCTTGGTACTTTGGGTCTCCGGTGATACGATACAGGATATAAATGCTTTCAAGTGTTTCTATAAATCGTGCACACATAGAAAGGGCGTGTATTTTTTAAGTTTTTTTTTTTTGAGTAGGAAAATCCAAAAACGCCTGTGTTTTACCTGGCCTTAGCATGTACTTTTTATCGCCTGCGCGTAAACCGTTAGGCCGGGGCAATTTTGCAGGAGCCAAGGCTGTAGCAGACCAGGGTTGGAGCAAATCAGACCATGACGATGTTGAGGACGCAGGCTCATGTGGCTGGTATACTCCCTCTGCGTACCACCATTCGCGAGAATGTTTAATTTCATCCTTTGAACGGGCATATGTCAAAGGATTATACTTGTCCGTGTCTGAAGCAAACCACGTTTCTGGACATAATCCAGTCTCTGAGCTGCGATACATGTAAACGCATGTCTCCAACAATCCTTTTGCAATCACCATATCCTCTGGTCGATCAAAGATCTGAGCGCCCATAGCCAACATGCCCGGAACAAAACATGTCAGATGATCCATAAAGTTCTTTGCCTGGCCTGACCGAGTATCGTACGGCGGTAAGAAAAGAAATTCGGTCCCTGGCAGTTGTCTTAGCATGTGATGCTTCATGCTGTCAATGGACCGGGTATCTGCATTTTCCACCTCAAGGTTATTAATGCAAACCAACTCTCCGTATACTTTCTTTGTAAAACCAGCAGCAGTAAAGCTTACATAGGTACCCATATTGCGGTATGGAGCCGTCCGTAAGGATATACTCCTTTAGAAAGTATTCGTACACGCTATCTCCCATCGCTCCAAAACTGCAGGTGGCTTGGATCACATGTCAGCATAATAAACGATGTTCCTGATGCCCGTTTCCCTCCACCTCTCCACATATATACGTACAGTCGGTAAATCGGCCTTTATCCGCTCGCAAGCCACTTGGATACAGTCCGGGAAGGTACATGCCATGCTCGTATCCGGCGCTGTCAATAAAGTCGGTGATGATTTGCGCCTTTTCTGCGTAAACCTGGTTTTGCGTGTGCAGTGCCAATGTCAAAAGCTCCAACTGCAGCGTGCCGACTTCAGCAATAAGGGTATTATTGCCAGGCGCCAGACCCCTGGATACATAAAGTATATATAGAACCCCACAATTAGCTCATATACACCCTTTTCTTCCTTCCTTTGCTCAGGTCACACAGGTCGCGCTCTCTATTACATGATCACTTTGGGAACCAAAAAGAAAAGAAGACACACACATACATACTTGACTGGATTCCATTCGTGCGGCGGTAAGCCTGAAGGTGTTTCGAAAGCAGGCAGAAGCGCTTGCCCCAGCTCATCTGCTTTTTGAAGCAGTATTGGGTGTTTCTGATTTGTCAACTCGTACGCAGATAGCAGACCACCGAGGTACCGGATCGTTGATTCGAACACGCTGACTTTTTGGTCCACTGTGAAATTGATCTTTGCCAATTCAGGTAGAGCTTCCTCAAACTCCTCATGGAGCTCCATCACCACCAACGTACTAAGCCCATCCACCAGACTTGCCCCCCAGCCTCCAAACGGGTTTTTGTATTGTTGCGAAACAGGCATGAGCTCATCATGACCCTTGGCGTATTTCACTGTTGTCACAGAATCGTTATAATACTGTATACACACATACTGCTTGCTTGCTTCTTTTGTTTGTTTGTTCTGCTGCCAGCTGCTTGTTTTACAATGAAAAGCAGAAAAGCAATACGTACTATATCCCTTCCATGCATGTACAAACGCCTTTTTCACTTCTGACTGCCGGTATGGATCTGTACGAAACGCGAAATCTTGTCTTTGTATTGGTGGTAAACTCGATTCAAAGGTGTCGATTCCGTAAAGTGATTGTGTTGTTGAGTCTTGGTCTTTTGGTTTTGGCTGATACTGCTGTTGGATCTGTGCTCTTGGCTGCGTCGCTAAGATCCAGCATTGTGCAAGAATAAACGCTGTACCGAATCCAATGAACACGAGTCTCCATCGATATGGGATCCTTGATATCATGGAGGAAGTCATATACTTTGGCAGATTATGTGAGTAAATAGAGAAAAAGATGCTCCTTTCTACAAAAAAAAAAAAAGATGCTCCTTTTAAACTATATATTGTGATGCACAATTATTTAAGTTTGTGTCACACAAGCTCATGCAACCCCTGAGAGAGAACTCTAATCCCCGGGTTCTTTTCTCCAATTTTATATTCTAAAGCATGCTGAAACTCCATCAACGTTATAATAAGAAATGACAGTATCGGACAATATATAACATACCAAAACTATACAGCAAAGAAACTCAAGAATTCCGTAGCGAACATGAAGACAAGAGGTCCTAACTCTTTCTTCTCCCAGTTCAGCTCATGGCTATAACAAAAATAGACATTTTTTACGAATTCATGATACATTATGTTGATGCTCCGTAACATGTATGGCAAATTGATCCAAGGCGCCGGAATGATCTAGCGGTTAATGTAACAATTTTCTATTTCCATATACTAAAAAAAAGAGATAGTGTGTTTGGCCTTAAATCCTAAGTACTTAAGCTGTAACAAATCATACATGAACATAAAGACTTGTATACTATAGATGAGCGAGAGCCTGTTCTTTTATAGCTTCCTCATAATGAGGAAAAGTGGCATCTTGTTGAACATTAGCGGACAAGTACGTACTTGTGAGTGTCTCTCTCAATTCCGAATTGCCATAGTATTATTTTGTCGCGTGGTACAAAAACCTGAAAGACGTTCTGGAAACGGCAACTTAGTAAGCACCTCTCTTTCCTTACTAGTTCAATTGCACACATCGGTTTGTCATCCCACAGTGAGGCTACGATCAGCTGGTGAAATTGTGTATATCATACCAATACGAGCATTGATCGCTACATGTATCTGTAAATTATCAGCCTTGAGTTATACACCTAGACGCGAACTCTTTTGATCCATTGGTCTCAACACATAATAGTAAGTTACTGTAATTATGACTATATTTTGTTACTGGTATCTCCAACTTCAACAGGTCATTCACAACAAGCCATCAACATTGTCTACGGTAAAAAAAAATTATGCAAACAGAGAGCGCATAAATCAAACGCAAATCCGTAAAGATTATAAAGTAAAAAAAAATGAAATTTTGTGCTCTTTTTATTCTGAATAGTTGCTTTCACAAGTAAAGTCAAAAATGAAGAGAAACAAAAATTCTGCAGAAAGTGTTTAGTTTCTGGAGCAACCGGTCTTCTTGGTAAGCTCACTTGGGCAAGTGACTTCCTTGAAGGAGACCGATGGGTTGTTGGCGTTCTTGAACCAGTTGAATCTCCATTCGCAGCCGGCCTGCAGCTGCTTGGGAAGGTCGGTACAGCCGCTGGCAGAGTTGAGACCGCCGTAACGCTCACCCCAGCCGTTCGAGGGAGCATTCCACTGGGACTCGCAACCGTTAAAGATACCGACACCACCACCAGGGATTTGAAGATCAAAGTGGTTGCTACCGAGATCGCCACCGGTGTTGGTGACCTGGACGACCATCTTCTTGCCGTCGATCTCACCCGAAGTGAAAGTGAGCTCGTAACAGCCGCAGCACCAGCCAGATTCATCCAAGCCAGCAATCGAAGCAGCAGCGAAACCGTACGAGAGGTTTTCATTGACCTCCCAAGGCTGGTTGTCGGTGCACATGTAGCCACCGCCGCCATTGCAACCGCTCTGGAGAGAAAACGAAAAGTTTTCATGAGTATACTAGTATGATATGACATGATTCATTTGCTGCTGTTCTTTACATACTTGTTCATTGGCGTCAGCCAACGTAACACCGTCAGCAGCACAGACGCTCACGGGTGATGAAACAGAAGCCTTGTCAGGCCAGCTGCACGAGGCCTTGCAGCAATCCCAGTAACGAGTGGTCGAGCCATCACCAGCCTTGCCGCCAGAGACAGCCGCATAATCGCTACCACTGCTGCTGTCGCTAGTGCTTGTAGCAGCAGCGCTAGAAGAAGTGGTGGTGAGTACCTCTACTTCGTCAGTAGTGGTGGTCTTGCTAGGAGCAGCGGTTGTCGTAGACTTGGGGGCCTCGGTCGTGGTGGTTTGAGCAGCAGCAGTAGTAGTAGTCTTTGAGGAAGCAACTGTGGGTGGTACACGAACAGTTGCGTATAAATACATGAGGTTACACCGGACATATGCGTTTGGCGTTTTGACTATGTGAAATAAGGTAACATACCACCAGGCAAGCATTGAGAGTAGTACTCGTTGTTTTCCTGAGGAACGCAGGTCGAGCCTTCAGCGCAGCAAGTCGTGCCTTGCCAGTGCTTGCCACCACACTGGCCGTAGATAGGGCTACATTCGCTCGAAGAGCCGCTGCTTGCAGGATAAGCGCTGACGAGAGCGACAGTAGCCAAAAGTCCAAGGAAGGTTGTCTTCATCTCTGTAGTTTTGTTATGTGATAATAGGTAAAACGAGTGGGAGGGGTGGTGGTGGTGATGAGATGCTAGGAGAGAGTAAGGAACTAAAAAGGATAGATGTTTTCTTCTTCTTTTATATCTTTTTTCGATCCTTCTGTTTTGAAAGAAAAGAAACGATTTCTAGATGATGAGACGATGTTGAACGAATAATTAAAACGATTATATGAGGCCATTGCTTCTCCGACGACAATATTGGCTAGCAGTAATAAATAATAAAGGAAGAGCGGGACGCGTGTAAGCCCAGGCTTGCGGATCGTTGCTTCTAGATTATCTAATATAATTAGATAATTAATATCACGATTAGCATGAGGCAGCAGCCGAACCGCAAGCTGTCAATTTATGTGACAATATCCTCGGATCCGACATTTCTCTCTCTCTGTGGTAAATGGAATCATGTTCACTAAACCATTCTTCCGGAAATTGTTACACAGACGGTCTAAAATCCCCGCTTGCAAAGGCCGTAATGAGAGTCGCGAACAAGCATGGCAAATGGATCGACCAATGATGGGGGGAGAGGGGCGATGGTCCGGTACGCATTTACATCAATCCAATATGTGCAGTATCAATATTCAAACCGGGAAACCTTTAAACTCGTGCTTTAACTATTATAGAACTCGGTCGCCGAGGTCTTAAAAACAATCCTGCAGGGCAAGCAAAGGACAAAAAAAACATTGCATAAATAACTAATGTAATGCATCGATCCCTCCCTCCCTTCCTCTCCGTGTTCGTCGTCACTTGACGTCCTCAGGGCGGGCTGGCACACATCAAGGCAGGTCATCAGAAGTTTCATCTCTTTATTTCGCGTCTCAGAATCTTGTATGCTCACCAGTCGGATGCGATCCGATGGTATTATTGCGTGAGACCTCAAAAAAAGAGCAACCGATATTATATATGCAGCCAAGGGCATCTTTGTTGACTGTTAGGTAATGCTGTAAAAGGTCTGACGGACAATGCGTTATTAATATGCTAGGATGTGTTTCTCGCCGCATCTGTGTGCATGCATCCTCTCTACGCACTATGTACACACGTACCTGCTGAGTTTCCCATATGTTGTGTCTGTGAGATACTAAACCGGACAGAATCAAGTCCTGTTGTCTTTTTGTTGTATGCGTGTGTAGAATATGAGATGTCATAGACACGCAAGTAAATGTCACTTTTCCAAAAGTCTCAATACACAGACAGTTGCTAAGCAAAAGACACTTTGGACGTCATGGGAGATGTAAACATGATCATTCAACCTACTAACAAGCACAACAAATACTCATACGACTGGCAGTATGTAGTACGTACTACGTAATAAGCCATACACACAATCTGATGAGATACTAATATAGCCCCCCCCCCAACACGAAACACTTTCAAACGCTCTGTATGATTGTTATTGTTACCCTGCTCTCTATGCAGGGAATGAACTGAATTTGTCTAAACAAGTTTCGACAGCTGTACGATGTGTTGTGGGTGCAGCGCTGTATATCCTACACTGCTGTTAATGATGGAAGGCTACGTTGTGTTGCATGGTGTGGGCGGCACCCACAGCAAAAGCACGCAGCAGCAGCAGCAGCGGTGCACGGTGGCGCTTCTGAATTCTAATATGCTTATTAAGATGGTGATGATGGTGATGATGCGGTTTGCTTATTGTAATTTTTAATATGTCCATAAAGCGCACTTGAGGATCAGGCTGCGGTATGGTAATAATATCAACGCGTGAAATGCGTGTTGTCAAATAATTAAAAAAAGTTCCTTTTTCCATATAAAACAGATAGCAGAACACGCACACAAAAAGGATTGCTGCGATTTCGATTATTTTCCTCTTCTTCTTTCCCACCTACTTTTTCCTCTTATACACCGCAACAAAAACGCCAGTCATTATGCTGACAATGACCAAACCTGTCGAGAACATGCATTTCCCAATGGCCATTTCTGCTATCACATCCCCACCAAACGATAATACAGCGGGTGAAGACTTGAGCAGTCCTACGAACTCATTTTCCAGCCTCTCGTCTTCTTCTATAATCTCAGAGTCGTCTCAGCTCTGTGGACCATTGGTATCTGATTTCAAGGTAGATAACCGGAAAAAACCTCAATCGCTACCACCTTCGTCGTCGTTGTCGTCGTCGTCGAACTTACAGCGAGGACGGTATCACCCATATTTAGACAATGTGAATACCAACGTGTCATCTTCTTTGACGTCATCCCCACCGTTCTCGCAACAGTCGCCGGAAGCTACACTTTCACTCCAGGAACGTCGACAGAGAAACAAGGCAGCATCTGCAAAATACCGTGCTAAAAAGAATCAGCAGCATGGACAAATGAGGTCCACGATCGGCTCGCTTACTCGCGACAACGAGCTATTGCAACGTCAGCTTGAGCATGTCCGACAAGAGAACAACCAACTCAAAGCAACGTGTGATCAATTGCGCGGGAAAATGATGGCAGAAAAAATGCTCAAACGTATGATGCTTGAAGACAAGTATGACGTACAAAAGTTAAGGGCAAACAATTTTGATCTGGTCGAAAATGACGACGAAGAAGGCGAGGACATGGCTATGTAAAACCGAACCTAACAATATGTACATCATCTCTTCCCCTTTACCCTCACATTATACCATTAATCATATCCATCTTTGTAATCATCGCATCCTGTGCCTTTGTTTCCTTCCCCTCATATATAAAAATCTTGTATGGATCAAAGTAATACATATATCAGCAGTAATCTGTTAGTAGCTCAATCCACCATTTCGCTTTATGATTTTCACCACCATTTGCTACCAATCAAATTTGTTTGTCACTATCATAGTCTTACAAGCATTGATGCTTCTCTTCTACTACCGTATTAGTGTTCTGCGAATACTTTTTTAAGCCCGCTAAACTTAATTATCGTAAAATATATCTGGTAAAGTCATTCTAAATGTGTATGTATAGGATCTATAGCTGAATATTTCATCCATATTGCAATATAATATTTATCGTGTTTGATTGCCCTGCTTCAAACTGCGTGAAGCCAGAGCAGGCAGAGCAAGACGTAGCTCGAGGTGTTTGCGGTTAACGTCAAGTACCCCATGTACTTTCTTTATAGTTTTCTCCGCTAGATACATATATTTCGACTTGGTTTGATGATGATATATAATGTTCATTATCTTTTTCTATCACTGGTGGACTAAGCTTCAAAGCAGAAATTTTCTCGCAGATGAAGAACGTCTTTTCTATTATTGGTATCCCCGATGATCTTTATCACGTGCTGTTCTATTATAAGATTGTGTACATAATCATGAGTTAATTACTGCAGTGCCTATATGATACGTTAATACGTAAGCGAGTCTGTTAACGCTATCCACCTACTACCAACACGACAGTATGCAGTTAACCATAACTCTAAGTTGAATAAGTATTTCTAAAGTGATAGCTATAAACATAGGAGGTTTCTAACGATGACATGCATCTAAGAGAATGACGATAAATTCATTAAAACTTACACGAAATACCCTCCATCTCTACCTGTTTCAGCTGGCATCGTCGTCAGTAGAAGCAACGAGGTTATGACAACAATAAATTTCGATTCATCATGACACTCCCTTGCTACCAAAAGCAGTCGGCGGCATATGCGTGATGAGGCCTATAACGTGAGTTTATCATATGAAAATTTGCGCGTTATCTGTTGACATGCATCTTATTTGCAGTAAAAAGCATCGTTAATATTTTTGGATATTGGCACTCAGCAGTATCATTTTAAGTTAAGACACCAGTGCTATGGGGTGGTTTTCCTCATAAAGGAGGGATCATCAATAATCACTGTTGCTCCTTCATATAATGAATCTGAAATTGAAAATGCTTACCACGTTGATAAGGCTGTAAAAGAAGCAACCCTTCTATATCATAGTTACAAATGCTTCATCCAATTTGTTTCGGTCTTTTATAATCAAAGGGACATAGTTAGCTCTAAGGTTCTACTTGGCGATTAAAATTGGTCGTCCTATACACAGCAAAGCTTTTTATCGCTAGAGCTATAATCGAGTATAATATTGTATTAAACATCGATTGTCGGCTTTTTAGGTCTACTTCTTAAGAAATAAAAAGAACACGGTGCTTTCTATGGCGAAATTAACAGTAGCACGATCGTCCTACGTACCACTGATATGACCCGCTATCCATAACTCATGGATGCAACTATTGTCCATAATTACATCAAATGATGATCATATATATTTGTTGGTTGTTTAATTAATGATTACGCTTTTCCATCAGCAAGAGGGTGGAATGACGCTTTTGCAGCGTGGACCACAGTCGAGTCAGCTCTGATCATTCTTTTTGCGTCACGTACATTTCACAGAAAAATTATAACTGTACGCCGTAATAAATGCATTTTTTTCATTGTGCTTGTGTCACGTATGAGAGCACTTATTATCAAATCGTACAGAAAGCCTGTTTATTGAGTGCACGGGATAACCCTCATCACGCACAAACACACACAATGATGAAAATTTTAGCGTTAGACACAGACTGCTAGAAAGTGCCCTCTCGTTGCAGGATATAACAAAGCACGCGTCACATATGCATGTTGGCAGTGAATAAACGCTCAGTTATCATAAAACGTGGGCAAAAGTGGAGATGAGGCAATGCCTGTAGTGTAGGCTGCATACGGTATTCCATAAATATACTTTATGCATACCGGTCGCTTACGGGAAAAAAGGACAGGTAATAGCACAACACCTTGTACCTGCAGAAACCAAAACGGGCCTAAAAACAAACAACACGGAACAGAGACACGTCCGTTAGGGTATGAAGACAAACATAACGCAGCGAGAAAGATGTTCGCAATACGCAATACCAGCCGACATCACGTCAGACTCAGTGTTCGCGTCAACCAACTATGGGAATGCGGTGTTTTGTAATTCCATGGGAAAAGAGAATGTAAACAACACACATCGGCGGTTAGAAATCAGGCTCAGGAACTGTGACAAGCGCTGCAAAGAGAAGCTCAAGTTTTCCTGCACGTCCGATCGAGTTATCCGGTATCAACAAAAAAAAGCCTTTTATAGAACATTCGCGTTCAAAAGGTCAAATGCCAATCCCTCAAGAACGTTAAGCATATAAAAAGCAAATTTTCTCAAAGTGGGACTTTGTATTAGAGCCCCGTTCAGAAGACGCTGTGTGCTTCCCTCCGATATACTCTCAGCGTGTGTCTAGCAACCATTCATCAGCAGCAGCATCAATTTCCGAACGGTGCTGCTTTCTTGCTACCTCACCTTCACCCCAAGAAAATTTAGGACCTCAAAACAAAGAAACGGGGCATCAAAGCGTGGGGGGAGGGTGGCGAAATGGGGCTTATCCAAAAAAGAGAAGGCCGAATCTGTCGCAACGGGTTATGGCACCGGGCTTTCCATAGTGTTTTGTTATTTTTAGGCGCTTGTATAAATTAAGCAGGGCTCTCTCTTGTGTCTTTTTGTGTGCGCTGCGTGCGTGCCATTTTCCAGGTACCAAAAGTGCCGCTCTCGTTTTCCCTTAATTCTTTTCTCCTTTTCTTTTTCTTTTATTTCACTTTTTCCTTTCCTTTCGCTCTTTTTACCTTTTCTATCCCACGTCCTCCAATTCCTCTCTCACGCAGAACCTTTTCGATTATGCACTGGCTCCCGCAATTCGTGGTTCTTTCGTCCGGCATCCTGGCCTCGTCAATGGCCCAGCTTTCTGATCGCGCCAGCGAACTTGGACTCAAGCAGACATGGACGGCTCCGTTGGGCGACTCTGGCAGCAGCGCCTCCAGCTTCATGGCGGACCAGTGGGGTATCTCGACGAGCAACTTTTACGGCAACACGGATGTCTCGTTCGAAAGCGATCCCATCACGCAGAACGGAACGGTACTGAGTGTCCTGTACGCAGCAGGCTCGTATTCGCCCAGTGGCACCAAGTCCAACGACGGCAGCATGGGCGGTGTCGAGCTTAATGCGGTGCCCATCGACGGCAACTTTGATAGCGCGCTCTTGACCTACGAATTGGCATTCGCAGAAAATTTTGATTGGGTTCTTGGCGGCAAGTTACCTGGTCTGTTTGGAGGTATGACTGGACCCCAAACGAAATCAATTTAGCTTTATCGTAATTTAAACTTTCTAATTAGGCTCGCCGGACGAAAGCTGCTCCGGCGGTAACCAAGCAACCGGCTCCAACTGCTTCTCGATGCGTCTCATGTGGCGTGAAGCTGGTACGTCTCGTCTTGTATATGTTCTTATCCCACAGGCGCAATGCACACACATGCACGCTGCTCGTATTTCTGCTTTTAAAGCTTCACGAGACACACAGAACTTAAAACGACCTTTCTTGTATCCGCACTATAGGAGCGGGAGAAGCTTACGCCTACATCCCCGACAACAGCATCTGCGGTTCTGGCTCTGTCCAGTGCAACGACGAATACGGTATCAGCTTTTCCCGTGGCGTCATCCAACTCAAGACCAACCAGTGGACGAAATTAGAAATGTACGTCAAAATCAACAACGCAACCGAATCCAACGGCATCCTGCAAGTCTGGCAAGACGGTTCCTTGGTCATCAACCAGCAATCGCTCAAATATAGAACAAGCAACGCTATCGCAGTATCCAGCCTCATGTTCAGCACTTTCTTTGGAGGCGGTGACACTAAATATGCTACCTCCGTTGACACCTACACCTATTATAAAAACATTGAATACAGTGTCGGGAACGAAGTAGAGCTTAGTGATAGTGCTTCCACCCGTGTTACAGCCGCTTACTCACTTGTCGCCCTTGTCGCTGTTGCATGTTATTTTGTGTCGTTGTAAAAGAGCGTTTATTTCAAGACGACATCCATCCATCGCTAATCATCACTCAATCACCACATACTGCGCTACAGCTACTACAGCTACCACTACAACAAAAACATGCCTTCTACACCGGCACGCACAGATCCATTGCAGCGCACGATATACCATCTCAACTCACACCCGCTCACCGACACACCCTGTATCTTACGTACGCTATAATCTCTATCTTTTCTTTTTGCTAGTGCTATACTATTATTTATTTCACTCCCTCTTATACCGCCCTCCTCTCCCATACTTACCTTCTATCCTGCCAAGACCTCCTTCTTTTTTCTTACCTTGTATGTATTACGTTAACCTGTTTGTTCACCATTTTTTAAAAAGAAATCCAATAAATTTTTTCATTGATTATCGTTCAAACATGTCACATACATTGTTCACAACTTGATGTTTTCTTCTGATCGACAGCGTGGCTTTAGACAAGAGGGATAATGGCCTTACCAGGTTTATGTGCCGAGAAAAAATGTGTAAGAAACCAGAAAGAAAGGCGATGTATCCTAGGTATGTCGCGAACCTCTGGGAAAACATTTACAAAACGCGTCTAATAAATTCATCTGAAACAACCGCTTTGGGTTCCGCGTGTATTGGTCCCTACGACTGGATCCGCTCCCCAATTCAAGGGACCAAGCGAAAAGTTTTCTGCGTCGAGATTGCTGCGTGAGATATGAGTTGAGCCAAAATCATCGGTGTATACAATGAAAGCTGTAGTAGCTGATTGTCTTTTCTGCAATCGACTCTGGCAACAATAAACATTTGTATACAGATGTCAACTTGAATTATTAGTTGCCTGTTTTGGTGAAAGCTGGCGGAAGTCTATTGTAGATCAATAAAACAATAGTAAACGTGAGAAATAGCGCTTATTTGAGTTTTTAGTGTAAGGTACCCGAGTAAGTCCAGGAGTCTTTGTTTAAATCTCCATCCTCATGTTTCTTCTCGCCTTGGCCCCATCCCCCAATATCTTCTATCCGTGCTAAAAGAACCGATTTCCTTCTTTCTGTGAGACTTGTTGGTTGACCAACTGACCGTTTTTATGGTCGTCTCGACAGCCCTTATTGCAATTCAGGCATACTGATCAGGGGAGCTATGTTACGATATTACGAATCTCAGTGTAGCGGTAGGTGAGCCTTCATTCTCTGATGCTCATATCGTATGAAACTAGCAAAGAGTTATCCTTACACGCTTTATAATTACCAAGTCGATTGTACAATGATTAATCTGGAAGCTATGACGCTATGTTATCACATCCTTTAGGCCTTTTGAAATGGTTGGTTTCTCCGAACCATTGTTTGCTACCGTGATACGAATTTAAGTTCCAGAAGCGCAGGCCCAGACTTACATGAGCCATCCAGGAAAACGAATGAATATTGAGGAGCAACACCGCTAAATTGAATAAGCTTCATCTGCTCTTTGATAACTCCTTGATGATCACACTATAACAGCCTGCATTGTTCCAAGTGGTAGCAGTCTTAGTATTTATAAGGAGTTTCGGTCAAAGAAACGCTATAGGGTTATAGTAGGGAAGCAGAGTGTACGTACATGCGTGGTTTATATGACTACTATGCGTCAGCTACAGATCGGCTTATGCGGACTGCTTACGCTGTACTGTAAAGGCAGCATAATGTACATAAAATGTCTGATCATCTACCTGGTGCTATGTCTTACAAACGATGTATACATACACCAAACGTCGTAATATTATCGACATTGATTCTTGCATAGCCAACCACAAGAGGCAGTTATCACTCAGCTGATGCCAAATCTGGAAACCGCAAGCCACTCAACTTGTCCAAATTTCCTGCCGCAAAAAAAAAGTTGCCTTTCAGCTGATCTTGCAGTACAATCCATACCTACTACTTACAACCATGCCACCCAAAACCAAAGCTGCTGTACGAAAAGCCGACAGCAAACCTACAAACGGTGCTGTCCAAAAGAGATCGACGCGTGGTAAGCAGACGAAACCTGCCGAAACGAAAAAGAATGTCGAGACCACCAAAAAGGGGAAGGCTGCCAAAGAACAAAAAGTAGAAGAGGAAAAGGAGGAGGACGTTAAAGAACAGTCCGCCGACGAGGACGCTGCTGACGAAGAAGTGATGACCGAAGAGCAGGAAGAAGCCTTGCGCAAGGAAATTCTTGGTGACATGGCAAGCGACGACGATGAAAGCGATAGTGATAACGATGATCAGGAAGCTTCTACCGACGCATTCAAAAGCTCAGAGGATGTCGTTTCCCTTGATCCCGAGCAAGTCAAGAAAAGCAAAGAAGAGACTAAAGCCGAATTTGACAAGAAGAAAAAGGCACCAGTCAAAACTGTAAGTAATGCGCTGTGTATAAATGCATTTTATGGAGCTATGTTCGTTTATGCTTCTAGGAGCTTTAGCGTTAATAATATCTGCTCACGATGATATAGGACGAAGAAGTTGGTGTCATTTACCTCGGCAGAATACCCCATGGTTTTTATGAGGATGAAATGAAGGGTTACTTTAGCCAGTTTGGCAAGGTGACTAGACTTCGATTAGCCCGCAACAAGCATGGACAGTCCAAGCACTACGGTTTTATCGAATTTCAGTCAGCACAGGTTGCCGAGATTGTTGCCGAAACGATGGATAACTATTTGCTGCTTGGTCACTTGTTACAATGTAAATATCAATAACTGGGATAGAGTAGGGAAGGAGTTGAAGTCGTTAGCTTCTTTTACTAAAGGCGCGACTTCTTTTTCTTTTCTTTTCTGACACATAGGCAAGGTTTTGCCGAAGGAGAGCGTACATGAAAACCTTTTCAAATTTTCATCAAGACGTTTCCGCAAGGCCAACGCCTCGCTCATTCAACAAAAGAAACACAACCAAAAGCGGTCGTTAGACAAGCATCAAAAGCGTATCGCCAACTTGGTCAAGGCTGAGAATGAGCGAAGGAAGAAGATCAAAGATCTCGGCATCGACTATGATTTCCCTGGTTACGTAAGTTTGCCTAGCCTTTCTTAATTTCTTTTGCTTGAACAAATCAATGTTTTTAACAACAATATATGTATATAGGCTGTCGAGTATGAAAGGTACAAGAAGGCAAAGGCAAATGAGCCCAAGGGTGACACCTCAGACAAAGCAGAAGCCAAGGAAGACAAACCGGCTGCTACCAAGAATGCTGCAGAGGAAAAAGCTGCAGTAAATAAGCGCAAGCGAAGTCAAAAGACCGAGTCTGACGAAACACAAAAGAAGGAGGAAGTCGAGGCTGCAAAGCCTGCTGCTAAGAGAACAAAGCGAGTTACTAAGCCTAGAGCAGCAAAGAAATAATTGCACTGTATACTTATGTCCAATTTTCCGTAATCCCATCATTTCATCTTGTAACACATTATAGCATAAATAAATCTTGCCACAATCCATACTGCACGCCAAATACGCTGTTAAAAATATGAAGGTCATTCTTGTAAACCAAACTGTTTTGGGTGCACTGTGTTGAGATCAAGTTGATGATGATGGATTTAGCATGCATGAGATAAGAGAGTGTGATAGCTCTGTAAAAGCTTTACAGAAATCTGCAAACCTGTAACAATGCTGATTAGCAGTAGCTTTCTAGGTACATCTCATAGATATGACTACAGCTACAACTTCAGGCAAAGGAAGTCCTAGTTTGCACAACATGTCTCTTCCCGGTTGTGTACACTCTGAGCGTTCATAACAGGCCCCAACCTTCAACCCAAAGTTCCAGCCACGATATTCTATTCCCATTCTGCGGGCAGTTATCCACACAGCACATACTGACTTATTTCATGTTCGTCATAAACCATTGCGGAAAAAAATTCTTCAAAGAGTCACTCCTCAGTCAAACATACCATTGCATGACATTTGATCAGCGTGTGTGTTGTGACGAGTGATGCTTCTTTCTTCGTAAAAGAATAATCAAATAAAGGCAAATTGGCGTGCGTCTGTACGTGTATCGAAAACAAAAAAAAAATCCATGTTTTTCTTTTTTTGGATGGAGTCTATTAACTGGAAAAACGAGAGAAGAACTAGTTGCTTTCGGGAACAGCGACGTAGCTGGGAGGGGTAAAATATTTGGTGTTGTTGTAAACAGACTCGCCAGCCTTCCAGTCCTTGACGTCCTTCATGATCTCGGCTTCGCGCTCGTTTGCGGCAACAGTACGGCGGTGCATGTCACGATCGGCTTCGGCAGTCAACAAGGGAATGAGGTGAATGCGCGACCACAAGTTTTCACGCTTTAATTCTCTAACAATGCCGAATAGCAAACATTTGCATATGTATGATGAGTTCCTGTTCTTCTTTTTTTCCCATCAAAACCATCGATCAAAAGGAAATGCGCATGTAAACATCATACCGTCGTTCCAAGTTGCCTTGGGCAACTCGGTAGAATCCAAAGGCCATGACGGCAGCAACGCCACCAACAACGACGAGACCGGAGGGGCCTCTCTTTGGAAGATAACGGCGGTATCGTACTTCGCTGTATCCACCACTGGGGGGTAAATCCTGGGTCATTGCGATTAGATTATAAAGAGTGGGGAGTTTGGACTTTGCTGCAGCTTTAAAAAAGACGCGAGATTCTGTTTACACTCGACCCAGTTCCGAAATTTTGTGACGTAACTATATTGCTAGGCACTTCTTGGTTTTGCTCTTCACCCTTTTACATTTTACAAATGCTTAAACTAATTCTTAGATTTAACTGCAGCACATCACTTATATAAGTGACAGATACGACATCCTGGGCTACGGAGCAGTCTACGTTTTTTTTTTGTTATCGCCAAGTAAAGTGTGCTGATCAAACGAACCGCTATTTAGCAACGTATGCAGTCCAGCAACTGCGTGAACTATTGAAGCAGCGGACGACATATCTTGGCGTTATACTATTATCGCTACCTTATAAGTAGGCGTTGAGCTAGAAGTGGCATAAACAGATGGTCTCCCCGAGATACGTATACAGTATAACTGAAAATATTTACTTCTGATAAATTTATGTTGTCAATTACCTGATTTTACTGCTTGCAAATAAAGAATAAACATTGATCGATAAAAGTGAACGTAATATGAAAATTTTACTGCACATTGGGATGTAGTATATGAAGATGATGATACAGGGAAGAAAAGTTACAGGTGATTAATTAACGACGGAATATTTTGAAGACCATGTAGAGACATGATCCGATGAAACGAATAGCAGAAAGACCTGCCACGGACCACAGGATGAAGCCCAAGTATACAGTACTACGCTCTTCGTAAGTACCGAACCATTCAAGAATTTGACCGTTTGTAATAACAGCCACTAAAGCCATGTTGGTGATGACCCATGATAAGACCTATAATGACAGTGAAATTTAAATCGTTGTTATTTTCACTAGGTCATTTGTAATACTAGAAAGAAAGAAAAATGACATACCAGTCGAGTACGGAAAGCCTTGTAGTAATCCTCTTGTTTGGTCTTTGCATCACGCTTTTCAGGAGCCGCGACGACTTGTTTCTTCAGTTCCATACACGCTTCTTCGTATTGTTCATTAAGATCTTTTTGTTCTGTGGGTACTTCGACTTCCACATGAGAATCGCCATCCTTGCCCTTCTTTGCCTTGACAACACCCAGCTCTGTTGAGACACTGTTGTCGCCCTTGGTTCCCCAGGACACGTCGTGGGTGTTACAGAAAGCATAAATGTTGAGCACGTTGATGTAAGATGGCGACATGAAGATATCTATAGTTAAAAAAACAAATTTCTGTTAAGAATGCTTCCAAGTTTTCAAATAACAATAATAATGGACTTACACTGAATGAAACTGGTAAACATGTGCCACGGATCGAGGAAAATGAAAGACGCAAGGAAGTAGATGACGTACGTTGACACAACAGCAATGATCACTTCTCTGAATGCGCTTTGCCCTATGAGTGCCATTAACATGTCATCCGATTCTTGGGCTTCGTCAATGGCGCTGTCGACACCAACAGCCGTGATCCAGACGGTACAGAACATAATGTAGACCATGAGCAGCGCAAAGAAGACGATACTTAAAAAGTATGCCCATTTGAAACCTTGCGGTCGGTTACCCATGGCTATAATGAACTGGATGACGAGTAGAACAATGTATACGTAATTAAAACTGATATGCAAATATCGTGCCACATCGGAAGAGAATGGTTTTGGATCGAGGTAGTCAGATTCCATAGAGGTAGTCATGATGTAGAATGTAAGATAGAAATTGCCCTAATGTACACATTGCATTATCGTGTGAGCATCGAGTCACTGAGTAAGTATCATTGATTGTTGGTAAGTTGAGTAATAGACACTGTAACTCACAATAGCGAACCAAGAGAAAATTAGCTGATAAGTTTGATAAATGCCTTGAAGCATGAAAAAGATTTTGCGGATGAAGTTATGGTTTGAGCGCCAGAGTTTGCCACTGTGTACGAGAGCGTAGATGCCAGCAAAGAACGAGCCATTGAGCCAGCGCCGGCGCTGGGAAATGAATTCAGCAACGGTGTCGGGCACATCGGTTTCACCATAAGAATTTGATACGTAATGTAAGGTCCATTTTGCACCCTTCTTCGCGACCAACTAGTTGTGTTTACAGAAATAGAGTAATTAGAGACCAAATTCATGGAAGCTTCTCCTCATATAAATGAAATTTTTACCTCGTAACACAAGATACGATCTTCAGCCAGGTACATGTTTGCGGTGAAAATATCAGCGTCGCTGCCGTGTTGTTTTTCACCCAAGAAATACTTTTCAAGCGGGCCATTTCCATTAACGTCATTCTGGAGAGCAGTGTATCTGTATGCTGAGAAAGCACCCGGCAGCACAGAAATGTAGCCAAAGACAGACTCCAGCGGTTTATCGAGAATATTGGACATCTTGTATTCAAAGTTTTGGGAGGCGACCAAAGGGTTTAACAGGGCAACACCTGCCTTGCCAGTAAGAGCACGAATTTCACCACAGGCACCGGCTGTGTTCTTGTTGATATCGAATGCCTTCCACAGATGGTAGATGGATGTATGACCAGGACGAGTACCGACATCAATAAGCACACAGACGTTGGGGTTGATAAGTGGGCCGAAAGCTTGGAAGAACCATCGATGAGAGTTGATCTTCTTTTGATTCTTTTCCTTAAGACAGAACAGCATCTGAGTGGGCACAATACCCTTCTCTGACCCACGGAAGTTCATGTCGGGATCCACAGAGATTTGGGTTGTGTGCTACCATATGCGGATAAGAGTGAGCGGGTGAGCGAGCAAGCTAATCATTATAAGGAGTCAATCTGCACGAGCGTGATAGCTCTTTTTTTTTAAACTTCATATGCACACATACCTCATAGATATGTGCGGTGACGGGTTTGCCTTCGACAATATTTTTAGCAACACCTTCTTGATAACAGCCCAGTGCCGACAGAACTGACAGCGTGCGCGGATGGATCTTGGTACGTCCATCAGAAACAACACAAACAACCACCTTTTTCCATCCATCCTCACCCCACGTCGACGAACGAGTGCGCGAACACAAGTGTGCAATGTTTTTCATCACACCATGCAATGTACGGCAGAACAGCACCTCGTCTTCCTGTAAATGCGATTGGTCAGTTTCCTTCCGTCTTTCACTTTCCTTTTGTGCAGATGCAAACTGCACTAAAAAGGGGGTCCCTTGCTGTCTCATTCTCTTTCTCTCATCCGCTGTCTTACGTTGTACATGGTCAACACAATAAAAAGCTCAGTTTCTCTGTTTGAAACGTTCTGTCGTAATTGGTACTTCTTGTCTACAAACTCGGATGGATCAACAGTGGCTGCAGTATAGCGCATATGGGTAAATTCATGATCCTGCTTGTTGGGCAAACGGTCCAAATAAGTTGTTGGTACTGGGTTGTCCAAAACAAGGTTACCGCCCGTAAGTTTGACCTTTCGCACTGTATACGTCCACAAACAAACCACCATCGTTAGCATATCTTCCATAGTAAAAGCTACAATCGGCTTGGGAATAACAAAGCTTGCCTGTCTTGTATCGTCGTGGCTGTCTACGCGGTGCCTCTCCAAAACGTGGACCTGGAGAAGGCGGCTCTACAAACTGGAGTCCGCCACCGCCGCCAGCAACTCGAGAGAAGGGTGATCGTGGCGAGTCTACATGAGGAGACATGGGGCTTCCAAGCAACGGCTGGTTCATGGTTTCAATTTGCTGTTGCTGGTCTTCATGGAATGGGTCGTTGCCACGCTGCATGGGTGGTTGGTGCGAGAATGACGTATCTTGCAATGGATATTGCTCGGAATAGGGAGGCACAGGTGGTGTACCTGGCGACCTTGTTGAATCGAAGTCGTTATGATACATGATCTGTCGTTGATGTTAAGACATAGTAAGACGAAACAAAGACGAGGTGAATACAAAATGCGTCCAGCAACAACAACGCCATTGGTACCATTGCCTTCACTGGCAGGGTCCATTTGCGATCAATGCATACCTACAAACGATCCAACCTGCAAAAGGAAAAGCAAACAGTACAGTGAAAGGACCATTGGCAATTTATATGGCCAGGAAAATGACATGGTTACACCGAAAGCGGGAATCAATAATAGAGCAAATGATTGCAGCTTTCTTTCTGCTTTTTCGACCCCTGAGCTGATCTTGTAAATAAAAGAGTGGGTTCCAATTATAACTCGGCGGTGAAAAGTCTATAAACGTGAACGGAGCACGCGTAAAAGTCCCACTCGTATTTCGCAAATTGATCTGTACTACATACTTACCTTCTCAACTCACAACTAAAGCCCGCCCTGCTTCGTCTTCTTCTTCTGGACACATTTCCATGTGCTGTCTTGATCAATGCGGCCATCCAATTTCTAGAGCCGTTAGCTATCGGTTATGTTTTTATCATATGCATTCAGCGAGGTATCAGAACGAAGCAAGCGTCTGATATATACACTAGTCTAAGTTATCAACGACGGTTGTAATGTATAGGCCATTTGATTCAGCCACAGTCATGAGAAACTTTGAGCTGTAAAGATGTACGTGGAAAAGTTTAATTGCCGCACCATCTACGGAACACAAAGGAACATGCCCTTAGCACATATGCACTAGTACACGATCAATTAGAGAGGGTAAATTAACACCGCTTAAGCTTTCTCTTTCTTACTCCACTTCTCTCTTTGCTTTCATCAGCACAGTCTTCTCCACGCTCCTATTTGATATGCCCTCAATGCCAAAATATAACGGAGCGAGCCGATAGCGTTTCTTGGTTTTTGTTCTTCCGCTCAGTACGGGTTCAAAGCGCTTTAGTCCTCCAGCAAATTTAAGGATAGAGCCGCACGGTGCACAAAACAGGGTGTGTGGCATTAGCCACTCGGTGTTCTTTGACAAGAGTCAATGTCGCCCGCGCCTTCTATTACAGGAAATCTAAGCGCAACACAAACGCTGATCCTACTTGCTTTTGCTCGAAGTTTACAAGCGAGAGCTTAATCCAGCAATGACTTTTTGTAATACTTCTTCCTGACAACTATTGTTACTTCAAATGTTTAATCATAGCTCTTTCAACATTCTGGAAAAGATACTATATTATTGCGCAGACTCTAGAATACAGATAGAAGCAGGCTATCACTGCTGTCGTCGTTCCAAGATGCAGAGTGCGAAGTGGAGCTTATAAACTCTGCGCGCAAAGACAGCATCAACGATAATTCATCCGTACTGCTGTTGCATTCTTTTTCATCAAACTAATATGGGCTTCTTGGAAAAATTTCCGTTAAGAAGAATCTTATACTACATTACCGTGGATTTTCTCCTTCTCTCTTAATTTGATATCGACCTAGTGATAGAGTGTACGCTCATGCAGACATGAATTAATGCCAAGACATAATGGCCTTTCTAATTATACTCTCTTGACTTTATTTTCTCTAAAATTTACATGAAAAGAACAAAACAAGGAAAAAAGAGAGAAAGCTAAAATGATGCTACTAGTTGCAATCAACTTGTGCGCTTGAAGCACATCCTTGACTTTTGGAATCAAACCTCCATCCTCCAGGACAACTGATAATTGTTGGTGTTGAGCCTGCACAGCTATAGTAGTCGACGCAATAGCTGCCAGGAACGGGCGCATACATCTTCCCTCCAGGAATAGGACACTGCACGTTTTCTTTTGCTTGGATGATGCTACCGGGAAGCAGCACTGCCAGAGAGAGTAATACAAAAACGACAAATGATGTATAGTGCTTCATGCTGATGACGTACGATGACAGGTGCCAAGTGGTGGTGATGGTGTGGATGAAAATGAAAGAATACTCTTTGGTTGTTAGGGTTGATGATAGTGATGTATGAGAAATTTGGATTGAGATACTGCCCTTATATATACACAACCCAAGAGATAAATTGATTGTTCCACCCGGTAACCAGCAGGATTGAGGGGCTACTAATCAGCTTGCATAAACAAGCTGTTGCTGCTGCAGCTATTGTAATTTAGTAGTTCAGACATCTTTACATAATGAATTTAGAAATAGCCCCCGTCTATCCGCGCACATACTCATGCTGTTTCGACACCTGCACTATAACATCGTACTGTAGCCTAGCTACAGTAAACAATAGGGGATACCCAGAATTGTTAGGGAACACAAATTTTGCAATAACCTAGTGACACCGACCTCCCTCGCCCAATGGTTCGGAAAATTTGAGACAGAAATCATGCAAATACGCAGGTGGCTGTCCTCTTGCTGACGAATCAATCCTCACTCCTTAATTGACCATGAGCAATTCATTTCTCTTTCATGTCTCCAAAACGATTCCGCGCTGTAAGCTAAATAATGTTTTCGCCTCACAATTACAAACAAATTCGACGGCCTTGCACAGTGCGAGCAGCAGTAGTGGCGGTGCTTCAGTACGTGCATTCTCGTCAAGTACATTGAATGGTTCACCGGTGACAGTATGGGGAGGCGACGCACTATACAAAACACTGAAAGCAAGTCCAACACGAGCTGTGCTCGTTATGCTACAACCGATACGCAAAGGCGGTGAAACACAACGGTTTCGATCCGTATCCACTAACGCGTTTTTACGCGAACGAGACCCTAAAGACGAAGGCTCTGGTGGTATTCCTGCCGATGGCTCTGGTGCAGCGTCAGGCAATGGTGACAGCAATGACCATAAAAGTGGGGGTAATAACAACGGCGAAGATGGAGGGAGTGGTGATGGGAAGCCATCCTCGGTATTCCAAGTCATCGACAATCAGTTGCAAAAGCCGTCGGTTCCAGAAGTATATCCTCAAGTCCTAGCGCTCCCCATCGGGAGGAGGCCACTGTTCCCTGGTTTTTACAAGGCTGTTGTTGTCAAGGATCCAAATGTGACTTCGGCGATCAAGGATCTACTTAAACGGGGTCAGCCATATGTCGGCGCATTTTTGCTCAAGGATGAAAACTTGGATGTGGATACCGTTACAAGCATGGATCAAGTATATGATGTAGGCGTGTTTGCACAAATTACGAGTGTGTTTCCGGCGAATTCCGGAGGCGGAACAAGTGCAGATAAACAAGACGCAGGATTGACAGCCGTTCTGTATCCTCACCGGCGGATCAGAATCACAGACCTCATTCCTCCAGGCGTTGTAATGGAAAACATGGAGCCACCGCATAAAAAGAACGGCAGCGATGAACCAACCGCAACTGAGAAGAAAGATGTAGAGATGAAGACAACAGATGAAGTTTACGCAATTAGCGAAAAAGGACAGGAGTATAATGGTAATGCCATAGGCGAAGAGTGAGGATTCACATATGAAGGATGCTGTTATTAATTACTCTATCACTCTTACTACAACCATAGAAAAAACAGCAGAAGATCAAAAGAAGGAAGCGCAATATGCAACAGCATTCCTTGCAAAGGAGCATCATGTATCGTTAGCGAACGTTGAAAATCTAGTAGAGCCACCATATTCCAAAAAGGATCAAACTATTCGAGCTGTCACATCGGAAATCGTGTCCGTTTTCAAAGACATTGCTTCTCTGAACCCACTTTTTAGAGATCAGATTGCCAGCTTTTCAATGTCTCAATCTGCTGGAAACGTATTTGAGGAACCAGGGAAGCTAGCGGATTTTGCAGCTGCTGTTTCTGCCGCTGAACCGGAAGAACTACAAGAAGTTCTCGAAATATTACCAATTGAAGAGCGACTACAAAAGGCGCTTCTCGTGCTCAAGAAAGAACTCATGAATGCTCAGCTGCAGAGCAAAATTTCAAAGGAGGTGGAAAGCAAGATCGCCAAGCGTCAACGCGAGTTCTATCTAATGGAGCAGCTGAAAGGGATCAAGAAGGAGCTTGGTATAGAAAGTGACGGCAAGGACAAGCTTGTCGAAGATTTCAAGGAAAAAGCACAAAAATTAGACATGCCTGCAGCGGTTAAGAAGGTTTTTGATGAGGTTGGTTACAAGACAGGAAAAACAGTTCAGCCTATCATAGTGTAATTTCTTAGACTTTTCATATTACATCAACAGGAAATCAGCAAGCTTGCTCACCTCGAGCCTGCCGCATCCGAGTTCAACGTTACGCGCAACTATCTCGACTGGATTACACAGATACCCTGGGGTCAAAGATCAAGAGAGAATTACAACATTCAGCACGCACAGGAGGTTTTGGATGAGGATCATTATGGACTCAAGGATGTCAAAGAGCGTATTCTTGAGTTCATCGCCGTCGGCAAGCTGCGTGGCACTGTCGAAGGCAAGATTCTATGCTTAGTTGGTCCTCCGGGAACGGGAAAGGTAGTACATTACACTTTCACGAAAGAGGTAGAGGATAATGCTTACCAACATCCTTCACAATATTTACTCTCACATTCAGACATCAGTTGGCAAAAGCATCGCCCGGGCTTTAGACCGCGAGTTCTATCGGTTTTCAGTGGGTGGTTTGTCGGACGTTGCTGAAATTAAAGGTCATCGACGGACCTATGTCGGTGCCATGCCAGGCAAAGTTATTCAGGCTTTGAAGAAGGTCAAGACCGAGAACCCACTTATTCTAATTGACGAAATTGACAAGATCGGTCGTGGCCACCAAGGCGATCCTTCATCGGCCCTGCTTGAACTGTTAGATCCAGAGCAGAACGGGAGCTTTTTGGACCATTACATGGATGTTCCCGTTGATCTTTCCAAAGTACTGTTTGTCTGTACAGCTAACGTGCTGGATACCATTCCTGGACCACTGCTAGATCGTATGGAAGTGATCCAGTTATCAGGCTATGTTGCAGAAGAAAAAGAAGCCATTGCCGAGCGCTATCTTGCCCCAGCAGCAAAGATCGCAGCAGGACTCGAAAACGTTCGTGTTGTTCTGACGAAGGATGCGGTCGAAACGCTAATCAAGAGTTACTGTCGTGAGAGTGGTGTTCGTAACCTAAAGAAGCAAATCGACAAGGTGTATCGAAAGGCGGCTTACAACATTGTGGAGCATATTGGAGAAGATCATTTTGAACAAGAGAAGGGGGATTCACCCAAAGTATTGCCTCACGACAAACGATCAAATGATCCTATCAAGGCGGAGCAGACAACGCCCGAAAAAGAGACCGGTCAAGAGAAAACGCAGGAGGAAAGAAAGCCCCTGGAGGTTCCTGGTGACATTGACCTCCAGATTTCTTCAAGTAAATTGAAAGATTATGTTGGTCCCCCGGTTTTCCAAGCTGATAGGCTGTATGAAAAAACACCTCCCGGAGTAATCATGGGGCTGGCCTGGACCAGTATGGGTAAGTGGACTGTTTATGCTTTTTTTACATCCTAAGCTTGGTGGTTTGTTAATGATATGCGTTGTTGCTATTTCAGGCGGATCATCGCTTTATATAGAATCTGTGCTGGAAACGTCGCTCACACCCAAATCGCATCCACACCTATCCAAAACCGGTCAGCTCGGAGACGTGATGAAAGAATCAACAAGCATTGCATATACATTTGCGAAATCGTTAATGGCGTCCTATTTTCCCAAGAATCGATTTTTCGACAAAGCCCGTGTCCACCTTCATTGTCCTGCAGGTGCTGTACCCAAAGATGGACCCTCTGCAGGCGTTACGATGGCAACTTCGCTTATCTCACTGGCTCTCAATGAGTCGGTGGATCCGGATATTGCCATGACAGGCGAACTCACTGTAACCGGCAAGGTGTTACAGATTGGCGGTCTGAAAGAGAAAACAATCGCAGCGAAGCGTTCCAGCGTTTCGACTATCCTATTTCCTAAAGATAACCTTGCTGATTGGGACGAACTTCCGGATCATGTCAAAGAAGGGATCACTGGTATACCTGTGGATACTTATGACGATGTGTTTAAAATATGCTTCAAAAATGTATCCAAAGTAGAAGCAGAAAATGTGTGGGAAAACGCCTTACCAGAAGCAGAAATGCGCAGACAAGATGAGAAGTCAGGTGACAGCAACAATGAATCATAAGTAGCCAGTTTTGTCTTGTATACACGTATGCTTCTTCTCATTATCTATATCACGTCTCTCAAAATAATAAAAACATAATGACATACAGTACTGAGAATCTGTAATTGTTCTGGTCAGTGAAGACGGTGAGCTTTATTAAATGACTGCAGCGGCATTTTGCTGGCCCAAATTTCTAGTATCTTCTGTAAGCATTTTCATTGTCCATGTATAGGCAACAAATGTAGCAGCGTTGGATGGAAAGGCCCTCAGTAATGTTGGGAAAAGTCCTCGGAACATAATACCGATCCCTTCAGCCTGGTAGCACCTTCGGGCGCAATCTATCATACTCTTATACTCGCCTGGGCTTGCTTGAATACGTGTTTTAATAACATCTATGAGATGTATGTTAGCAAGCTGATATATTTTATTTGAATCTTATGAGCATTAAAGAAAGAAGTATACCTGCAGGATATGTTGAGCACCATGCGATGATACCAGCGATACCTCCCGCTACTATCACTTTTGGTCCTGTAACTGCGCGATTGCCTGAAATTCTGGATATGCATTCGTAAGTGACGAAATATGGCCCAAAACTGAGCTCTCTAACGATCGTCGGCGTCATTCCTGTAAAGCATCCTCGTATTCCCCTTCGTTTGTAAAGGTGTGTCAAGCAATCTATAGGCCCTTTCATTGGCGTACTATGTGTTTGATTCTGGAGTTGAACTTTGGCTAATTCCATTGGGCAAGTGACGAAGCTTTATCAAAGTAGTTCCAGCGATATCAGTAAATGAACAACATCTGTCTCTCAATAGATTTTGTCTGGTTTCCTGTTACTAAGGACAAAAATACCTTGTAATAACACCCGCACCCATTCCTGCAGCCATGATTTGTGATAGTGACGGCTGGCGGCTGAAGGCTTTGTCGCCTTGATCACCACAATCAGTGACTTTTGCATTATTAATGCGATATTTTTCTTGTAACTTTATAAGCCAGTCGAATGACCCGAACACGAGGGCATTGACTACTGCGACACCGGCCTAACTAACCAATTGAATCTGTTAAAATTCTATACTTTTGCAGGAAAGTTGTGTAATGCTTACCGCGGGAGAGGCCATGCCTTTGTACAAACCAAAAACCTGCAAAAAAAGTTAATCTTGGAGTAATTGTAGATTTCTGGTATATTGGTATATATAAAAACAAGCAAACCTTTTCTTGCCGTATGGTTGAGATAAAGCAGTCCACCGTTCCTTTATATTTCGACGACGCCTTTTGTGTCTGCAGACGCACTTTGACTATTATACAATAACATCGTGAGAAAGGAGAGATGTTACAAAGGTTTCCCAGGTGTATGTACCTGTATCTACATATTCCGGTAATATCCAAGTTAGCCTATATATATGTTGACTCTTGTACTTCTTTTCTGCTATTATGCCTTGTTCTTACCGAACGGATGTCCTACAGCTAATCCAGAGAGACCTATACATCGATCGTACCTTCATTGAGCTTATTGAAACAGTGGCTGGCTATCGGCAAATCAATAAGACGACGTACCTCCTACAAGTCCTGCTATGAAACATGGAACTGTACTTTCTGTATGCTGACTCGCTAAATACATGTTGATTACTATGGTGTTGTTCTATGCAGATAACTTGAAATCTTATGTTGCTCACGTATTTCATCAATGTCTAGCATGTTTTTATAGTTTACAATAGAAAGAGAGAAGAGACGTAAATAATGGATGTTTGTGGGTTGCAGATATAAAACCCCGTGGGAATCTTTGTGCATTAACAAATTTACTACGTAGTGTACTCAGCTTTGACTGGTGTGTTTGTTGCATATGTACGTTTATCAGACGTATGTTATCAAAAACAAGAGACTTTTTGTGTTGCCCAAGATTACGTATTTATCTCCTTCTAGGGATTTAAAGATAAAGTAATACTGATACTTCTTACCAGCCCGCCAACCCAAAAATCATCTCTATGCTTTTTCATATTTAATAACATGCAAGGCGATGACGATGACAAAAATAAATATACGTTTCATGATAAGAGGAATAATGCGGCAATCGGATACACACCAATCAAGAACGAGAAAGGGCAGCTCAGCTGTTCATTCAGGGGGTGGTGTTAGTAACACATTGGCTCGAAACGGTTTATTTCATTTACTATGGTGACGCTCATCACCAGCGATCTTTTTTCACGGGATAAAGACAACATCTCTTATTGAAAGTTTGCGAAAGGTTCTTTATTTCTCTTTTTCCCCGAAGAGTTTTTTAAAATTTGAGTTTAGAAGTACACTGTGTAGGAACTTGTAGCACACGACGGTCTGGTGATTAGCAAATGGACCAAGCATAAGTCGACACCGATACGTAGTATGTTTATGCTCGCTTCGTGTGTGCTACCATACGCACTTACTATTTTTTACTGAAATTTACAAACTCGCAGTTTCTAGTGTCACACCGTACTGTTTCTTTCTCTCTCTTTCTTTGACACTGGCTTAAATTTTTGATGAGCTGTACTACAGTTGATCAATTTACTGATGTGCAGGTTCGATCATCGTCGCTACCCTAATCGATTTTTCACTATATCTTATCGAAACTGGAAACTGATTTTTCGTTCTAATTAGAGAGTTAGAATTTAATGCTGATACTTAGCGCCCAGGCTCGCTTATTGTTAATGGCATACTCTTTAACAGTGTTAAGCGCGACCACATCTGCGCATGAGGGCAAAAAACTACATTCTGGGAAGAAATCCTTATTTGGAACGCTTGCATCTGAGCGCCCGGTCTGTTACGCGAGACGGGTCCAATATTTACATTGTTGAATATAACTGTTAATGCACAGTCGTTTTGTATGCATCTTACACTGAAATTGAGCCTAATGTTATATTACTATATGTACATAGTCGTCGAGAAAGCAGTGTACGCACGGACCATGGGGATCAAGTTGTACACGGTGCGGTAGAAAGACATGTCGCCTTTACCATGAGTATATCATCAGTGACTTTTATAACGCGATATGGAAGCAGTATATCGGTATCTTCAACGCTGCATATACTCGACCAGTGCCCCCTTCCCTCATCTACTTGCCTGAATTCAATGGATCCGGGTGTGGCCTACCGGGTTGGTTTCCAACCGCCTAAAACAGCCGACAAATACGCGGTGTTCTCCGCCAAATTGCGGGGGCAAGCGAGCAATTGACGTCAGAATCATCCGCGGAACCCCAAATCTGTTCCGTTATTCGGATCATGCGCTTTCATGTGGGGCTTGATCGAAATATTTCTCGGAAAAAGTCGCTTAGTATAAATAGGCAGTTGTCACGAACGCGTCTTTAGTCTTCTTACTCTCCTTGACATCCCAAATAATCATGTCTGTCTCTAAGGTTCACGCTCGCCAGATTTTCGATTCTCGTGGCAACCCCACCGTCGAAGTTGAAGTTACCACCGCCAAGGGTGTTTTCCGTGCCGGTGTCCCCTCCGGTGCCTCCACTGGTGTACATGAAGCTCTTGAGCTCCGTGACAAGATCAAGGAAGACTATGTCGGCAAGGGTAAGCTATTACTTGCAAATTCTCTGTGTGTGTATGGCGTGCTATATTCACGATTACCAGCTCACTAAAGCATAAAAAAACCGCGTATCGTGTATGACAAATAATCTTGACGAAAAAAAATCAGGTGTTTTGAAGGCCGTCGAGAACGTGAACACGATCATTTCCCCAGCACTTATCGAGTCTAAGCTCAACGTCGTCGACCAGAAGGCTGTTGACGAGTTCTTGCTCAAGCTCGATGGCACTGAGAACAAGTCCAAGTTGGGCGCCAACGCCATTTTGGGTGTTTCCCTTGCTGTTGCCAAGGCTGGTGCTGGTGAGAAGGGTGTCCCATTGTACGTCCACTTTGCCGATATCGCTGGCTCCAAGAAGCCTTTCGTGCTCCCCGTTCCTGCTTTCAACGTCATCAATGGTGGCTCGCACGCTGGTAACAAGCTCGCTATGCAGGAGTTCATGATCATGCCCACTGGCGCTAGCTCGTTCACTGAGGCCATGAAGATCGGCTCCGAAGTCTACCACACTCTCAAGAGCGTCATCAAAGACAAGTACGGTCAGGACGCCACCAACGTTGGTGATGAGGGTGGTTTTGCTCCTAACATCCAGGACAACCAGGAAGGTTTGGAGTTGTTGGTCACTGCTATTGAAAAGGCTGGCTACACTGGCAAGGTCAAGATTGCCATGGACTGTGCCTCGTCTGAATTCTTCGTTGACGGCTCGTATGACTTGGACTTCAAGAACCCCAACTCGAACGCTGCTGACTACCTCACTGGCAAGCAGCTTGCTGATTTGTACAAATCCTTTGCTGAGAAGTACCCCAGTAAGTAGTGTGTGCTTTTGATATATCGGCGGGCGTCGGGGGTTATAACGCGGGAGTAGTCGGCTAATAGTTGCTTTTTGCTATATGTACGCGTGATATATAGTTGTCTCCATTGAGGATGCTTTCGATCAGGATGACTGGGACAATTGGAGCCACTTGCTGGCTACCTCTAACTTCCAGCTTGTCGGTGATGACTTGACTGTCACTAACCCCAAGCGCATTGCCACTGCTATCGAGAAGAAGGCCTGCAACGCCCTCCTCCTCAAGGTTAACCAGATCGGTTCCGTCACCGAGTCGATCCAGGCTGCTTTGGACTCCCAGGCTGCTGGCTGGGGCGTTATGGTCTCCCATCGCTCTGGCGAGACCGAAGATACTACCATTGCTGACTTGGTGGTCGGTCTTCGCACTGGCCAGATCAAGACTGGTGCTCCCTGCCGCTCTGAGCGTTTGGCCAAGCTTAACCAGTTGCTCCGTATCGAAGAAGAGCTCGGTGACAACGCAATCTACGCTGGTGAAAACTTCCGCAAGGCTCACGAACTGTAAATACTTTAACTCTGTATACCATAGCGAAAGAACAAAAAAAGAATCCATATGAAGCATCCACTGTTTGTATAATCAACTCATCCATAACAAACCCCACAAATGTAAATTAAAACTCCACCAAATAATAATGCGAGCGCGCGCGAGCTTTACAAAAGAATTCTGTGTTTTTCTTCATCTCATCATGGGAAAGCAAAAGAAAGGATCTGCATCACAGAATGTACAGGCTTCGAAAACTGCTTCCCGGAGCCAGCCAAATGCCAACACAGGAAAGCCCAAGGGCTCGGACAGCGATTCGGTATCTGTGAAGCAGGAGCCCCTCGACTGGAAAAAGCTCAATCCCAAAACTGAGCATTACGAGTAAGAGAAGAAGCACTAGACACAAAAGTTTTACAAGTGCATTAGTAATGGTATCATTAAGAGGCATTGCGAATACTAAGTGACAGTTTAGATTTGGAGGACCCTTCGGCGCCTTTGCCATGATTACGCTACTGCCAGTACTGGTTCTCGCTTTTGCTTTTGGCTGCGACAGTACCGGCTATGACCCGCTCCACCGACTTTATGCATTCGCTTCCGATATAGTGCAAGGCAATTTCTCGTGGGAAATGCTGAGCTCCTTAGCTGCCAGCTGGAAGCCTTCGTCTTTACTATGGTTCCTAGGTTTTTTGGCCCAAATCATCACATACTCTATCGCAATGCCTGGCGAAACTGTCCAAGGAACCAAATTGCGCGACGGAACCCGTCTCACGTACAAGCTGAATGCTCTTTCGGCCGCACAAACCGGTTTTATGATCTCAATGCTCTCTCATAAGTCGCAAGGACTCTACGCTCCCTTGTGGGTCTACCATAACTTCCCGCATCTGGCAGTTGCTTCACTAATTGTGGCGTTTGCTGTATCCATTGGTGTTTATGTCGCCAGCTTTATCGGCAAACCTCGTCTCTTGGCATTGGGCGGTAACACAGGAAATCCCATTTATGATGTATGATTATCATGATCCTAAATTGTATGTCTTCCTCTTGTTGCTTATTACAAAATTTATATCTTATTTCTGTGGGTAGTTCATGATTGGACGCGAGCTAAACCCACGTATTGGTAATTTCGATCTCAAGTTTTTCACCGAACTGCGTCCTGGTCTTCTTGGATGGTTGGTGATAGATATCTGCATGGCATTCAAGCAGTATGCTACATTGAACAGGGTCACCAACAGTATGATCCTAGTAGTAGCATTCCAAGCTATCTACGTCCTGGATGCGCTTTATAACGAGGTAGGCGAAGTAGTTGCTTTTCTGTAGGATTGAATTGGAGTGTTATTGACGTCCTCATGATGGAACTTGCTTCTTAGGTTTCGATCCTTACTACGATGGATATCACCACAGGTAAAATTTTATGCTTTGATTGTTCATACAGAATTTTTGACAGATAACAGAAGGCTCATCGAATCTTATTTTTAGATGGTTTTGGATTTATGCTCGCCTTTGGTAACTTGTGCTGGGTACCCATGATGTACAGTCTTCAGGCCCGTTACCTTGCCGATTTCCCCGTAGATCTTCCTATCATCAGCGTTATTGCCATCGTGGGAATCGAAGTTTTGGGCCTTTACATTTTCCGTTCTGCTAATAGCGAAAAGGACAAATTCCGAACGAATCCAAACGATCCAAGTGTGAAAGGTAAGAGTCATACGAACTCTGTTCAAAGATAGAATCATGTAATAGTAACCCGCAGTACCTGATGTTAGACTTGAAGTATATTGAAACAAAAGCCGGCTCTCGTCTTATTACTTCTGGATGGTGGGGTAAGGCACGTCATATCAATTACTTGGGCGATTGGCTCATGTCAATAGCCTGGTGTCTGCCCTGCGGTTTCAACTCTGTCATTCCTTATTTCTACTGCATCTATTTTGCAATCTTGCTGATCCATCGCGAGCGTCGTGATGATGATAAGTGCAGAAAGAAGTATGGAGAGGACTGGGAAAAGTACTGTTCGACTGTAAAGTACAGAATCATCCCTGGCATCTATTAGTTGCCATAGTAGTGCCAATAGACGTACTTTAGTAAAATTAAATGTAATATTTATAATAAGAGAGTTCAAATATTTCAAATCGCTTTATTGAGTCCAATACTGTTGCTGACGACCCTGTTGCAATTGCTGGGCACTATCCATATGCTGGGGCACGGGGAACTGCTGGGAATGTTGTGTGTAAGCCATTTGTTGCTGTTGCTGGTGGCTGAAATAATTGGAAGGATTTGGCATTCCAGGCTGCTGGGAACCGCCCGGCTTATATTGGCCATTGCTTGGATCAGGCTTTCCCTGTGTCTGCTGGGCACCGGCCGCCTGTTGCACTGCTTGTTGTTGAGGCTGTTGTTGTGCAGTAGCGCCAGACAAGTTTCCACCGAGGAAACCAGGAATTTGTGGGCCTGAGCCATACGACGATGGCTTTTGATAGTCATGAAGTCCCATATTACCGCTACCAAATTGTTGATGCAAACCAGACATGTCATCGTAACCAGTCGGACCAGCGGCTCCAGAAAGCGATTGATTGTACAAGTGCTGTGCTTGCTGGGCATTGTACGGGGTATTGCTCGTTGATGCACTGCTTGGTTTGCTTGATCCCTGGTACATTTGATACATGCTTTTGTTCAAAAATGGCTGACCATATGTAGAGTGCTGATAAGCGCCGAACTGGTTTGGCATATAATAGTATTGATAGTATGGCATGTTTGGATACATTTGCTGTGCCTGTTGTGGAATAGCCTGCGTTTGCTGGGCATTTGGTTGCATACTAGATTGGTTGGCACTAGTTTCCTGATTGTACTTATCACGCATTTGATAAGCGTTGCCAGATGATACGGAAGGCGAATAATGGTCGAATGAATTGGGATCATAGTAGCCCTAGCGGTTCGTATAGCGTGCGCATACATCTCGCGGTGAGCAAATGTTCTATGAAAGCTAAACTTTAACACCGACACAATTACTCACCATGGCAGCGCGTTGTGCATCGGTACCATAGACGCCATAATCAGGTACAGATCCCATTGGATTCACACCGTAGCCAGGAACACCAGCAACTTGTTGATTCGGCATATATGAGTTGTATGCGGACGTAAGATGGTCCATACCAGTGACCTGCTGCTGTGATTGCTGCTGCTGCTGCTGTTGTTGTGCATGGATAGTCTCTTGCTGTTGTTGCTTCAAATAGGATGCCTGATCCGCGAATGCTTCAGAGGTTGCCAAGCCAGTAGTTTGGCCAACTGCAGCTGGTGCATTCGCAGTATAACGGTTCAAATAACTTTGCTGTGGCTCCACTGAAGTTGGCTTTTCGTCGGGAACTTGTACTTGATCCTGCTTATCATGCTCGTTCAATCTATCACAATTTTTTTTGACAAAATAGGTTGGCAATCCTACAACTCACCCAAAGTCGATATCTCATCGGCCTTTACCTAGAATTAACATCCACAGAAGAGCCTACAGTTGAATCTTCCAGGCTCAAAGTGCCGAATTTTACATCGACACCTGAAAGCGTGGCGCTATTCGGAAGAACCACTGGTTCATCCTGTCGCAATCGACGGCCTACAGACTGTCTCACTTTGCTATCTACAGTAACAGGCTGTGGAAGAGGTGATGGTGATGATGATGATGATGACGATGCGGTTTGCTCTTTGTCGTTTGCAGTTTCTGCTTCAGCCGTGGAATCCATAGGCTCTTCTGTTGTTGAATCCAGTGTTTCTGGAATTTGGGGTGGTGGTTGTTTCTGCTCATCTTTGGTGTTTTCCGCTATATCCTCCTTTAACAGTGCGGAACCAAATGAGGTTGGCTGATCTGGTTCAGTCCATGGATCGGTCGTCGTCGTCTTATCCGTAATTTTTGCTTCTGTGTCCCATCCATCGTTGTCTGTGGGCGCGCTCCAAGTATCTTCAGCTGGGGCATTCCAACTATCCTTGACTGCTTGTTCTTCAGATGCGGCGATGGCGGGTTTCGTTTCAGGTTCAGGCGCAGGTTTCGATCTACAATAGCAAGCTTTTAGTCACTACCGATACGTCAAAGTCGAATAGTCATTTTTATATCGCGTACTTTAATAGGCTTGCCCAAGTTTTAGGTGCTGAGGAGGTAGTGGTGGAGGAGTTTGCGGTAGGAATAGGAGGCTTTTGTTCGGTATGGAGAGAAGGAGTAGGGTTCGCTGGTTCTTCGTTATCATCCCAAGATGGTTTGGCTGCTGCTGCCCAGGTATCATCAGGAGAGCGAGTTGTTGTGGCGGGCCAGCCATCTGTTGCGTTCGTCGAAGTTGTGTTCAATGAATCATTCAAAGTTGTAGGCTCGTCTAATGCGTCTGGAGGCTTGGGGGCAGAAGCAATGGAGGCCCAGGAACCACCTGCTGCGCGCTCAGAAGATTGTGCTGGTTTCATTTGCTTTCCCCATGAAGCAGCTTGTATTTGTGAAGGTTGCTGTGATGTTGCGGTAGGCTTTCCACGAGCACTGCGAGTTGACGTCGAGCCGCCTATGTTTTTTTCGTCATTATCGATTCATCAGAACCGCAACCGTTAGTATTCATTTCGTGTCTCAGCTGGTACGTAATAACAGTATTCATCGTTTCTTTTTACCTCGAGATCCTCGACCTCGTTCATTATTATTTCGTGGTATTTGCGTGCGTTCCGTACGTGGTGAATACGCAGTGGTCGATAACGTCGCGGGTTGTACTGCTGCTGCCTTTGCCTTTTGAGCTGCTTCTTTCTTTGATTTTTTGCTTTTCACTTCGCCCCACTGAACGGCGTGTCCTAGAAATAAAAGGAATAGCAACAAGAGAAAAGGTTATTGACTGTAAACCTCTATGCTTCCTCTTCTAAGAGCAAACAAGTATTCCTGATTTCGAGTCTCTTACCCGCGCTAATCCGTTCGATTGTCAGTTCCAGATCCCCATCGGCATCTTGTAGGGCAAATAATAAATCTTCATCCGACCAATCCTCGAATAACTCTTTAAGAGTAGATAGCTTCGAGGCATATTTAGATTTGAGTTTTTTCACATTATTCTGTCCATTGCCGGTTGGAAGGGAGCCTTTAGTCCCTGCCGAATTCGGTTGTGTTAAGCGTGTTTCGTATGAAGTCATTAGGATTGTTGGCCTCGATCTGACAAAGAAAATGAAAGATAAAAAGAAAACGATGAAGCGGTTATGTGAATACGTATATAACATGCATAGTGTTGCGAGAGATTGATTCAAGAAAAGCCTATCGAGAGTATAGAGTAATAAAAGTTACATTGTGTGTCGTATGGATGGATGGTGTTGTTGTATCTCTCTTTTTTAACTCTCCTGGAAGAAAAAGAAACGAGAAGGTCAGGTCGGTCTCGAAGTGGCACCTTAATCACGGAGAAGTAAGTGACTTGTGTATTGAAGAAGAACGCATGATCGTCGCTGGGTGACACTTGACTTCAGGTTTTTTTTATCCTAGCAACAATCATTTTATATCCACTAGCTCTTAGTTCTGTTACGATGTGATTTGAACTTCTATCATCACCTATCGCTTACAGCCAAGCTGTTTATTTTGTTGTGGGTCAATGCGCACGGTAGTTCTTAAGTTTGCATAAACGCGTACTCTTCGGAGATCCAGGCGATCGCTTTCTAGCAGACGTGGTGCCATCTACGAGACATAAAACATACCTCTACACTCATACTAGACAGTAGTAGGTAAAGCATATATAAAACGAGAAGTATCTATCGCACTGCGGCAAATGCCACTCGATCCCTTGTGATTTCCTTGACATAAATCTGGCCATTATTTACCACTACTTATCTTATACAAAAGAGTTTACAAAGAATGCATTAATATATAACGCATTCAAATTCAAATTCATATATTTCGTATGCACATCTCTAATAAAATTAGAGCCTATACCTCACGACAACGCATGCGGGTAAGCTTTTTGCGAAAGAAGGGGAGCATAATAGCAACAAAGTTGAGGTGACACGAAAACCGGATCTACCTCCGAAAAGATGGCAAGTACGGATCCACAGGTCATCATCGAACAAAAAGAAGGTCCCAAAGCGCGTCTCCGGTTGCGCAGTTCTCAGGGCCCACATGCTGATACAGAGATTCTTTTTTAAAAGCCTATGTTCGTTTTCTTGGCTCTATTAATCAACCCGGCTGTTCGTTTGTAAAAAATAGAGTAACGAGCTCCTTCTGTGTCATGCTATACTACTCCTGTTACACATCGTGAAAGCGTATATCTTGCACATCTTCTTTGTCAGTTCCATACACAGAAGCGTCATACTATATGAATTGTTTTGTTGTTTTATAGCATATTGAAAGTATCCAAGTGCACTGACCACTAGCATTATCATTATTCTCCTTTAGAGACCCGGGCTCGTCCCATATCATTACAGCCACCAGTGCTACTTCATAACTAAGTTACTGCGTATGTATATGTCTGATGTCATCGAATTTTGCGTAAATAAAAACCTGTTCTCCGCGATACGGACGCTCTATGCTGTATTAGGCGACTCCTGGAGATGACCCGTGTTCCAATGGTGAAACGATTGAAGATGGGGGTGGCGCTAATCACATTACTATACAGAGCTAATACAGAACAAACACATCCTCTCGCTCAAACATGCACAGTTGTCTTTCATGCAGCTTTTACTATTGCCATTATCAGTGGCACAGTATAAAATCTGCCGCACCGAAATATGTATACTGAAATAAAGTGTGTCAGCAAAAAAAAAGGTCTGGGTCCTCCTCTTGCAGGATAATCAACGAATCTAGCCAACCATACCTTTCTTTTATGCTGCGCGACAATGACTTGTGAGTGTTTTGAGAAAAAAAGAAGGTTTCAATCGCGAACCTGAATAGAACCATCCGTTGTCACGCGCGGTTGTCCATTTCCATTTCCTTTACGCGTTTTAAGGAAGGTACTATAACTTATACGTGCATACGCTGCAGTGATCCATTGAAGGTGTTGTTATTAGATATGCATAAAGCGCTCGTAGAATCATATGTTATTTGATGAGGGATAAAACGTCTGAAAGCGATGTAAATAGCTGTAAATTCTCGGATTGCCCTATTGAAGAATATATTCGGGCTCACGGGCTTAGCCCGTAATATCGCTACAGACAAAAGCTCTTATGTTTGCGACTTGAGGAAGGGAAGCAATAAACCTTGTTAACAATGCAGATCATTACATCGCATAATATAACTTCTGGGCGCGACATAATATCACAATGACACATCATGGGTAAGGAACATTTGGTGTGTATTCCCAACTCCTGGGTGCTAGCTAGAAAAGGTACATCTCCGAAACAACGCCGAATAAAAGCTGTGCGTAGCAGAAGCTACAAGTAAATCCAGAGGACCATTTACAATAGGTAGTGCATGAATATGCTACTATAAATCTATTTTGTATCCGTATGAATCTCCATGACAAGATATGACACATGGTCAGTTTTAAAATAAAAGCATCCATAGGTTACCGAGCTCGTTGTTATCTAATGACCAAAACGTTGAGCGAAAACTTACAAACTAACACGAACAAGGTTGATGTTCTGCGTGGAACAGCTTGAGGCGGCGCACTACCCCCATCCCCGAAGTCCCAAGACTTCATTCGTCGCAGCCCGTTCTGTCCCTCTTCGCCGACCAAGGAAAAGGTTGCCTTGGCATTTCAAACGGAAATGCTTTCACCCAACAAAACCTAGTATCGCTGAAAGGGGCTGACGTATGGGATAAGTAAAAAAATCTCTGTTGCTTTTTGTCTTCTTGTGCTACATGCCAGAAATCGTGGGAAGGGCCCTTTTGCTTTTTCTACCTTTTAAAAGAAAGTTGTAATCTGCACCTACCGAAGTCAGTAATTGCTGCTAACCTGCTCGTGCTTAGAAAGGCAACGGAAGTTTGGTTTTTTAAAAAGGAAGTTTGCGTCCTTGCTCTCATACTCCTTGAGAACTGTGTTGTTTGTTTATTCAGTTGAGACCTGTGGTGTAACAATGGAAGACCCCACTCAGGTGGGATTATGTTTGCAATCAAAGCAAAACATCAGTGCACGCACCGACAGTTGGATCCAATATAAAAGGCGCAGGAAAAACATGAGTTTTCTTATAATTCTTCCACCTCCCATTATCACCATTTACCTTTTGCACATTATATCCACTGCATACTGCGGAAAGAGAACATTCTGAGATAAAGTGGGTCATCGTTTCTTCGTTATTACTCTGTAAACGCTATGAGCAGACATTCAACGACTATCATGGGGAGTTATTTGGTGCTGTTGTTATTACTGTGCGCCATTTCTGCTCATGCATATCATTACAGGCACTTTGTTAATTAAAAGCTCGCACCATGCACTTTAGAATGGCCACTTTACCAGAATATGATGCGTTGTCACCAGGTTTGACATCTACGTCGCAACCTCCCGCTGGCTCTTTTGAGCTGCAAGAAGACGATTGCTTTATTTCGCGTTGGCTGACAGAGAACAGCAGCGGTGTTACAATCAACAGCATCTGCCACCAGCAGCCTCCCGAGACGCCAACTACAACGTTCAGCTCTGATGAAGCGGCACCCAGTATGACTCCCTCTAGTTCTATAACAACAGTCGCTACAACAAGTTCATTCCCAACTTTTTCTCCTTCAGCTATGGAGAGCTTCTCGGCGCAAACATTTGCGTATCCGGTTAACTGCTCGAGCTATCCAAATGCACCTTTGTGCGACAGTGTCGTCAACCGCAGCAGCAACAATGAAACCACAACAGCCGAAGCACCAGAATCATTGACGACAATAGCAGATACCGCAGCAACTTACACATCATTCCATCCAATTTTATCACCATTTTCTCAAAGCCAAAGTAAATTTCAAGGCGACAACACGGTCCTATATCAAAAAGAATATTCAAATGTAAGATTCTGTTTCCCACCATACAGAAGCAGTGTATGTCGCCGTGTTGTTCCTCGATTATACTTACATTTGTTGGTCACAATTTCTTTTATCAGACCCCCTATGCTACCGCTCCATCACATCAGTATCAAGACTACTGTATACAGCCGTCCCTAGACTCGCAAATAGTCCACACCACTGCTACATCATCACAAATATACACGAGTTTTTCGGAAGAGCAGCGTCATCCCCAATTGTCATCGCTATCGCCATGTACACCCACCGAAGAATACTTTTGGTGGAATCATCAAGGTGTTATTGACGAGGTAATGAATTCACATACCCTAAGATCAGCAACTATGGTACTATCATGACAGGCACTTCAGCCGTGCCATTTTAATGGCGCTCGATTCTCATTGCTTCTTTAGAACACAGGTCAATTTCCTGCTCTCAACGGGACCGGCACCTGGCAATCTGACGGTAATATCATCAACAGCAGCAATGTCAGCAGCGAGAATGATGGCCCAACTTCTGCCAGTAGTATTATGAGTACGAACAGAGCAGTACTGCATGACACGCTTTCACCGCAAAGATTGAGTGGCGAAGCGAGTGCACTAATGCCGGAAATTGATACCGATTTACCATTTGACGCCTCAGCAGCAGTAGCATCGGATTCGTACTACCCTTTTGAATACGTAAGTGGCGATAATAAACAGACGAAAAGAAGAAAGCGTTCCACCAACCGAAGTCGTCGCGCACACCATCATCCGTATGGCGACACTACTACTGTGACGACTACCACAGCCATAACTGATCTACGCCCGCTGCAAAAAATTAACCACGGACGAGTAAAAAGCAAGAAAAGGGAACGCGCAAAGTGTGGCCAATGTCCAAAAACGTTCTCCAGGCAACGGGATGTGGCGCGCCACATATCAACAAAACACCAGAAAAAACAGTTTCATACCTGTAAGAAATGCGGTACGAGGTTTCCACGTAAAGACACGTTATTTCGACACAAACGCAACGTTTCTTGTAATAATGAAGATGGAACGGCAGATTCAATGACCAGTAGTAGTTGCTGAAGCAGCTATTAAATTTATTTATATGTTACTCATGATATTCCTTCCTTTTTTAAGTTCCTGTATGCTTTCCCCAAACTATATGTGTGTGTGTATGTACCTCATGTCTGTATGCTATCAAGTAAGAAAACCAATAAAATCTGTAGCACTTTTTTGGCTGTGGCCTCCAAATGCTTATACAAAGTTTGTTGATTACACAGCGACGAGCAATATTGATTCGGCGGAAATCGGACATGCAGCCACTAGAGACGTTTCGCGTAGCGTACTCTATTTACACACATGACCTTACAAAATAATCCGTCACGTTAGAAAGTCTCGGCCCAAGGCGTGCCAAATAGGATCCCACTGAGAATAGAAAGACTTTCGCTTTACCAATAGAATCGCTTCATTTAATTATACTAACCTTCCAGATCATGAAGAAGTTGTCAATCTGTCAGATTAAAAGCAAAGCTGCTTTTGTTTTGTTTGTATCCTCTCGCTCGCTCTCAACTTCTTTTTTCTGTTCGACAGCTCCTTCGTCTTCAACGTTGCTACGCCTGAATCATCCTAAAACATGAACATCATATGTTTTTTTGGTAGTATACCACTCCTGCCGCCACCACCGCTTCGCAGCCATTGCCTTCCAGAGGCACACAGGATGCTGTTTCTTTTGCTCCTATCCATACCTCCTCATTGCTGACTCGGTCTGTATCTGTGGATGACGCCTCGACAAGAAGGCGGATTGTGCCCAGCAAAACGCTGGATATGCACATGCTGCAGGCCATCGAGGCGCAGCAGCCTTACTACCAGCAACTACGCGGCAGCATCACTGCTACTAAGGGCACTGTGGCTCAACAGCCGTTCATCGACGCCGGCAAGCTGGTAGCGAGTATCTCAGTTCGCTACTGCCGCGAGCGCTTTGCCGAGATGATGCAAGACGAAGAGCATCTGCAAGAAGCTATGTTTGCAGCAACCGGCCTTGGAGGGTCAGAGCCGTCCGAGCTGGACCTGTTACGCGCGGACGTCTTTTTCCACGTTGGTTCTTTTTGGATGATAAACAAAGATAATGTCTTACCAGAATATTACGCCGGCACATTGCTCGATTACACTTCATTTGCTTGTTGTTACAAAGTACCAAGACTTCCGCGCCGCCAGCAAAAGGAACGGGACCATGTCGCCGAGGGGCGACAGGAGGGGGAGAACGTCCTGAGAGAGATGGTTGCTCTCGCTCTTGGCTGACACCAGCGTCGCAAACAGCAGCAGCAACTACTAGACAACAAAGACGAAGACGAAGCGAATGTCGCTGCCCGTTTGCGTAGTGCTCACGTCGCCGGGTCGTCGACGACCGTAGCGATCGCTTGACGGCGGTCATGGAGGTCACGAGTCGCTCTCAACAGCGTGCCCAGCAACAGCACCAATAAATGATAGAATTACTAGTTTTTCCGCCCTCCGTCAGTCGCAGCAAGAGTCGGCTGTACTCAACGAGACGACCACGTCCATTAACAGCCTTGTCGCTGCGCTCTCTCCTTTTCGGCAACAACAGCAGCATCAATATAGTAGGTTCTTTTCGTTGCAGTAAACTTCACGCGTACCTGGAAATAGTGGATCATTTTGGATTGTTTTGATCTCAACAGATCTGAATACTTAAGTGTATATTTAAAAGTCGGGACAAACGATATGCATGGAGATGAATAATCAAAAAAAGGTAAGGAACGGAAGAAGAGAAAAAGAGATACTAGAAACAAGGTTGATTGCTACTTTAGTCGCCACTTGTTATGTTTCTGTATTGCTCGTTGGGCAAACGTAAGTTTTCTTCAAGCAAAAGAGATTTCACACCAAAGAACTTTGATGTTTTGACTCCCCTCCTTCATGCAATGCTTTAGTTTTTTAAGATGTGGCAAGCTTGTAATGCTTACCAACAGACAGTTGCATTGAGCGCTGCAACCTCTTTTGATCCAACCCGCTCCACAGATTCGTCACGCGTCCGAATTCCCCTTCGACAGAAACACGGACCTTTGACATGTCAGCATTCTCATTCTTTTATGCTTCGGTCATTGCTGCACCTATACATAATACCAGTAAGAGTCGATATAAACTTGGTTATTGTATCGAGTTTGAATATTTATACCAACTAAGCGTCATTAAACAGAATGAAATCACCATACTTCTCGAAAAGAATGTCGATGATAGCATTCAAACTGAGACTCATATGCGTTTTAATGCTACTAATAACGAGAAGCTTCTTCACGTCACCATGTCGCCGCACGGTATCACCCAATAGCGCAGAAAAATACAGGATGCTTTTTCTGTATTCATCCTGAATCCATGAGCCACGAAATTCCCGGTGGGGAGCTCCTCCATCGCAGTTCTCAAGTGCTTGAATTAATATGAAGCGTAAAATATGTGGCTTTTTTACATTTAAGGTAGGAACACATATTCTCCCAGAATTGATATATATGTTATTGTTAGTACATCAGGATAAATGCAAATTTGCTCATAATAGTGCTCTCTGTCTTCAGATAGACTGTCGAGGTCAAACGAGTGATTCGAGCGTGTACGCGTAACATGTTTCGTTTGTTCATATTAACAATTCTCCGCGCACGTTTGGCTTGTAGACGTGATCAAGCAAGGGCAAACAGCAGAAGAGGAGAAGGAGGACGCATCCGATAATGAGCCTTGTATAGTTAAATAAATTCAGCAGAACATGCTGGTTATTGAAGTATGGCTTTATTGAAGTTGCCAAAGCTCACGGTTAAACTATGTTCCTATGTCTCCAAAAACAGCATACAACGAAGGCACCCGAAACGTCTAATACAAGTTCCGGAGATATGTCCCAGCGACGCTTATATTATGCTTCTGATGACAACACTGCCCTGTACAAACAATGTCTTTACTTCGTTCCATTAAAGCCAGTGTGCCTCAATTCCAACGCGCCTTTTCAACTATCAAAATACCCGACATGGAGGTGGACAATCTTGTGATTGGTGCCGGCGTAATCGGTTTGGCCATTGGCGAAAAGTTGACCCGCGAACGACCTTCAGAGACCACCATTGTCGTTGACAAAAACAAGCGATGTGGCGAGGAAACCAGGTATGGCGGGAAATAGTGTTCCTGGTATATGCGTGCAAATATTGAAAGGAGCGTTTGTTAACACGAGCTATATCTGGTTTTCATTTGTTCACATTCACGGGGATATAGCTCCCGCAACAGTGAAGTGATCCATGCAGGCATATATTATCCCAAAGATAGTTTGAAGACTCAGCTTTGCATCCAAGGCAAAAATCTTATGTACAGTCTTCTCTCGCACACAAACATTCCATACAACAAGATTGGCAAGCTTGTCGTCGCTCAAACCGGAGAACAGCAAAGCTATCTTCAAGAATTGCATGACAAATCAAACGAACTCGGTGTCGAAACGCGCATGTTGACTGGCGATGAGACAGCTGCCATGGAACCTGAAGTCAAAGCATGTGCTTCATTGCTATCACCAACAACCGGCATCATCGACTCTCACTTATTTATGGATTATTTGGAGCAACAAATTGTTCAGAATGGGGGCGATTTGGGTCTGTATACCTCGGCGATGGCGATCCAACCTTGTACCGAGGGTGGTGATGGTTATATTGTCGACCTCGCCACGCCACCAGGTTCAGCAGAGGTGACTACCGTATTAGCTAAGCGTGTTTTCAATGCCGCCGGCTTGCATGCGGACAAAGTATCGAACTTGTTGCTGGGCGATAAATACAAGCTTCACTACGGTCGAGGATTCTACTATGCATACAACGGACCTGTCAAAGTCAACCATCTTATCTACCCTTGTCCGGCTAAGAATCTCGCAGGCCTTGGCACACATTTGACTGTGGATATGGCGGGGAAGATCAAGTTTGGTCCCGATATCCATTATATTGACGACCCGTACGATTACAATGTACCAGACGACTCTAACGATCGGCAGCGCTTCGCGGAAGCGGTTCGAAGTTTCATGCCGCATATTGATCCTAACAAATTACATCCTGATTATGCTGGCATAAGGTACTGGAAAGAAAAACAGTTTTCTTGCTCCTCGTTGGTTATGAGTCGCAAATTTATCTCACAATGCTACATCTTCTTAGACCGAAGCTTGCAGGACCTGGTGAGCCATTTAGAGACTTTCTGATCCAAGAAGAAAAGCAAGATGGATACGCCAACTTCTTTTCGCTGATCGGTATCGAAAGTCCTGGCTTGACGTCCAGTATGGCAATCGCAGAATACGTACATAATCTCATAGAGAAGTAACCTATGTTGCAAAATATGTATTATAGAATCTTAAGTATTATTAGAGGGATGATGAAGGTCGCACGAAGAATATCGTTGTTTTTGTTTCTACGTCTTGTATTATTGTTGCATACTATTCCATCCATTTATCTCCAGAATCGAAAAACGTAATAGCCTTTTTAAAATAAAACATTCATCGTGTCCCATCATATCCTTGTTCGCCTGCTGTGTATGTCATATGTAAAGCTGCTGCGCAACGAATGAGAATAGTAAGCAAGCAAGAAGATTGTCACAAAGCCATAAGTCGTCTTAATCAAAGACGCTTCTTCTTTGCAGTAACAGCTCTTGCACCAACTACATCATAGTGTCATTCGTTACTGGCGACGTGCCATTTCTTTTATTCTGCATCTTCTTATTCAAGCGTGCGCTTTGTGGCTTGACCATTTTGATAAACAAATCTGTTGGTTGCTTTTATTATGCATAGTGCTGTTATTTGACTATAATTGTTCATATTTCTACGAGCCTTTGTCGTCTGCGCGCCTTCGGCACTGAGGTTTCCGGTCACTAGCATTTAGAAGAAGGTTGAGCTGTGCCAACTCAGTGATTTTGTTGACCCCATAATATGTAAGATCCATATGAATGCTGTGCGTTTAGTGCTTATGAAAAGGCGGTGGCTAACAATGATGTATGGTATATATGATCCAGTACGTCAGTGACAACACACCTTCTAGTAAGATGTCAGCTGTAGAGAACTCTTTAGCTGGTTCTTCATTGATCGCTTGACGGAGCATCAATATGAGCTCATGTCTAAGCTTTGATAAATCGGTGTATATTGTAAGGTATTGAATGCCGGCTCTTTAGTCTCGGCCCTGATATAATCTACGTCTTGCGTAATAGCCATCATGTTCGGCTTGCTGGACATCTAGTAATTGAAAAGATGGTAGCTGTACTCACTTTTCATGACCCATCTTTCTTGTTTGATCCAATAAGAAACTGTCTATATTTGGATGATGGTATATATAGTATGCCATCATTCATGAGATATGATGGTGCAACATAATAGAGAAAGTCGGCTTGTCTCACGGATGATGGATGACCAGCCCCGTGTGCGGCATTTCGTGTGTCTCGAATAGTAAGCGAGTACCCATTGCCCATGCACCAGAGCCAATGTATTGACTAGTATAATACCTTGTCGACGTTGCCACTTCACTGAACATGTATTCCTCTCAACTTGGATGTAAAATGTTGTTGATACAAGTGTAGTCGATATGACCAGAAAATTAAGGTTTGACAGTTATTTGCCGGAGTATAACTTAGTAGTCCGAAGCCTCATGCCGCACAATGATCCCGACAAATTCCAGTATTTGCCGACTTGATAGACGTTTGGAATGAAGGGAAAACTAAGTGGATGTACATAGTGCTTTTTTTTGGCTGACATCAGTATTGAAGGTATTTCCATAAATCCAACCTAGCAATTGGATGCACACAATTCCACAAAAGTTAATTACAGTACTGGATTTTTTTTATTTATGAATGTAATTATAATATGTATGGTTGTATAGAAGGGTGATGCTGGAAGTTGAGTCATATAATCGGTGTTGTGCTGTCAGTTACTTCATTTTGTATCGTTTGCAACTCTGAGGCTGTTCTCGATGTTTTGCTCTTTTTTCCGAAGATCGTCAAAGTACGGATCTAAAAAAGAGAACATCAACAAAGCACATTAAATAAACTTCTCTTATGATCCATATGTTGCATGTAAGTGACAGTAGACATACGATTTAGGGCATCGTTGGCAGTTATGCGTCTGTCGGGCGGGTATTGAAGGAGTTGCTAAGAGTAAGGCAACAAACAAAAAGATCATCATGTTAATGGTAAAACTCCAACGCATTTGTTGACCACTTACTTTTAATAAGTCGATGCCTAAGGAATCCAATTTCGGGAGAAGTGTTTCTAAAGGTATCCGGGCAAACATCTCGAAGTCACGCTAGTAGAAATAAAAACGTGAGGAAAGGAAAAGAGAGATAGCAGAGTGTTATATATACAGTTGTTTTGGCAAAGGAAGTAGTAAAGAAAGATAAAGAGCTTTACCTTATATTCGGGTAATTGAGATACGCCAGGCCATGTCTCTTCGGTGGGGGTCCCTAACACTGTGCAAATGGAATCAAGGAAAAATACAAACAATCCACAGGTTATATGAACCACAAAATATGTTAAATATTATAAAAAGGATATTTGAAAATGCGCTGCAGTTGATCTGGAATAGAGCTGCCTGGGAATAGGGGTCGTCCGGACGCCATTTCTGTTAAACACGAGTTAAATATTTCAGAAATGTCTTTTTTTAGTGAGCCACTATAAGTTACCTGCGAAGATACATCCAGCAGACCATAAATCGATAGACGTGGAGTATTGTCGGGAGCCCATTAATACATCTGGTGCACGGTACCATAACGTGACAACCTAAAAAGGGGGTACTCGTTAGCATTCAACATCAATGTATTCTAAGAATCTTTCTCGATACTCCATGTTAGCAAAACCAACCTCATGCGAATAACTACGGACAGGTATACCGAATGCTCGAGCGAGACCAAAATCACCAAGCTTGAGCTCCCCTTTTTTGTTGATGAGTAAATTCTGCGGTTTTAAATCCTATTCATACAAAACCATTTGCAGCGTGAGTCGCACATCGTCTATTCATGGGCCATCCACAAAGAAAGAAGCAACCATACTCTGTGGAGCACTTTGTGTTCATGGCAGAATGCGATTCCTTTCAGCAGCTGGTACATCAATTGCTGCAATAGGATCAATCGTATTAGTAATAATGTCCCCTTCTTTTCTTAGATACCCACCCAACTCGAAAAGAGGAAGTTACTTTAATAGTTATAATATCAATGTCGCCACCGTAGGAATCCAGAAACTTCTTTAAATCAGAGTCCAAATACTCGAACACCAACGTCAACTTCTTTTCAGTATGTAAAACATCGTAAAGCCTAATATTATGCAAAGTACAATAAATGTTATAACCCTTCATTCTAACCTCTTTGTGCAATTCAGCTTCATCACAAGATAAGTTTGATATTTTTACTGATAATAACCTGACAATGTTGACATGTTTTAATTCCTTTAGTAACGATATTTCTCGGATCGCAGTACATGGAACCTAGACATACGTATAGAATAGATGTAGTCAGCCAACAACAGCCAGATGAAACGGAAGGGGATGACTTTCACAACGGATAGCAACATACTCCTTCTTCTTCATTATCCAGTCGAATACGTTTTAAGGCTACAACTTCGTTTGTGTCTCGATTTTGTGCTTTATAAACGATACCGTACGTGCCTAAAGGAATTAAATAGTCGTGTGCGTTGTTTCTTTTCTGTTAGAAGTGGAAACAATAACAACAACAATACTAAATTGATACTCACCTTCACCTAGCTTTTCTATTTTCTATATAATTATAAGAGAATAGGTCAATACCTTATTCGAGCAATGGCATCTATAGCTTTACTGATTCTTTACCTGATATTTATCCATGGGTTGGTAGTGTGTTACAGCAGTAGTAAAAGAAGAGAGGAATAGGCCACCCTGAGTTCAAATTAGCTTTTTTTTGTTTTTTAGCTTTTTGCTTGCACAGCGCCATCAATGATTGCGCTTAAAGTTACGAGCAATCAGCTAGAATCGAATTTGAAAAACTCGAAGAAACAATATAAAAACGAAATCAATAGAACCAGCTTGACAACTGTGCCAGAAAAGATCTACAAATGCACGCTCGACGGCTGTGAAAAAAGCTACCGAAAGCCTAGCAAACTGAAGGAGCATGAGCGTACCCATACTGGCGAGGTATATGTTGTACTATGTATAAAGTTTGCCACCTTTTGGTACTCTTTTGGTACTCTTAGGTTATCCTGCTGTATAAATTTAACTCTCGCACGCATTGTAGCGACCATTTGCTTGTGTGTTCCCCGGTTGTGGCAAATCGTATATGCGTTCAACCCACTTAGCAGCACACGCACGACGACATGATCCCGACGCATCGACTGCCTTCAAGTGCTCATTTGCAGGTTGCAGTAAAGGTTTTGCTACGCAACAACATTTACAACGACATGAAGCTTTGCATACAGCACCAACACCACACAAGGTTAGACTTTGGAAATGTTTTATGCGTGAGAAGGAGTAGAGGTAGATCAACGCCAGACTCATTTAAATGACAAATATGACATAGTGCGATTGGCCTGGATGTGGTAATTCGTTCGCCAAACGATACCAGTTACGCAATCACATGTGTTTTCATACTGGTAAAAAACCGTTTCCATGCACAATGGAAGGCTGTGGTAAAAGCTTTGATACCGCATGCAAATTAAAAAAGCACGAAATAACGCACTCAGGTACATTGAATATCATGTAATCTCTTTGTCGGCTATGCATATGCGTATATGAAAGAAACGAATGGCTGTTAAATATCTTGTTTAGATGATTCGCGCTATGTATGCGGATTTGCTGAATGCACTGCAAGATTTTCCAGGTGGACAGAGCTACGCCATCATGTTGCACACGATCATCCCGTCAATTGTGAAGTTTGCGGCAAATCGTTTGCAAAGCAAGTTCAATTAAGGCGACATTTCAAATGCAAGCACGTTGATCATGATCCTATTTCTTGTTATTGGGAAGAATGCTCAAAACCCTTTTTTTCGGTAAGATAAACGAATTTTAAAATTCTTCTTTCTTCGTTGAATAACCCTTTGCTGAATGCTTGTCGTTTTATAGAAAAAGGCTTTGAAAATGCATATCGAGCTGGTTCATGAGCGTCCCAATCGATACAAATGTACATTTGAGGGCTGTGACAAAGGATTCCCATACAGGTCGTTGTTGGAACGACATGAACAATCACATTCGGTTAGTGAGATCAATTAATTGAAGACACAGCTGGATCCAAATATTCTGATAGATCATACCCTTTTAGAGACCACGAGCATCCCAAAAACGACAGCGAGGGCTTGGGCGGAGTATCGCAGATATGATCACTGGTTATGATTATGCCGAGAAAAACTCGAGGCGGCGATGGGCATGTCCTTTCAAAAACTGTAACCACAAGTTTACTCGCGAATACGACTTGGAGCGTCATCTGCAAAGCAAAATGCACGAAGATGATCTTGAATATCTACTCAACAACGAGCGCTTCTCAAAGAAACAGCGTTTGGAGTCATCGTCACCAACAAAACCAGACACAAGTCAACCGACACTCTAATTACCTACAGCCATATTTTACATACACACACATACACGCCAAACATTTTACATACATCACAATATCACCATTCTGTACATATACTCTTTTCTTTATTAGAAAAAAAAAATATAACAAAACAACTTTTATTGCATTGCTTCTTGTGGATTTTGAACCACAATCAGGAGGTATTCGTGATCTACATGATGTATTAAACGGAAAAAGAGAGAGAAAGTGTAAGCGATAATCAACGTATCACACAATGAGAAATAAACATCACATATACCTGGAGCGATCATTATTTCGTGCTTTTTCGTACGTACGCGCAAAAACGTAAGATCATTCTATCAATTAGAAGAAGTCATAGTTTGGGTTAGTCTAGCTGGCTCAAGCTCAAGCTAAACGAACACACAGCAGCACTCGTTTTTACCTGTTCATCTAAAGTAGCAACAGTTGTTCGTGCTTGTTGAACAAGTGTAGAAATCAGTTGCCCATATTGCTTCGTCAGCTCATCGTCGAGTGTTGATCGAATTGCTTGACCTTCACTGTTTAAAATGACAACAGCTTTGACGCCTCGCCGGGACGATAGTCGTTTTAATGTTTCGTCGATTTCAATGGTCTAAAGCACAGTCACCCGAGATTTTAACGTCTTATTAGAAGATGCTTATTGTCAGTTAAGCGTGATTATATTATGGATGGTGTATACCATGAACCAAGATCAGTAATGTTCTCTTTCAAAAGGCGTGAAAAAGACACACACGCACTAAGGGACCAAGCTGCTTAAGAATTCAGGCGACGACAAGCGAATTTTGGATAAGGTTGCACACACACTGGTAGGTGTCAGCATCATTCCAACAATGTGCATACATACTGGGTGAAAAGTTTGTCCTAAAGCTTTTTTCCAATGTGATACAGAGAAAAAGGCGCTAAAGAATATGATGCAATGAGCATCTGCTACTATTCATAAGTATGAAAACTACAACAGAAAATGCAATGCTGCTATAATTCGAAATCTCCTTCAGAACCAGTATCGCCTAAGTCGTCATCCGTTATTTCATCTTCACTATCCGTCAAGAGTGCCGTAAGTCGTTCGGCATTGAGAGCATTCTCCACCAGAACATAAGGCGAGATAGAGAACGAAAAAGCAAGGTCATGTAAGGAAATCGAGTCGACGGGTGTAGCTAAAGATGATGACGAGGAAAAGGATGAAATGTCGTTGGCTACGCTCGCGCTGCTGCTACTATTGTCACTATTACTACTGCTACTGCTGCTGCTACTGTCATTGCTATCAAGGGAGGGACTTTGAGCTGCTGATGGTGAAGGTATGTTTTGAGTTTCCGGCATAAGGAGAGGTTGGGATGATAATATCTGTTCCATTGCTGCGTATCGCGTTTCAGGTGTATCTTTTTCCATTGTTAATCCGATAGACCGATTGATTCGTCGCTTGGTTACTGCGTTAGCAATCGCAGATTTGATGTAGCTCTACATACTCGATTAATAACGATGGATATCGTAAGCAACGCCCAAAAATCTAAAATTCAACCCACTTCGGTGGCAAACAACATGGCATTCACGACCTCTTCAGTCACTCCTTTCACCAGCCCTTGTTCCAGCGCAATACTTGTCATCCTTGCATGTAATGTTTCGGGACCAGGAAGTTCTTTTAAATCTGTGCAAAGTGGTGCTAACAAACCTCGTGCGTAGTCTGCATTAAATGCTACAAAATTTCAAGGTTTTGTTATTTAATCCTATGATTCCACTGTTTTTTTTGTTATCCTTGGGATTGAATGTGGTGCTCACTTTGTGGAAGTTGTTCCGCAGGTAATGGCAATTGGGGCACTCGACTTATGCGTGGTTTTAAGAGCTTATCGACAAAAGGTCTCAATTTATCCTTGTCTCCTGCCTGTTTGAATGTAAGCCCTTTTGTTCAGTATCGATCTCAATGAGCGTTTATAAATCTTTATCTTCTCCTTTTTACTTTCATACCTTGACCAAAGCTTTCAATTTGTCGCGATCAGCTTTGCTTAAGGACATGACATCCATTTTAAGTTTTTTCTTTAAAGGATCTCTTTCATTGTCTCCATCTAACAGACTACCATCCTTGCCACGTTTCCGTTTGGCCCAGCCGACAGATCGATGTTTGGATGGTGGAGGGGTTGCAGTTTGAGCGTTATGAACAGTGCTTAGAATAAAGGCATTATGGAGGTAAGCTGTGATAAATATGGAGGAGAAAGAAATGTTCTTGTTTAGCAAATACATATGGGTACAACCAAACACTTGTTTGTCTGTCTATTGTTACAGTGACGAACTGACTATGGTGTTGCGCTTACCGTTTTCATGACTTAGGTATAGATTAGCGTAAAAGTCGAATTCTTGTCGATTAAGCTTTCCAGCGACGAAGTCTTTTAAAGCATCCCAGTATAACGGGCCATTGTCTCCCAAGGCATCGGCGAGACGTTGTTTGAGTGCGATCACGTCCTGTCGTCCTGTTGGAGTCATGGTACTGGGAAATTTACCCTTGATGACTAGTTGCTTCTTTTTTGATGGCATTTCCAAATTACTCGTAGCAATTGTTGAATCGTTAAGTGGTGTTGCTGTTACTGGTGGAGCATTAGTAGGGGCTGGCGTCGTTGTAGTTGCTGGTGTCGCCGCCGTTGTTGTAATTGTTGCTGAATCAGGCTGCTGCTGCTGTTGTTGTTGTTGTTGTGCTTCTGATCCTGTTGCCGTCGTGGTAGTTGTGGTGGTAGCGACAGCAGGCACCATGTCGACTTCAGCAGGCATTTCCCACTTTGTTAAAGTACAAAGAGCGTATGTGTGTGACTCAAGCGAAATTAGAAAGGGGCAAGAAGAGACAGCAGCGTGGTGAGGTTTGTATGTAAATCTTTTTGATTCAGTGCCAGACAACTGCTTTGTATTGCTTTTGGTTTTCATAACAGATCACAGCTCTTATAACGCTTTTAAATTATAAAGGCATTGGGCTGTGTCAAGGGAAACGACTGGAACCCATTCACATACAGGCATGCTTATAGTCGTCTGAATACATTGATGAAACGAAAATCAAAACATTACTACTTGAATCTATGCCATATGCGAGACAGAAAGATGTGTAGGTATAGAGCACTGAATCAATGATTATTGGCAAAGCTACTGACCGATGTACAGTAAAACGGTACACAGCACTATTATAAGCCAAGTTTGACATGCTATTTACAATGTCTAATGTTGTCAGGGCATATTTTAATATCGTTTCTCGCGTGCCACAAGGCACCATCGCCTATCTTCTTTTCGTGTGCCGATCCTCCACGCAGGAACCAACAGCCCTTTTCTTTACTTTTGATTTCACAATGACAACTGTTTTCGTCACTGTGGGCTCCACGGGATTCGACTCACTTGTAGAAGCATGTACCGCGGCATCATTTCTGAATGCGCTCGAGCGCTTAGGATATAAAACGCTGTTGATTCAGTACGGCTCGTCTGAATCGATCTTTAAGCGCAACAGGAACAACAGCAGCAATGACAACAACAGTAAACTCACGTTGCAAGGCTATGCTTACAAGCCTTCTATAACGCAAGACATGGAGAAAGCTTCTCTAGTGATTAGCCATGCTGGTAAACTCATATACACAAGCTTGATATTCACCACACTGCAGGTCACTAACTCGAGAATATTATATAGGATCAGGATCTATTTTACAGGCACTAAGGATACCAAAACCACTGATTGTAGTAAGCAACAGCCTTCTAATGGATAACCATCAACAAGAACTTGCACAAGCAATGAGCGACAAAGGCTATTGCATATGTAGCAACCCGAGGTATGCTTTTCAAAGAAATCTCGCGAAACGCCACATATACAGCATTGCAGTTTTTTAACGAGCTGGTTTCATACCTTTTTGTGGTAGTAACCTTATTGATGCTGTTGATGAGCTCAGTAGCAAAGAGCTGGTTCGGCTACCGCCTCCATCCACCAGCGCATTTGCCAATTTATTGAATACACATATGGGGTTCACGTAATGTTTACAAAATGGTGGTTTTACTTGTTCTTTCTTCGGTCCAGAGCACTTTTGTGTTGGAACGAATCAGCAACAAACAGAATGAGGTTGTGCGTAAGTGCATGTTGAAGAAAAAATGAGAGGGGAAAAGGTAAACTAGGGTTAGTCGAGGAGAAAAAGAGTTGAAGACATTGGTTTACTGTACAAGGAATGTGTATGGACGACCGTAGACCGCGCGATCAGTTCCTCCCGGTGATCCATACACCCGGATAGGGATTTGACAATCAAATGTGCTCACGTCAACGTCTTGCGCACTTTGAAAATGTCTATGTCGTTCATCAACATTAATTGGAATATAGGATGCAGGGATGCTGGAGGTGGCGGTAGTACTGTTGGAGGAGGAGGATGAAGGAGAGGAATGATTAGCGGTAGTGGAAGTAGTAGTATCGGGATTAGCGGCGGGTTTTTGGGTGACAATGAATTCAAACTTGAGATAATATTGCAGTTTTACTAATAAATGTACATACATGAGCATGATTAGCTGAAAAACAAGTTCTATTAAGTCGGCTTATTCTGTTTTGTCTCTTGGACATATATTTACCTCCTGTTGTTTGGAATTCTGGTGAGGCAATAGAAGGAATCGGTAAAGAGAACGCTAAACGTCGATGAGAAAGACAAAATGAATGATGCTCGGCATAGCATTTTCGTGAAATTCTTGTAATTTGTTGGGCAGGTCGAAGGGCGATATCTGATTCAATAATTTCGTTGCTTTCCAGTAAGATAGATACCTATTTGCATTTCTGTTAATCGTTTACTGCGAACAACAATAGAATACGGATTTCATTTTGTCCTTTCTAGTTTACCTCATAAGTCGGCAATATCGCATGCTCAAAATCTAGTACACCAAGTACTGCTTCACCTAGCCGATATGCTGTTTTTGTCATGTGTAATTGTGCAACACGCTGATTACTTTTGCAAATATCAAACATAGCTAAAGGAAGAAAAAGAACGCAGTTGATAAGCATATAGAACAACCAGCAGTTCAAAACACTGAGAGCAGAACATTTGTACCTTTCCGACTACTATTTGTTATCCGTGATACAATCTGTGCGCATGCTCTACCAAACATCCGTTTTTCTGCGGTGTCATCATCATCTTGCTTTTGTTCTGCAGTAGGTTCATCATATGCATCACTTTCTCGACGAGTGATTTCGGAAAATGATTCGTTCTCCGAACTGTGGGCCGATAACTCATTTACATAGTCGAGGAAATCACTCCGTGCTTTATCACTTGCTAACTCGCACAAAAACCACGATTAGTACCTTTCTTTTAAGAAGATGTGTATCAGCTATTATTGGGATAAACATACCAGCTTTGCTACTTGTTCGCCTCATGCTCAGTTTTGCTTTCTTGAAATCTTCTTCTGAAAAGGCTTCCACAATAGCTTCATCTTTATACATGACCACAGGGTTCATCAAGTCGTATATTGGCCGAGAACCATCCTCTAATTTTCAAGAAACATATCCGCCTTACGTTGAGTTTCAATGAAAACCATTTCTAGCCGTGGATTCACCATAGCAATTACATTATCATTTCCACATACCAGATACGTGATTCAGCACTCGGAAAGGTATCTGCACAACCTGACCCTGGCCATTCGATGGAGATGAGTTTGATCGTTGTGTACCGACAACAAGTGAATAAGTAAAACGAATTGCTTTGCCTCGGTGTGATGGCGGGATATCATTGGGAAGTTTGAGTTTGTAAGAAACTATGTTGTACAATTATCTATTAGGCTTCCACTTTTAGCGCTAGGATATCAGATGCATGTATGCCTTACACTTTTTCGTTTCGCCCGGGGCCAGATCAAGATCAACAAAAAGGATGGAGGGTGGAGTCGAAATGACAGGAGTCGTTCGCGTGTCTAATATTCCCTGTCAATACTCTATCCAAAACCAACAAATGCACTCTCCCATACTATATCGCCCAGTTTACCAATCTTGGAATGCGCATCAGGTTTGCCCATTAACAGACCACCTCCTCCACCCATGCCAGATCCGTGTGGACGATACATGGTTCGTCGTTTCAAGGGTGCAAACTCGTTGTTATTGATGAGCGATGGGTCAACGATAAAATTTCCAACCACTTGAGCAAATCCCCAAAGAAGATGCTCAGGTTTTTTTACAAGAGAAGGGGCAGAGGACGATCTGAGGAGAAACTGTGAAAGACGCGGTGCCGACAACTGTGATGCTCGCGCTGCCGTATGGTACGGATGATTGGATGCTAAAGAGTCGACCGAACTACGACGACTGGCGTCCAGATAGGGTTCGCGAATGGACTGTGTATCGATACTGGATCGTGGTGTCAAGGTATCGCCAAGCTCAATTGAAATCGGCTCACCTCCCGCAGGGTTTCCGACTGTTTCATCCTGCATTGCTATCATAGTCCCTTGCTCGCCCGCTGTATACAAAACAGTTGATCAGAATAAAAAAAAATGCAGTATCTTTAGCATCATCATTATCCAGCACACACTCCTCCTGCTACTATCTTGACCCTTTTACTTTCACTCTTCTTCTTTTCTCTTCTATGCCACCTTTTCTCTCTCCAAGCCATACAGTTTTCCCCGTATTGATTTGAATCTTTACATTGTGGTGCATCCCAACGTGTTTCGCGCTGGCCATCTTGACGCGTAGATTGCTGGTCTTGCTTATAATTTCCAGTAAAAAAAGAAAATGTCGACGACGCCAAAGAAGTCAGACTAGTCGTTGCCGATTTAGTAGTCGACCCTGTTAAAAGCGCCAAGCCTTCGACTTCCCGTGAAGCACTTTTGGTTTGGCGCTCCCACTGTTGTGGTTGTTGCGGTTGTTGCGACGGCGGCGAAGAGGACGACGGTTTACCGGACGAGGTCACGCTTATGTCTGACGCAGAGTTCAAAGAGTGAGAGCGACTGTGGCCACCATTGCCCTGAAGATGGCGCGGTGAAGGTTGATGAAAGCGTGTGCTTGATCGTCTGCTGTACGAAGAAGAGGATGACGACGAAGCGCTCGGCGCTTTTGGAAGGGTTGGTAGCGGGTTGCTGAACTCGATTGTGCAGGAAACGGTCTCACCAGCATAAAACACAGCACCTTGTGAAAATGTAGTCGTCACTATAATGAATGAAGTGAGTTATTAAATTCTTGCTTGAAATGCTCACGCGTGCAGCATTTAGAGAGGTTAATACACACCAAGGACGCTCATACTAGCAGTAGAAAAAAGACAGTAAAATAAAAAAAAAGAGCTATTGCAGGCAAATGCACGCTTCCCTCTTTCTGCTCAAACCAGAGAATTGAGTTTAGGACATTTACAACTCCCGCTTCTTTGTTGCGAGTAGTCTGAAAGAAAACAAAATTGGGTGCAGTTGTTGTGGTTGTATTAATAGATTTTGCTTGCTATCAACAAATTAATAATGATATTAAATATAGAGGTATAATGCTATTAATTAATATAAGTATTCTATGCATTAGTGGGCTTTCTACCATATGCCCAATGAATATTCATAAACGTTTGGTATTGTACACATTCATCGAACGCCTTATCGATATATTCCTCAAAGTGTGCCTCGTTGAATCCGGCATCAGTATTAAATAGTTCGTGATATATTACAGGCCCAAGATGCCGCAACCCCGTTAAACAGTTCTAAAATCGTTGGTATTATCAATTTCTTATTATTACTGCCCCTTGAATAAAATGCGTACCTAGCACCTAGTCTGTCGACTTATTAAAGAGAAACTCAATGCATATACACACATACCTCGTACATGAGTTTTCCCAAGTAGCCGCCCCAACATATCGGTATGGACGAATACTCGAAATGAATATCTTGGAAGCCCCCGTCCGTAAGAAATCGACGTAATTTTGGTCCGTGAAATATATGCTTTTGTCGAGACTTTAAATAATTGTAAACTGTCAAGAGATGATTTAGTCAATTTTTTTTTTTCATCCTGCTAGGCTTTCTGAACAGACATACCAACGTCAAAGAGTCTTGCGAAAAGCGGACCGGCCCGCTTAGGAACAAGATCGTACTAGTTACAGGAATCGTTACGTTCGAACAATCAGCTGCGTAAATTAGAGCAATGATAATAGTTTATGCGCTTACCTCGACCAGTTCAAGCCATCCGCCAGGTTTTAGCAAACGCATTAATTCACGCATCACGTAAGCAATGTCATCACCATGATAGGCATGTAGCATAGCCCTTTGATGGATATAGTCAAACGAGTCATTGGGACGAAGGATTCCTTGTAATATGTTTGCCTTGTCAAAATGTAAGTTTGGCGGTATATGTAACCCGTCTTCTGGTTCGGGAAGCTTAAACATATCGATGCCATGAAACCTGGCATTTGGATAATCGTTCGCCATCTCTGTTTACACGTTTTTCATTACATCTTACTTGTTAATACTCAAGAAACGACGACTATAAGATGTCATATGAAGTATTATTATTTGTAGTAGGGGTTTTCTCTTTCCTTACCAACAAGCCAAGTACCGCACAGTCCACAGCCATAATCTAGGATAACTGCGTTCGAATCCTGCAGTATGCTATCCACAGGGGCGAAATAGCTTTTCTGGAAAATGTGCTTTAACAAAAAGTGCTCGTGTCTCTGACGTGTTATCTCCAGTTCATTCGCAGGTATTGGCAGCTCGGGGAAGTTCGGTGCGCTGTAAGTAGTAGACACGGCGCCAACTCTGTAATCGACTGAGTCGCCGCCAGTACCACTCTCTGATTGAGATGTCCTGGACCTCCGAGAAATGCGATTCCCCATGGTCCGCCGAATTTCTTAAATTTCGAGTTGAATTTCTCAAAAGAGAAGGTCCCGGTTTTGCAAAACAAAGAAGTTGGTCGAAGAAGCAAAGCAAGCCGAGAATAAAAGGTCGGGAGGCACAGAAAAGTTGTCGTTTACGGTTTCACAAGAAGTGTGTTCCGATCAAATGTTCGTATCGTCATTATCGAACACAATCATAGCTCGCCCTTTGGTTCGTGAGAGTAATTGCTACATTATCCCGTTCATCATATTTGGCTGGACGGGTTAGAGCACATCGTGTTACCTCTCTATTTTCCACTTACTGTTTACGCACTGCCACGTTTACTGCTGCATCACACTGGATATAGATCGCCCCTCTTTCCCCTCCCCCCGAGCCAAAAATCCCAGCTGGGGGACAACCTTGCTCGTATATTAAAGAGAGGTTGAAAAATACACTTTTTTAGTAGTGCGGCCTTCGCTTATAGTAAAGTATCAATCCTCGCTTTTTCTTGTTAAACGATCGGCAAGTAGGGCATATGCGGGCCAAGAATACTGGAACACAACGTCGCGTGCTTTCCCCCACACTGGAAAGATATCGAAAAGGAAAGGGTTAAAGTTTTGTGTACATACTTGGAACTGGGTTTGTTCTCGTTTGTAGTACAAAAAGTCCAGAGCAACCTGTCCCACACCGTACTACCAGTGTTTATTGTCACATAGACACCAGTAGTTATAAGTCTTCTTCAGCCCGATCCTATGCACCCGCAGTCTCTATTCTATTAGCATCATCGTGGGAAACTGCATGAAGAGCAAAAAAGCGTGCATTAGCCGGAATATCAGCTGCATTTGGCGTGTGTGGACCTTATTTTTGATACATACTTAGATAAGCATCGGTTCATAAATTGGGTTCAGGTTCAATCCCTGTTTCACATATGCTACATGCGTACGGAATTATGAGCATCAGGTCATTTCATTACATTGCTTGTTTAGATGCGAGTAACATATGATGGAGAAATACAAAACAAGAAGCTTTTACTGTCATTAGATTTTATGGTTTTTAGACTATTTGAATCAATTTGTAGATTGATAGATGTCTTGCACTGTGTTGCTTCCCAGCCCTTCAACTCAAAGTCTATTTAAATACATCGCAATAGCTATGTGTGATAATAGAGTTTACGTCGATAGAATAAGAGCTTTATCATATATTTATTGATAGAATCCTCTTACAAGTCCGGTGTTAATTGGTTAATCATGATTTTGCGTATATTGCCAAATATACGGCGACTTGGTGCTTTGGCTGTGTACCAATGCTCTCCATTTTTCGTTGCGATGTCGGTTTGATAGTTCCTTGTACTGTAAACGCTAAAATATAAGCTTTTCAAATACACATTGTAAATCTGATACATCTCGCTATACTCTACATCTTACTTCGTAACTCTAATCTTGGCCTCTTTGCACACCTTGGAGTTTTCGTTGGACTAGAAAAAAAGAAGCTTAGCAAAAAGCCTACGCTAGAAATTGAAAGGGATCAATTTCAACAGCATAACCCAAAACTTCAAGTTTTTACTTATCGAGCTTGGCCTCTTATAGACTTTCGACTTTGGCAATCCTCTGTAGTTGCTATTGCTAAGATTATTCGGGTACATTAGTACTTAAATTTACGATACTGTAGATTAAAAGGAATAATTACGTGGCTATAAACGTAGGGTACATTACAAGACTTATATATGTTCAAGTGCACGGATGAATGGCCTTAAAACCTTGCCATCCAATGTTTTTTTATGTTTACCCTGAAATCCTTGATCGCATCATAGCTTTTTTTATAGTGGGCAGCCTTTGCGATATGGGTTAGCCGACGTGTTGTCTTTCCTCGTCTACATGTGTATAGTTTAAATTGTACCAAAATCAACTGTCTGCACTTCAAAAAAAAACGTCGTCGAATAGATGTTGAAGCCCGCTTGTCACCTCTAAGTCTCGTCGTTGCACTTATTATTTGATGCTAGGCGGCAGCAGTTTCCACGCGCTTGCTCGTCGGAAAGCAGTAGATGTGGTTGAGTGCATTGAATAAATGACGGTAAGTGAACATGTATATAAGTACTTAATGAGTTATACCAAATCAACTTATTTTGTCCTTTAAGCATTTCAGAAACAGTTCTCATATCTTATTCCATTGCATACCTGGTGAATTTGATATAATGCTCTTCCAAAAAACGCACTGCTATCAGTCTCCTTGATATCCTTTAGAACCCCGACCAAAATTGTGAGTAAATACCGTATGCAATTAGCTTACACTTAAAGTATCTTGAGTGTGTTGTCATGTTCCTTATGGTTCCCAAATTTAAAACTAACCTATGCCCATGAAACCAGTCTACAGCAAGTGCTTTCCGGCCGGCTGCTCCACCATTGTGTCTTTGCTTTGTGCACGAGTCCATACGTTGGAGCACACGAATTGCTGCTTGACGTTCTGTATAGATAATTTTGAGTTGTTAATCACTTTGAAAGAAGTTATATAGGCACGCCACACTTGGGTTTCGCCCCATTTATAAGATATCACGCATCATGGCAAGAGCTCCAAGCAATCTGCTCAGTTCGAACAGGGGCGCCTTGGACAATCTTTTTCGAGATTGTCTGCTTTGTGCTACGACATGGTGTTTTGGGGGATTCAACAGGCTATACTTTGTCCTTCCTATCGCATAGACAGTTTGAGCTCTGTAAGAGCATGCAGTACACTGCTAGTCCAGATTGTTTGTCAAGACAACGGAACCGGCGCATTTATACGACTTTATTCCGTGTCAAATTATCAAGGAGTGTTTTGATACATAAACTTAGATGGTATCTGAGTGCTATCGTTATTGTTGTCTTCTTGACCATTTTCCTTGCTATTATTGGCATCCGCAATCCAGGCGCTAAGTGTCGTGAACATATCCTTCTGTAGTTGCTTGATATCTTCGGATACATAATCCGAAACAAAGAAATCCTAACATATACAAAATGGACAACTCTTACAGTTAATATACTACACTGCTATAGAGCACGGAATCATGCAATACTTTACCCAATGATGTACTGAATGTGGTAATACAGCATAGCGGGCATCCTTTTCATTCCAATGTCGTCGATCAGGAGCCCAGTCGCTTTGTACACTTAAAGTTCTCCAAGGATCATATTCACCATCGATCCAAAATACTCTATCGAGTTTGATATGCCAGCCTTCATATTCTTTGTTGATAGCACGCCATTGGGGTCGGGCAGGCACATTGTGCTCGCCGAAAAGAAGAGGACATTGTCGTTGGTACCAGCGGGTATCCAACTTACGTGAAACGATAGTAGGAATCCATAATGGTGCGCCTGTTTGCCAATAAGAGTATTCAGTACACACCTGCCATAACCAAGGTCGTATTTCGGATTTTAGATCTGTATACATTGGCGATTTTGGATCGTGGGAATCCAGGCACTCATTCACGGAAGCATAATCCTGGCACATTAATTGGGTGAGATTGGCGGTGTATCCAGCAAAGGCATCAATATATCCATGCAGATCCTTTGCATCGTCAAAAACTGAACAAAATTCGGTCTCAAACGGATTTTCTGCTGGTGTCATTGACTGCCATAGTCCAAGTGGATAACTGAGTACTAAGTATACCAAAAGGATTACATATGGATCAACATGGATTAATGATGTGTGAATTGTCTGGATCTGGATGACTTTATGACAAAATACAGAAAAAGAGAGAAAGTCATATGAAGCATACAATCAGCAAAGTCGTCATCGTGGGCCAAGTCTTTCACACCAAATTGCTCTTTAAGACGATGTTTCGGTTCTGAGAACGGACTGAAAAGTATATGGTCGATATAGCGGATAACTTCCTCAACGGCGTTGATGCAATGCTTCGGACCGTATTTCCAGATAGGATAGAAGTACTCATAGTAGTTATATTTCATTTGAACCGGCGCTGATGATGGAATGGCAGCAAAGACAATGTCAGGATAGCGATAACGCATCCACGCAGCCAAGTTTCCGCTGTAAGAACCTCCATAAACGATCCATTTTGTTTCAGGCGCTGGAGGTAATTCCAATTTTGGCAACTATTACCGCAAAGAGATCGTCAGTGACAGAAACAAAAGGATCTGCAAATGAAACAATGTGGTCGTTAATACCTTGATCTCTCTTATAATCGTTGCCATGTCCTCCAATGCTTGCTCTGTGTTCAATGTACGCAGATACTGAACCGAGTAATCCTATTCATACAATTCACATATATCAGCACGGGTACATCTATGTGGTGAGTGCCCGGGAGACAGATGATCGCAATTTCTCTTTTCTTGCTTACCGTTCCTAGCTGCGACTGTCCGTAGCATCTATGTTCCATCACTATAACGATGCCGTTTAACTGCTCGGCCAGTTGTGCCATGGAAGAATTTGTCACATAAACAGATCGTGATATCGCATCCATTTCGCCAGCATTATATACTATACATGAGCGGTTTAACAGCTTATATATGCGAGGAGCAAGGTAAAAAGAAGGAGTAAGGTGCTTACAAATCACTGGACCGCCGTTTTCATACCAATCGGTGTTTACCCAGTAGCGATGCTTAAACGTTCCTGCCGACGGGTCCGAATGGTTGACCGGTTGATCAAAATAGAATGGGCCATAGCGTTCATTGACAGCGGCTGTCGAAGAGGCTGATGGTGATATGGAAGCTTCTGCTGCTCGAATGCGCTGCTGCTGTAACATACTATGCATTGTATCCGTGTTTAGGGAAATCAAACTCTTATTTTCCCGTTTTGTTCTTTAATTTATAACTCATGGTTTCGACCTACTCAAAACGCCATCCTGGTCTAGAAATTGCATGACTTAGCCCGACGATGGCCAAGAGAAATAGGAAACAAGGAAAGTGACGCATTTTTCGTACGCCTCCCAGAAAACGAAAAAAAGCCGATGGCCGGTCTATGAGCACCTGAAAAAATATGCCCATGCGAACGCGAGTCAATAGAAACACCGTTTGAAGTCCCGCCTCTTGTCATGCGGCAGCGAGTTTAAGGTACTGCATTACCACACAACGGATGATTTACTCTGATTATGTTACTGCTGATGGGCTATATTATTACACCACACAGCTTTACGTACTGTGAGAAATAAGCTCATTATTAAGCTCATTATTTAGACAGAAGATATATGCATACTTAAATTAAAAGCAATATATCGGGAACATGTGAATGGATGGGTGATAGTACAGGTAATAAAAGAGATCAAAATGACATGCGTCTGACACCAATAGGCTTGACTTCTTGCGGTAATCCAAAAGTAGGCTGGCCATCCGAAGCGCGCTCACCAAATTTGACTTTGACTTTGCCGGCAGCAGTCATGACAGCATACTGATTCTCGTGTATAGTACCCCGCATCTTCTCACGGACTACAGGGGTGAGGCCACTGACTAGCAGTGCAACTTGGGAATGTCCACGGGAGACGCCATTGACTTGGTATAAGCTGACGATCCATGTCACTGTCCACCAGGCCAACGGGACGAGAAGACATAAAGCCAGTGGATAGTAGGACGCTGGATTTAACGCAAAAAGAAGCTCGGTTTCCTTGCAAGTGGTTTTATATGGACCCGTTGTTGTGATAAGTTCATCCGAGCCACCAGGTGATGTAAGAACGTATGTGAGACCAAGATAGTTGGAAAAGTTTCGTAGATTCTGTTCCACAGTATCCCTATTATATACAGGATGCACTATGCCGCCTTCGCCCAACACAAGTGCTCGCATCACACTCAGCTGTAGCGCATACATGTTTAACTGGATAGTGGCATTGACGTCCGAATCTTCCACTTCATTCAGATATACGTTGTTCCCAATAATGTTGTCGTAATCCATTGTCACTGGCTCGGATGACAAGATGTTGAAACCGATGTTTCCTCGTACATTGTATATCTCTGTCCAGTTGTAGTATGGTCTAAGCGTACATCTTCGCGCCTCTAGGGTGTCAGAATCGAGACCTTGATAACTCATCGTGTTCTCGTGACTAACGACCACCATTGTTACATCCCCGACACTGTCTCGTGCGCCCTGGTCGAAGGGCTCTGCTTCGGAACTTGATGAATAATTGTACGGTAGCGAGATGTTTCTCAAGTCGTAGTGCGTGCGACCGGCCATGGAAGCTTCGTAAAAGAAGCCAGGTGCTGATAAGGAAAGGAAATCTTCGTTCAAAATGTCAATGTAATCTTCCACCGTGGTGATATTGTTGCTGTGCACGTCGATTATTCGAATATTGTCGAGAGGAGTTTGCGTGCATTCAAATCCGATATACGGAATACCGATGCCATTGTAACTACAATTGATAGCGTCTACGCTGCAACTGTCCGCTATCTGTACAGGCAATTGCTGGAAATATTGTCGAAGACCAAGCTGTACACTGTAAAAGTCCCGGACCCCCGTTATAGTTCTTGGATCCTTTGTAGATGCATTGATCTCAAAAAATGGCTGGCTGATGTTCACCATCAAAAGCGATTCTTCAGTTGCGTTACTGCAGATATCGTATGTTCGAGCACTGATGATTCCTTGAGCGGCAGGTCCAATGGCAAGAATTCCCAAGTAGAAAATGATCGTCGCTAGCAATACTGCATCAAGCCGTAGAGAAGGTATCGCTCGGATGGCACCTGTCATTATCATGTTAGCAAGCTTTGTGTATGTATAGGAACGACAACAAGGCTGACTTACCGCCAACACCCCGCGAGCAGGCATCATATGCATCTAGCAGAGCTAGCTGGCTAGCAGTACGCTGGAATCGAGCCCACTTATATTCTGATACAGCACTATTATAAATTTGATTTGATCAGTAATCTTGTGCTGTTATTTTTATGTCTCTTCGCACTCCCGACTTACTAGCCTATGCCTCCACCAATAAAAAGGACAGCAAGCGAGACAAGAAGCGCCAAAAGTGAAGGTACGGGAATGCTAGCCATAGTAAAGTTTACTGGTTTTCCGTCTGCTCGAGCATAGACGAAGACAATCCCAACAATTAACGAAAGTGTAGCCAGAATATTCAGCACAGGTAGTACACTCGTTTCGAGCAAAGTATGTGTACTGATGCGCTCTCTTGTCTAATCAATGAAGAATCGCTTATTCGTACTTTTTCTTTTAAAGGTTGAATACTCGTTTTTAATTCTTACTGGTATATTTACCTCGACGATTTTCTCTGGTGGCTGCGCTCTTCTTCCATCACTTTGAACTGAGCTACCCGAGTCGGAAACTGAAGAGAAAGACGACCGTGATTCGTGTATAGAATGCTCGTAGGATGGCGACCGTACATTTACCAGATTCACTGGTACCCCATATTATCGTTAACGACGATGTGTCCTTCGATGCGCGCGGAAGCTCACTTACTGTCGTCATAGTGCTGGGCAGCGGTCATAATGGCGTAGTGGGAGGCGGTAAAAAAGAGGCAAAAGAAAGAAAGATTACAGATCAGTTTGACTAAAAAAGCTTTGTTCTCGAGTTCTCGAGTTTCACAGAACAGAAAACCGTGTGATACAGAATTGTTGATCTAAACAACATTACGGAAACACTGTTCATTCCCACTTTCTGGTTTTCGTGTAGAGCCTCAAAGCTATTTAATAATGCATTCCTTCTATTTCTTTCACTTCGACTGTTGAGTATCTACCTTGTTCATCAAAACAATGATGAACAAAGATCATGTAATTCTTGAAGTTACATCAAAAGCTGAATAACCCGAAATAGAAAGTGGTCCAGCTGCGCCTCAACATTTGACTTACTAGAGAGGGGAATCCATAATTTTTATTACTGCGAAAACATAAAAAAAAAAATAAGAGAGTCTTGGGGTAATTTTGTCGGAAACCCCAGAACTCTTTGATATGCAAAAAGTGTGGTGGTGGTTTTACAAACATAATTAACAGGTCGGTATACGAATTTATATACATATGGAAAGCATTCATGCTGGTCTATGAACCTTTTCAGGCTGTGGCTGCGATTTCTTCCTTTTTCAGCTTCTTGTTCGCAGCCTCATCATCATTTGCTTCCTCCTCTCCAGCTTCGCGCTTATTCTCCTGCTTCTTGGCCTTCTTTTTTCCATAATCTTCGGGCAGTGGCGGACGGATGTAGGGCTGGCACCGCCAATGACCATATTTGCGAATCCCAGCCTCATCCGGTTGTCCCCGCAGCTCATCCTCGCCGATTCGTTCACGATCCTCTTCCAGTTTATTCTTAAGTTCCATGACGACATCGTAATACTCCTGCCAATCACGTGCTTTGCCCATACGATTGCGCAGTTCCTTATGATGTGGCAAACTTGGATGCATAATCTTGAACAAGTGACCCTTGATGATGCCGGAGCGCACGGTCGTCTTGAGATCACGTACGATTTCCAAATATTCCTTGGCCATTTCCCAAGTCAACGGAGGCATTTCTCGATCGGCAAAGATGGCCGGGTTATACAAGCTTCCTTCAGCTGTCATGACACCGTCCACACCCGTATAATCCATACAGCGCTTGAAATCCGAGTGATACAAGATGTTGCCGTTGGCAATCACTGGGATCTTGACTGCTTCCTTGACAGCTTTGATCTTGTCCCAATCCGCAAGTCCAGTGTGATGACCCTTTTGATCTCGAAGTCGTCCATGCACAGTAAGCAATTGAGCGCCCGCCTTTTCAATCATCTTTGCATATTCGACTGTTCGTTCAACTGTCGGGAACACTCGGATTTTGACAGTAATTGGGACGGCCAGTTCCTTGTGGAGCAACGAAACCATACTGGTTATCAATTCCCACTCGTCTTGCAAATACGATCCATAGTTGCCCTTTTTGGCGATATGTTGAGGGCAGCCAAGGTTGAGATCTACAGCATCGCAGTCGTTTTCCACCAACTTTGCAGCTCTCAGCAATATTTGGGGATCGTTGGCACAAAACTATTTAAAAAAAGCTTGATGAACACACTTGTTGTCTACCTAGGTTTCACCTAAAGCTATAACGAAGCATTCATTCATACCTGAACAACAGTAGGACGATCCTCCTTGTCTGTGCTCCACTGATCAAGTCGGTACTTCTCACCATGTTTAGGATCGCTGAAAAGTCTCGCATGGAACATTGGAGTGTAACAAGTTTGAGCACCATAACGTCGACTCAGAATACGCCAGGCTTGCTCGGAGCCATCGACCATAGGAGCAAGGATAAGCTTGGGCGAGCCCAATGTCTTTTCATAAAACTCGTATCCGGCCAACTTGCGCGATGTGTTTTCACCTGTCATTGTTGCGAGTGGAATGCGGCTGTTGATCTTGAGTGTAGATCTCAGGGCCGAAAGCATGCGTTTAAAATTTCCTTCTCGAAGCCAGCCACACTTAATTTTAATATTCTGAAGAGGATTCACCCCCCGTGGCAAACCAATCATTTTTGATTTTCATGTTTCATTTCATACGTCTGATATCCAGTCATTTGGCAAACTGACCTACTCGTTAAATTCTACCGATGTGATTCCCTTTCTTCTTAACATAGCCAGTAGAAATATCGTATTAAATGCTCATGCTAAGGCAGCGCTCGCTATAAAATGAAAATTGAAAGACTCTGAGCTCCAAGGGCATTGCTGCTTAGCAATGAGATACGAAACGAATAGATAGCAATAGCTGCATCTTGATTTTGAATCAGCAGAAGAAAAACGTGGCTATACAGGACAATAAAGAACGGCTGGAAGCATTTGAAGTTCGCCTATTATCCTAGCAACGTGTGTGCAAAGAGGAGATTAAATAACCAAGCAAAGACAAGACTATATAGACCAATTCGCTGGGTGTTTAGCTGCAGGTCTTGCGCTTGTGTCAAACAGTGAAGTGCTTCTTTGTTGTATACCAAGCCAGGCCAAAATACGCAAAGTAAAGAAAAGCTAATGGATTTGAGTCATATTTATATAATTTATCCACATAAAGATATGGCATCGGCAAATGGAGTACACCAGCTCTGGCTTGTGCAACATCACTTCCGTTTTATGCTTCTGAAATGGCATATTTAATTCTGCAATATTAAGTTTTTTTGCGGATCAGATAGAAGTAATTTGATAGGCAAGAAACCGAGACAAGATGATAGACTGCACCACGATGTAGCACATGTACAATTGTAGTGGGAAGAAAGAAAGGGTGAAAGCGAATAGAGAGGAAAGGGGCTGTTGAGCTTAATAACCACCCATGATGCGGAGAGAGTGTTTATAAAAAGAGATATAAGGGTCATTATTATTTGAACAAGCTCTTGGCGCGTATGTCTGACTTGAGCTAAACCCAAACCCACACAAATCTTTCCTTTTTACCGTCTTTTCCTCTCAATGATATCATCACGGATCGGTCGAACACTTTTAAAAGTAATCATACCAGCATCTCTTATATGCACGCTACTCTTGATTGCACAACAGAATGGTGCCTGGAGTGCGATCCGGTCAGGCCACCGTAGTACCACTAGCACCGGCGGACAGCTTTACCATCCCAAACCGCATCAAAATGGAACGCGCGAGAATGCCGCTTTTGTCGTACTGGTACGCAACGACGATCTCACCTCTATGCGGGAAACCATGCAACAACTGGAAGATCGGTTTAATCGCAAGTTTGGCTATCCTTGGATCTTTTTAAACAATGAGCCGTTTGACGAGAAGTTTAAAGAATTCACCAGCGGGTTGGCAACGGGCGATACGTATTACGGCACATTTGATGAAAGCATGTGGGGATATCCAGAGTGGATTGATCAGGATAAGGCGCGTGCTGCACGCGATGATATGGCTGCAAAGGGGATCATCTATGGCGGTAGCGAATCGTATCGACACATGTGCCGGTAATGTATATTGAAGATGCAACGAGGGACATAGAAGCGAGTGTTGCAATTGCATTTACTGACGCAATGCTGCAGATTCCAAAGCGGCTTTTTCTTCCGTCATCCTTTACTTGACGACTTCGACTATTACTGGTATGTAACCGGAACAACAGCACGGAGTGCGTGGCATTGACCAGAATTAATTAAAAGCTGCTAAATCTTGAAAAAAAAATTCTGCAACAGGCGTGTGGAACCACATGTAAAGTTTACGTGCGACATTGACTACGATCCTTTCACGGTGATGCGCGAGAAACAGTTGAAATACGGTAATGCCGAGTAAAAAGGATATATGTTCTGGAATCATGGCAAATACTTAATATTTTCTTTGGTAGGTTGGACGATATCGATCAAAGAATACGTAGAAACTATCCCGACGCTGTGGGAGACTGTCAAAAACTTTATAAACGAGCATCCTGACCATGTTGTGCCCAAGAATGATCCGGAGAGTTTGCTTGGATGGATCAGTAATGACGGTGGCGAGTCGTACAACCTATGCCATTTTTGGAGTAATTTCGAAATTGGCTCGCTGGCATGGTTACGTTCAAAAGAATATCTGGACTACTTTAATTATTTGGATCGTGCAGGTGGATTCTTTTATGAACGGTAGGTTTTCTAGAAGACTGCAAAACATTTTTTGCACTATATCTTTTTTCTCACTGATCGCTATAATGTCATTCTAGCTGGGGAGATGCACCCGTACACAGCATTGCAGCGGCGCTGATGCTGAAGCAATCGGAAGTGCACTGGTTTTACGATATTGGCTATTTCCACAACCCATGGTATCAATGCCCTTCCGAGCCTGAATGGCTGCCAGCGGAGAAATGTTCCTGTGACCCTGATAATAGCTTCGGTAAGGCGTAACTTTCTGTTATTTACAACCAGAGTGCTTATTATCAAGTATTCTTGTTTCTATTAGATAAGCACTGGTACAGCTGCACACCCGAATACCTCAAAGTAACAGGCAAACAACGAACCGATTACCTTATCGCCCAACGTAATTAAATACATGCCATATACATAAAATAATAAAGAAATGAACTCATGAGAAAAACAGATCGTACGTGCCCTCCCTGCATCCCGTGTTCCCCTGCTTTTTGTATTTGCGTATTTGGCCTTCTGCTGCCCGACAAGGCGCAGATAGAATCGTTCTGTTCGCTGTGCAACATAAACCCTCTAAAACAAGTAATTACATTTCCCTGCTTGCCACGTAACGACACATGGCGACACTGTAACATAGCAACCAATGCATCTGTTGTCAATGGCAACCAGCCAATTTCGATGTGCATAACAGAATATGTGTACTGTAGCAACCGAACAAGTAAACTGGTCCTAGGTAACGAGAAGACTTGGGGGAAAGTTGAGAACGACAGGGAGTTGGCTGGAGGCTATTTTTTCCATTGTTCCACACATCCATTATACAATATTAGCTGTGCAGACATACACGTATACGGAAGGCTCCATCCTTACAAGACGACTCTCCATTCGGAACCTCGTTGACTTCTTGAGCTTGCTCCATCTGTCCGCTTCTTTGAATCCAGTGAAAATTGTTCAGCCGGGGCTATTAGATCGCGCGGACCACACCACCGAAGACAGCCGCATAAATAAAATCACACAAGCGGGGGTGGAAGCCTTTCAGTTTTTTTTTTTTTTTTGATTCGCGTGATTGCAAGCCAGGCGCCGATCAGATAAAACTAAACTCACTGTAGTAGCACCGCAAAAAGCACGGCCAAGTCGGATAATTAACGGGCCTTTTGTTCCCATATCGCCGTTATCGCCGCCATTATGTCTCTGTAATGTCAGAGCATGCAGGATTGTTTTTTCTAAAATGGAACGATGATGATAAAGGTTGTGAACGCGTCTCGACGCGTGACGACGTGTCCAACCGCGTATACTGCATATATGCGCGCGTGGTATGTCATTTTGTTATCCCCGCCTCGCGATCTCCAGCTCAAGCACGCTATACAATACAAGGATACAATGAAAGAACAAGAACTATTTTTTAGGGAGCTTGTCTTCTTTATTTTGGAGCAGTACATGCTGTGTTGCAAAAACATAGATGCACATCCCCCATTTCATCCAACATGATAGTATCTCAAGCCAATGCTCGGAAGAAATTTATGCTGTAGTGCCTTTCCTACTCCTTGACGACTCTTTTTTTATGCACTTGCACTTGGAGAGTATTCGCTAATATAATCTAACATACGAGAACACTTCTTTGATCTCAACTAGAGACTATCCTTCTCTGACACCATAGCTTTTTTTAATTAGGTGTGAAGCTAAGTCTGCAAATAGTAGTAGAACCAATGGCTTGGCTGCAAGTGGAACGTTTTTTAATTAACGTCGCCACAAAAAAAAAAAGAGGACGGACTTGCGTTTGAGCGGGGTCGTACGTGACGACTGAAGGGGACTGACTGTAAGGCTGTAGAAAATATAAAAAGAGGGGTGAGTGAACGGTCGCTTCTTTTTCCAGAACACTTCACTTTCTCTCTTCTTTACATAAAACAAACCACTAAAAACCATGGCCTCCACTGACGTTTCCCAACAACTCTCTGACTTGTCTCTCAAGCCTGAATCTAAACCCTCCAAGTACAATGAAGATGAGGAAATCCTCAAGGAGAACCCCAGACGCTTCTGTCTGTTCCCAATCAAGTACCATGAGGTAGTTACTATACAGTAATAAATGTAACGCTATACATCACAAATATACTTTCCAGACCTGTTTGCTGATCTTCCTTCTGGCTTTTTATTTTGTTGAACAGATTTGGCAAATGTACAAGAAGGCTGAAGCCTCTTTCTGGACCGCTGAAGAGATTGATCTGTCCAAGGATCAAAACGATTGGGAAAACAAAATGTCTGCCGATGAACGTTTCTTTATCTCCCGTGTCCTTGCCTTCTTTGCCAGCTCTGATGGCATTGTCAACGAAAACCTAGTTGAACGTTTCTGCAATGAAGTCCAGATCAGTGAAGCCAAGTGCTTCTATGGTTTCCAAATCATGATTGAAAACGTGCATTCTGAGACTTACAGTTTGCTCATTGACACTTATATCAAGGACAATGCTGAGAAGGAATTGCTCTTTGATGCGATCGAAACCAGTAAGTTATACACGTCCCTTTTTCGTTTTTTTTACCTTTTTTTGCGCGTTCAAATTTACGCGGCACGCGTCGTGCGCGCAACCGCGACAAGTTACTTTGTATCACGAATTATCTGAACTCCGGATTCCTAATCACTCTTCCCCCTCCCCCTTTCTACTATAGTTCCTTGTATCAAGAAGAAGGCTGATTGGGCATTCCGCTGGATCTCTTCCAACGGCTCCTTTGCTGAACGTCTTGTAGCCTTTGCTGCCGTCGAGGGTATCTTCTTCTCTGGCTCCTTTGCCTCTATCTTCTGGTTGAAGAAGCGTGGTCTCATGCCCGGTCTCACCTTCAGCAACGAATTGATCTCCAGAGACGAAGGCTTGCACACCGACTTTGCCTGCTTGCTCTTCACCCACATCCGCAACCAGCCTTCGCATGAACGCATCCGATTCATCATCACCGAGGCCGTCGGCTTGGAACAGGAATTCTTGACCGAAGCCTTGCCTGTGTCATTGATTGGTATGAACGCCAAGCTCATGTGTCAGTACATTGAGTTTGTCGCTGACCGTCTCTTTGTTGCCCTGGGTCTGCCAAAGCATTACAACTCGACCAACCCCTTCGACTTTATGGACATGATCTCGCTTCAAGGCAAGACCAACTTCTTTGAGAAGCGTGTCTCAGACTACCAACGTGCTGGCGTCATGTCCAAGGCCCCTGAAGAGAAGCAGTTCACTTTGGACGCAGACTTTTAATACATTCCCCCCACTTACACTTCCATAGTACACTACATACAAAAGAAAGAAAAAAAAAAGAAACCATCCCCCTTCGTATATCCTATATTCTCTTCCTTCTCCTACTACACACACACCATTTCTTTCCATGGTATTTTTCCCTCCTCCCCCACTCATTCTTTAAAGCATTTTTGTACATACATTTATTTTTATTATCAAAGCATTAAACTTATCCGGGTGTTTTGCACCGAAGAATAACGAGCTCTTGTTTACATATGCTGAAATACGCAGATGACCATGGCGGTGCTGTTGCTTTGTGCGCTTCATAGACATTCTATTTGAAACTATACTCTTGAACGGCGCTGAAGTAAGTTCTTCCGCGGTAAGATTTTCCCGCTTCTTTGAAAAACTATATAAACAAGGACACATGAGCCCCTGATATCATGGCTTGAGAATAGCATGTTTACTTGGTACAGTAGAGCACTCTCCCGACGACCTATTCTGGTCCAGTGTATTACCACAGGTATATATATATATACATACATATTGACTAAAAGTTGTTCCGAGAATAGCTGACTAAATCGTTCTCAACTTATGCTAGCATTCCTGTTTGGCACAGGTAAAATATATGGAGATCCCCTCCGTACGAACATTCACAGCTAATCGCAGGTCAAACTCACGGGCAGCAAAGAATGACTTACTTGAAACCCACTTTTGAACGATAATAGGTGATGTTATTGCTCAACAAGCGGTCGAAAAAAGAGGCTTTGAACATCATGAAGTATCGAGAACTTTGCGTATGGCAGGGTTCGGCGGTGCAGTGGCTGGTCCCGTGTTGAGTACTTGGTACCGCTTTATTGAGCTCAACGTGAAAGGATCAACACCTCTCAATGGTATAGGCCTCTCTTCAAGATGAAACCCAAGATGGATACTAGTCAGGCATGCAATCTCTTATGCTTATATTGATAAATTTGATATAGCTCTTGTAAAGAAGGTAGCAGCGGATCAATTGCTTTGTGCACCTATATTCATCGCAGGTATAATGGAAACAAAAGCATAGCAGAGTAGTAGTTATCCAACGAGAGACGATCAGTGAGGTTAATCCATACTGTAAACAAATTTCGGTAAATACATCCACTAGGCTTCTTCTCGGCACAAGGTCTTCTTGAAGGAAAATCCATTGCCCAAATCCAAGAGAAACTAGAAAACGGATATACAACGGCAGTTTTGGCAAACTACAAAGTAAGTATATCTCTAAGCCTACTACCACATGTCTACATTGCAAAGTCTCTTGCTGACATTATATTGATAGATCTGGCCAGCTGTTCAATTTGTCAACTTTTACTTTACGCCCCTGAATCATCGACTCATGGTATCGAACGTTATTTCGCTTGGCTGGAACGCTTATCTTTCTTATATGAACCAGCAATCATCATCAGCCCCTTCTTCTTCTGATGCGCATTTAGAAGTGCAGTCGTCGTCTACTGCTCCAGTTGAGGAATTAAAACAAGTTGCTTAGGTTCCAATTGATCCATTGAAGAAGCTCGAATATATCTAATAGTGTAGAAATATCTTTTCCTTCGTGTATATGTGTATATGTAAAATGTAAATAATGAAACCTTCTGAGCGGGTAGTTTCATTTGCTACCCATAACTTATCAGCCTGAGTGCGTATAGTGAGGAAAAGGAAGTGACCCAAAGTCAAAAGGCAGGCCAAAACAGTAAGCCTCGGTGTGTATTCGAAAACGGGAAGAACCTGCGCTACCAAGGGTCATCTGGTTGCTAGGCAACAAAAGTGTCGGAGTGCGGAGCGGGCACTACAAAAAAAAAATTTTCCTTGAGAAAAAGATATAAAAGGGCGTCGTACTTGGGATACGGGAGTGTTTTTCTTTATCCAATCAGTAGGAAACTTATCTGCGAGGATGCTAAGGCATACCTCTCTTATAATTTCTTACATATGATGAAAGTATGGGTAGTTTATGATCTCCTGTGATTCTAAAACACCCTGGGACACACACCCTTTCTGATTACAACAAAATATCACACAGGCTGTTTATTCCTGTTCCATACTCCATTACATGAGAAAAGAAAATGATATAAAAAGTTTATATAGAGACCCCTCGTTGCTGCAGCAAAGTTTTACTCTGTAAAAGAGAACCCTGTTCTCTCAACACTACAGAGAAAATAAACGTTGTGTATTCAAGTACGCTGTGGTGGCTGCAAGTGTTCGATGGTGGCACTGTATCCGTAATTTCAATCTATATATAAAGTGTTTTGGAGACGAAAATACCCATTGCTGCTCTTGACCCTTTGCCATCTGAAATGTTGGATAATCGGCCACAAACTGCTACCACCATAATTCATCAATAATCTGAGAAAGAGAAAAAGGGCAATGAAAACAGTACGAAGCAATAGTCGCCAGTAGAACCAGATACAGGACCTATTCATTGTGATCATCCCACCAAATGCGAACGAGAACGACCGACCACAAAGAGTGCTTCCAACATGCCCAATGGAACATTTGCAACACCCGAAATCCGATCTTGGAGGCATGAGACAATGGCAACGGAGCATGGTCACTGTGAAGGGCGTCGCTTCCCCGTTTGATATAAGTACATTGGTAGCAACAACGTCCGTGGCTCCGTCAGGATATCAAGAACCAGTGTTCAAACGTTTGATCGTATATAGGAGTCCTAGAGGGAAAGCAAACAACAAATCACTTTGGCCACTTCCAGAGCCAACTGCTAAGAAGCATTCAATGAAGTGTTAGAATCTTATACTCAGACTTCGGAACAAAACGTCACCCACGGAATCACACTGTCTATACTCAAGACAGACGATCAACCCCATCGCGGCTTACAGCACTAGCGAAGACAGCTGGTTTAAGAATTAAGGAAAATACAGTGACAAACCAGAGCTTTGGATGCCTAATGTAATCGACAGATTTTTTCTTTTCCTACAAATACCATTTCGCAAGGGGGTCCAAGAAAGTTTGAAACAGCTGAGGTTTGACACACAAAATGAAGAGAAAGGTAACAGTGTTATACGCACATTGGGGATAAGAGAATATGTTGGAAATAATTGAGAAGTTCTAGCCTTGCCAGATGGGCTGGCGAATATTCAACGCAACTAATACAAAATGACTATCTTAAAGAGCCATTGCTCAAGGATTTTACTGAAGTACCAGACTCAAACGCTGCTTAGCAATGTACTACCCGATGCTCCAGCATTTAGCACTCACTACGGGCGAAAGGTACATAGAACACAAGAGGAACATGAGAAGAATACAAAGTGATATTTCAAACTTCTCGACGAGGAGAAATCATCTTCAAAAACTGCCAAAGTTATGCTCTTAACTTTAGTGGCCGGTGTGGATTCTCTCCAGGCTAATGTTGTCGAGGTTATTTCTGATGTGTAAGAAGTAACTTTGTGTGGAAACACTTTTTTTAAGTATTGAATAAAAATCGCGTACTTCCCTCCGCTTATGTTTACTGCAGATTAGTGAAATTACTGTTTGATCCATTGCAGACAAGAACACGTTTGAGGAAGTGACCTCACTTTTTGCGATACCTAGGACTTTGCAAACCTCATAAAACTAAATTTCTCTCGATTGTGCAAAAACCCAAAGGTTATTCGGGAGTTTGCCACTAGTTGGCAGCGGCAGTGGCAATGAGGAGGTACCATTTTAAGCAATATAGAGTCCCCGATGCTGTCAAAAGGCGCCTCGAAATCAGGCTAGCTACTGTGCCAATTAGGGCTATCAATCAATCAGTTGCTGCAAATCGGACAGTTGGTATATGCACTAAAGCAGCAATTGGATCTTATAGTTGTCAAATATGCAATCATTGGCTCAGCGGGTTATAACCCAAAACAGATCGGTTGAGTCGCTAATCACTGGTACAACCCTTGGCTGCAAGATCTCGATATCGGAAGACACTGCTAAAGACTCCCAACTTACGTGAGCTAAGATACTTTCACATAGTGGACGAGCACCGGGTGAAGCGGACACGTTCATGTAAGGAATAGGTGAGTGATCTCTGTGAACGTACAATCACGACTGTGATTTGTAAAAAATATATAACTTGCTCGTTCTGCTTACACACAAGGCCAACCTGTACAATATGAAACCTTCAAATTCTATCATCGACTAGTTTTCCCTACGAGCTTTAACCCGCACACAATTGTACACGCGTTATGCGTTGTAATCTTTTGGCTGTCTGGAGGGAGGACGAACATCGGATTCCGTCGCTGTCCCAAGCTCATGCAAATTCTCGCCGCGCGTTAGCGTCGCCCTGTCAAACGGTACAAGGTCGTCTGAAAGAAAATCCTTTTGTATTTGAAGGAGCAAGGTTTCCAGAGCACCGCCTGATTATTGGGCTATAGCAGTGATGAATTCTGTGAGGACTCCACGCAGGCATGTCAGATGTGCCCCACATACACAGCGTCATCATCAAAAAAATTCTTCCGCCACTTCGAAGGTGGCAATAGACCCACCACAGTGGAAAATGCTAAAGCGGAGCAAATCGTTTCGAATGTCTTAAAATGGCATAAGCGCACGCCAGTCCTGCCTACTGGCTGCTAATCAAAGGAAAGGCTAGTTACTCCTGCAGACAGTCTCCTTGGAACCAACAATCACCACGTCATATCTATATGTTCCCATTATTATTGCTCTTCCTCTATCTTTTGATGGGACACGTTGTAGTACAAAACGCATGAAACCCAATTTTGTTTACTTTCCCGCCAAAATAATACTCTATCATAATGGTGGCATACAATTTTTTTTTCTTCCTTTTCTTCTTCTCTTTTCCTCTCCACAAACAACAAAAAGTACACCCCAGTTCTCTTACCCCTTCCGCTCCCTTATAACCTATATACCCTTTTTCTTTTATCACTACGACTATCACTGCTACCACTACGACTATTACTACTACTACCCATATATTACTTACTAGTACACTACTACCCGCCATTTAATTATCACCACTACTATTACCTCCTTCATATCACATGTCTTAATGGGCAATCAACACTCTCGCTTTGGTCGTCAACGAAGTCCTAGCACTGTTACTGACCTATATCCATCGCAGCAATGGCCGTCGACTTCATCTTCTTCAGATAACAATAGCAACAGCAATAACAATTACAAGCGTGAATACCCCTTGCCATCCGTCGTCGCATCAAGTACAGATGACGGTCATGTCAAGATGCGCAAACAGTCCTCACCGTCACCAGTCGCCTACGACAAGTCGAGCGGTCGTCCACGGTTTCGACCACTCCGCGCATTGTCCTCTTTTCGCTTCGACTCACCATCAATAACGTCTCATCCTACTAACAATAATCAACGCAACCGACATCATCATCAGCATTACAATGAACCATCTTCCGCTATTGCGACCGCTGCTGCAGCTGTTGACGCGCTCGCCGTACCTCCGCCCGTGCATCCACTAGCACCAGTGGCGTCGCATCATTCCGACTGCAAGCAACATGCGAGCAGCACCCACAGCAATAATACTGTCAGCACCTATAGTCAGCATACGCCACCAGAAACCATTAGCGACATACAATACATGTGGATGGCTGGACGGAAATATCATCAGTTACCATCGTCGCCATACATGCTACCATGCGACGATGATGAAGTCGACCGACTCCATCTGTTACACTTTATGGTCCGCTTTGCTATTCAAGGGTAAGTTCTCTAATCCTTGCCAAGTTCAAGAACGATCAAAAGAACTCATAATAAGCGTGTTTATAAATGTACTAGCAATTATCTGGCGCCAGTGAGTGATGTTTTACGGAAGGGCGGACGAGTGTTGGATGTGGGATGCGGCCCTGGATCTTGGAGCATGGAGATCGCAGGCGAGTACCCCAAGTCCCAAGTGGTGGGAATAGATATCAATCCGATGTTTCCACGAGATATCAAGCCATCCAACTGCACGTTTCATCAGTACAATCTACTCGATGGACTTCCATTTGAAGATGCGTCTTTTGATTACATATTCATACGGTATGTTTGTGATACGAGCTCGATCTTACTTTTTTTTTTAGGTTTTGCTTATGTACGCGAGATTACACACGAAGAATAAACTCCTGTGTATTATAAACTCAACAACAAAGCCTTACATAATAATCTTATGTGTTAGCTTTATCGGACTCGGTGTGAGAGCCAAACAATGGCCCATAATACTCGGCGATCTTGCACGATTACTCAAACCAGGAGGATGGATTGAGCTTGCAGAACCAGACACGGAATTGTATCGCGCAGGACCTAAAACACTCGAGTTGAGCACCAAGTTGAAGCAAGTGATGGAAATGCAGCATATCGACCCACAGATGGGCAGATCTCTGAAGGGGCGACTGGAAAAGCGTGATGAGTTAACAAACGTGACCACGACCTTTATTTCCTGTCCGGGTGGACAATGGGCGGGCAAGGTAAAGGATTACACAGACACACAGAGGGAGAGGGAGAGAGAGATTGCAGTGCAAGAGAAAGATAACAAGAGTAAGTAATCTATAATTAATGCCGCGCTTCATGTCATACATAGTTGGGCCAACTGACCTTGCAGTCATGGCAGGCCTATTACCAGGCACTTGGTCCGCAGATTTGCCATGCACTGGCCATCCCTGCAAAGCAGTATGAAGAGCATCTTAAGGCATGCTTGAGTGAAGCAAACGAATACAAAACGTTTGAAAATGTTCATTTTGCTTATGCTCAAAAGAAGCCTGCTAGCACCACCACCACCGCTGCTTCGTAAGAAAAAAGTCACCACCAGTTTCTTCTTTTATTTCCCCCTTTTCTTGTTGGATTACATATCGCGCTCGGGTTTCTCTTTTCTTTTTCTCATTGTACCATATTGTAGCTCTCTCTTCCCACCCTTAATGCTAAAAAATGAGCACCATACAACAGCAAACAGCCCAAAAAAAAACCAGCCTCTATATAACAACCACCCCCCCCCACTAATTATCTCTTGTACGCTAATGCCAGAACCTCAACTCCTTTTACCCCGTCATTTTTCCGAACCAGCATTTTTTTAAAGCTTCTGCCGTCTTTAAAAGATATGGGGCTTGGCTTCCCCTCCCCCCTTTTCATTTCTTAATATGACAAACGGCCTAATTAAGAATAACAAAGCAACAGCAAATAGCATCTCTATCCCTTTGTTCTTGAACTTTAATAGTGCCGCTGTCACTTTTATTACTATTGCTTCTCACAGCCGGTCCAGTTATTGGTGAGACTGCTGGTCTCCTTAAAACTGCTATCGTAATGAAGATCCCCTGTTGTCCATGTCGGTGATCTCATTTTCTCATCTAGCGGTGGTGGTGGCGGTATGGTCGATGAGCCAAATGCAACAGGATACGGAGAATATTGATAAGCTGCTGATGCTGGCTGGGGGCAGAACACGAATTCTGGCGGCCGTAATGCTTGTTCTTGCTGGTATCTTAATGCGCGATATCGGTCATCAAATTCGATCACCAGTGCCTAAATGTATCAAACGATGTCAGCCATAAGAAATACCATATATTGTACAGTTGATGATTGTGATTACATAATGGGTTTTTCTGCCGTAAGTTGATGTGGTGTTACTGCGACTACTACCCGCAACGACACTGTCACTGTCATATGCATGACGTTCGACATCCATTCCATGCTTCGTCAAGCGATAGTTGACTCCGCGAATGTTTTCGCTGGCATTGATTCGGCTGCATAGCTCAACAAGACTGCGCTGAAACTGTGGATGAAATAACAATTTTCGTTAGTGATGAAGATGAAATACTTTTTCTTAGTTTGCATGACTAGTAGTAAGAGTGACAAGGATTAATAGAGGAGGCGGGATCTGGCTACTGCTAATAATAACAGAGAAAACAAAGCAAATGGACCTACAGTGCTATGCAAATATCGATACCGCCAAACCCATAAAACTGCAGTCGAGAGCATGATTGAGGGCACGATCAGAAGAATATACGCATTCTTCTCTAACAAAAGAAAATTCCAAAGAATGTAAACTGTTCCTGCAACGATCACCCACAGAGTGACCAGTGTCCCTGTCCACATCGCTTTGTGGGTCGGAGGAGGATGGCGTCGAACCGCTTCGTTGAACAGGCTCATGGCAGAATTAAAGTCACGGACTGACAACTATTGGAATCGTATCATAAATGCTACATCCAACGCGGAGAGATGAAAAATGAAAAGAGACAGGATGAAGGACTCACATAGCCTTGGAGATCAAAGGTGTATTGGGCATCGAAACGACGGCCAAGCAATCCAAGCCGGACAGTCTTCATTATCTGCAAAGAGGGAGTGTATTCCGTGGAAGAAGAAGAAAAAAGCGAAAGCAAAGAAAGAGTTAAAGTTGTATATAAAGTACACACAGGTTTAAAGAAGAAGGAAACAATAGAAATAGCATCAATGAGCCAAAGAGATGGCAATCAGAAGGAAGGATTCAAATGCCGGTGCTAGCTGGGCCTTATTATTTTTAAACAATATCGTCAATGAAATATAGAACATTATATGCTACGGAGTGCTATGCATGTATTATATAGTAATAGTGACAATAGACCAACTGCCCATTTCCCATTCCTCCTGCTTTAGCTGGACGAAGACCCGAGCACACGGTCCAAGTTGAACGAAGCTATGTAGGAGAGTAACGTCAATATAGCAATTCACGCTAAAGTGAACAATAAAATTGCAAAAGAAACCACTTTCCCTCTTTTGCTTTTCTTTCTCTTGCCATATCAGCGCACACACAAACACAAAGCAAGGCACTTACCACTAATAAAAGCAAGATGACTGAACGCTTGAGGGACGTTGCCAAGCAGCTCACCCGACCGAGCAACTTCTTCTGAGAAAAGTCCCAGATGATTTGAATACGAGACCATTTCCTCAAACATGAGCACTGCTTTCTGCAGATATTTCTTGTCGTATTTGCCTGCGCGTGCCATGGCTTCCACGAGCCAGAAAGTGCACATGGAAAAGGCCCCTTCTAGTCCTCCCAGCCCGTCATCTGTCGTCAAGAAGTTGTATCGGAACACTAGGTTGTTGGCCACCAATCCACCTAGTGTATTTGTGGTTAGCGCCGACTAGACAGTCTTTGTTCTGGAATGTTGATACATCTTAAAAAGTGATCATTGTGCTCTTGGAGAAAACTTACCTTTTTCGGGTGGACGCAAAATACGTTCAATGGTCGATAGCATGCGTGGATCGACAGGGGAGCTGAAGAAGACAAGCGGCATGATCAAGCAGCTGGCATCAACAGCCTCGGGAGACTCTATGCTCTGGGTAAACATCTTCAGCTTGGGATTCCAGCATTTTGTTTGAATCTCTTCATAGATCTCGTCTCGAACTTTGAGCCATTTGTCCCTGTCTGGACAGGGGAACATCCGCTTGTCTGCCAGCCGGAGGCCTCTGTCAACGGCTACCCAGCACATGACGCGTGAATACGTAAAGTTCTGCTTCTTGCCTCGAACTTCCCTATAATATAAAAAAAAGTTGATTCGTTAGATCCCTTGGGAGAACTGGAAGACAAATGAGATCGACGGTCAAATTTCTTACCAAATTGACATATCTGGCTGGGCGTAGTTGTCGCAAACGAAATTAACCAACTTTCTCACTGCACACCACATATCGTACGATACTGGAGCGCCGTACTTGTTGTACAGGTAGATACCGTCCAAGAGCTCGCCATAAATGTCCAGTTGAAGATGGTCGTATGCACCGTTACCAACTCGCACAGGTCTGGAGCTGCGGTAGCCATCTAGATGGTTCAGCTCGACTTCCTCCAGATATTTCTCGCCACGGATACTGTACATGATATTGAGAGACCCGTCAGGGTTCTAACCCATTATATGAAAGAAGTGGCTTTGGTTTAGGACATAGCAATCAAACAAACATTTTACGATAACTCGTAAAATCCTACTTACCAAGTCATTGCACCGCTCCTCTACAAATTGCATAAACTTTGAAGCCTCTTCTGTGAAACCCAGTCGAAGGAACGCATAGATGGTGAACGCTGAGTCCCGGACCCACAGGTACCGATAGTCCCAATTGCGTGCACCGCCAATGGCTACAAGAGGAGCATGATGTGTGAGAAAATCCTCATTGTTTCAGGTTTGGAAACTTTCAAACGCTTTCATTTACCTTCTGGGATACCAAATGTGGGTGCTGCTACCACCGCTCCTGTCTTTTTACAGCGTGACACGTGCAGACAAGATAAGCATATTAGGATCGCTCCGTACAAAAGTTACTTTATGTAACGCGACAGACTTACCGGCTCATATGTAAGCAGCTTTAAAACCATTGCACTACGCATCACATTCTCACGCCACCTTCCTCTGTAGATGATCTGATCGATCCATTTCTGCCAATAACGCAAAGTCTGTCGAAACAACGCAGCCATGAGGCTGAGCGTCAACGGCGGGTCGTGGACATTGTGGACACCTTCCACGGTCGATTTCGGTACCTCGCGGAATATAAAGAACGCTTCTTGTCCCTCATGCATCTCAAAATGGGCATAAACGCCCGGGCCCTTGTGTCCATGTGCGTGCGACTCTTCGTCGATAATCAACTTGAGCTTAGGCGTCGGCATCTCGCCCGTCTTGATAATGTATCGTAAATCCATACTCAACTTGGACGACTCAAATTGGACACGGTCTTGGCACGTAATAAAGTTGTCCTCATCCTCTGGATAGTGTTTCATATTGGGCCTCCCTTCAGCTGACAGAGGCCGTACAGGCAGCATTTCAGTCGTGTGCGAGTCTTGGGCGTAGTTAAACGCCGGGTAGCATTCCATTTTCAATTTGACCGAGCCGCGTACGATTCGCACACGGCGAATAATCCATGGCAGCAGCGGTTTGGATGAAAGCCGTTGGTTGCGTTCAGGACGGTGCATGTAATCTATAACTTCGGCGACACCCTCGTCCGACAAGAAGCGCGTGGCAAGCACGTTGCTCTTGGGCATGTACTGCTGCTTGTTGCTGACGTGCGAGTCCGGTGCAATTGCAAAATGGCCACCTTTGTCCTTGTCGAGCATTCTCGCAAAGATACTTGGGCTGTCGAATTCGGGGTAGCAGCAAAAGTCGATCGATCCATCGGTACCGCATAGGGCAACCGTGTGCAAGTTGCCGATAATGCCGTAGTTCTCAATGGGCAGGTAGCCTCGTGTGCGGACGTTGCAGTGTGTGCTTTCCATATCCTTGTGCCATTGGTCTCCGGCCTTGTCTTCTAGGCCGACAGGCTGTTTGCGCGCGTCAGCAGCATAGCGCGCACTCTCGTTTGATGATGACATTATGTGCTGTGTGTCTTTTACAGTTGGGACAAACAAGAAAGAAGAGAAAAAAAAAAGAGCAATGATAAAAGGGAGAGAAAGCCAGGAGAATTTTGTTTTATTTATGCATCTTGCGCATACAGACACGGTAAGATTTTACCGCGACAGTCGCCAAATCCGATACGGTACCCAGACGCGCTATCCTTGTACGCTGTCATGTTGACCTCATCGCCGTCGTGAAGGAACGTGCGCTCCGTTCCGTCTTGGAAAGTAATTTTATTAGCTCCGTTCCATGACAACTCTAGCAACGAGCCAAAGTTCCCCTTTTCCTACACAACAAATCGATGATATCACCGCCGGTTACCACTACGTTTTCTCCGTTTTCTTTTTTCGTTGCTCCTCAAATTTATTAGTGGTGCCTTACAGGTCCAGAGATAGTTCCAGTAGCGCACATGTCACCGGCGCGCATGTTGCATCCGTTGACGGTGTGATGAGCCAGTTGCTGTGTGACGGACCAGTACATGTATTTGAGGTTGGAGAGTGTGGTCCGTTCAAATTTGGATGATCCCTTGGCTGTGTAGACGTTAGTTTTGGGTCATGTGGGCCTTCCATTAGTGGTAGCAAACAAAGACTCACGCTTAATTTGGACTTCAAGGTCAATGTCGTAAGCCGTTTTATGTTTCTCTTGGAGATATGCCAGTGGTGCTGGAGATGTTTGGGAAGGACCGTCGACCAGAAATTCTTCCAACGCATCCAGAGTTACGATCCATGGAGAAAGTGTGGTGCCAAAGTTCTTGCCGAGGAAAGGACCTATTTATTTCATCATATCAGGACCTTCCCATACTACTTTCTCACTAGTTTCTTCACTCACCAAGAGGAACGTATTCCCATGCTTGAATATCGCGTGCTAGGAAAAAAAAACCAGAGTTGAGTAAAAGTCAGGTACACAGCTAAACGCTTCTCCAGCTCTCCCATCCTCACCGCTCCAGTCATTGACAAGGACCATGCCAAAGATATGGTCTTTGGCATCGGCAACTTCGATACGTTTGCCCAACGGATTGCCTTGACCTACAAACCAGCCCTTTGAAGGAAAGACGACAAGCAAAAACAAACAGTGAGTGCTGCGTTCACTGGGTTTTTACAAGAAAGAAAGATATCCATCTCACCACTTCCAACTCAAAGTCCAGCTTGGCCGAAGGTGCAAAAAAGGGACCGGTGTTATTCTGAGGTGTGATGCGTTGTCCGGCTGGTCGATGGAGATCGGTTCCTGACACAACAAGGGACGATGCGCGACCATGGTAGCCAACGGGAATGTGAAGCCTGGTAAGCGGTGATCGTTACGCACGTCACGATCATCTGTTTAGCCTCTGAATCACGCATATATTCACACACTCGTGCAGCACACAACGTTCCAAATATTTACCAGTTTGGCTGTAACGCGTTGTCTTTTCCTCGGAACATGATACCAACGTTGGTGGCGTGTTCTCGCGAGCAGTAAAAGTCAGTGTAGTCTCTGCATCGAAAAATAAATAAAAACAGTGTGTGTTAGAGAGCAAAGTTCGCCAAAGACATTACGTTCTGAATAAACGGACGCTACCCGATCTGTGCAGGAAGGTGCATCGTGACGTCTGTCTGCTTAACCAATGCACGGCTCTGAAGTTCAGTGTTGTCTCTCAACGCTGGCTCGTCTTTGGACAACAACTTTTGAATTGCAAGACGCGTTGCGCGCCATACTGGTTTTCCCAGATTCATGAATTCGTTCAAGGCAGGCTTTAGAGTAGTTAAAAGAAAGCTAGGGCGTCAGTAACAAAAAAAGAATAGAAAGCAGTATGCAACACTACTCCATCGGATCCGCCCTACCGACCTTGTCAAAGACAGCGGCTGGATCCTGGAGCCCTTCGATGCTGTTCAGGAGGCCAGCATGGGCAACAGCGGCGAGATCGAGCACATGTTCACCGATAGCAACGCCAACACGGGGTGTCTTTTTTTTTTTTTTTTTGTTTGTAGCCAAAGGATTCGTTAAAGCCATGGTCTCTTTGTCTTCAGGGAAATGCAGCAATAACAACTTACAGTCTGCTGTGCGGTCGAAAAGACGCCAAACGGGATATTCTGGATGGGGAAGTGGGAGTCTTTGGAGACGGTGACAAAGCTTTCAAGAAGGGGTGACATTATTGCTGTTGCTAGTAGAGTTCAAGTGCTGAGAAGAAAGGAAAAAGAGCTTGGGGATCCGAGAAAAAAAAATGAATAAGGTCGCTCGAAGCGAACGTGGGAATTTTCATGTTTCCCACGCCTCCCCTCTTTCTGCGTGAAAGCAGACTGACATCGGCTTTGTCATCCTCATCTCATCTAGTCTCTCTCTCTCTCTCTCTCTCTCCTTATCACTTAGTCGTTCTCGTTGCTCTGTTACCGGAGTGTCTTTCTGACGCGCGCATGCTTCTGCCTTGAATCGAATAAACCGAACACTTTAATGCTCATGACGACAACACTATCGGCCTCCCGTACTTTGGATGCATTTATATACATACCACGTGTCTCCTATTTTGCTTCGAAAACAAAGCAAAAAATGATGTAAGGACTCACTACTACTGACCCATGGACATCAACAATGCTTCAAATCATGTTGTAAAGAGGATGTTACTCCGCAGCGGCATGCCTTTCAAGTTTTGCAACTAAGGTACATAAGCTGCTGCTGCTGCTGCTGCTGTACGATGCAGTTAGGACCTTTCTTTGACTCTTGATGGCATTCATAATTACACACGCCAAACCACGATGTGCATTTGATACCACCCTTTACCTTCATATCCTACTCTACTATGACTAAGCGCTTCAATACACGGTGCTATGGCCAGCTACTGTCTCTGAGGATACCATATCTGTAGAATTAAACGCTCAATATGCCTCAATACTACGCATGTGTGTAGCATCGCAACGTTCAAGATCGCCACCTTGAATGAAGTCTACATCTGTCTCTAATGATCGGTTAAATTGAGCAAGTGGAGCATTTCTGTAGCTTGTCAGAGACTCTAATAAAAAGATAAAAAGAAGGATGACTCTAGCTAACAGCCTCGGTTCAATTGCAACGTTTAAGCTTGCCCGAAGTTAAGCTCGTCGTTGTATGGATCGAAATAGAGAGAGGTATGATAGTTCAATTTCAGTTCCGAACTTTAAATTCAAAAGAAATCAGCCGCGTATGGCCGCACTCGACAGGTTCACAGTCAAACAAAAAATGGCACAACCACCAAGGCCACTTCCACCATTTGGTGGACCACCACCTCCTGGTGTTCCAGGCAGTGGGCCACCGCCACCGCTTAATGCTTCCATGCCACCTCCACAAGGTCGTCCACCATTCCCAATGCCTCCTCTACCAGCAGGCGTTCCTCCACCACCACCTGGGATGCCAGCATTCCCACCTGGTATGCCACCACCTGTTCAAGCTGCCATCGCCGGCGGTATTCCCTTGTCAAAGCAAACGTTAAACACCACACCAAGCCCAACTATCTATGCCAGCAATCTCAACGAAAAGGTTAAACTGCCAGGTAACAAAAGATTGAAAATCAAAAAAGGAAAAAGTTTTTTTTGGGATCTTTGGTTGATCTAGATCCAATGATAACGTTTATGGAGAAATACTCAAGTTATTACGAACGTGTTTTTCGCTTGTAGTGATGAAAAACACATTGAAAAACATGTTTAGCCAGTTTGGTGAGGTGCTCGATGTGGTAGCTTACAGTAACATTCGTATGCGTGGTCAGGCATTCATTGCCTTTGGCGACGAGGAAAGCGCATCAAAGGCTATCAAGGAGCTCCAGCACTTTTCATTATACGGAAAACCTATGGTAAAAAGATTTTACTCAAACCGATGCACAAAAAAAAGCTAACAGGAGCTAAATACAATATTTACGTAGGTCGTGCAATACGCGCGCACCAAGTCGGATGTCCATGCAAAGAGAGACGGAGACTTTGACGATCACTATGCAGAACGCTTAAAGAGGAAGGGTAAATGATTGGAAAGGCATCGTGTTACGGTATGTGGAAAAGGATCTAACAGACTTATTGTGTACAGAGGCACGCAAGTCGCTGCCGCTCCCAGGCGCAAACAAGCAGGCGCTCAAAGGACCTGCACCAGGTAAGGAGCAAGTTTAGATGGTGACAAGTCACAAGAAGATGGAAAGTGACTGACATGTGCATCAAACTGTTTAGCTGGTGTTCCGCGTCCTCCCGGACCTACGCAACACATTCCAGACGAATTCTTGCCACCAAACAACATTCTGTTTTTACAAAATTTGCCGGAGACTGTCACTCAAGAGCAGATCCAGGATTTGTTCAAGGCTTACCCTGGTTTCAAGGAAGTGCGTATGATTCCAACCAAAAAGAGCATTGCCTTTGTCGAGTACGAAAGCGAAATGCAATCCGGTGCTGCCAAGAGTGGATTGGCTGGTTATTCTTTCGGACCCGACCATCCTATGCGCGTTACATTTGCTAGAAAGTAGCTGAGGGAAAGCCCGTCTTCTGTTTTCTCGTTTTTCTGTTTATAGTTTGTCAAAGTTGGCCTCATCAGCCAATCACCCCCCTATGAACATTGCACTTGAGTTCAGTGTATCATAAAATTAACTTTCTTCTTTCCAAAGACCCTATGAACTTGGATTATACATGACGACGGGAAAGAAGTGATTGTGAAACGTTTACGTGTTTGGAGATAGAAGAGTTCAAACAGTTGGACTGGTAGACTGACCAGCTCTCTCTCCCTCTGTGTGTGTGTGTGTGTGTGTGTCGCTGATAAGCCTGTTATGGTGGTGTGCGTATACTACGAGTTTTCTTGTAAACAAAATGAAAACATGACCCGATAAGCTTCACAGTTATCTTTCGATGATTATTTCATCAAGAACAAAAATCCATGTGATAGGGTTGACCTGCCGTCATATCATGTGCATTCGTCAAAACAGTATATTTCGTTATACACACTCTCAAGTTTTCTGTAATTTTACCATTGTGATCCGCATAAGCCGGGTTCAAATGTTGGCATGTCTCGGAGATAAAAGACTTGATAATCGCAGTAGGCGATAAGAATGGCTCTCCTCAATGGTGCATAGGCTGCTACCACATGTGCTAAAAGAATGAGATCTGGGTGGATGCAGCACATACACACTTGGATTTCCTTTTTTATTTGATAAAGCGTCTGAGAGTTGGATAAACAACAAGTAAACAAACCTTGTGGGGTGTAAACATCGGGAGAAAAAAGATGAGCGGCGAGGAGGTCTGGATGCCGTCGATGCTATCCGAGAGGTTTGTATGTGTAGCAGTAGTACAGCGAGTGAAGAAACAGCAACAAACTTCGCGCCGGCAAAGGAACGGCGCAATAACAACAACAAAAATTAAATAAGAAATCTGGCTTATTTCTCAGCGATCGCCTATGCAATAAGACTAACCAGCGGTTCCACTGCTAGCTATTGCCGTCACCATCACTATCACTACTTGTACTGCCACCAGGATCTTTTGATAACGTCAATATTATGCAAGTGAATAACCACCACAAGACGTTTAGTTTCATCATCTAAATAGTATGTATCTTCGTTTTAGCGAAGGTGGTGATGTGTTCAGGCCATGCTTGCTTGTTTTTACTCTTTGTCTATCGGGCGGTACTCTTTAAGCGGTTAATCCATCACCTTTTCCTCCATCAGCTGATACTATGTTTGTTTATTGTTTGTGGGGTTCTCCAAGTTCTGACGAAAGCGAACGTGGCGTTAAAGAGCGTGGGTATTCCTTGCAGATAGAATATATAAAGATGATGGTTTTTTTTTTCTGTGCAGATTTTCACCTTTATAATAGCTCTTATCTACTTTGTCTTTCCTCGTAATTGTCTTTATACTATTAAATCATGCTCTGCCTTTACATGCATTCCGACCGTCAACCTCTTCTGACGACAAGACTACCTTTGGCATGCGTTCTCGACGAAAAGCATGCGGAAAGCGACAACCGACAAAGCACTATTAAAACACCCATCGTCAATAGCGTATCTTTCGATCCGTTCACCCATGCAAGCACCTTGCTCCACCAACAATCCGATTTCACTTGGAGCATTTTCGACAATGTCTTGGCTCGTGCGCTTCGCAGTATGGCATCTGCTTTATCTAACCTGCCGCAAGACCCGCGCGCTAAAAAATCATCGGCAATCATCGTTGCGCCCTCTCCTATTATCATTTCTCCTTCTTATTCCGCCGCCGTCGCCGCCATCACCGGCACCAAACGCTGTCCTTCCAATAATAAACGCGCTCCTCCAACACTCAAACAAAGACATCGCCATGTATGCTGGCAGCCTATTGCTCCTAATGATGATGAAACAGCGCCACAACATCTCAACAACAACAACAATAACAACTCTGTGTTGCCTGCTTGGATGTTTACCCACAAACACTCTCGAGACATTCGATCCAATCCCGACGAAATCCGGAAGCTTGCTGTCAAGCTCGAAATGGTACGACAGAAGAAACTAACAATCGGCCGCGTCAAGAGCGAACGCAAGCGACATCTTCCTACTCGTACCGACGATTTTTCCCCTTGCAGAAAAAGCGGTTTATCGCAACAGTTATAATTCTCCAAAGCGCAAAACACAATGATTTCTCTCCATCGTCAATTGTTGATAATTTTTTGTACCATTGTTATATTAGCTTGTATATATTATTTTGTTCTCTTTGTATGTCTTTGTTTTCTACTATTACTATTAATATCTTTTTTTCCATCGCTCATCACTATTGTACCATCGTCACTATACTGCAAAATATATCATTCCATACAAACCACAATAGTCTCTATGTTATGATGAAAACTCCACATCGTACATTGTGTCTGTTTTGCTCAATATATATAAAACAGACTAAATAGATAGCCCGTTAAAAATATACGCGAAGTTGACAGTTACTGCGGTATTAGACAAAGGACCATAGTTGAAAACTATATAAGCTATAACGTCAATTCGTTTACATCACTTTTCATTGACGATCTGCACACCAGTTCTTCGAGTATCACAAGAGGAAGTTACTTATTACTTGCAACCCCTTTCTGAGAGATAGCTACTAACATAGCAGTAAGCAGGATAAGAAGCGAGATGATACGTATCATACAGTGTTGTCAAAACGCCATCCTTAACAATTTCCTTGTTTGATTGCGTTCCAGCTGCATTCATGATAGTAGTAATAAAAGTCAATCAGGTTTGGAAACTCCTTCATAACAAGCAGGTAAATGGATAGGCAAAAACCGCAATGACCAAATTTATGCAATTACTTGTTTATACTACTGACAAATTAACGTTGAATAAGCTTTAGGTGACAAAGATGATCGAATAGATCAATGTGACGTGGGGTATGCCACAGTAACCGGTCGACACAAAATAGAGCATTGTAGGCCAAAACAGCTTTACAGGCTATGTGTCATCCTGCGAAATGCGAATAATTGGATGGGGGGTAGGAAACCTGTTTTAACCTCACATGAAATCCCGGTTACACGCTACTGATCATGTTCCGCGCTTTATTAAAAACCCCATACCTTAGGACCGTCATTACTTATCGACCCAATTCTCACGTACCACAAATCTCGTTCTTAGCAAGACATTTAACGCATTCGACACAAATAAAAATGGCCAACAATTCTGATGCAGAATGGAGAGCAGTCTTGACGCCCGAGCAATTCCGAATTCTTAGAGGAAAAGGTAAACCAAAAGTGTGCGAAAGTTTTATAGGTTTTATTCACAAACAGCAAAATAACCAAAAGGAACCGAAATGGCGGGTACTGGTGAATATAACAAGCACTTTGGAAAGGGTATGCTCATGTTGCTCTAAAGTGAAAGAGCAAGCCGTGATACTTGAGAAAGCGCTGTTTTCTAAGCTTTTTGTATTGTTTCTAGGTGTCTACAACTGTGCTGGATGCAACGCCCCGCTGTATGTCTCGGATACCAAATTTGACAGCGGCTGTGGCTGGCCCGCATGTGAGTTACTTTTTTTATATGCGCATGAAGAAATATTGCATATGCATTGCGAGAGAACTCAATATCTGTTTGTACTATAATTTAACGGTTTGTAGTCTTTGATGCAATTCCTGGTAAATATATGATTGGAAAATGGGATATGACAACGGTTTTATAGGTATGGTTGTTAAAGGAGATAACCGGGTTCTTTGCTTTAATAGGCGCTGTGGGACGAAACGTAGATAGCAGCCATGGAATGGAACGTATTGAGATTGTTTGCAACAACTGCGGTGGTCACCTCGGTCACGTCTTTAAGGGCGAAGGATTTGATACGCCCACTGATGAAAGACATTGTGTCAACAGTGTCAGCCTCAAATTTCATGACAAATAAATCTTAACTTTGGATCTTTCTTGATTAAGAAGTCCCCTGTTCCTAGTCAGTGCTCCGTATATGAGCCAATGCAAAGAGCACTTTGTTTTAATCGGTCAGAACGGGATGATGCTATGTTTATATTGAACACAGCACTTAAACGCCACTCTTATTTGTTGCTCTCTACATTAGCATCACTGCTGTTAAGATTCAAGGAATCTGGGGAAGTAGGATTACATGTACGAGCAAGAATTATTTAGTAAAGCGGTAAGTATGTAGAAGATTCGCAGAATTTAGAGATACAATGCAGGTTCACAGCGGCGCTACGGGAGCAATTTATTCATGTTTATCATTATATATATTTCAACGATTAGCACACGCTAATTTCAAAATACATACCAGCAAACAGTGCAACAACAGATTATCATTGTCCATACAAAGGATGTATTCTTAAAAGACGTCGTTTCGTCTCTAGTCATAGCAAAGATTATTTTATCTATATTGACCGTTTCTATCGTCGCGGCACCCCTCTCAAATTTGTAGTCAACAAGAAAGCTACTGCTCAACATCTCATAATGGATGATGCATGAGCACCCCTTCGGTGAACACTTTAATTTTCAAAAACTTGCGCGAATTTGCTCGCCGTTGTGATTATTGGTACGGTATGTTATGGGACATGCACGACGGTGCGACAGGTGTCAACACACTGGGAAGGCTGCAATATGTGAACAGCTGCGTTACATTGTCTACATTGATATCAAACATTTTCCCTCTCACGTGCTGGTCACCAAGGTGTGATTTCAGCCGTAGGTTTTTCAACGCACGCAAACGCTGCAAAAAGTTTATTCTATTCTTTTATGATCATGTAATCAGCAAACGTTCTGTGTCGCGTGTATTTGTATCTGATATTGGAAGCCAAATTCTTTGTTTCAAATAGCTATGAATACCTTTTCGATAGAATTGCATACCATTTCACCTGAGAACAGTGCTTCCAATGAGCTATGTGAGCGCTGGATTTTGGCGCCAGATAGAATGATGAAGATAGTAAACAAAGAGGAAAAACTCGAGTTGCACACGTATTTACCAGCTGCTGTTTTCGCGTACCGTACTACTCGCCAGGCACCGAGTCATTTTGAACCTTCTATTATTTGCTGTACGGTAATAAATCATATTATCCAATGAACCGAACTATGGAAGTCGATATCAGACCTAAAGAAACAGGCGAGGAAGAAATGATAGACGACACGTGAATCATAAGACACAAAGTTCGAAGAAGATTCAGCAGCAGGCCATTTCTTCTACAAGCAATCACAGAAAAAACAAATTCCAACTCAAGAACGAAAACGATTAGCCGAAAAGAATCATCTGTTGCAGCCCCCTGTAATGTTGACAATCATGTTAAAGTGTATCGAGAGAGTCTAGATACCTCCTGGTGATGCGCTTTAGAAGACGTGTTCTTGGGTCCATACATTATCCATTCTGTAAATAAATAAGGAAGAAACTTACTATCTAAAAACAATGGATGAAGGATAGTTATTCTCACAATCTGTTCATGGCAATAACTGAAAATCAATACTTTACCATGAATTGGATTTCGTATATAACCTCGCGTTCTTTACATTTTAACCGGGGACCAATTTGAACTTCGCTACATCCATCATGCAGAATAGAACAGCAACGACAACAGAACAAGCCATTTTCCCTGACCTCATTCTCACTACTCGAGATGAAGTACCCCCTACAGATCTTTTCTTTTGCTTGTATGCACGGCAGAAGTTAAAATTTTAATCCAGAATAAAAATTCATGTGCGGATTACTATATTTGCAGTAAGAGAGATGAAACAGCTCAGTATCAATTTATCCAGCGTTGAGCAATTCCATTTAGTAAACATTGGGCAGCAAAAACAGAAATATGTGTTGCCTTCCTCTGGGTATACGACGGTAGTAGTGCCCTTCTTTCAGGTACCGCACCTTACAAGAAGCTAATGCGCGCAGACTACAATCACCCGTTCGTGTCATACGGTCTGTTGTAGATTTGTTGATTCATCTGCATCTTCACTACAAGTAATTATAGTAGAGTCAGTAGCCTTCGCGTCAGCCAGCATTAGCATAGTTTCTGCTCGGGAACTTACCGGGTCACCACAACATGCCAAACATTTGTGTAATTGTTCCTAGCTGCCATCATTAACGTCATAGGATACCACTACCTGTCTTCGTAGACATCACAGTATAACCTTCCCGGTACCCATTGCCAGCCCAACGACGTATGCATCTTCCTATCTTACGAGACCATGAAAAAACACTCTCGCAAAATACACCAGCTAGTTAACACTCAAAATACATAATACCTTCATGAAATTCATATAAATCACCTCCGCTACATAAAATCAGGTTTTTTCAAGCCTTTCCTGTTCAATTACTGCCATAAATGATACTGAAGGATCGAATGGATGCGTTCAAGTGTTATCAGGTATTCTCTGGTAAAGAAGTCACTGATAAAAAGCCTTAAATAAAATCATTATAACTATCGATTCTTTATCAAATTATCACATATAGGGGTCGCAATTGGACGGGTCAAAACTCGGGTTGACGGGTCAAGACTGATTTCAATGTAGTGATGAAGGAAGTGTCAATCAACCTGAACTTGAGCGCTGGAAGTGCAAAACTCCATATATATATAGCTCTCCAAGATGATGGCACGCAAATTCCTAGCAGTGCTAGCAACTCTACGTTTTGAGTGATTATTCCTAAAGGTAAAGGGTTTTGTGCCATCACAAAGAAATCGCTTGGGCTCACATGATTTGAAGAAAGCATAATATTTAAAGTGTGGTTGAAAATCGACTTCCCTATATGCCCCTAATCCTTTTCCCTTTTCTTTTCACTTCTTTCTTCTTCCTTCGATTTTCTTTTCTCAATTCCTTTTCTGTCTTTTGTCAAATCGCGTCTCTTACTGCCACTCTATTGTATATTCTCATAGCACTATTGCTACTTCTTTACTCCTATCATATATATTGCTTATAGCTTACTTATCCCATATTGTTGAATATAAAATATAATCCCACAATAAAAAGAATTAAGTACGTTTGATGCTATAGTTCTATAGCAGACATATTGACAACTAATGATGCTTCCCAACAAGAAGATTGACTACTCAAATACAAGTACCTCATACATATTATATGTATACACGGGTCACAACGGGTCAACGGGTCGGGTCAAGGGTTGGACGGGTCGACCCGCGGGTCAGAAAAGCATCAACCCGACCCGTTGACCTGTCCTCAACCCGCGGGTTGGTTTTGACCTGTGGTGAACCACATTAATACACTGCTTAAGATATCAACAATAAGATATTCGGTTAAACATTATAGCACACACGTATGAACTACGCATCTCGGCTAAACACTATTGAATAAAATCTCTCACTCAGATGATCCACCTTACGTGAACAGGACAATGAACCTATCAACAGGTACCTCGGCCATTACATCAGCTAACGCCGGTTTCAAAGATGTGCCCGATTGACATAACGACTTCAGGAGAAGTTCTGATACGTCCTTGATCCATCCTCTATCACATAGTTTATCCATTAGTCGGATGAATTGATATCGCCGTCTTAATAGCTAGAATATAAAAGAGCTTTATCTTTTGTTGGAATAAAACATCATCTCAAAGATACTTAATCTTGTCCCTTATTATCTTATATTAAAGCTCTATTCATCACATGACCCGCGGGTCAGATTGCGACCCCTAATCACATATATACCCTTTCCCACCGCTCAATTTTTTCTGTCTGTGCCACCCCTCCGGTAACAATAAAAGACATCGTCTCTCCAAAATTCCATAAGCCTTCTCAATGCAATTGATCAAACAGAGATTATTCGCAGCTACAATTGAAGCATAGTCTATTCCCAATAAAGCCCGTAGTCCCAAAGAAACTCTTGTGTTTCGAGACCTGTTCTGGTCAAGTTATATGGTAATGTAACTGCAGCACTAGACCCCTAGGGCACGGGACATACTATCTGTCTAAAGAAAAAGCAGTAGTCTAAAGGTTGAAGCAAAAAACGGTCATGACACTAATGGATATATTCTAATAATAAAATCAGTCGCGACTTAGTGGGCCGACGTTATTTTTAAACTGATTGATGTGAAAGGGGACGGAATGGAACCTTAAGATTCCACTGTTTAGTTACCAATTGTTTGATGATTTCGTGAAAAAAAGCCTACTACTCTCCCTCTAAAAAATTACAATTTCATGAACCTCGTCCACAACAAAGAAGAAAATTACGACAAGACTTAAACAAAGAAAAGAGAAAAATGATTTTTGGCGAGCTATCATTTCACAAGTAATACATCGAGAGAACGAGTATGTTTTGATGGTAACGTACGCGTGTTGTTTGTTCTAGGTGTGGTTAGCATCGGATGATTGCTGGAATTTGATATATGAAATTACTGTCTATACAACTAGGTGGCTCTATAAGTTTGGTCGTTGAGTATGAGCTCATTGTGATAGAGGAGTAAAAGAGTATGCAAAACCATTGTACAAGGACTGATTAAGAAATTACAATGTGGCCATTATTTTTCTTCTTAGAAAGCTTTTCTTTCAATATTTCCTCTTACTATTTATTGCAGCAAAAGCTATCTACCAGGAAAGGCTGTGTTTTACTTTCCTTTCCGCTTATACAACATTGAAAGAAACGTGTAATAAGCCGGATCATACGCAATTAAAAAAGCTCTGGGCCGCCGCTACTGTGAAGGTTACACAAACATGAGTAAATATTCAAGTCAATAATTGACAAAATTTTAATGTTTCCAGCTGAGGGGTTTGAACCCTCGCCCTCTTTCGAGGATCAGATCTTAAGTCTGACACCTTAGACCACTCGGTCAAACTGGAGATGTTGGGTATGCTGTAGCATAGAAACATTTTAATTCGGCTACACAAATGGCGTCGAAAAAAAATATAATTCTGCCATAGGAATCCAGGTCGACCTGTAAAATAGTTCAGCCCTTTGGTTTTGCCAAGGATGGATTAGTTCAACGATCA